AAAAAAAAAAAAAAAAAAAAAAAAAACAGACCACTGGTCCGTAGTAGGCTTCATAAGCAGTCTAACGCATCTATAGTACCCTTCCATGAACGGATCGCGAAGTGGTCAAGGTATGTACTCATAGGATATGAGAAGTCTATCTGTGTTTGGATATCTTCTTATACCCGGTACACAACTATAATGCAGAATTTTTTTTTCGAGGGAAGGGTTGAGGCATATGTAGGACGAGGTATACGGATGGTAGTTCATACACAGTATCTAAAGGTCGAGTTTGAGGGGATAGGTATGGGTATACTCCTCTCTCGGCTTGACAGATTCTTGCAGTTATACATAGTTGTATAATGTATCTGCAAACATTGAGATTGCGCATGGTTTGGAAGCATGACTTTTATTTCTTTTCTTCGGCGTCTGATTCTTTAGAGGTTTAGTGTTTTTAGATAGTGCTCTCAAAGACTAAAGTAATAATAGTAGAATATATAAGAATCTTTCGACTGATAGTAGGTCTGATATACTGTTCAAAGATTCTAGAGGTGAAGTCTAAGCGGGATGTTTCTTGCCCGATAAGCGTCGAAGACACTAGAGACAGTCCAGGAGTATTGAAGGAATTGTAATATGTAATATAGTAGTAAAAATGTATAGGTGATGTTTAATACCCTGAATAATACCTAGGCCGTATACAAGACAAGTATTATTACATGTATGTCTTTATAAGATACAGTCTAGGGGATTTTATAGTATCGTGGAAAGCTATAATACTAAGAGTCTTGTAGACAGCTTATATTGGTTTTCTTATAGATATTTATGTTTAAATATACCTGAGATTTTCATAATTCGATAGAAGTAATATATATCTATCGGTCTAGGAGGGAATAATTGAAAGAACATTATTAATATCGTAGTCTTTGTAGTTGAGAAAGCGATGATAAGTAAAGTAGATACTTAATAATTATACTATATATACTATCTTTAGTATTCTTTACTTTACGTAAGTAGTAAAGAACTACTATGATAGGCCTTGAGAGCATAGGTACGACATCTATTATATCTAAGTAATTAGATGCCTATACTCAACGCTAGGGGCTTTGGATAGGTCTATGCTATATACTCTCGGTGTGTCTACGCGAAACGGGTAGGATTTTCAGCCGTCTAGAAAGGGGTCGTTCATAAGATTCTATAGCTACTTAGCATTGATAAAGTAGTCTCTCTCTATGAGCTCGTTGGAACTATAGAGAAAGCCTTAGGCTAATTAAAAGCTAAGAGTCTTATAGCTAACTCTCTAGTATTTAAGATACTTAATTATGTAAAGCTAGAAGAGACTATTTATATCTTATGTTAGAGGAACACTACTTCTTTAAGCTATAAGATAGAAATGCGAGATTTAGCTCTTGATAGAGCTTAGCTATATAAAAGTATATACCGTGTCATTCTATCTAAGAATATCAAGTCTATGGTAATTGCATAGAAGTATATACCGTGTTATTCCATTTCAGAACACTAAGCCCATGGCAATTTCATAGAAGTAATTGAATTCCTCTGCGTGTATGTAGCAACTTGAATCCATATGTGTTTACGTTTAAAACTCTCACAAGGAGATTGGTAACTCGACCGGACTTCTACAATCACGCACATTCATACTAATTTACTGGAACCGAGTCATATAACATACGCTCAAGTTTGTATATCTGGCCACTAAGAATTTAAGGTCAGCATCATGAAAGAAGGACTGTCGATAGTGTGCGGGTAGTGAAATGTGCCCTTTAAAGTGGTTCTATCTACAACAGATTATCATACGTATCTACACTGAACATTCTCAAGGAAATAGACGAATTTATGTACTAGAGGTTTGGATTATGAACTAAGCAGGGAAATTTTGCACCCAAGAGGCTCGTTATAGTAGGTGTTTCTAGTACGTGTTAGAAACAGGTCAGCGATATAAAGAACATCTCCCCTCAGTCCATTCTAAAGAAGATTTTCACTGGAAGTTGTACGCCTTATTCATTGCGTTAGAAGACAGAATTCGGAGATGGCCAGGAGAAGAGAGCAAAGTACTCAAGGATGTTCTGGAGCGTTTCCATGATATCCAAGTCGTCGAAGTTGAGTATGGAAGACGCAAATGAGCTAGATGACACGTTGAGGTTTCTGCTCGTTATCGGAGCACGCTCCTCACATCCATCAGGTCAATTAATGCGCAGTATAAGGGATAGCATACGTGTTAGAGCAATCATAGATACCGTACATGGAAATAATGCTTAAGATAACGAAGAGTGTCGACATCACCTATAATCATAAGGTGTATTCGTTGGCCCTTGATTTACTATATTGCTTTTGATTGTCTTACTAGAATGCTATCTATATCGCCTTAAGTCTACTATCAGGTTTTCCTCACTCTTATAGTAATGTCTAATTTCGTTCCCGATTCGAACATTATTCCATGTTTTCCCCCTTCGTTCCACATTGCTACTGCAATTCTTAGGCGCCATTGTAATGTCCAATGTGCAATGACATGAAACAGCCAAAAAGGCCTAGCACTTAGCTCTGCGCGTCAACACTGCACCACGATATATTATCATTATAATATTCGTTATCTATCAACTAGAGAACAATCAAGAACAATCCTTCCCGCAAGATTCTCAAAAACTCTGACCGCATCTCCTACCATGACAAGACTTCACGACCTCTCCGGCCCCTGCCCCTTATCCACATTCGACGGCAACGGCGGACTCGTCGGCACATCTACGCTACCATCCATTTCATGCACCCTCGTCGGAGCCTCCTTGTGATCTTCCACCTGCACCGAATACCTAAACCCCAAGAGTTAGCCACGCCACAAACCACAATTCGCAAACGCATCACATATCAGGCATATCGCACGTACCTATCCCCGCCATTCCCCACGTTCTCCACAAACATCCCGCTCTGGAACGTATCCCGATACACCGGCTGCGGACTCTCCATCTCGCCACCAAACACCGCCTGTTGCGGAGTCTTCGGATACTGCGGCAGCGGTGGCGACATCGTATGCATACTTCTCTGTGCGTCCAGCGGCGCATACATCGGACCCCCACCATGCTGATACATATCCGTTGTCGCGAAACCCGGCGACGGCATCCCGTCGTACGGTGCTGGCGCGGCACCACCAGCACCACCACCGCCATAATGAGACATCGGGGGTGCTGCAGCTGTGTCGCCGCGCTTATGCGCGAACCTGTAGCCCTTGGAGCGGCCCATGTAGAAGAAGAGGGCGGCGGCGAGAAGCAGAACTGCGACGGCGCCGATGACGATGCCGGCGATGGCACCGCCGCTGAGGCCGTGTGAGTGGTTGGTAGTGCCGCCGTTGGTGCTACCTGTGGGTGCGTTCGTGGGCGCGTCGGTCAGGGAGGCGAGGGTGGACGAGGCCTCGGCGGGGAAGGGCTCGCCGGGCTGCATGACGAACTGGGCTTCGCCGGCGAGTTGCTTCTGGCGCTGGAGGGATACGGAGGAGTTTGGGTTTATGACGCCGACCATGGTCCATTTGTCGCAGGAGTCGGGGGCGGAGCAGTAGAAGAAGATTGGTTGGGTGTCGTTTATGAGGATGGACCATTTTGGAGGCTGGATGCTTTCGTTAGTGTTTTTGGTATAGTGGTCGAGATTGTGAATCAGTTGTTCCTGGAGGGAGAAAGGGGGTGGGTGTTGAGGAATGGGAACATACGTCTTCTAAGATAACATCCACCTCTTTGAATCCGGAGAAGAATCCGACTTTGCTGCGTCCGGTCATTTCGTATGGAATACATGGATACTCGTACTCGGCGCGAACGACGGAGTGATTTGTGGGCCCGAAGCGGAATTCGACGGTATCGCCGGCGGAGACTTGAACGACATCTGGTTTGAACGAGTGGTCGCCGTTTCCGACGCTAACAGTTGAGGTGATTGGAGTCCGCGATGAGCTTGCTCCGGATCTGGTGAGAGAGGGAGCAGATGTTATCGACGGCGTAGATCTCTGGGAGTAGGTTGGGTGAGTGAGGAGAAGTGTGGTCAGGGCGATGAACGTTGAGCGTATGAAGCGGACCATGTTGCACCGATCTGTATATCAATACTGGTGCCGAAGATGTTTCATGCACCACGTTATCGAATGAAACAAGTGAAGGTACTGAGCCAGTCCCCCTAGAAGCAAAAGAATTGGAATCATTAATGCGGGATAAGGGTGCATCAAATACCAGCGACGCCCCCTACTAAGCCCCAAAAACAACAGACTTGGAATAATCAATGCGGGAGAACAAGGGCCCCAACCAATTTCCACGCCCACAGCCCATTCCAACATCCCACCTCGCCGTATTTCACACCGGCATCTGACCCAGGGCCTGTTGTCGAGTCCAGTTCGTCTAATCGCCGGCTATTATGATCCCTACCTTGGGAAGTCGACCCTTGCGTCCAGCTGTATCTGGGGGGCGAAGTGCGTGTTTAGCAACATTGTGATTTGATGAATGATTAGTACTGGGCGCACAGACAGCGATGCTGGGTGCACGGCTGAGGTCAGAGCAAAGAATAGGTTTTCTAGCGTAGATGTGATCTCGTAATGCTGACTGACAGCAAGAATGATACACTTGAGATGTGGGTGGAGTGGTGATGTCGTGTGACGATGCTGGAACGAGATAGTTCCATTCCGCTATTGCACGATAATAGCTGCAAACGTTGTCTGCCCTGGGATGTTGACTTCTCTACCCATTCGCCAGTATGCTCTCTTAAGCTAGACAGACTGTATAAGAGAGATGGCTGAGCCAGGATCAAAGAAGTGCAATCTCAATCCACGCCTCAAAATGATTGCCAAGACGGTACAATCATAATCCGATTGGTCAGATTGATTATGTTAGATTGAATAAAGTGGAGTATACACCTAAGTATAGCCGGGGGCCTTACTGTATATTCAGGTATCATTTCGGCCTCAGCCCTTTATATTGAAGCCTAAGGCTAGACTTTTAGCCTTAGGCAGAAATGATACCTGAACATACCCTAAAGTAAGGCGCCAGCTATGCTTAGGTGTATACCCCACTATATATATTCTACCATAATCAATCTTGATCCCTTGGCATAGATTTTAACCTCAATCTGTACTTTTAGGGTGACTAATCATACAATCCATCCTAACCTGGGACCTTGGATGGTATCCAATTGTATATGCTCACGTCTGAGCATGAATATGCGAGAAGTCATCCGTGCTTTTCGTTGCCGAAAGTAAGAATTGCTCAGGATACACGTGACGGGGACAAAATGTCCTCACACAATGGCCATTTCTGCTTTGAGACGTGAGTTACGCCGAGGTCCAGTAACGTGAGCTGTTAGTAAGCAACCTGAGCTGTGGCTGTGTGAGAAATCACTACTACTAGCGGGTCGCATTGTACTGTGGTGCAGGGTCTAATGGTCTAATCATGCTCAGCGGAAGAAGAAACACCGGGGTGTGGTTCCGTCAAGCGCCTCTCTGCTGCCTGAACTGCGACGTGAGCGGCGCATGATGCTCAACGAGCACGGTATAGACAGCTAGTGGCAGAGGGCCTTTAGAGCTTGATCTGATGGTGGAACGACTGCGTCTTCTGCGTAAGCTGAATGGATACAAGACTCCTGGTACCACTGTGATGATGGCTCATTGTTTGGCACTAAAACAGGGTTACTCATCCGTACCAGCACGTCCAGGCGCTCGATGAGACTGAAGACTGCATTCGCGTGGCATAGTCACTACCTGGATCATGCGAGCACGCTGTGATGTCGGCGGCCACCTCTTTCGTATCGCCTTTAACTGGTCGGATGGTCAGGTGCTGGAGTTTGATTAGCCTGGTTGAGGGGCAATTCTCTTTGTTGGAGCACAGGCGATATCCTAGGAGGTTCTGTCGCCGATGCGAGAGTAAGATGATGAGGGAGAACAAGATAATCAGGGAGGGCGGAGTAGTCTGAAGAACGGAAGTCTGGCACCCAATCGTAGCACATTGACAACCCCGGGAATGCCAGATAAGGAGATCATAAGTGTTGATAACCATATATGCATGGGATGGTCTTCGCGACCCGCTTCTCGATCAACGACGCTTCTCCAACGCATCTCATCTCTCCTGTATCGCCCAAAAGCTCTTCACACTTTCCCGTATACCCTCACATCCTCTTCTCTGTACACACTCTCTTGCCCGCACGCGCATATCCTCTCATCCCTCATTTCGACATGACCCTCCTCATCGAATACGAAACTCCCGTCGACTACGATCCTTCTCTCAGGCGCACCCAACGGTCCTTGAAGCCACATCGCCCGAAGCTCACATTAGCTTCAGACTCGTGGCAAAGCCCGACAATTATGACAGATTATCCGCATTCCAAATATCCGAATTTTTCAAACAGCATGACCCTACCACAAAGGACGGATTTGTAATCGCGTGGCCGCCGATATTTTGCAGAGTCCCGTCTCTCCTACTTCAATCCAAGGCGCCACAAGCTATACCGTAGCAGCCGACTCTGAGCAGGTACTCAAGGTGATCCAGTTCCGGTTCCCGAAGCTGAATATCGAACTAGTGGAACACGCAAGACAGTCTTATAAAGATTTCGTACCTGATTACGAGTACGAAGGCATGTTCGGAAATGTCCACATGTATAGGTGGAATCTCGTCCCTGGACCTGCTTTCTGTCGAGTTCGGCATCAGTCCGCCCTTGTTAGCTACTCGCTGATCAGAAAAATAGATTTTCTGCTTCAGCATGGATCAACAAACCAGCACTTAAACAACCTTCTGGCCTATTTGAAGACTACCCTCGCGTGCTAGATCAGATTTCTGATGCAGAGGAATTAGATCGTGCAGGAAAGCGTGGCCGTCGATCAAGGATGATAATGCTCTGCGATGAGCTCCTCCCGTGTCATCTCCCCGCGGTCTACGCATGCTATGCGCGAATTTGTCTTGGCTAGTTCTGCGTCGTACTGCTCTAACTGCAATGTCTTTCTCTCCACGAACGCCCGTATCTCGTTCGGGTCTAATGCCGACTCGAGTTGCTTCCACTTGTCGGTACCCACATGCTCTTTTAGCTTGGTAAAAGGGAAACTGTTAGTATCGTTGAAACCGCACGAAAGGAGCATGTGGAACCACATGGCCCCTGAGTCCTCTGACCACTTGACAAGCTTAGAGACTTCATTGCTTTCGTGGCCCGACCGCTTTGCCTCTTCTTCTTGCAGGACACGTTTGTAGATGTCCAGGTATCTGAAGTATCGAGCGGCTATGTCGGGTGCCTGGTCACTATCGTGATCCCATTCTGGATTGATAGGTCGATCCTGAAGAAGCCACCACGGCGCCGATGCAAATAGCTGGGCTGAGCCAATATACGACCATTCAAGATCAATGACGCCAACGACCGTAAGATCGTCATCGTTTTTGACGATCAAGTTAGCTGGGCCAAGATCATCGCAAATGAGTTTGAATGGACCACGATCGTACTTCTCATGTACGTAATCAGCTACCAAGGTTCTCATGATTTTGAACGAGGCGTACTGTCTTTTGGCGTCGTATGGCCCAGCAATAGAATTAGGCTGTTGCATAAGCTGCTCCCAGTCTTGCCTAGTAATGTATTCAAAGTACTCCGCTGTCGTCGAGAATCCTTGGTCTCGATCGCCTAGAGATTTCCTACTTAGTCCTCAATTCATAGACACAAAATTGGTGGTAGGGTGAGACTAGGAATTGGGACGTTTTGCACCGTACCAAAGGTATTAACGCCTCCAGTTTGAATGATGTCGTGCACCTTCCATGTTAAGGGGCGTGTCGAGGTAGAGAAGCCTGTCTTCGGCGTCGGAAGGCTGCCGATCCGGTCAAAGTCCAGCTCGAAGAGTTGAAGCTGGAAATTGGCTAATTGCCTGAACAAGAACTCAACGTCGTCATCGCTGATGTCCTCTCGCATCAGTCTTGTGTCAATGGTGGAACTGGGATCTTTGAGAAGGTGGTTGACGCCTTTGCCATTAATAAAATCCATGAGGATGAATGCTCCTAGGCCAAGGGGGTTGTTGGCAGCGAGACCCCAAGCGTGGATTTCTGGGACAGGTATACTGGTCCGTTCGCGAATAAGAGTTAACACTTCCACCTCCATAGCAATCTTTTCATCAGCGTATCCTTCACAGATTGCCCCGACGCGGGGAAAACGCAGTAGCCAGGTGGTATTTCCAATGAAGGTGAACCTCTGGCATACGTTGTATGCGCCGTGCAGAAAGCCGCCATCGAGTTGGCATGGCAATCGGTCGGGATGAAGGGACGAGACCCATTGGCACATGCGGCCGTCGACGCGAGCTGCATTTACCATGTCCACCCAAGCATTCTCCTCCAGTTTGTGGATTAGCTCGATGCGCTTGTCATAGTCCATAGTGGTGGAGAAAGGGCTTGTATCTGAGCTAAGTGTGCTGCGGTGTTCTTTGTGTATTGTCGTAAAAGCGGACGTCGTCCGGAAAACAAATGATGTGCACTGTGGCCTTAGGCTCCCAAATGCCCTAGCCTGCTCATTCGACTCTAAAACATCTAACACATGCTCCGAATCACTTTGCTACGGCCAAATATGAGTATACTGTCAATCGTAGTACGCTATCACGACGTTACCGCGGCCCATCTGGGTCGCACGCTCGAGATTTCATTATAATTAGATAGATTTCTCGTGAACTCTTGCATCCTGCTTACGGCGCCTGGGCTTCTTCGCAGCGGCTTCAAGGGTTTTATTTGCGTCGTCTGCCGCCTTTCTAAGCCGTAGAGCGACGCTGACGAGGCCCTGGTGGAGGAGGCGGCGGCTCTGTCGTATGGTCGTTACCGAAAGTCGCATTTCTAGGCTTTTTGGACGACTGCGTGCGTTTCTGAGGCATGCTAAGCGAGGTGAAACACCAGGGTAATATTGACGATAGGCAGAAAGAGCTATGAAGGAGGCTTCAAGTGGTACAGAGGGCAGAAAGAAGGTATGTGGTCGATAATGCACAAAAATGTCCTTCTCATACTAATTTACTATGTGAGCGACATGCCGAAGCATCGCCGAGGGCCAAGTAACTCCAAACCAACGGATGCAGGTGGAACCAGTATTTCCAGAAAAACCCATAGTACCGTAAGACAGCCTTGTCAAAGCCCGACGAAGTTCCTAAGCGCTGCACCTTGACAGCACCCTAGGGCGTTTCACACAGGTCCTACTTCCCTGTCAACTTCATCAACTCTGTGCCTGCGAGAGATCTTGATCCTCATTTGTGAACTATGCTGGAACCGCATGTTGACGTAAGTGCTTCATCTCTGCTGACCACGGGAATTACTGAGAATCGTAGCCGGCTGCTCGAGAATCCTCGACTGCGTTCCCGCTGGATGGTCTTACCTTTGATATCTCTTCGATGCCGGAGGAGGACCTTGTAGCATACGGAAACGTCGCTCCTGTTCTTTATTCGCTTGCGAGCATGAAAGTCGTGCGACTGTCCAAATCTCTAGTCATGAAGTTTGGGAACACTGTTCTAGCCTCAGAAGGCGAGACGATGAAATATGTCGCAATGAAATTTCCCAAATTCATGTTACCACGAGTTCACCGATGTTTCAACATCCAGGAAACCATCTCATATTTCGGTGTCCAAGGCTATATAGTCATGGACTATATAGATGGGCCTTCTCTCGACACATGTTAGGATGAATTAAGTCCGGGTACTCGCGAAAGCGTGATCAAACAGGTTGCGGTAATGATTAATCAATTACAATCTATACGCTGCGATCGTCCCGGCGGTATTAGCGGTGAGAAATCCCGTGGTATGTGGTTTAGTGACTATGGCGCAGGGCCATTCCGATCGAAAGAAGTTTTCCAGGATTGGATCGCCTGGAAACTTAAGATGAGCAAGCGCTACCAGCATGCCTTACCGGAAACTCTAGCCCTAGAGTGTTCTACCTTTGTCCTCGTGCATGGAGATATTAGCCCTCGCAATCTAGTCCTAGGCAATAATAACCAGATCTGGATGATCGATTGGGGTTATGCTGGATTTTATCCTCCAATATTCGAAGCCGCCACTATTAAACATCAACTACAATTTCAATCATTCTCGCAATTACTTTTACCCCATATCTATAACCATCCTGAGGAGCTAGCGCAGCTTGAGGCCTGTAGCTATGGCATCCACCGAGTCCCCTTTTCGCTCCCACCAGAGATGGAAAAGGATAGCGAGGTGGATCTCTCGGCAGCATGACGACCAATTCAATGTAGGAACATTTATCAGACAACAGCGTCAAGATGGCGGGTGGCAAAGGGAGGTTACTTGTGAACTCTGGAGGTAGACCATTATTGTCAAAAATTTTCGATCCTAAATCAATCCGATTGCAACAGCTGTCTAAGTCAAATGACCTTTACCGATCGAGTGAAACTTTTATTCCGAAACGCCTTCAATGTATAATTTAGAAGCTGCCATGCGACTGTTTGGTGGTCTTGCGAAATATCCCGAAACCTTACATGGGAGGTGGCGGTGGAGGTGCACCGCCAGCCGCTGATGTTGATACGCTTTTGGCCGCACTTCCTCCTATGCCCTGACTACTCAGCATGTTCGAGACTGCCAAGGTGGAAATTGCTGAAAACGCAAATGCTAGCCATTGTACCACTTGCAAAGCTGTACCTGGCAGTAAATTGAGCTGATTTGTTTGTAACATCGTCATGAAATACTGTAACGTGTCAAATACTTGAGTGGTCGACAGAGAGGGTCATTCGCTTGTAGCGTGTTGTACGTTGAAGTTTCGGAGTACGACTCTTTAGGTTGACTTTGAGAAAGGCGAGAGATATGAGACCAGACTTAGCAACAATCAATCAACTCAAAACTGGACCTCTTCCGTAACTTGATTGAAGGGATTCAATCACGCTTCCTTGATTATTTGATTGATTGACCAAATTGGAGCTCGCATTGAATTGGATTAAAATTTAATTGAAACTTTTGGCCTTGGCGGAGGTTTTATAGCCAAAATCGTCCAGAATTGCGATTGCGGACGTGATATATACGTTTTTGAGCTTCAAGTCGACAGAATCCGAGTAGAAAGCCAAAAGTATACTTTATCGTAAGCTCGCTAAGCCCATAGACCTCAGCACTCTGTCGAAAAAGGCCGGAGAGGGCTAGAATCGTGATATCGAGCTCCAAGTCCTCTATCGCAATCGGCGAATGAGGTTCTAGTGGTTCTGTAACGTTTGCCCAGTCGTCCACGTAACCTGCGCGCTCCCAGCTCTTAAGATCCTGTAAGCAGCCAATCAAATGTGGGCTCATCCCACTTCTTCGTGGTGTCACCATATCGCCAGCTTAACTAAAGACTCTCTCGTCGTCGCAAGTTGAAGCTGGAATCCCCAGGATATCTATCGCAAACTTGTGTAGTTTTGGGGACTTCGCCTTGTGCGCAATCCACCACATGATGGGGTTATCAACTTTTTCACAGTCTATGCGACGATAGAGAGCCAGCTCATCCTCCTCTTGCTTCTTGAGTGACCGCGCCATCACCTCATCCATGTATTCATTGTATTTCGATCGCTGGAGTGCGAGTGTCGGAGGATCTAAGGGTTTCGGCTTCGCTAGGACTGGAGGTGGGGTGGTAGAGTTTTATAGGTTAACCAGAGGGCTTGTAGCTTGAGTTCAAGCTCAACAATAGTCTCTGGTGGGTAGTGTATTGTGAGGCCTTCGTCAGTATCGATAAAGAAGGCTTTTCATGTAGGATGTAAGATTAGAAGGGTTAGAGGAAATATATTTAAAGAGTAGTCTACTCTTATATTAAGGTTAATCCCTAATAAGTAGAAATTAGATTATATAGTTTACTTATATAGTAGATTTACTTAGTATAGCTAATTTAATCTATATAGATATAGAAAGAAGAGTATCCTATGTTATTATATTATAGGGATCCTAGATAGACTAGAGTAATCTATCTAGGTCTATTATAGTATCTATACCAATGATAATTAAGTTTAAGATAGTTATAAGTATATTAAGCTAAAGTTAAGCTAAGTAAGAGTTTACTAAGTTAACGTAGCTGTATTAATAACCCGGATTGGGACGTGGGTGCGGGCACTTTGTCCCCGGTAATAGCCACGACGGATGCTAGTGCGCCCTGCAAGCGTGGACGCCGCATTGATCTGATGAGGGCGTTGCGAACCTGGACCCGGTCCGCCACTTTGTCGTGCCGTGGATGATTGGATTGCTTTATTAACGCGGGCAATACTGTGTCGGTACTCATTCCTTCTGGCTTTTTGCATTTTATGTATAATCTGCCATACCGTGACTCTCGCCCCTTGGAGTGATCGTTTTGATTTGTTTATAGTGCTGCGCGCATCAAAGACATAGAACGAAATACGCTAATCAGAGCCTTAGATTCATCAAGACGCCCCAATCCATGTCTGAATGTGTATAGTGTGAGTTTCTACTTTTCTGTGTAGCCATACGGCTCCATTAATCGCCAGCTGCTTGCGCTTCGGAGTCTCACCGAACCACATGAACGACTGCTCATGCGAAGCACTGCTACATTATCTGACGAAAATATGCTTTCATATCTATTACTACCATTTCTAACACTAGTAATATCGCACACCTTGGTGCAGACACATATCTCTGCGCGGCCTCACGGCCACCTTCCAACCGATCAGAGTAACCACCGTAATAAATGAGAGGCAATTGAGAGGCGAAATGTTGTATTGGTAAGTGACACATGGACAAGCAGAAACGTAGAGGTGATAACTTACTCTCGCACTAATTATTCTCTCTCAAGAATGCCTGCCAAAGAACATAATTATTGTGCACTGTGATATAGGATGCACAGATAGAGATAGCACAGCACAGCACAGCACAGCACACGACTGTGCTATAATTGGTGTCCGGCAAAGATGAATTTTTTTCGCCGTTGGACCGAACGAAAATTGATACCATTATCTATAGTGCATGGACAATTCTCAACTTTAAGGGCGAACATCTGTTAGTCAGAGACACACGCTCATGAATGTAGAGCCAAATCCCAAAAGGATGTATCGATCCGGAGCACTATTTGAGACCCCTAAAGTGATCTTTATGTTCGAGAGTTCCTCGAACAAAAGTGATGAACTCTAGTCATGAATGTGACATTCGCCGTGAAATAGAGGACAGAACTGCGATCTCAGACCCGGATACTTGCCACATGATCAGCTAGTGATGAGAATCGCTTTTTTCGAATAAGAAACCAGATAAGCATGGAGCCTTGGATGAGAGGCGGCGGGAAGTGAACGCAACAAGAACAATGAACAATATACTATGGCAATTCTTTGCCCAATCGCATCGTTTCCCTCCCGTGGTTCATCATTCAAATTATAGGAGGGTATCTTGGATGCCAAAACAGCTCACACGTCCGAGTGGATGGAGACATGGGTTTACCCGCCCCTGCTCAAAGATATATCTTGATCACAGGATTGTGCGGTAGAATGACGTGTCGTTTGCTTTATTTGCCGCGAATCTTGTGAGTTCTTTCTTCTTCCTCTTCTTGCTTCTAACTTTTGGTATCGTGAGAGCGACCACGGATGCCGTAAAGTGTAGCAGGCCGGTGATGTGCACACTTTAGAACGTTGAGCAGTTACTGTCTTTAAGATAGTGGAATGGCCGCCTTGTGGGGTCGGATGGACCAAACTACCTACCTAGTCGTCTGGGCCCGGGTTGATTGGCCTAGTTACTTTAGCCATTATCCATCCGGATGGATCAGATTCCATCAACGCCAGGCTCGAATCGGAATCGCGATGCACAGTCATGGTCGGTCTGGTCTTTCGCGATACCCCTCGCAGGATTGCCAATGCTAATGCTGATCTGGACGCCAATGCCAGCACCAATGCCAATACCAATGCTATTAATTTATTGCTCTCGAGAAACAGATGAGAGGGATTAAAGAGGAGCATCGTGCGGCCCTTGCGTGAGCAGTCGCGCGAGAGTCTGTCAGGGTTTTCTAACAACAGCAAGCCAATTGCGTGGTGGGATTCTATCACGAGTCTCGCTGGTGCGGAGAAGACTCTGCCCAACCCTCCAAACTTTGGCCTCGCCTCGCGCTTCTCATGAAACATTGCCTTTGATCGTCGCCTGGAGCACTTACAGAACCCCGGTAGCTGCTGTCGACTTTGACCTTTTCACACATCGATAATCGCTGCTCCGTGTCCGACGCTGCGCCGAACCATGCGTCATTGGTCAAAGCGGTGAGGAGGAAAAAGAAACTCCTACAGTACTTCATTGAGACCATAATGCTGACCTCGTCGTCCCCTTCGCCGACTCTTTCTCCTGGTGCTTCATCACCACAAGCCGCATTCCACAACCGTTATTACCATGCCTCCTATCGCAAACCGTCCACTTCGTCGCCATCTTCCCCACGCGCAAACTCCCCGCGTTACACGCCCCTAAGCGTATCACGACGACAGGCCGCCACCGCCGCACCCGCTCCTATTGTTTCGCATACTCCTGGACTCGCTGTTACAGACGCTCGTTCCCCAAAAAGAGAGACGGTCGATGCTGGCACTCAGTACACTCCTCCAGGACTTCCTCCAACATACCGCCGACAGGCTGAAACAGCGCCCAAGCTGGAGCACGCAACTCAACCCCGCAGCCCGAAGCTGACGAGAAAGAGTTCGGAACTTTCACCGGGGACGCGTCCGAACGAAAGCTCTGCGCAGGAGCCTGTCGTAACGGTGAATTCCCAAGAACAAGAGCTACGCGTTAATCCGCGTCCATCTGCAACGAGGGATGCAGAGCAATTATCCATACCCAGCGCCACTACCACCAAGGACAGCACAGGGGAGGGTGTCACCGAAGAATCTCCTTCAAAAAGAGCCAGGCCCGAAGAACCCCAAAGTAAAACCATGCCGCTCAGTTACGAGCGCTGTGATGTAAAGGACCTTGGTGTACTCATTTCAGATATGCTGCTAGAACTCGTACGACTCAACGACCTCATACCGCTCAAGGATGGGCAGCTCACACGGTTCCACTCCAGGTAATACAACCACCGCAGCATGCACAATGGAACAGGTCTAATATATATCAGAGCGCCACCAGGCATATCGGTCCGCGATTATTTAAATCGCCTAATTGTTCATGCAACACTATCGCCACCCATACTTCTCTCCATGGTGTTCTATGTCGACCGTCTGTGCGCTCTATACCCCGCTTTCACCATCAGCAGTCTTACCGTCCATCGATTTCTGATAACCGCAGCGACCGTGGCCTCGAAAGGCCTCAGCGACAGCTTTTGGACAAATAACGTGTATGCAAGAGTCGGAGGTGTTAGCACGAAAGAATTAGCCCTTCTTGAGGTGGAGTTTTTAAGAAGAGTAGAATGGCGGATAGTGCCTAAGCCCGAAGTTTTGGTCGATTACTACAAGGGACTTGTGGAAAGGGGTAGAGGATATGGGCTAGAAGAAGACCCAGACAAGGATCCTGACAGCTCTGAGGCATCGATATCGTCAACTCCACTATCGACGCAAGACGAAGAGAGACATGCCACCGAGTCGTGAGTTCTACGAGACCAAGTTAATGAAACTTGAATTACGGACACATTATACGATGCGGGATTGAAAAACGGCCAGTCCCATGTGTCTCATTCCTCAGTTTGCTACACAAGTAGTAGGGAGATAGAATGCCATAATGATACGAGACATGCCTTGTCGAAATATAGGAACAGAGAGCAGTGAAGGTCTAGGCCTGGACAATCAAGACTGTATACAGCGCGTCACAGGCTCATATGTCGCGATGAAGCGTTCGGTTGACATCGAGTGTCGATGATGTGGAATGAGGACTATGGCACAAGGCTGGAGCGTAACCTGATAATACCCGAGAGATAAGTGATGTTTGTTAGTGTATGAAGTTCTTCATTTGCTTGCCGTGATTTGCCAATAAAGAATGCAGAGTCTGATGGTAGAATCCATCGTGGAGTTTTGTAGCGTGCCGAGATACGAGATACCGCGAAGCCGTTGCTAAGTCTGCTGCGTTGGTCCAATCGGCAAGTCGCCCCTCACACTACATCTCGACTGTTCGCGTCGCATCCAAATACGTTGCTTTCAGGATCTTGCAGCATGTGAGGATGTCAAAGACAATGAATCAACCCAATACATATAAGGCTTTTGCAGGGGTATAGCGTTCCTCTTGACACGACTAGAGTTCGCACGTCGGCCATTCAGGACCTGCAGAAGGTGGAGAACAATCATGCACGCCAACAACTCAAGGCGCTGCTCCTTCACGAATCACTACTGGGTTTCGATACGGCAGTCCTTCAACTATCTTGACCTGATCCGTGTCAATCTGCCATTCATGTACACCATATATTAACGCTCATCGTCCATTCCTCGCGGTCGTGTGGTACGCCACCATCCCTTTGTACCATTCTCCACCTTACCACAACGGACTCTATCCGCGCGAAACCGCAATGTTTTGCTCGCACGACCATCGCAACTATATGTGAAGCGCTCAGACTGGCGTACTTGCGTATAAGCGTAAGTAAACACACTGATGCTCCCGCAAGATAGCATTCACTGCTACTGTGCGCGCCTCGAGGTTGCCTTGTTGTCCGTCTCTGTGACACGCCAGAAGCTCGCGGGACGACGCGTTCGTGCACTCTCATGTTCCGATAGCCTCACTGATGATGTCTCCCACCAGTTCCGAAGACGACTATCATGAGTTTGGCGACCGCTATGCTATTGACGACATGAGCGACTATGGCCGATGGGAATCATCACAACAACTTCAGGTTAGCCCCGCTATCGTATGCACTGGGCATGTCATGTACTGATGAACGGGTACTCCAGATAAGACAGGCCTCGCGCTCTGTCACCTCGCCCATCTCCAGCCCAAGATACCTCGATCACGATTACACAAGCGAATGTCCATCGTCAAGTCCCGGAAATCATGCCCCACTTACCTATCGACCACGGAGATATGACAACTTCTACGAGGTTCCCTCGCCGAGAGAGCGAGATCAAATCGACCCAGTGGTGGGTGAACCGGAATGGCCTCCGCCTGGATGGGAAGAGGACGCTGTCATGAGCGCCCGGGAAGCACAGCGGTTCATATGCGATGGAGCCAATACCTTTAATGGAACGTTAGAAGATGTACCGAATGCACCATACCATTACAAGTTCTTCGCGACTATTGATAATGAGTGCCAGAGTCGATCAGATCGATCCGAGTTTGCTCATGCGTCGTTCAAGAACATATCCATGACTTTAGCAGGGTCTGCAGATACAGCGCCACCCACGGCATCGTTAGAACAGCCATGTATGGCACATTGCTTCGGGAGATTTCCTGGCACTACGACCCTCAATTATCGAGTGAGCAGCATGGGCACTCTTCAGCCTCCTTTGACCTTTAGGTCAAACACTTATCCGAAAAAGATCAGACTTCTGCATATCCTAGACCGTCTGCGGGAGCTCGAGAAAGGCCTCGAAGATGAAGTGCGTTCGGTACTAGGCCAGTTGTGTATTTACCTTTTAACAGTTTGATAGGACCCAGAAGAGTTGTACAAAACCTTATACGACGTGCTTATTGAGGATCCAGATCGACATACAAATCCACACTACGGGATGGAGCTACAGATTGCCGATCTAATCAATGTTCTCACGAACCCAGACTGGATAAATTTCTCTTTATCAAAAAACCAGGTCGTTGCTAAATTTTTCGATTCGCGGGACGCAAACAAGAGACAAAAGTTCTTTCATCAACTGCTGTTATCGGTTGAATTATATTTACGGATTGAGTCAAAACAACATGACATGGGTCCAAAACGCAGGGTTCTTCGTCAGCTTCCACCCAAAGTAGCTTGGGACATGGCTGTCGCACAGCGGTGGATGGAAAACATGGTCATCACTCGAGAGGCGAGTTCCTCGCATAGGAGCACTTTTAGCTACGACTACCCAAGCAAGACAAGGCAAAAGGAAGCACTGAGAAGGTTTGCTTCATTACTAAAATGGCCCAACATGGACGAAGTCGATTATATCCTGGAAGAGAAAGACAGTAAGGAGAAGCCTCTAGAAGACCGCTCGGCTGATGCAATGTCTTGGTTCTCTGGAGTCATTCTTCCAGGGCCAACCATGCCCTGGATTCTTATGAACACACTAATAGACTGCGACACGGTAGCCGGCGATGCCCTTAAAGTTCTCACACACATGTCTCCCTTCTCTGGGTTCCAATACCGAGCGAGCACTTATTGGTCATATCAGTGCATTGTAGGTAAAGTTCTCGGAGCTGCCAGGGGTGTCGGCCACGTAGCTGGATGGGTCGGACCTTGTGCATATGCACCTGACTTGCGCAGAACTGAGTGTGCTAGAGTCCGACAATACTCTTCACCAGAGCCCATAATGACCCCTAGAGATGTGGAGACCATAGCGGAACGTACTGATGCGCTTGGTCCAGAGTATGACCAATACCCAGTTGCCGACTATGACATTGCGACTCCGGATCTAGAGGACGTGACGGATGCCATCCGAATCGAGAAGCTTGTTTTCAATATTGTGGAAGACCAGTCTCGGTCTACTAAGGTGTCTAAGCATACCCCCTATACATGGGACGCTGCGCTACAATTTGCGTGTGGCTCGGAAAGTTGGAAGATGAGATTGAAGTATAATGTCGACTTCGTCACAGCTTTTCCGTGCCACAATGGACCACACGGTAAGGCAACCGCCCTCGGATGCAGCGACACGCTGATTTCAATTTTCTAGCGCTATTCAATGACTATAAGTACCATGCATTGAAAGTAGACCACGGACTTGTTGACATCCATGACTGGGCAGACCAGGCCCGAGGTTCGTATCAACCTGACCACCAATCGCCTACCAACGGCCCACCATTCAGCTCCCTGCAAAGAGACAGATCACGATCTCCCACCCAAGAGCCAGCTCATCGTCAGATCAACGAAGTCATGGCAATCGAAGCATTCGGCGTCAGCGACAATGAGGTTTTCGCTCGGTCTTGGTGTGCGCAATGGGGTCACAGCGCAATCATTGCAAATATCAAGGAGACTTGTCTAGCGTGCGCGATTCGGGAGGCTTATGCTGCGTGCATAAGCGTTGTCATTCTTACTGAGGGTGGTCGAGACCATGAGAGGGATCAAGGTGTTCATGTATGACTTGAGCTCTCCCGTAATTGTATGGAAACGTTGAGCACGTACATGTATACGAATTTGAGAGCCATGGACAGGAGTTAGTCCAAAAGCGCGGCGCTTGCAGTTTTACAATCATACATGGGAGACTCATGGGCCTGTACGACGGGACGGCAGTTCAATCGTTACAGAAGTGTAGTCCAAGTTTTATTGACTCCGCGACAGTTTCATTACATAAGAGATCCTAAAATAGAGAGGTGTGATTTTATGACTGCTACGTAAAGATGTTGAAATAATTTACCTCCATTAAATATCGTTAATGTTCATGGTTGGCCGAAGACAGGCCGATTGTTTGATCCCGGTCGACTTCCGTCATTGGTAGGAACGACGGACCTACTTGTTACTACTACTGCTAGATCTCTAACCTTCTTACTGTATGGCAATGACCGACAAATTCTTGATCTTGTCCACAAGCACACTCCAATCGCGTTTGCACGCCCCACAAACACATCGTATCGCATCTCCGAACTCACAAGCAGGTATTCAAGAGCTGTCACACAATCTCCGTGTGCCTCGGCCGACTGGACCAGAGCACAAACGGGTGTCCTTGCGTCTTGATCTCACGTATATGCTAGCGATCCTGCGTATACCCTCCCAGAACTACCATAAACCGAGTGTCATATATCAAGAATAAATCTCGCCTTCACAGCATGGTCCGCGCCGCGGCACCTTCCGCTCTTCACGAACTTCGCAATTCCACCAGCCCGGAAACACAAATCAATGCTCTCAAACAGCTCAAGAATGAAATAGTAGGCCATGATCAGCGCAAGGAACGTGTGATACGGCATGGAGGTGTTGCTGTATTGGCAGTGATACTTTCAAGGTCAATGACCAAAGGGACAGGTACATTAAGGATTGCAGATGGCAGCAAGTCACTGGCGGCAGGATCGAGAGGGACAGAACCAGATTGGAGCGAAAATGATGAGATCAGGCTACAAATCACTTTAATTATAGGAAGTCTAGCTCTAGCAGGACCGGCATATGTCCCGCCGCTGCTCAATGGGGGCGTTGTGGAACTTGTCATGGAGTTGCTGTCACCCTCGAAAAATCCGTCGAAGCTGGTTGCTGCGGCATTGCGGACTCTCAACGTCATCGCGGACGTTCTGTCCCTGGATCGACTAGTTGACACGTCTGATACTAGTAGCAGAGCGCGATTCCTATCTTGCCTGTACTCGTCGAAGAGCGTCATTGACAGCTTACATGAGCTGTTGTCAAGACAGTACAACACTCTGGTGACCAGGACCGAAGTTTCGCTCACAGCACAGCTGATTCACAAGACATGCTCGAAGGATGTTACCCAGCTTGCAGTAGTCAAGAGCTCGGTTATGGACTCATTAGCATTCCAACTTGCTACAAGGCTTTCAAATGTCAATGCAGCCCAGGATACTGTACTCGTACATTTGCTGGATGCTATTAGTACGGTCATGGGGCACTCAAACTACCGCAGAGCTAGATTTCTTTACTCAAACGCTATCAGTGGCCTCACACCAATCCTCAAATCCCCCTTTTCTGGATGCAGTACAAATGGCAACTCAGCCCCGGAACACGCTTCTCACACAGCTGTCACGCCCAAACCCATAAACCAGGATCAGCTAGGTATACCAAATATCCCCAGTACTCACTCTAAGCCCCCTGTTCACCCAGAACTTCTTTCGGATCCGGTGTTTGCAAGCATAGCGAAACCACACAGCAAGGATGACTTTGATAGACCCATTTTCACTTGGCTGTTGCACATTGCAAGACAAGGCCAGGGTTTGACCAGGCTTGCAGCCATAAAGGTGGTGGCATCATTAAGCCTGCTGCTCGAAGACTATCCTGCTTTAGTTACAGTGGATCACAAAGCACGAGAAAAGACCTTTTCTCTCCTCCTAATACCATTGGTGGTCAGAATGATAGAGGATGCCGATAATACAGTTCGTAAGCATAAGGGGCAACAGGATTTGGTCGAAGCCAGAAAAATTTTGCCGGACGCACTGCTTGTACTAGGCAGAATGATCTGTCACAGCCCAAGTCTGCAAAGAGCAGCGGTGGATGCGAAGTCGATTCCAATGATATGCGAGATTCTCAAGAATACATTTGATTCGATGCAGACAGTTACCAAGCCGATGTGGAGATCGGACCCCTCGGAGGGAGCCTCAGATGATCTTTCAGTAGATCCTACATCGTCGACATTGGGCGATACTGGTCTTTCTCTCGAGTTTAGCCATGCCCTGATGGTACGGTTGGCAGCTCTAGAGGCCTTGGCTTCCATTGCAAACAAAGAAGATGATTACAGGAAAGCCATCATCGAAGCTGGAGTAATGCCTTGTGTCACGAATGCTTTGGTCCCATTCCAGGATGGTCTTCCACCATCGACATTGAAAGTAGGTCCAAAAGACGGGAACCCTACGGCAGTGCTGATCAGCGCCTGCAAAACGGCGACAGCGATGTCGAGATCAGTGGGAATTCTTAGGACAAGCCTGATCGACTGCGGTATCGCAATGCCAATCATGAATCTTCTACAGCATTCGGACATCAATGTGCAGATTGCTGGCACGGAGGTACTCTGCAATCTCATGCTTTTTTTCAGTCCGATGCGAGATGTATGTTGCAGGCCCTCCTTGCGTGTAACGATCCACTAACGAGATGCGGCAGGGCCTTCTTCAGTCAGGGGCATTGAAAACACTCTGCCGAAACGCTCATTCAGCGAACAAGAAAATGCGACTTCTCTCGCTATGGGCTCTAAAGCATGCTGTTATGCAATCAGACGATGGAACCAAAATCCGTTGTCTCGATGAGCTTGGGACTGGCTGGTTAACTCAGGCTCTGACTGGTGATTCGAGCGACTCCGCAAACAGTGTTTCGGGTCACTCGAGGCTGAACACACAGCTAGGCATGGGTACTTCCAATGCCGCTGGCGAGCAAGTAGACATTTTGAACACTCCTGACGAGTCTTCGATGGATATCGACGACGACGACGAAGTTAGCTCAGATGGAGAGTCCGGTCGTCACTTTGGTGATCCTGCCAGATTAGATCCTAGCTCTCGTCTTCTGCCACCTCCTCGACAAATTCAGTTTGAGACCGAAGCGGAGCTTAAGAGGAGGCAGAGACTCATTAAAACCTATGAAATGGACCCGGCTGTTCGTGCTAGGAAAATTGAATTACAAATCCAGGCACAGGCACTCGACTTCATTCGAAATATTATCGGTGACGCCAAAGGCAATTATGAATTGATCGACCACATCCTTCAAACCATTACTCCAGGTCGATTTTTCGACATACTGACTGCCAAACTGCGTCCGCCATCATCTAATGCCTTATCGCTTGAAGTCAGCAAGTCGACTTCACAACGAGAGAACCTAGCCCCTCCGAACGAACAAACTCCTGAGATTCTTCTCTCAACTATCCAAGTACTCGTCCACATCGCCAACGGTCGCCCCTCCCAAAGATCCCTCCTCATTTCTCACAGCACCTTACTCACGCTGTTACTCCCATACTTCAGACACCCAAATCCTGAAATTCGGGTTGCGATGCTTTGGCTGAATAATAACCTCACGTGGTTAGACGACTCTGGTGAGGCATCCTCGGCGCGCCAACGCGCACTGGATCTGAGGAATGCAGGTTGGGAGAATGCGGTCAAGGGGCTCGTTGCAGATGGTATGGGCAATCTCGACTGCAAAGAGAGAGCTAAGACATGCATGCAGCAGTATCATGTACTTTTGAATGAGAATCGAGGGACCGAGAGTGTCATGGGACAAGGGCCTATGGAGAGAGGGCATAGAGGATTGGAGCATTCTAGACCGCGGTGGGGACAGGAGGGATCTTCGGGTGCCTGAGCCATGGGTATCATATTGTTGTTTGTTATTTGCATCAGAGGCGTCAGGCGCACCAGACGCATGTGGCATACACACCGCCCGAGTACTGGAGGATCACTATATACACTATTTTTTACACGCGAACACGAGATTGAGCAGGTAGATTAGGCTCAAGGAGCCTCCCATACTCGAATAGCCTCAGCAGACTACCATTATTTCGTCAAACGACCTAAAATATATATACCAAAGGCTCATAACCAGTCTTTTATTCGGAAGCTCCCTGACGGACGAGTTGTGCATCTAGCTCCCACAACGACTGTCAGCCCTTTTGAAAATAGTTAGCCAGCGTATTCTTCTGACCCGGCCCTGTATCCTTTGGACCCTTCTTCGCACTCCTACGATCCTCATCCACCTTCTTCTCCTTCATGCCCACCCTTAAAACTGCCATCAACTCCTCGAACTCCTGGATCCCCACAATGCCTCCACTCGCCTCCTTATGCCCACGTGCAAAACTCTCCCCCAATCGCTCCACAAGGCTCTCACCACCCTCGCTTGCGACCCTCTGCAATGTCTCGATGATATCCACTTTGTCCCACCCCTCCCGCCCCGCCGCGCACCGCGCAACACGACAGCTGAAATTCACTCTTCCGGGCAGGTAGCCCGTATTCGCAGCAAGGATAATCTCGAGCTTGGAACTTTTGAGAGTGCCAGCCCAGCGTGTGGCGATGACAGGGTGAATCTGGCATGGGCTGTGGATGCGGAAGACGGCGATCTTGGCGTCATGCGAGAACGACGGCGGCGAGCGGGCCCAGCGCTGCGTTTCGAGGGAGACTTCGGCGCGGGCGTCGAGGAGGCGGGCGCTCGAGAGGATGGGCGCCGGACCTGTGGCTGCGAGCAGGGCGGACCATGCGGAGAGCACGTCGTAGGTTGCGGTGCGGCGCGGGGCGTTGAGGAGCGGGATACATGCGTTCAGCGCGGATTTGGTGTGTGTTTTGGGGTCGAGGTGCGGAGAGAGGTCGGGGAAGGGGGGTTGCCATTTCAGGGAGCCTAGGTCGCCGTGGGTGCCGACGATGCAGAGCCAGGCTGTTTTGCGGGGGAGGGATGGATGCAGCGGGGCGCAGATGTGGTATGTTAGCAGCGAGGATGTGGCCACGGGTGGATAGGCGGAGCAGTTTATGTGTTCTGCGCCGGAGGGAAAAGAGGTGAGTGTGCTGTGGTGGTGGTCGATGACGAGGGCGTGGTGGGGGGTTGGGAGGAGTGCGGGCGATTCACGGGAGCCGTGGTCGAGGACGAATATGTATTTTGGGGTAGGAGAGATAGCGGACATTGCCTCTCGCTCGGATGCGTCGTGGATGGATGTGCCTTTGTTGAGGAGGTGGATGTTGATCAAGGAGGATGGGAGGCCAAGAGTTGTAAGGGTATGGTGGAGAATGCATCCAGATGAGAGGCCGTCAGCATCCTTATCAGGAACGATGAGAGTTGGGAGTTGGGCGGAAACACACGCCATGATGAATGTACGAGCGGATTCAATGTCTGAAGCCGGAGCGGGCCATATTATTCCGCCATCGGGGGCAGTGACCGAGGGTGTCGATTCGTAGGATTTGACGTCAGTTTTCGATTTCTTGGGAGAAGCTTTGTCTGCAGAGGATGGTGCTTTGCGTTTTGTGCCGGCCATAATCGCTTTTACTTGTTCAGCTTGTTTGACTGTTTTCACTTTGTTTTCCGGCTGAGACTTCTCGACTGGTATCCGCGACTTGGCTAATTTGGTCGTTGCAGTTTTTTTGATGATGGACTTCTCTGCTCTCCTCTGAACAGGCTGAAGCTGGGCCGACCTCGATGATGTGAATGACTTAGGTGACTTGAACGATTTGGTTGGTGTGACAGACTGAGCTTTTGGCTTTTCTGCTTTTGTGAGTGGCTTCGACACAGTCGATTTGTATCGTCTCGATTGCGCTAAGTAAGCCGATTTACAGCTAATCCTAGCTTTTGAGGGCAATCTAAGCGTTGCTTGATATCGCGTTGCATTACCACAGTGGTATAACAGCTCAGAAGCATGCGAGAGTTCTAGGTAAACTGGCATAAGTCTCAACCGGGTTCAGAAGATGAAGTTCTATGTAATGAGTAGTAAATGATCGACAAAGTGATGCTACGGCTCCAGGTAAGAAGTAAGGGAAGTTGAACAGGAGACATCAATGACATCATGTGATTGTGCTTAGTCCGAAAACAGACTATAGCGAAGTAGTGCACCAATCGGGTTGGAAGGGCTGATTACCTGTATTGCTGCAACAGCAGTGTCACGGCAAACATCTTACTTGTAGGCAAATCGCTCTAATATACATAGCATTGGAGGATTGGGTTGAGAGATTCTGCAGTCATTGCAACCTTGGCTCGAAAGAATGTCGCATGCCAGCGTTGTTGACCTTGCTTCACAGATCATCAACGCTTGATGTTCACATTTCGAACTCTGCCTTTTCTGATGGACCAATACAAGTCGCCTTCCCCGAGGTCTGACTCCCATCTCCCGCCAGGGCCGAGATCCTTCGCGCTCTGCTCGTTGCCCATAAGCTGTTCTATGATCCATTCGCGTACAGCTTGCTTGCCGTGTAACTCTAGATTTGTATCGTCATTTGTGTGCAATTGCAGCGATTCAGGCAGTTCTGGAACTTCAATGGTCAAACGTTTCTTGCCATTGACTGAAACAACGAGCGTCGAGGTCTGAGGTCTGAGAGTCCTCAAAGCATGCGGGTCAACTACCGGAAATGGTTGTTCGAGGACAGAAGATGGAGGGTTTGTCATCCCCGAATGCAGGTTTTCCCAGCATTCCTCTGCAAATGCTGGTGTAATGGGCGCCATCAGATGAACAAGTACAGCTGTTGAGGCGTATTGTGTGTACTTGGAACAGCGTTGAGCGTGCTGGGCGATTTCATTGGTCAGTTTGATCAGATCTGAAACAACTGTATTCAAGCTGTAGTCTGTTTCCAGCGATTGTGTGACTGAAGCGATCGTTTCCTGTGTGAGCAGCCATAGAGCAGCGTCGCTGCCATGCAATGCTTGTAGGGTAAACTCATTGAGTGAGATGACGCTATCGCTCGGTTGACAGAGTCGCCAGAGCTTGCGGAACCAGCGCTGAATGCCCACAATACGTTGAGGTTCCCACTCAAGCACTTCGCTCACTGGAGCCGCAAACAACATGTGAGCACGTGTTGCGTCCGCGCCAAACTCTGCAATGCATCCTGCTGGATCGACACCATTATGTTTACTTTTCGACATCTTTTCAAAAGATATGTTGGGCGTAATCCCGCTACTTCGAATCTTCGGACTTTCGCCATTGCACGTATCTACCTCTGAGGGGTGCAAAAACTTACCAGTTGACGGATCTGAGAATGTTTTTCCATGAACCATACCTTGACTTATAAGTCGCTTGAATGGCTCCCCGTTATTGTCATTCCGGTTTCCACGAGGCCATAGAGTCGTAGTGGCAAGGAACTTCGCGATGAAACGGGCATACAGTAGATGTAAGATTGCGTGCTCAACACCACCGATGTATATATCGACCGGCATGATTGCATCGGCGATCTCAGGAATCATGGGGACATCTGCAGATCTTGGTGTGAGATAGCGGAACATGTACCAAGACGAGTCCATGAAGGTGTCCATCGTGTCAGTCTCGCGCTTTGCAGGCCCGAGACATTTCGGGCAAGAGGTCTCGAGCCAATCCGGTATGTGATCCAGTGGATTGCCTCCTTTACCTGTGAGCTGACCAGGCCTGAGCTTGGGCAGCTCAACAGGCAGATCCGAGTCGGGGACAGGAACGACACCGCAAGTATCACAATGTACCATTGGTATGGGGCAGCCCCAGTACCTTTGCCGACTGATGAGCCAGTCTCTCAGACGCCAGTTCTCTGTTTTGAACGATTTTGCATCAGCGCTGAGAGATCCCAGAATTGTACAGAGCGCATCGATCGCTTGATTCGACTGCATTCCGGCGAATGAACCGCACGAGTCACCGAGGATGCCTTTCTTTGTGAAGGGCTCGGGAGATCCATCGGCTAGTCCGGAATGTGCTTCTTCGGTAAGACAATCTGCGTCAGAGCTTGCAGGATATATCACAAGTTTTATCGGTTGGTCAGTGTTCTCCCGCCAGAAGTCGAAATCGCGCTTGTCATGTCCGGGAACTCCCATGACTGCCCCAGATCCATAATCGTCAATCACATAGGGTGCTACGAATATCGGTATGGCCTGATCTTTCAAAGCAGGCTCAAGTACAGATACGGGATTCTCTGCGTATAAGTTCGGCAGCCGAAATCCAGATTTAGAATCGGGAGTGAGGTTATGTGCAGCTTCGACGAAACACCGGAGCTCCCGGTTCTTCTCTTTCTCTCGTTTGACAAGAGGATGATTTAAAGAGAGAGCTAGATACTGAACCCCGAAGACAGTGTCTAGCCTGGTCGTAAAGACCTCGGCCTGGTGTACTGCATGTTCGTGTTTAGAATGAATTCTGAAGTTGAGCCTTGCTCCCTGAGACCGTCCGATCCAAGCTCGTTGTTGAGAGAGTACTCGAGCCGGCCAATTACCTGTTTCCTGCATTGATGTTAGATTATCGACCAAGGACTCCTGGAAGGCCTTAATACGCAGAAACCACTGTGAAAGACAGCGCTTCTCCACTTTGGCGCCGGACCGCCACGATAAGCCGTTGGCGTCCACCTGCTCATTTGCAAGGACTGTACCATCGACAGGGTCGAAATTAACCCATGATTTCGCTCGGTATGCTAATCCGCTCTCGTAAAGCATCAAAAATAGCTTTTGTGTATGTTTGTAGAATGACGGATCGCATGTCGTGATCTCCTGTGCCTCTAATCAGTAACGCCATAGTCTCATCGCAGATCCTGATTCATACTCTTTCCCAGTTGAATGAAGTTCCCATCGCCTTGAGCTGCTCCTTCATCTTCGCAATGTTCGAGCGAGTCCATTCAGCTGGGTCAACCCCTCTTTCTATCGCAGCATTTTCTGCCGGTAAGCCAAAAGCATCCCATCCCATAGGATGTATCACATCGTAACCCCTCATGCGCTTGTACCGCGCAATAACATCCGATATAGTGTAGACTCGCAAATGGCCGAGGTGGAGTGTGCCCGAGGGATATGGGAACATAGGAAGAATGTATGCCGTTTTCTTCCGGCTATCGCGGGTGGCGCCAACTCGAAGCGAAGACGTCTGGCCTTGCTGCGCCCATCGTTTCTGCCATTTCGAATCGATGGCGGCGAAGTCGAGGCGAGGAAGGCTTGCAGCTTGGGAACTGTGAGACCTTGCGATGCTATTGATCCGAGTTCGCTGTGAAGACCAGCCGCGGTATCTGGCAATGGATTGAACGAGCTGCATCAGCAGACAAGCGCATGGTAAAACAGCTTAGTCGAAGGAGTGACGCGTAGGTAGCGATTCGTCGCGTCCGAAGCTTTCGGAAGTCCGCAGTTCTCAAGATCTTAATGGATGCCGAATAAAACCCGCTCCGCACCTCTACCACCCGTTCACCATCGCATATTTCCCCTTCAATCCCCACCCCTCGAGGCAATGATCGCACGGAGTCGATGTTCCTTCCAGAGGGTACCGAAATCATGTCTTTCGGCATCAGCGTATCGGAGAGTCACCAGTGGGCGCGTGCGGATCAATGTTCCCTCAGCGTATCCGGTAGTTGAGAACTGTCCTGTGAACACATGCGAATGCAGAGCAATGCCCAGTGGGCTAGACATCGATCAGGAAAAGCCTTTAGGTGGGACTATGCCCGGCTACTCCGAGCAAATTCTTATCTCAACCGGTACAAACGAATGGGGAAGCCGCATAGAAGAAGATGAGAACGCCTCGTTCATCAGGGACCTTAAGAGCTTCCTCACCAGAGGTGGAAAGTATATGGATGTACGTAACCTATAGTATACAGTACAATTAATAGTAAGCACCGATACTGATCAAATTGTAGCCCTTCCATAACGTTATGGTCACGAACTCCTCTCTACCAGCTGATTCAGTTGAGTCATCGTCCGCATCAGCGTATCTTTTGCCCAGCTTCAAGTACGTCTCGCGCATTCCCGTGAATAGAACTTCAGTTGAGACGTTCTTGAAAGGGTTCGTTTTACCGGAGCAACTACACGAAATGCATAAAGCCCTTACTATAGAACAAAAAGCCGCGCTTAGGAGAGATAGTTCGTTGCAGGAAACATTCTTTGTAAGAGATGTGGATGAGATTCTGATTTTAATCTGCGGGCACGGCAAGCGTGACCAACGCTGCGGAATCCTTGGACCACTACTACAAAATGAGTTCAAAGATCAAATGCGTGCGAGTGGGTTTGATGTGCTTGAAACGGTAGCACACCAGGACCCAGTCGCGAGAACAAAGTCAGCTCTCCCACCTGTACGTGTCGGCATGATCAGTCACATCGGTGGGCATAAGTATGCCGGAAATGTCGTCATATACATACCGCCAAGCTGGCAGGCAAATGGTCTCCGAGGCAAGGGCTTATGGTACGGGCGTGTGACGCCGTATCATGTTGAGGGAATCATCAAGGCGTCTATCATGGAAGGTAAGATTATCAAGGAACTTTTCAGGGGTGGTATCACCGAGCAAAGAGCAATTTTGAGACTATAACAATGTTAGACTAATTACTTGCACATATATCAGTCGAGTGTAGTGAGACTTAGTGAGACTTAGTGAGGTGTCTACTCATGTGTCTACTGATCAGACGTTTCTCAGATCATGATATCATTGGGCAACCTGAGGTAAAAGTCTTGGCGATGGAGCTTGGGCCTCCAGACTAGGTACCTATTTGACGCTCGACTTCGCTGGGCAGCAACAAAGAAAGCATCGTACTACTGCGAGACTTACCGTCGCGACTCACGAATGACGGTCCGAATGGTCCAAAACTCTCTTTTTATGCGAATACGACCGCGATATCTTGTTGCCATCGGGACGTCCATTGCCGGTATTTCCGGGTATCAATTGTACTGCAAAGACAATCACGCATCTCTGAATCCGGCCACATTCACACCTTTCTCAATAGAGTCTCGCGAACGAGTGTCTACAGCTAGCAAAGTCTTTACTATCGGACAAGATGCCCTATCGAACACCAACGTATTATCCGATATCTGGGGGAGGGCTATTTGGAGCATAGAAGTCAAGCAACCCCAGCTTCAGATCGCTCGGTCTTATACACCACTACCCCCCTCAGATGATGTATCCAATCCGGAGAAGCAGATTCGTCTGCTCATAAAGCAAGAGAAGGGCGGGGAGATGTCAACGTACCTACATAAACTTCCAGAATGCGCTACAATTGAGATACGTGGACCACATGTCGAATGTGTGATACCTGAGAATACGAAAGAAGTTATTTTTCTTGCCGGAGGAACTGGCATTGCTCCTGCACTGCAGGTTGCTCGGGTACTTCGGCAAAGGCCAGGTTCACATGTCTGCATTCTGTGGGCAAATAGAACTATGGAGGAATGTGCGGGTGCGTCTATTGAAGATGAATCAAAATCTTCAAGCTGGACAAACTGGCTAGGCTTGAACTCAACAGTGCGCACATTTGAGGCATCAACGCCCATTACGCGGCAGGGTCCCATTGTGAAACTGCTGGAAGGTTTTCGTTCAGAAATGCCTCAGTCGGAGGCGTCTACTTGCACCATTAAATATTACGTTGACGAAAAGCAAAAGTTCATAAAGCCTGCAGACATTGTGCAGCAGCTACAAGATTCACAGTCTATTGGCGTCAATACAGGGGCGAAGATCATCTTCGTCTCTGGGCCTGATGGATTTGTGAACTACTGGGCTGGGAACAAACTATGGATTGATGGGCAAGAAACACAAGGACCACTTGGAGGAGTACTCTCTCGATTGGATCTTCAAGGATGGAGCGTCTGGAAATTATGAAACAGACAGTGATGAAATGCGTCACAGGGTTTTTTTGTTACATGCTCACCTTATCTCGATTTGACTCAACGATAATAGTCGGGCCGTATGGTGCATTGCATAAGCGTCGCCCAGTATGCCAAATCTGGAGCCTAAGCGAGAGGCGCAAAGACCACTAACAAAACAAGGGAACGCGCTGCGCAACTACTGTCGACTTCCAGCCCGGTATTTAAGTTGTGTTGTCGAAGCCTCCGACACCGTCATAAGTTCATATGCTTCTTGCCGGCCGCAATTACCGCACACTGATTTTCGGCGGTCACGTCGGCCTCGGCATCCATGTCCAGTGGGTATCATGATTAAGCAAAAGCGGAACTATCCCGACTGGACTTTATCTTATGAAATGCACGCTTGATAATGTATGGGATATACCTGTGCCACCCTCTTCTTCTGGTGTCTTATATCGTCCCAGTATACTCCATCTTGGCAGTTCATATCTTCGTGAAACACGACAACAATGGAAGATGCTGAAAAATCAATGCCTGAGGCACCAGTCACATCGGCGGACGAGATGCCAGACCCAAATCAGCGACCGGACTGCTTTAGATCTACCGTTGAGGAGACGTTGTTTGTCTTGACTGCCACCATGGCCGTTAGCATGACAAGTTTCCTACAAGGCTTGGTCATAGTAATATCATCGTTCGCCGGAGCCGATCTTGACATGTCAACAGCTCAAATTACCTGGATCACAGCATCCTCATCGTGAGATTCCCAGATCTTTCTGCCCTCGGTTTTAATATATTGCAGGCTTACCTCAGGAGCATTTCTGCTTTTTTTCGGCAAGGTCGCAGATATGTTTGGACGCCGGGCAATGTTTATCGGCAGTCTATTCCTGTTCGCCATCTTCGCACTCGTTACTGGGTTCTCGAAGAGCGCTATGGCACTAGATGTCTTGAACGGTGTACTTGGGCTTATATCTGCCGCTGCCGTACCTCCGGCGCAAGGTATCCTCGGAAATGTATACGAGAAGCCGTCGAAACGCAAGAACTATGCCTTCGCCTGTTTCAGCGCTGGTAACCCCCTTGGTTTTGTATTTGGCTCGATCTTCTCTGGTATTGCTACGCAATTGTTCGACTGGCGGGCTTCGTTCTTCCTACTTGCAATAATCTACTTGGTGTTCAGCGTAATTGCCGTCTTTACGGTCCCAACCGATAACACCTCAAAGCTACCGTTCACTGTTGAGTCCCTGAAGAAGTTCGATGTTGTCGGGACTGCATTGACCGTTGGTGGCATCGGCTTGTTCTCAACCGCACTTAGGTGAGTAGCTTATTTCTATACTCCGAACACTCTGACTGTCTGACAGCCTGGGTGGTGATGCTGTAAACGGGTGGACCACACCATACGTACTGGCATTCCTGTTCATCGGTGCTCTCCTCCTTGTTGGCTTCGTCTTTTGGGAACTATACTACGAATATCCACTTGTTCCGATGGGAATATGGAAGGACAGAGAGTTCTCACTGGTAAGAATACAAGGAATTCTAGAATTAAAAGGCCGCTGACTTCCATAATAGTTGATGGGTATCCTCCTGCTCGGCTTCCTCGCCTTTCCACCCATGGACTTCTGGCTCGCACTGTACATGCAGCGCGTAGAAGGATACTCCGCTCTGCAGACTGCTGTCCACTTTCTACCTATGGCTATCAGTGGGACTTTAGTCAATATTGTAGCAGGTCTTATCTTACACAAAGTGTCAAACAAGTTCCTCATGGGGCTTGGTGCTGCGTCGTACACAGTGGCATTCCTGCTACTCGCTGTGCACCGCCATGGGAATTCGTATTGGGCATTCATATTCCCTGCTTTGATACTGGTTGTGTGGGGCGCAGACTTCGAGTTCAATGTGGCAAATGTTAGCCATCATGCACAAAGGAGAGAGACTTCAATACCATGCTAATCTTGTGATACAGATGTATGTCATATCATCGCTCGACAAGTCGCAACAGTCTATCGGTGGATCGATCTTTCAGACCACAGCCAAGCTCTGCGTGACTGTCGGTGTAGGCATTTCGACTGCCATCTTCAATGCAGTCTCGGAATCGCCATCTAAGAGTGGGTACTATGCTAACAATCCGTATGAGCCGTATGCTGCTGTTGCCTGGTACTGTATGGGCTGTGCTGTCATCAGTGTGCTGCTTGTGCCATTCTTGAGAATCAAGACTCAGGGATAGTCGTGTAATATAGAGCAGGAAGACCGTTCGTTAAAGCAGGGCATACTTCACCTAGAAACAAATTCAATGGTTTGCTATGATTTCGTGTGCCGTGACATCCTGCTAACTGACCAGCGTGTCTCGCTGTGTGTGCACAGGAATATATTGGCCTTGTCCGTTATTAGTATCTATAAAGGAGCGACGCTTTTCGATGCTCAGGCTCAGTCCATCAAGATACGTTCTTATCCTCCACAGACATAAAAACAAACACAGAACACTCAACATGGAGCAGAACCGTGATCAAGACACATACTCGTACAGCGAAACAGATCCAATAAACATCAAAGCTATGATAGATGAATCACATCTCTATGAGGTGTACAAGTTGCACACAGAGATCTCATTGAAAGCCAAAATGACTCTTTCGGTTCTAATGAAAGACAAGAATGCCGAATGTTCTGAGCAACATGAGCAAAACTATCATCTCATGGATATCTACGATGGACGTCTAAAAGATCTATTCTCAAGTCTTGAGGATATTGATAACAACAAGTGTCACTTGCAGCGAACCAAAGTAGGGATTGCAGTTCATGGCATGGTAAAGTCTCTCATGACACGTTTTTCCGGTAAGACTCCACGGATGTACTCTCCCTTGAAGCTGATGAATTACTCTACAGTCATCCAAGTCCACCGGTCTGAAGAATTCGAGCGGGATTACGGAGGCGATAAGATCAGTGACATGCTCAAGAACGCCGGGATAATCCGGGACTTCAGTGCTACCCTTCAGAAATTGTTAGAAACGCACGTCTACAAAGATAATTCCGAGTGGAGTCACTCAGTTACAGATAGTTACAAAAAGATCGTCTCTATGTTCAAGGGGCTGTCTGGGAGAGACGACGTAACCTTTAGTGGATCTGGAGAGCGTTTTGAAGAGAATTTCAAAGAGGATTCTGAGGAGGATTTTGAAGAGGATTTTGAAGAGAATTTTGAAGAGGATTTTGAAGAGGAGTCTGACGAAGGGCTCTGGATGAAGAGTTGATGTATTGAGGTGATGGACAGTAAGGTTAGCGCTCGATGCGCGAAGCTCAAGATCAGCTCACAAAATGTCCTCGCTGAGATTATTCCTCGTGTATTGCCTTCCCAGGCCGAGCAGTCAAGCGTAATTCCACCAGGTATACATCCACAGTAGACTAGAATACTACCTCCTTACTACCTCCCGCACACATCTACCAGGATGAAAGACCCTAGAGAAGATTTATAAACACTCGCGTAGCATTCATTCATGGTCCAAAATCTGAGAGATAGATTGCGATAAAGTGAATAATAATATGGGAAACCATCTATATGTGTCTAGAGAGTATATTCATAGACTGACACCTCATAGCACCGAGACCCAGTTTTTTTTAAAAGAAAAAAGGTTTATAACTAACACGCACCAAGCTTTATGACATATCTGTCATGCTTTATATAGGGTGGGATGATTTCTGTGTGAATTATCAATCTAGGAACACTGATTCATTCCCCCATAAATATACCCTTGTCTGTCTATCACCCGACACGAGGCACATATATGATAGACTTTATTAGATCTGGCTAATGAGGTCTTAGAGTCATATCCGATATGATACTTTTCTGTTCAGAGAGCGTCCTCTCAAGAGAGACATGTTCGCTGCTTCTTTCACAATATCGTTGCCACATTAGCGTATCACTCGAATTGCATGCTTACTTTCTAGCATCTCAAATCAGTCTCGCTCAGGAAGTAGGTGACATGTACGTAGGTCTTCCCACTTGGCCGGCGCGGTAATATATCAGTGGATAGACTTGGTGTAATGACTTTGGCGGCCTAAACGCACCCCTATATAATCTTTCATTGACGATCAACCGTGGCAGTATGACGCTAGTTAGTACATACTACGTATACCATTTCTCCATCTTATCAGAGATTATAGCATCACCGGGCAGTGTTTTGGTCTCAAAATTAGACATATCCCTACTGCGTATAGCAAGGGGTTATGTTGTCGCACTATTTTGGCACCAACGACACAGAGTCTAATGCCGATTTTCTTAGTTTCCATTTCTCTTCAACACGTTTCCCCAGTCCAAGCGTGCGCAAGACATGTGCCAGGTAGCTGGATTCGAACACAATAGATTCGCGAAAACTGTCTTCGGTTGTATCTCCTTCTTTTCGGTCCAGGTGTTCTTGATACTGATCCACGCAATCTTTTATATTACGGTTACTTACGTCAACATAAATGGCAAACTTCTCGAATTCTCGTGAGTACTCTCGAGTTTTGGTCCCAAATACTAGAAGAGTCAGCGTGAAGTCCTCGTCAGATCTATACCGGTACAGAGAGTCTCTTGCCTCCATAGTATGACAACCCCATCGATCGCATTGCATTCCACAATTCTTTCAGGTTCACAGGCAGCGCCTGGGGATTCTCGGCCAGCTTCAGCCGATACTTCTTATCCTGAAAGGCCTGAGTTATCACCCTGGAAGCTACTAGAAAGTGCTCTGCCTCTAGTATAAAATCTTGGGCATCCTTGGCCTCTTGGGGGAGAGTGGCCTGTCTTTCTTCACTCGGATCAGGCGCCCGTTTTTTCCACTCTTTGATCGCGGCCTCGGCACTCAGTTCAGCGAACAGCGTCGTGCGAAGAATATCTATTTCGAAGAATACATAGTTGAAGAGATCATCACCACTCAGGCTTTCGAGATCAGTCGTATTGAGCTTCACGTCGGGAACAACGGTTTTTCTTGAGGATCCAGAAGGAGCCATAATTGAAACGGAGCTTGAGATAAAAGGAGCCTTCGTAAAGTAGCTTTTGGTGAAATTTCAAGTCAGTGTTAGCCTGTGTCGATGGAGGTTAGAAGTAGAATGCGAATAATTTGGAAGCAAGACTCCTTTATATATATGGAGCTCACTGAGCTGTGTCCGAATCTTCACTGAACCCTAGCAAAACGATTATATGGCCGTACCTTTTAACCTCGCTTATATTCCACCTTCACTGTTCTGGGTTGTTCATGCTTAGTCTACTTGGTTTCTGTTCTTTGACCTCCGCTTTATCTGCTTTGACTGCCTAGCTCAAAGGGTCCCTGTGATATTCTTTGAAAGAACTTTCTAGCACGGAGTTATGGCTAAAAAGTCGTGTATTTCAGTCATGAGACTCATTCACCTTTCTCTCCAAGTGCATTTCAGTTCTCTCAATATATTCAATGTGGATCATATGTCCACTAACAAACCAATGAGACATAGAGATTTCCCTCATTCACACCCATCGATTACCATTAAAAAGCCAAAACTAAGAGGAACTCCATTAACAGTGCAGTTAGATTTCTTCATAATATTCCAAAGCGATCACAGAACAACTCTTGATGGGTTGCATGAGCTCTTAGTTAGGTTCATATTGTGTAGATGATTCGAAACCAGAACCATAGAACATAACACAAGTAAGGTTCCAATGCCAAACTTGCTTGAACGCTATGAAGAGCCTGCCCATCATATACTCTGTATCACCGCCTTTGTGCTTGTTTTGAGACCTGTATCCATACCAGACAGTCAGTTGACATCCCGCATAATATGAGTCTTGTTAAGCAAGTGTATATCAAACCTCAATAGAACTCAAGCGTTGACTTGGATCCCTTCTAAGCCATGTCAATAGATTTGGGTGCAAATTTAATGCATTCCAACCTCACAAAGAATGTTACCTACTTATCTGCCACCGAGCTTGTTCTTTCTTTGTTCTAGGATCTGGTTCGTTCTTACTGGCTAGACATCATGCATCAACGACCTTTTGGATATTAAACTTGCGTCATGTAAAGTTTGTTCTAGATGTAACGTAAGTCCCAAACATGTATTTTCAGCACCGCCACGAATAATTCACCTTGTTAGCACTCTTGAAGTCATCTGTGAACCCGTATCCTGCCAACATGAAGTGCCTCGTCTGTCAAAACTCAAGAGATCGGATACAGGGACTCCAATATTCATGTGAAGCACTTTAGGGCTCTATCCTAAGATGAAGGTAACAATATGGAGGCTCAGCTTCCTCGCATATACCGCCCTTGCTTAGGCATGGTGGCTTTACTCGGGTCTTGTGTTACCAGAGTGAGGCAAAGGACAGACCTTGCCTCGATGAGTCACTATTGGACTTGTCCATCGTCTTTCACCCACAAGTCTTTTATTATAACTCTATCACCATACAAACCCACAAATTGTACAGTAGTTCAAATCTGGAATGAAGTCTAAAATAGCGAGCATGGCTGCACGCTACTCGGAGGATCTAGAATTTGAAGTTGATACAAGCATCGGAGGTCATGAAATCGTGGACGTGCTTCGGAATCGCTCAAGGAAATCGCTCCACATTCGGGCGGTACTACCCATGCTTCAGCTAACTGGTGAGTATGTAAACTGTTGAAAAACTAAACATTCGGTCGTGCATCACGGAAATGAAAGGTTATAATTGTGAGATATGAATAAAATCAGCAGTGTAAGTCTAGAGGTGAGAAAAGAACATGTATCGATTCATACCATACTAATACATGGCGCTGGATTCATGATGCCTGAACGCTACGAGGACAAAGACGTGGAACAGGCATATTGTGTTGACTCTGCTTCCAAAACTTAACCATATACTTTCTTTGTTCGGTTGAAGAGAATTTGGACCTTTGGTATGGTGTTACAAAGTCAAGTCCTCTGTGCAACAAGGCGATTGTTGTAGGTGAGCGACAGCAATGAGTTAAAACTTCGATCTTGACGTTTGATATATCAGTTTCTAATAATTACTGAATGAAGTAAGTGTTCGAGTACGTTTGACAATACTTTACTTGTTCGTCTCTCTCTTGCCTATCTGCGTCTAGATAGAAGCACGGAAGCGTTTTGGCCCCCACATCATACGATCCATCGTCAGCGCACCTACCAGGCTGTGAACAACTGATCAGCCCCTAGTAGTGGAAAGTGGATCGCAGGATTACAGCCACATATATACCAAGCATGGCTCCCACATTTCCTCTTTCGCGAACTCATTGATACTATCTAGGATAACAATGGGTGCCCCCGATGCCGACCCGACCCTCACCATTCCCTCAATCACCCAACCGAATCCTCGCTCGACACCGAAGCCTGGCCTAATAATCATCCATGCCGGTCTCTATCGCACCGGCACCGCTTCCATGGCCGCCGCATACCGCATCCTTGGACTTCATGCTCATCACGGCCTCGACGACGTGCCCGGCAACAACTGGCTCGGCATCGAACACGCCGCTGAAGCCACTTTCCCACACATCGCCACATCGCCGCGACCCAAATATACCCGTGCGGACTGGGACAAGCTGTTTGGCGCATACGACGTCGTCACGGACCTGGCCAGCGTGTTCGTGCCCGAGATGATCGCGGCGTATCCGGAGGCGAAAGTTGTGGTTGTACAGAGGGAATTTGATTCGTGGTGGGAGAGCTTTGCGAGCGAAGTCCTGAGCCACTTCCGGCGGCCCGAGGCGTGGATTGTAGGCGTGGCGACGTGGTGGTTATTGGGGGACCGCGCGATCAAGTGTATGTCGAAATTGATTCCTGGATTTTTCGGCGTAGCGCATTCACGGGACGTCGATATTGACATCGCGAGGACGAAGTACGATGAGTACTATAGATTCGTGCGGGAGAGGGTGCCGAAGGAAAATAGGCTAGAGTATAAAATGGGAGATGGGTGGGAGCCGCTGTGTGCGTTTCTAGGGAAAGATGTACCAAAGGGAGTGGCGTTTCCACGGATTAATGATCGGATAGAGCATGCGAAGGGCTCGAACGAGAGGCTGGCGGAAGTTATGAGTGATCTTTGGAAGGTTGGTGGGCCAGTGTTGGTGGGGATTCTTGCCACTGGGGGATACTTTGTGTGGAAACGATTGCTATAAGGGGAAATGGTGTCTCAATAGAACGAGTACAGTAAGGGGGGTATAATGTTACGATAGAACGATTTTCGGTCAAATGTACTGACGTGCAAAGATCTAATTAGAATAACAACGCATTCAGATATGAAGATAGCATCCGAACGTGGGAATCGAGAGGCTTGGAGGACTGATGGGAAACCTCCGGAGAATGCGATATTGCACTCTATATAGTACATAACTTCCAGTAGAGTCTTGAAAGCCTATGACGAATCGTGTACGCCCATCAAAATCAAACGCCCTGAGATAAAATGCTAATACAGTATTATTTTGCGGCCATGACGTCGACATAGCGACCGCCACGCTTACCCTTCTTGACCGTACCTCCTTTCCTAGCTTGCGGTGCCCCAAGGAGGTCGTCGATCGAGCTTGCATTGCTCATAGACGTGTTGGGTCGAGACGGTGGTCCCGATGGTGGTCCGTTGCTCAAATGCGGTGGCAATAGAGGCGGGGCAGATGCACCGCCATCAACAGAAGCGGTGGACGCAGGTGTACCAACACGTGAAGGTGGTCCTGAGGGAGGACCACCCATTGGCATCGATGTAGGAGGTCGAGTTGGAGGGCCAGATGATATAGGTGGACCAGCACCACTTGGAGCGCGTGAGGGAGGGCCTCGTGGAGGTGGAGGAGTGGGTGCAGAAGGCGTTGCGGCAGCGGACCCTCCCTTCTTGTTGACCCATTTCTTGAGCTCGGTGTCATAAACGAACGAGCTCTCTTCACCGAGTTTGGCTTTGATTGGACCTGGCCCAGCATTCGGGTCTTTCTTGAACCATCCTCCAAACCACCCTTTGCCTCCGTCTTGACCCTTGGATTTGGCAGCTATTAACGTGTCAGTGAGCACTTGAGATAATCGACGAGAGGCACTCACCATCAGCTTCAGCAGCACGCTTGAAATTTTCCTCAGCCTCTTTGTCTGCTTGTGCTCGCTGTTGCTTCTTCAAGGCTTCTGCTTGCTTCAACATTTGGTCGTCATCGTCGTCATCCATGAATGATTTTTTCTTTTTTTCAGTGGAAGTTTCCTGCTCTAGCTCGGGCTCTGGTTCGTACGGCTGATATGACGGAGGCTCATAAGAGCCCATACTAGGTGGCTCATACGCGCTTGGTACGCTGTTCGTCGGCTGGCTATGCGAAGTAATAGCCTGATCGAACGTAACTGGCACTGTCTCCTCCGTGGCAGCATTGTGACTGTCAGGCGGGACATTCGACTGATATGAACTGGTACCGTAAGGTGAATAGCCGTTGGATGGCTCTTGTACTGGCGGATTGTACTCAGTGTGCGACTTAGACGGCTGTGAAGTAGGAGCTTGTGAGGTGTTGGGAGTGGGGTTATAAGAGGGCGCATAAGGATTTGGAGCGGACGACGAAGTGTAAGAGCTTGCTTCCTGCGGCATGTACTGAGAATGTGGCTGTTCAAAGGATTGCTGGGGAGTATAGACAGCACCAGGGGCATATCGAGACGATGGAGCCTGAGGGCTGAAACCGGGAGCAGGGCTAGTGACAGAGCCATTTCCGCGATACTGACCGTACAAGTCTGCGCTCGATTGAGTTGGACTGATCGTAGGTGTGTTCCCAGCGATTCTCGCGAAGGGACCTACATCGGCTCCACCTGATTGATTGGAGGCGGCATCGCTATCATCGCCAGCAACAAAGCTATTAAACTTGGCGAGGAAACTACCAGACACCTTCTCCATGCTTGGCTTGGAAATCCACGAAGACGAGCCGTCCTTTGGCGCTTGGGACAGACGTTTGGTAAGATCATCCAGATGGGAGAGGAAAGTTGCGTTGTAGTACGGTGAGCCCCGAGTCGACGACTTGACCACTGCCGCGATATGATCACAGTAGGATATGGAGTTGCTCCGCTGGCCGTACTCTGCTAGCGCATAGGCGTGCACAAGCTTGTATGGTTGTAGATGTGGCAAACTTGCTGTCGTTGATGACAATGATAGCCCGTATTCGTAGACTTCTGTTAGTATTATGGCATCCAAGTCTTGTGCAATGTCGTTTGCATTTCTATGGTCGGCGCCGAACAAGACAATGTCTGCTTGTGGATCGTCGGTGCCTCCGAAATGCGCCATCGACCTGGCAAATAGGGCGCAAATATGAGCCGCATCTGTTCGTCGATAGCCAGCGAGGAGTCTTGCCAATGATAAAAGAGCCTGTGCGTCTCCCTCACTACGATTGCCTAGGATGAGCAACAGTGTTTCTTGCCATTTGTCTAATCCCTCCAAGGCGTTCTTGTTGATGGCGGGGCCTGTAGTATTGATCATTTGGAACCCCGCGCGGGCGGACACAGGCACAAGCTGGTCGACACTGTCTTCCCAATTACCAGCGAATACTTCGTAAAGAGCTGCTAAGGCCTGGTTGTCACCGCTTATCTTTCTGACCTCCTGGCGTACGAACTCCTGAATAACCTGCTTCCAGACATCTTTGCTCAGTGTTGACGATATTAACATGGCATGCCCCCACAACCTGTTATCAACTGCGTGCCAGGTAGCCTTTTCTCTATCTCCAGTCGATAAGTGATCGCGTAACACTGTGACAGCTTGCGGATCTACAGGTTCGGATTGAACCTTCTCCCCTGGCTGGAGCTGCGTCGAAGTCTCTACATTGACTTGTAGGATCTGTTTGACGGAATCCTCAGCAACCTTCGAGCCCTCTAGCTTCCCGTCGTTTTCAATAAAGACCTGGAGAATCTTCCAGAGCAGTAGTCGTTCATCACGTCTTCGTAGATCCTCAGTCGTAGTTCCATGAATAGCTGTCGACTGATAGTCCTTCCCCATTGTCTCAATTTGAGCCTTCATCCACACAACCACATCCTTCTTCTTACCTTTTCCCTTCAAAGGTCCAGGGAAGGTCGTGATTTTGTCATCTAAAGGCGATGTTTGCTTGATGCTCTGAAGCTTAATTTCTCCGGGAGAGCGTTTCATCGTTGGAGCAGTATTACCAGCACCGTACCTAGGCGTTTGTTGTGGAAAAGAAGTTACAACAGTGCCACCAAGGCCCCATCTGAATACTGGATAGCCTTTCCACCGCTCTAGGGGATCTTGGGCTCGTTCATCTGTAGGCACAGCGAAAACTGTATCTTGTGAATATCCTAAACGCGGAGGCATTGAGGGGAATATGCTCTCTCCAGAAATCGTCGATGGTGGGGATCCAGGACCGTGATGTGACGATGGACGATCAGCATGGGCTGCGTAAGGAGGTGATTTCATTACCGTCCCAGGCGACGATGTCTGGGACCTGCGAGGAGGAGCGAAAGATTGCTGCAATGGCGCTTGCGAATTTTGTGGCTGAGGCGCATAATTTGACGTTTTACGAGGAGAGCCAGTGTTAGATGAGGCCATATCCGTAGTAGCGGGAGGAGATGCTGTAGCTCTACTGGGTTGGTAAGAAGTAGGTGGAGCCTGACTTGATGACCTTCCAGCGCCACCTTGGGACATAGTGTGATGCGCAAGCGGACTGGAAGTCCGAGGCAAGAACGACTGCGAGGATGATCTAGGTTGTGCCGTAGGTTCCGCTGCGTATCGATTTTGATTCAACCCAGTAGGGACAGCTACGGTCGAAGGAGGAGAATATTTAGGAGGCGGAGCACTTGCAGAGATCTGTGATGGAGCGACTGCGGGCGGAGCGGGTGAGTATCTAGATGCTGCAGGTCCAGTGCTAGGTGGTGCGGGAGAATAGCGCTTCGCGGTAATTGTGGGAGCTGGTGCTAAATTTGAAGATGGAGGGGATTCGGAGAAAAGACTGAGCCTCTCAGGTTGTTGTAAATGAGATGCAAAAGCGACCGGGTCGGTTGGTGGTTCTGAGACACTGGGTTGTGGATTTGAGGGGGGCTGTAGAGGCTGTGATGCAATTGGCGATCTTGAGGGGGCATGGTGTACTGCAGAAGGCTGTGGCGTGTACCGTCCCGATGACTTTGGCTTAGCCACCGACGGCAATTCTTCAAAAAAGCTACTTGTGCTGGCCTTGGGTCGCAGCTGACCTCGTATCTCCGGGTTCATTGAGCTACTCGACGATGGAGGAGAGAAAGTAGTAGAGCTTTGGTATGTTTGGGGAACGGAACGAGGAGGTGGCATGCTCGCGGTGGAGTTCATACTACTGCTTCTGGGTGGTGGTGGTGGAGTCGGCTGCGCTGAAGGCACAGCCATCCGATTCGATCCGACTCTCTTCTTGGGTTGAATGATATCCGTGGGCAAGTCGTAAGGAGATGCGTATCCTCCTTTGTTCTTGTCCGCGAAGCTCTGTGCTGAGTTCGTGATAGCAGGACGTTCCGGCTTGCCATAAGAAGCTTTGCCATTTATTCCGCCATATGCTGGCGTCGACATGATCTGCGCAGTATTACTGGAGTTCGATTGAGGAACGTCTGCGAACCGGCCAGCCTGAGGTGTATACTGATTGCTCGGTGGCTGAACAGCCTGTGCGCCGACTGGTGCGTATTTGGAGTTTGATAGAGAGCCGCCAATGGCTCCATTCGTTCCATTCGAGCCAACTTGTTCGGACAGTTGCGCAGCTTCTTCCTCAAGGAAGCCCTCATCGTCGTCGAAGAGAAATGCGCTCGAATCTGCAGTTGTCCCAAAATCGTCATCCAAGGCCGCTTTCCATAGGTCATCTAGCTCATCTTGCTGGGCGGACGCTGGAGGTATTTCTGCCGCCTGTGTACCGGTGGCTTCAAAGATCAAGTCACCATCATCTCCGGGGCCCCAATCAAGGTCAGCAGGCTTTGATTGTAGGGCTGGTCCATTGGCGCTATTAGTAGCCATGGCCGATGCGTCTTTGACGCCGAGATCGAAATCATCTTCTATTTCGCCCCAGTCAACGGTCTTCTCGGTCGCCATTTCCTCCGGCTGTGACGAAGAAACAGGTCCGATATCAGCACCAATGTCGAATGAAGCATCACTAGACCCCCAATTTAATGCCGCGTCAGTTTCGGGGACCAGAGGATCCGCTGGGTTTTCTTGCTTCGCGTCCTCCAGGAAAGTGCTCTCGCTTTGTGGCTCGTAATTTTGTTCTGCAGGATGCTCTTCCATGGCGGTATCCTCACCTGCACTCGTTTCAGTGACTGGTGGCGCGTTTATCAGCCCAGAAGTGCTCGTGTTTTCGGGTGGATCTATGGGTGTTTCAGGCGCTTCCTCGGTATCCTCCTCCACAGCCATATCAAGTCCTGTTGCTCTAGAGATCAAGGGATTTGCTTTGGGATTCGCTTTTGCGTCATATGACAGATGACCTCCGTGGCGCACAAAAAACTCGTCTTCTGGTTCATCTTGACCCGTCTCTGCATCTTGCGTATCCCAACTTAATTCAGCTACCTCTTCGACCGTTTCTGTACCGGTTGACGCGTCCACATCTGCCGGGGCATTCGATGTTGTTTCTGTTGTGTCCGGTCTTGAACCCGAGTTAGGTCTTAAAGCCGGATTCCAACTGGCTGTGCCTCATTATTATATTTGCAATAGACTCTGGACGGCGACAGGACTCACCCATTACGATGGTTTGTTTTATGTTCGGGGATGGAACAAATGCAGCTGCTATGCGTTAATGACATTTATTGTTGGGTCTGGCGTTCGGCTCCTGGACTTACCTATACAATGTAAGGCCGACGCGCAATCGCAAGAAACAATTCAGTTATGAACCGTCGCTCCGCACGCCATGAAATGAAACAGGTGTGAGCGCGGAATGGAGGACCGGGTAAATGCACGACGGCGAGGGTATCTTTGGGGTGAGCGCGAACCTTGAGAGAGAGACTGGATGGAAGGGAAATTGACAACTATCCATCTATCCCATCCCTGACGAAAGTGCTGACTTGCTGTCTTGGCGTCGCGGTGGATCCCGAGGCGCGTGTTTGGGCCGACGTAACCCCTGCTCCTGGTTAGCTGTGTTGATAGCCAAAGCCACAACTACCTGCACAGAGGCAGCGATCTTTCATCCGCATTTCAGCATATTGCGCACACTTTTAACTATAGGCAGACCTCTTGCTTAGGCTTCTACATACTTTCCCCTCGGAATCACCATCTACGCAATAGACATACTCATTTCACCAAGCAGAATCGGGTTTCCCAAGTGAACACGCGGCTTTCCTTTTAATATGAGGCATGTCGCCGCCTCCTTCATACCACCAACCAAATGCGCCAGATTCTCCCGGTGACGACAGTGACTCAGATATCGCTCTCGACTTAGATGAGCTCGATCCTGCGCCCGCCACCGAGTCTTCTCCAGCTCCTCGCCAGTCTACCGACTTTCACAACAGACCTATACGCCTGCAGAAGTTTCGGACAGGGTGGGGACGGAGGAATCGGAATAAGCCTGTTGGAACAGCACAGGAAGAAGAGGATCTTCGAGGGCTTCTGACGGACCATGTTTCAAGACCCGGACATAATGCGGACAATGCCAGTATTGACACAACTGGTGAAGACGATGCGCCTTTGTTACCAACTCACAATACTCGCGTAAGAGACAGACCTACAGAGAGCGGACTGGCGAAACTTGGAACACGACTTCGTCTACCGAGTTTCAAGTCCAACGACCCCCTAGCTATTGGCGGTCAAGATGAAGAGGATGAGCCTGCTATCGACCATGATCCTGCCTCAAACCGAACAGTTGCGGTAGGGCAGGTTCAGACTTCCAAATTTCCTCCAAATGCAATTTCGAACGCTAAATACACGCCCTGGAGCTTTCTCCCACGGACCCTTTACAACGAGTTCTCATTTTTTCTCAATCTCTATTTCCTTCTAGTCGCACTTTCACAAATTATACCCGCCCTCCGCATTGGATATCTGAGCACTTACATTGCACCGCTGGCGTTTGTTGTTTCGATCACCATTGGGAAGGAGGCATATGATGACATTTGTCGACGGCGGCGAGACTCTGAGGCAAATTCGGAGCCATATGAAGTCTTGAGATTCGAAGATTATGGAATGGCTGATGGCACATCAAAGGAGAAGAAGAGGAAGATGCGCAAGACTCGAGGAAGAGAAGACGCTTCGAACCTATCGAGGCTAAGTGGAGAAAATGAAGACGCAAATAGCCGCCCGACGTGCAGCGTTCGCGAGATTACAAAGGCTTCAAAAGATCTCAAAGTTGGAGATATCGTAAAGATGGGCAAGGACCAGAGAGTTCCAGCAGATATGGTTCTTTTGAAGGCTTATTCCGGAGATGGAAATCAGTCTGTCGAATCTACTGTGTCCCCATCGCCTGCGGCTGTCCCGCTCATTGATATGGATGAGCAAGGTCTCAATCGAGCAACGACTACGCCAAACGTTCCTAGGGCCATTGTCGAACCCAATGGTGAAGCCTTCATCCGAACAGATCAGTTGGACGGCGAGACCGACTGGAAACTTCGCCTTACAACGCCAATTTCTCAATCTCTAGACATACGAGAGTATACCAGACTCCGCATCACAGCCGGAAAGCCAGATAAGCGTGTGAATGATTTCGTCGGAACTTTAGAGCTCACTCCAAAGAGCAGTAGCGAATATGACGCCGTGGAGGGAACGTCCTCGCTAATACAGGCCGTTGCTTTGACGATCGATAACACTGCTTGGGCCAACACCGTGCTTGCATCCAATTGCACAGTACTTGCGGTAGTAGTCTACACTGGAGCACAGACACGGCAGGCCTTATCAACATCACCTTCGCGTTCCAAGACTGGCCTGCTTGAGAACGAATTGAATTCGCTCACCAAGATACTCGCCCTCTTGACGTTGACTCTGTCATTTCTGCTTGTTGCACTGCAAAAGTTCGAGCCCAAGGACAAGCACGTTTGGTACATCTCAGTCATGCGATTTTTGATCCTCTTTTCCACTATTGTTCCCGTGAGCTTGCGCGTCAATCTTGACCTTGGCAAGTCTGTTTACGCAAGGCTGATTGAGAAAGATCAAGGAATTCCTGGAACAGTGGTGAGGACAAGCACCATACCAGAAGATCTTGGGCGTATAGAGTATCTTCTCAGTGACAAGACCGGCACACTAACGCAAAACGAAATGGAAATGAAAAAGATCCATGTCGGGACGGTGTCTTATGCCAACGAGGCCATGGACGAGGTCTCTTCATATGTGCGTCAAGGTCTCGTAGGACCCAACACTGAGCAAGGGGTTCTCGTCACTCCAGCTACAGTCAGCACAGGCCCATCGACAGCATCAACAAGAGCGCGAAGAGAGATCAGCGCTCGAGTTCGTGATGTGGTCTTGGCTCTAGCTCTCTGTCATAACGTTACACCCACCAATGAAGAGGAAGCTGGAAAGACGGTGACTACCTATCAAGCCTCGTCTCCTGACGAGATTGCAATTGTGCGCTGGACGGAAGCCGTCGGTGTGCGTCTTCTGCAGCGCGATCGACAGTCTATGGTCCTGCAGTCTGTCGATACTGGCAACGTGCTCGTACGGGTCAAAATTCTGAATGTGTTCCCCTTCACGTCTGAAGGCAAGCGTATGGGCATTGTCGTCAAATTCCTCGAAGGAACCGAATCAGACGCCCGTGATGGAGGCGAGATCTGGTTCTACCAGAAAGGTGCGGATACAGTAATGACCTCGATCGTTGCCGCAAACGACTGGCTCGACGAAGAGACTGCGAATATGGCCCGCGAAGGTCTCCGCACGCTCGTGGTAGGCCGCAAAAAGCTCTCCCAAGAAACCTTCAATGACTTCGCCACACAATATACTCAGGCCTCAATATCCCTCCAATCTCGCGAGATGGCCATGTCCCGTGTTGTAAGCCGCTTCCTCGAATCTAACCTCGAACTCCTCGGCGTCACAGGCGTCGAAGACAAACTTCAGCGCGATGTCAAGCCGTCCCTGGAACTTCTCCGCAATGCCGGTATCAAGATTTGGATGCTCACGGGGGACAAGGTTGAGACGGCGCGCTGCGTTGCTGTATCGTCCAAACTGGTCGCTCGTGGCCAATATGTTCATACCATCGCCAAACTTGAGCGCAAAGATGCCGCTCTGGACGCTCTCGAATTCCTTGCGTCCAAGCCCGACGCCTGTCTACTCATCGATGGCGAATCCCTTGCCCTCATGCTCACCCACTTTCGCACCCAGTTCATCACTGCTGCAGTCGCCCTCCCCACCGTCGTCGCATGCCGCTGCTCCCCAACCCAGAAAGCAGACGTCGCCATCCTCATCCGCGCCCACACCCGCAAACGCGTCGCATGCATCGGCGACGGCGGCAACGACGTGAGCATGATCCAAGCAGCAGATGTCGGCGTCGGTATCGTCGGCAAAGAAGGTCGCCAGGCCTCCCTCGCCGCCGACTTCAGCATCACCCAGTTCGCACACCTCACCAAGCTCCTCGTCTGGCACGGCAGAAACAGCTACAAACGCTCCGCCAAGCTCTCCCAGTTCGTCATGCACCGCGGCCTCGTCGTCTCCGTGTGCCAGACGCTCTACAGCATCGCCTCCCGCTTCGCGCCCAACGCGCTCTACCGCGACTGGCTGCTCGTCGGCTACGCAACCGTCTACACGATGATGCCCGTCTTCAGCCTCACGCTCGACCGCGACGTCGACGAGTCCCTCGCCACCCTCTACCCAGAACTCTACAAGGAACTCACCGCCGGCCGTTCGCTCTCCTACAAGACCTTCTTCGTCTGGGTCCTCATCAGCACCTACCAGGGCGCCATGATCCAAGGCCTCAGCCAGATCCTCGTCGGCGTCGGCGCCTCCAAAATCTCCTCTGTTGTCGACTCGGACGACGGCGGAAACAGCGGCGGCGGCGCCGTCACGCAAGCACAGGACCTCACCTTCCGCCGCATGGTCTCCCTCTCCTTCACCGTCCTCATCGTCAACGAACTCGTCATGGTTGCGGCTGAGATCACGACCTGGCACCCGGCCATGATCTTCAGTATTCTCGGCACTGCCGCGCTGTATTTTGGCTCCGTCCCCTTTCTGGGCGAGTACTACGATTTGAGGTTTTTTGTTAGCGTCGGCTTCTTGTGGAGGGCGCTGCTGGTGGCGTGTGTGAGCTTGGTGCCGGTGTATGCGGCGAAGATTGTGGGGAGGACGTTGCGGCCGCCGAATTATCGCAAGGTTCGCGGTGTGTGAGAGGGCGGAAGATGGACTTTGGAGGGGGGGGGGAATTCATGGGTGCATTTTGGGTGGCGTTGTGTGTTTGGGAGCGAGTTTGTTTTGCTTCGCTGCTTGTTGCGTGTGTATATATATCTTTGAATGAATGAGATGTGCAGTCTTGAGATGTTGGGTTGCGTGGATGCGTTTCAATGTGGAGAGAGAGAGAGAGCGCGATGTTCGGCCGCTGGAATATTGATTGATGTACGCTGGCTGACATACCCGCACATGACAAGACACCGTGCTATGGCATTCATTAAACGTTCAGATATCTCTGAACGGCCACTCATCATACACACATAAAACTTCGAAGCACCAGTCTCTTACACGCAATAAATATTTGTCCATCTCCATTGAATGTAATGGTCGAGAACATTTCAATTCGGAATCTCTCTTGTTGTTTGTTTGTGTTTCTTCTACTAATATACAAGTCCGTTGTTCCAATGTACCGTTATACAAAAGACGTGTCGCCCTTGATGCCCACAACCAAAGCAAAGGGTGGGAGGGGGTGTTTCCCGGATGAGAAAAGATATGATATCCAGCCCGTCTCTAGATAAGAATATGGAGGGGTTTCATAAAAGCGTTTGTCCAAAATTTGGATTTGGTGCGCCGTGCTAATGCGGTTTTGTTGGTCTATAGATAGGATGGGTTGTGTTGCCGTCTAGGCTGATTGATTGGTAGTCGAGAATGAGAGTTCCGTCCATCAGGCCGTCTTGTCGACCATCTTACTTCCAACAAACTTCTTGTCCTGCAAGTCCTCGACCAGATCGTTGTAGTTGTCCATGTAGTGCTTGTGGATGCGCGGCGCCCACATGCGCATGACATTATGCGCAAACATATCCTTCGTCAGCTCCTTGTGCATCCAGTGGTGACGCAGGAAGACGCCCTTGCAATGCGAGTCCGGGTCCTGCTCTGGATACCCATTCGCCTCGGCACAGGGGAGGATCTTGATTTCGTCCTTGTATTCGTACACGACGTAGTTTGAGAAGGCGCTCTGTTCGCGCAGCCTTGTCTGCTTCCACTTTGCGCAGCCGGGGTAGTGGGATTCCTCGGGGCACTCGGCCCATGCACGGTAAATCTCGTGGGTTTTGGGAATGTTGTTGACGATCATGAAGCCCGAGTTCTGACCCGGGTTGCCCTTCTCGTCCTTGTCGCGTTCTAGGAGGGACTCGGAGGCGATTGCGATGGAATAGTTTGAGGTTATTTGCCAGTAGTTCATCAGCCACTCGATTGGAACTTCTGGGTTTGCCATGATGGCGTCGCTGTCGTAGAAGACGACGTAGTCGTGGTTCTTGAGTGCATATTCCATCATCAAGACCTTGCCCCAGGCATCGTGTCGGTCCTCATATCTGGGGGCTCGGAGCATCAAATAATCGTAGCCGTGGATGACAGCTAAAGCTCGAGTATCAGCAAATTGTTCATATTCAGGAGGGTGCTGTGTCAAAGACGCCACTCACAATACATGTAGTGTCCAATGATTCCGGCTGAAAGATGCTTGACCGTATTCCAATCCCATTCCTTCTTTGTGTTGAAGAGTTCGCCTTCTCCATCATACGGCCTTGTGTCGACATCCAAAATGAGTAGACGCTTTCCAAGCTTCTCCTTGATGAACGGCTCCGCAGGCAGTTTGTGTAAGTCTCCATCCTGATCAACAAATTCGGGCGCAGTAATGTCCAGCTTCTGCGGCTCCCACAGCTGCCGAATGAGCTCGTCGAATGGAAGGGTCGGGTGGGGTGTGTCCACAGCGCCGTTGTTCGGACTTGGTACCTGACCAGCTGGGATAGGCGTATTAGACTGCGTAGAATGGCTATGAAGAATTAGGACAAAGCATTCGACAAGCGGCAGTTAGCCATGTATCAACACACCTATCGGGTATAATGCCGCCTACGAAGACGGAGCCAAAGAAGAGATATATGACGACTAAGAATGTGGCAACCATTCCGAAGGTCCATGATTTACGCCATCTGCTGAAGATGGTGGCCATGCTGGATTGGCCTCCAAGTAAGGTATATCGGTGCTCTGCGAACATGGTGAAGGAGTGTGAAGGGTGAAGGGTGAACGGGTGCAAAGATGGCAAGGCCACCCCTTAGCTGTCAATGCGACGTGAAAGTAGTTGTGATCAGACTCAGGTCGGGACGAGGTCGCACAAGGAAAGCAACAGAAGCAAGGCTGTCTTATTCAAGCATAGTAGTATGAATGGTCCAGGAAGTGATCGGCGAGGATGCGGTAATTAGAAGTGGAAGGGTGGGATGGTCGTTACCGGCAGAGTGATGTTAGGGTTGAAGACGGACTTGAATGGCAACGAAAGACAAAGGGGGAAAAAGGGTTGTACGTGAGCGGCGTCAGGGCTGTGCGACGCAGGACAGTCGGAACAATCATATATTATTATTAACAAGTCAGTGGTGGAGTGGCGTCAAGTAGTGCGGCAACATGTAGATCTTGTTTCGAGTGTTGGTTCACACTCCATTCCAGACATATCCCTGCCCATCAAACACACGGATGCTTGGTTTCGCTGAATAAGTACCATTGTAGTGGGCACTGGGCAGCTAGAACGGGGCGTGTGCAGCGGAATGGCGGCTAGATGAACTGCGCCCGGGCGCCGATGTGGGCAGTTTCGGGGGGGCTTTGTTGCTTGTTTTGCTTGGTGCTGCGGCGGATGGTGGATCGCGGATTACTACTATGGAATTAGCTGCTCCTCTAGTCCTACTGTACCTCCTTGTTCTTGTGTAGGCGCCCACTACCCACTACTGGCTGGCCTGTTATTAGGCTGCGCTACCTGCTGCTGGGTCCACCTAGGGCCTGCCCGGGCTAAGGAGGCACAGTAGTAAGTAATTATGGTACAGTACAGTCACGCTCACTCATCGTCGCGCTGGTCAAGTAAGTTCAACCTTCGTTCGCGGCTTCGACCAGAATCCTGGTGAAGGTTTGCCATACTGTACTCCCTTGGTCGCCGTAAGCCGTAAGTCGACTCTATGCCCGTCGTGGCCCGCAAAATAAGCATCCAACACCATGGCATCCACACCGGACGACGACCCACGGCGAAGGGTTAAGAATAGAGGCACAGCCATACGTATATATATATACATACATGCCTGTACCTAGCATTCAAAATTATAGCCCCGGTCGAACGCAAGTATCCTAGCATACCATAACACATGATGTATCCACTTTCCTTCCTCTCCTCCTCAGCAGGGCGCAGTCGCTCGTCCAAAGTCTCGTTGTTACACTGTCAGTATCGTCTTCGCCCTTCATACACATCAAGTAGAGAGAGCCCAGGCGCTGCCCAGAAACTTTACGATAAGCCTTTTTGCCCGCTGGCCTCGACTGTTCTTCTACAGCATATTCTAGAATCCCGGTCGGCTGCGGGAGCTCGCGGAACTATTATGCTCGTCTGGAATCTACCGTGGCCGGCCAGACGACACAGCGCATGATATCACACTTCTCCTGAACCATCACAATCTCCCGGTCGCCTACATCGTATAAATCGCTATCCACATCCATCATCGTCATTGGCTTTTTTATTCAAGGCCCATATCTCTCTGCACTTGCAGCGAAACTCGTATCCACTAATCGTCAAGCACACCACCTCATGCTCATGCTCATTGCGAAACAGCAGTCACATTTACTATATGAATTCCGTTCTCACGCGCGCGCTTCTGCTGTGTTACCACCCCCCAGCCTCATCCTTCAGCACCGCACACAACATCTGCCTACTAACATCCCAATCGCCTTACAAAGACTGCATTAGCGTGACGACAGCATCGCGACGACTTCCTCAACGGCATGTCCGACATGGCGCCTACTATTTGCTAGGCAGTGGTACCACCCGTCACCTTGGGTCCTCGGGCAGGTGGTGGCGCGTAATATCACTGCGTCTAGACCCCTAAATCTTCTCCTCTGTGCACATGCCGTGGAGTCTTTCCGAACTTTGTTTTCCCCATTGTTCGGATGTATGAGAAGTTTTTATTTCCATAATATCTACTGTATCGCATCTCTCAGTAAGCGACTGTATGATTAGAACATATTAAGGAGATGGTAGCGCTGCATTGCTCGCGCTGTTGCGCCCTGAGTTTGTAGGTGTCGAATGCCGTTCGCACATTGGCGCCTCAATGGATGGCATTCACACGATGGTAGGTTGATCGCCATGTTCATCTTTCAAGGCACTTTTCTCCTCCTCGTTCCAGCTTCTTGTCAACGGTCCGATCAGAGCATTTCGTTCCGCTGTCGACAAATCAGTTCCCGTGGTAGTCTATCCATGCACGTTGTGTTACTGTATGCGACTACAAGGAGCTGGCCTACCCTTCCCATATCGTCGTGCCTTCTCATGAGATCTTGGCGATTACTCTTTCTTGAGGTCACGATATCCGTCCTTAAAGTCGCCGTACTCTTTCTTGACGTCCTCATACTCTTCTCTGAGCTCATCAAGCACGTCCAAGCGTCCATCTTCCAACGCGCTCACAGCTCGATGTAAAGTAGCCACAAGCCATTCCCAAATGCTCTACTTCTTTCTTCATCTCTCTAGCCGTTAGAAGAAGCCACTGGCTATGATAACAACCAGCACGTCAATGTTCATCAAGCTGAATCACATGCTGCTGCAACATCTTGACACAAGCCGAAAGTGCAACAATGATCTTCGGAACATATATCTATCTCTGTGCTTAACCTCAGACAATAGAAATCGTGTCACAAATGGTCTACATGGCTGTGCTGGAGTCCACTCTTCTTGAAGTGTTGTAAGTCAAGTAGGCAAATTCAGGCCCGATTCGATCATTCTGCGAATCTTTGCTCACATGCTCCGCTGTAGTTATTGCAACTATGACGCTGGAAGCAACACTGAGACCATCCATTTCTGCTGAAAGAGAATCTCGAAGGAGATTCTTATCAGTGGACAGCAACTAGTAGGTCACCTACGGCTGATGACTACCACCCAGCTGAAAGAGAAGATGGACATATGGACACGGTCATGTGATGTGGTTGATATCATGCTATAGAAAGTCGTCATTTGTGGCCTTCAGTTTCAAGAATGAGGCAAGAATGGGATACAGATGCACAGGCCTGAGATCCGGATCAGCGGTAGGCTATCCAAAGAATTTAAGCGTTCGTGTTGGTCGGCAGGACGAACGCTGGCTCACATAGAGCGCAACATGCATGTGAGACGAGGCCGATCAACAGCTAATGAAATCTCATATAACACCTTCTAGTTACAGGAAACCCTGGCCAGCAAATCCCCCAACCCCCAAAAGTCAAACTCCAGAATACGCACCATGAGACTCCATAATGGGTATCTCCGAGAGACAGTGTAACGCCCTGCCACCAACATGGGAATCCAAGACCATGCTTGTCTCGAGACCTTGCCCAAGGTCAATGAGAAGCTGCTCCACCTGCCACTTGCGCCGGACTAGGCTCGGACGGCTACTTCAGGGTGCCATTGTTGATCTTGGATATCGTGTTGATGACAGCAATGTTGGAGGCAGTTATGTTCTTGTTCATCCTTTCTACCTCCTCGCTGGCTTCGGCGATAGCTTTGGCCTGTGTCTGAACGACTGACTTGTACGGCTCCGGCAGTGTCGCGATCGCCGCGTCCATGAGCGGTACAAAGGGGAAATCGCGGTCCGGCTCCTTGTCTAATCCCTTGTTGAAGGCAGACTCCAGCTTCTCCTTAATGATCACTTGTCTTTGCGTTTGAGATACCGCACCAGCAGAACTTTCAGAAGGCTTAGGAGCAAGTCTCTCCAGGATATCAAGAATGGTGTTCTCGAACAGCGTCCAGTGTGAGACATGGGCAACACCCTTGCGCTTGCATACGATGCGGACATTGTCGAAGCGGTAGAATTCCTTGGAGCAGCGGACCAAGATCTTCTTTGACTCTGCGAAGATGCCAAGCTCGAGCAGGGAGATGGGCGATTTGGACTTGTCGTGCAGATTCATGACAATCAGATCGACCTTCTCGAGCGCATCGAGCTCCCAGTCAACCTGGCTCTGGAGGTCAAAAGCTGCTTTCTTCTTCTGCCTGAGGTCAAACTCCTCCTTAGTCTCGTCAGCCCTCTGCTTTTCGTCCACTTTGTTCACCCAGAACTCGGTACGAGGGGTGAGAATGTGAATCATCCGATTCGGGTGTTTCTTGAAGATTTGATCTGTGAGGTACCCTTGCCAATCTGGAGCGCTTCCCATATCGATGGTACCAGCAAGGAATATCTTGAAAGAACGATCATCGTAGTGCGGCTTATCAAAGGCTGCAGTCACCTTGTGGAGCTTGTTGCCGCCATAGTTGTCCGTGGTTTCTGCCATGTCTGAGCGTGTAGTAGCTTATATAGATGTTGATGAGTGAGCTTATGTTATTGACCTTGAAAGGTGTAATCTGTAGAAGAGCAATCAATGTATGTATGATGAATCCGAGTAAAGTCGCGCGTGGGTGAGCAGCTATAAGTAGACCGATATTGGACTCTTCCACAGTGCTCCACGTGGTAAGTGAATGTAGGTGCCTTGCAGGATGTGCCTGACGAGCTAGTATGAGGCTGAGGCGAGACGTGAAAGGGCAGTTTGTGGATCGTGATGGTCGCTGGCGGCTATGCGAGGGGCACGCGCTTCAAGGTTACAGGGCTGTGTGCGACAGAAGTAATGGATATGTTGATACTGAGTTACAATATCAGGGCAAGAGGCCGCTCTTATAAGCCATCAGGGTAAATCCGTTAACAGTGACATGAAGATGGGTGCGGAAGATTGTATACTTTGATTGCCCCGCTAAGGAACACAGAGAGCGGCTGTGCAGCTATCTACGACTAATTAGGGTTTTCTAGACTCCTACCTGGAATAGACGCAATCGGCCTGTCAGAATCAAGCGCGGATTAGCTAAACTTAAAGCAGGAGATGGATGTCTGTGTAACATGAAACACGAGGCATCAAGAACCTGCTGTCCGAGTCTATTGCCGCATTCGGCGGTGCGTTGACTGCTGAAATGATAGTCTTCTGGACTGCTAGATTGCTGCAATTGCTTCCTAGTCCCACCAACTTCAGGACGAGCAGTCTACAGACTGAATGTTCCGCAGTCCGACATCCATCTATCGACAAGGAGGATGCCACCTCAGGCAACCACCGTAGGCGCGCGCCATGATTAGTACCTAATGACCGTTGGGAGTGACTAGTGGCAGCCGATTGGAATGCGGAGTGACACGATTCACAGTGACCATTCTCTAGGTTAGACATGTTGGAATATACCGCTCTGTAGGAACTATGAACTATGAAGTCAGCCCGCAGGCTGCAGATAATGTACCCTGTAAGACAACAGCAGAGACAAAGGCGCAGAGTGAGAAGCACAGGCATGTCACCGCCGTGAGAGCGTCATATGAGTCAAGGAGTGAAAGGATTCTTCCTTCCAATGAATGAACAATGGTAAACCACGGCCCTGTCAACAGGTATGTTATGGCTCCGAGCTTGGGATTCCTTCGCTCTCTTTAAGAGACGCAACAATGCCCTGGGAATACCTTAGGTAATTCCTAGGTATGGGCTGATTTTCTGCGCTTAGTCACCTGTCTAATTTCCAATCTAGCCGTCTTTGCCGAGCTATGAAAGTTCAAATGGCGTCACGACGACGATAGAGGTTCTTGTGTTTATATTAGCTCGCGTGCGCCACTGTAGGTTATGCACTACAACTGATCTCGTCGTCCCCAATACTTGCTTCGGTCGATCCTTTGTCATAATTATGAAGGTCCTTACAAAGGAAGAGGAGCAGGCTCATTATCGGTATGTATTGCACGTTATGCACGCCCGGCATCCTGCAGGCGCTGACCCAACGATAGCTCTGTTGTGTCGGGAGGCCTCAAAGGAGCAACATGGGGTCTGGCAGTAGGAGCCGGAGGTGTCTGGGCCGCGTCACGACGATTCCCCATGTTTCGTCAAGCCACTCTACCGCTGAAAGCATTCCTCGCCATGTCGAGCAGTACGTTCGCTGCCATCATTGAAGCCGATCGGGCGTCCACTGCGTTCGATATTGCACACAACCCGGATAGACGACGGTATCAGGAAGAACTGCAAGAGCAAGAAGTCGAGTACGAACGTACACACACATTACAACAAAAGATCAAAGACTGGGGCCGCGAAAACAGATACCAGATTGTCTTCGGCTCATGGGTCGCTTCAATGGGGGTGGCATTCGGTCTTGTCAGCAGAAATCCGTATCTTTCTGGTGCCCAGAAGCTTGTACAAGCGCGTGTGTATGCCCAAGGTCTCACACTCGCCGTCCTCTTTGCCTCTTTTGCAGTCGAGGCCAATGATGCAAATAAGGGCAAGGGTCGCTGGGAAACAGTCAAGATCATTGATCCTGAAGATCCCACTCACAAGAGAATGATCGAGAAGAAGGTACATCACGAACGATATGAAGGCGAGGATCAATGGATGGGTAAGCAGTTATGAACACCATTTCTTGCGCTATGCTAAATTTTTTTTAACAGAAATGGTCGAGGCTGAAGAAGCGAGGCTGAAAGAAAGAGAAGAGCAGAAGAAGGCCAAGCAATCAGAGAAAGACACCAAATCAAAAGACAGAAAGGGAAAGAAAGACGAAAAGTCAGATGCGGAGAAGGAGACAGACAATAGCAACGTGAATGGCGACAAGAGTCAAAAAAGAGGCGAGACCGGCAAGTCAGAATAAATTATCACTACCCGATACGAATACCGACTCTCCTACATCGCTCCAAAACCGTTTATGACCCCATTGTTATTACTATTAACGTTAGCTCTGGCGACAACTCACGACTCATCATTTAGATACGAATTATAGACTGTTCTGGTTGCCTCAGGTACGTGGAGACATTCTCGACTGTAACATACGCTTTCATACCACTAGTGGAAGTCAACACTATGTATATACGCCATTATCTTGTAGATATGCCATGCTGCACAACCCGCAATTATCGTACAGATGTATCGGGTGAAATATAGATTTCTGCTTCAAACTGTCGCGTTAAGAGTCTTTATCAAATTTGCTTGTCAGAATTACGAGCTTGTGCAAGATCTCGATCTGATTGCCAAGGCGTATCTTGAGCCCCGCCATGTTGCGCTAAGGACGGTGCAATGGCATGGCGGGGAAAGACCAACATGAGCTGCGCAATGTAAGGAGACTTATCTCGTTACAATGAGACAGTAACGAGGACTGAGTATTACTTCCGGTGCTACCAACCTTGTCATCGGCTGACAGAAGACAAGGATATTGGACAGTACTACGTGCCGTGCGCCGGTCTCATCAGGAAGTAGACTCTATTGGGATTCGCAACAGACCAGTACAGAATATATCAAGATGTCAGCAACCTCGTTTGATAGGATATTTTACCATGTGAACATGAGCAAGAGGATGGTGCATTCTCTTGAACGGTGAACCATAACCGTTCCCCGCAATCGTCACACAATGCTCAACTCGTGATAGCCGGGGCTTCGGATCTACTAGACTGACCAATCATTGCACGTCCGAATCTGCCCGTCATCCTGCATCTCATGCTGCATGTTACTCGAGCGAAAACCTTCACACACCCCGGCGCCTTATAACATCAGCCTAGACCTACAAAATATCCTTGTGTCACTGACATCTTGTGGGAACCTCCTAATCGCCAGCATCATCCCCACACAGCGACTTACCTACCACAACATCATACTGCGCATCCGGCACAATCATCGTCACCGACACCTCACAGTTCGTCACAGCTTCACTATCTGGCCGAAGGTCTACCTTGCTGGTCCCGGGCCATAGTTCTGCCAGGAGAGAAAGAATCAAGTCGCGGTCCGACGAGGCTCAAGTAGGAACAAGACGATCTTCCTACCTCTGACAACATCATACCTTACGAATTTCCGAATCGTCGCTCCAATGACGAGCAACAGGCCATTCATGGCCAACTTCTTCGCCGCCTTCAGGGCACAATCAGTCATACAAAAGACGGCAACGTCCAGTACCAACGCTTCTGCAAATGTCTCAGCATCCACATACACTCACGCAGCCTCACTACACACGTCATCGAACTCTCCCTCTCCAAACGCATCCTCAAACCCACGACCGATACATGGCAAGAATGGTAACCAAAGTTCGGGCGCCACAACCGCAGCCGTACAAGCGGCAGGTCAGTTCCGACCAACAAGAGAACACGGCCCTTCTCCATATTCACCAACATCAAATTCGCCAGCATCTACGGGTTTCCCACTCAAGAGCTCAGCAAACAAACCACGGCGAGGATCGGATAGCTCCTCTGAGGGTTTCCGGGAGACGATGGGGGCAGACAAATGGTACATAGGTGGACGAACGGCCAACGGAGAAGAGAAATTCTATCGTTTGGGGATGGTCAAGAAAAACAGGAGCATAGACCGGCTAAGCATTGACAGGCTGAGCATATGACATTTTTGGGATTAGACATGACACATCAAGGCGCTCAAAGGACCATAAGGACGAATGTATACGATTATATTACCTGCGCAGCCGCAGAGATTCGCATGATTGATGACTTGAAGAAGTCATTCGCACTAAAGGGAACTCCCTTTGTATATGGAATGTGTCGAAATGGGTGTACACAGAAGGTCGCAGATCACAATGAACACTCGAAGCATCTATGCACATATCGCCCAACAAGTCTCATCCTCGTTGGAACCTACCATGGTGGGTTGATTCTGCCCCTCCACACACACGTGATTGTACATATGTCGCGCATCGAGGCACATGAAACTCGCCTCGTCTCCAGGCACCACGAGACTTCATCCTTGCCAAGTTCCCTGCGAAATTCTCCGAGCCTGTCGGTCAGATGCCGAGCCTGAGTCAGCATGTTATGATACAAAGTTATCTTCCGACGTCGGCCCGGCGAGCTGAATCTCGGTGGAAGTATTCGCCGAAATCGGCATCCTGGAACTATAACGTTCCCAAATTGTGGTTCCTGCTCTGCATCAATTTGATACTCGGTTAGATCGGCAAGCGATGCTATCGAAATTGGTGCAGCAGTCCATCGTTGGCAGCTTGTCATTCACCCCCTCAGGATACATGAACAATGGCCACGTCGTCAAGCATATCAGCCAATGTTCAACAACGTGGACGACGGAAACAGCACATAACATTCATTGCTAAGACGGTCGTTCATGCACAGGAAGGGGGACCCGTATACGGCCAACTGATGTAGGACATGAGGGAGATCAACGGCAGTCAACCTGAAATCCTTTTCTCATCCTTGTCTTAAATGTGGGTATGAGCACCTAAAGACAAAAATTGAACAGAATGCAGTATGCACTAATCACTGACTCATATTCACTGCTGTCCTGCCTTGACTTATATCTTGCTTCTCAAGCAGTCGGAAGGTGACTCCCGATTGTCGAGCGTATAACGTGAAGTCACTTTCGTTCGTTCCATATTACGTCCCTTTTCAGTCACAGCTTGAATAGTGAAATTACCATTAGACTTTCAGATCATTTCAGTCAAGTCTGCGTTCTACAAGACTTCAGATTTCGCCAACCTTGAGACAGTCTTTTCCTTCAAAAGGGCATACCCCAATGGCACAACACATCATGGCCCCGCAAAGTAACAATCTGCATTCCATGGCCCAAGCCACCCACGACTCGGCTCGTCCCGACCCTATCAAAGACCAAACCCGGAGACACACTTCACAACTGGACCCTGACCTTGAGCCCCTGGAGCACATCATCAGTCATGTCAGCACGCATGATTTCGTCGTAGCTCACAATGCCTCGACTACTGGAGCATATGAAGACATTGAGAACGAAGACCCGATTTACGACCGACTTTCTCCGGGCCGGAAGACCGTAATCGTGGCCATCATGTCCTACTGTGCTTCGTTGGCGCCAATGTCATCGACGACGATCATGGCTGCGGTGCCAGAGGTTGCGACTACATATGGGACCGATGGAACTATCATCAATTTGTCGAATGCAGCGTACTTACTGGCGATGGGAGTAAGTCCACTGTTTTGGGGTCCTATTGCGCAGATCTACGGTAGAAGATGGGTATGTTTCCCCCCTTTTTTACGGTATCTTGTCATCATGTCTCCTTGATCAATGATATAATCCTTGTACTGCCGCCATCATTTTCTCGCGTCTCGAGTAATGACGCAGACATCATGTATTATATCATCTTACTAATAGGCCACAGTCCTCCGTCATTGCCATCGTCCTCTTCTTCGCGTTCTCCGCTGGCTCCGCCGCCGCCCCTGATCTTGCCTCATTCTTTGTCTTCCGCATCCTCACCGCCTTTGAAGGCACATCACTTATCATTATTGGCACCGCCGTTATCGGCGACATCTACAAACCCACTGAGCGTGCCACATACGTCGGCTGGTTCCTCACCGGCACTCTCGTAGGTCCAACTCTCGGACCCCTTCTGGGCGGTGCCATTGTAACGTACAAGCCCTGGCGCGACATTTTCTGGTTGCAAGCAGGCCTCGCAGGATTAGCAGTTACACTGGTGTATTTCTGGCTACCGGAGACGGTGCATCATAAGCGGAGCGCTGAGCTCAAGGGGCTCGGAAGGAAGGAATACACAGTGCGGCTACGCGAGTGGCTTAACCCCTTCCGAGTCGTCAAACTGTGGTGGTATCCCAATCTGCTCTTCTGTTCCATCGCGACAGGCGCGTTGGTATGGAATATGTACTCGCTCCTCACCCCAATCCGATACGTTCTCAACCCCCGCTTTGGACTCACTTCGCCACTGCAATCGGGCCTGTTCTATGTTGCTCCCGGATGCGGATACATGCTCGGCACGCTGTTCGGTGGGAAATACGCCGACCGGGTTGTGCACAAATGGATTGCGAAGCGTGAACGTCGGGTGCCTGAAGATCGGTTGAAGAGTTCGTTCATCGCCATGGGCGTAGCGATACCGGCGTGTATGCTGGTGTATGGCTGGAGCATCGAGAAGAAGAAAGGAGGAATCGCACTGCCGGTTGTGGTGATGTTCTTGCAGGGTGTCGCTCAGCTTATCTGTTTCCCTAGCATAAATACGTATTGCTTGGATGTGAACCGGAAGAGGTCCGCGGAAGTCATTGGTGAGTGTCTTGTCCCCTATATAAGGACAACACTGGAACTAACCACGTTTTTCAGCCGGGAACTATGCCGCGAGATACCTCTTCGGTGCAGTCGGAACGGCAGTCGTCCTCCCAGCAGTGCGCAAGATTGGCGTAGGTTGGTTCTCCACCATTTCCGCTATTTTTCTAGTCGTTGCGACGGTCGGTGTCTGGCTCACAGCATGCTACGGCGAGGATTGGCGCGTTGCAATCGAAACAGAAAAGATACCTGATGAGGAAAAGAGCACAGCAACAGCACAAGGAACGACTACTCTGGTCAACGCAGGTGAGAGTCTGCCTCGAGCAAGAGCCCATTAATTTGAGTTGCGTAGCGCGAATATAGCGATCTGTGTGATTTCTGCAGCATTCAAGGCGCTGCTAAATTGAAGGTACCAAAGTTTCTTTTGTTTGAACGAATTTGCATGACCCCTTTTTGGCGTTGATACCCCGTAGGTACGGATAATGGGTCCTGGGCTGCTTCGCCGGTAGGGTAGCGAACCTCTCACGACCTGATGGACTTTGAAGCAAGTGCATCTAATGATTTCTCATCGTATATATCTATCGTTATTAGCATAAGTAGACAATACAAATAGACAGTAAACTGGATCCAGACCGATCTTAGAACTCAGATTGCAGCTCCGGGAAGTGAGTGCTGCTTTGAGCTCATGCTCAACCTCACTATATCATGTCACATGTATCAAGAAGAGACCCAGAACTAGTCTTAGGAAGTACACGGGAACCAGGAAATATGGTCGAGAAATATGTATTTGGCAGTCTGCCAGTGATAAGTGTCCTGGCACACGGTGTTTTGGCCGATGACTAAGCCTCTTCGCCGCATCAGCAAGGTTCCGAGTCCACTGCCTGGAGCTCCAACAGCTCCAGACAACCACCAAGGCTCCCGACTACACCTCTCTGCCTCCCACTTTGTCCAAATCTTCCCAGTTCCCTTGACTCACTTCTCCCATTAACTCGTCCCTCACACAAAGATTGAAGATGGTACGTCGTATGCCTTGCACTCGCTCACGACAAGTGCCATGCTAATCATCATAGTTCATCTCGCGAAGCGAATATGGTAAGCTACGGAGTAGACTTGGATGTAACATCAATGCTCACATCCTACCTCTCTAGATCGTGGGATCAAGTAAGTCGAGCACAGGGTACGCATCGTTCGTGGGCTAACAGTCAACAGCACCTTCTCTCCCGAAGGCCGTCTCTTCCAAGTCGAATACTCCCTTGAAGCCATAAAGCTTGGATCCACCGCCATAGGTGTACGTTATACCCGGCTTGCTAATATACTTATGGTCTAGATGCTCATACGATCAGGTTGCTACTGGCGAAGGCGTAATACTCGGCGTTGAAAAACGCGTAACATCCACCCTCCTCGAAACCTCTTCAGTGGAGAAGATAGTCGAGATCGACCGTCACATCGGATGCGCCATGTCAGGACTACAAGCTGATGCGCGCAGCATGGTCGAACATGCACGCGTTGAATCTCAGAACCACGCCTTCCATTACGCGGAGCCATTGCGAGTTGAGAGTTGTACACAGGCGATATGTGATTTGGCTTTACGGTTTGGTGAGGGTGCGGATGGCGAGGAGAGCATTATGAGTAGACCATTCGGAGTGGCCCTGTTGATTGCGGGGTTCGATGAAGATGGGCCGTCGCTGTGAGTCTTGAAAACCACCGACATGGCCGCGCCATGTCCGAAGAGTCGACACACTAACATCGGGCTGAAAGGTACCACGCTGAGCCTTCGGGCACATTCTATCGTTATGACGCCAAAGCTATTGGCTCCGGTAGTGAGGGTGCCCAAGCTGAGCTCCAGAACGAATTTCACAAGTCCCTTACATTGTCGGAGGCCGAAATCCTGACACTCAAGACCCTGAAGCAGGTGATGGAGGAGAAGCTGGATTCGAAGAACGTGCAGCTGGCCAGCGTGACGAAGGACAAAGGATTCAGGATTTACACGGACGACGAGATGGCCGAGGTGGTGGGCAGGTTACCGACGAATTAGACGGCCAGGTAATGCGACGGTTGAATGTATCATAGACAGGTCATTACAGCAAGCATAGTAGCATTGGCCAAAGGAAAACATGACGCAGATTTACGAACAGCATCACGTATGCGTTATTGAAACGACAAATGAAAGTTTCGCTACGCTCGATCATGTTATCTCACAAGCCAGCCAATCTATAAGCATTACCACCCGGATCTACAACCAACGGACTTTTTGGCCGGTAATGTACAGTTCGTCCATGGTGCTCTCCTCCCGACGCACTTCCCGTCTACTCCATAAGCTTCTCGAGCCATTTAGAAAGGGTTGTCCTCAGGCGCAATCTCCTTGGTGAAGAAAGAGCCAAGAATGGGAATCGGCTGCATAATATCCTTTGCTACGCGTGGGAGCTCGGCGAACATGAAGAGCGCGGCGAAGCCTGCTACACCACCGAAGCCGGCTGCGGTAATGCCACTGTGTACACTCCGTTAGCTTCATTTACAGTTGGAGGAGTCGGGGACATACAATCGCGCCGCGCGGCCGAAGCTGATGCCGTGGAATTGCTTCACAGCCTTGTATCTGTATCGCATGTCCGTTAGCCTTCATGCTCGCCCAGATGGATGTCATCTTCGGTCGTGCGTCAAACTGTTCTCTTCTGCGCTACATTCCGTCCTTGCGTCCTTCCTTCATGCCCACTCTTTCCCTGATATTCTGATTCTTCCTTCTTGCTCTCTGGGTTATATCCAGTCGGAGGAGAGCACTCACTGTGGTCCATAGGGACTCTTGTACGCCGTGTACGGCTCGCGCACCGACCAGGGTTGCAGGCCGCCTTTGCCGGTGAAGCCGGTGCTAAGGCGGGCGGAGGATTCCTATAGCCATCGTAAGTATGTAATTGAGGATGTAGAGATAGCCGGGGAGGGATTAGCGTACGCTGACAGGCATTGTGACGGTTGTGGGTGTGGATTGGGGAGAGGGAATTGGGCGTGCTTGGGTATGATGAGATTTGAAGAAAGATGGCGGATGCGGACTAGTGGCTGAGCGCGGCTTTCAGGAGGGGTGTGATTGGTTGGCGGATGCACTTACATCTCCATGGCTTCAAGAATACAACTTCACAATATCTTACACAGGTTCGAATTGACCACTTGACCGGGCATCTGTTCTTCATTATTTGATCACCACTAGCTAGGTTAAGGATATCTAAGCAGCTCTCATAGGGCATCCTTTCTCCTCCGCACCCGTCTTCTGCTCGACGATCTCCTTCGTAATCTTCATCAACTGCTCCATCAGCTCCATATCGTTCGCCTTATCGCTGCCCTTCTCCACGATTGCTGGCGGGCAGATATACTGACCCGTGTTGGTTGTCGTAGTTGCAGCGAACATGGTGCTGACGCAACCCTCGAATTGCGTCTTCTTGAAGAGCGCCATGCCGTACTTCATCGCGTAGCCGCCGAGTGGGTATGCCTCGAGAATGTGCTCGGACGTCTGACGTGTCTCGACAATGCCCGGATGTATAGCGTTTACGAGCAGATTCGGGTGCGCAGATGAAGCATGGCGAGCGAGATATTTCGCATACAGTAAGTTGGCAAGCTTGCTGCGTGCATATTGCGCATTTGGACCATAATCCTTATTGATCTCCTCGATCGAAGCGAATTGTGTCTCCTTTGGTGTACTCTCGTGAAGGTTGGACGAGATGCATACGACACGGACCGTGTTGCCTGCATCAGCAGTCTTCTCCAGAAGCGGTAGGAGATGGCTTGTGAGAACAACATGGCCAAAATGGTTTGTTGCAAGGTGCTGATCGATACCATTGGTGGGCGCTTCCTGGTAGCTCATGATACCTCTGGCTGCGCCGTTGATCAGGATGTCGAGTCTGTCTGTTTCTCCTGCTATCTGTTGTGCGATCTTGCCGGTTGCATTCCAGTCGGACAGGTCGCATGAGAGCCACCTAACTTTCTTCGCGGAAGCTTCGCCCATTTCTTCTCTGATGGCGTTGATGGCATCGTCGGCGATGTCTTTTGATAATGAGATGATGAACAGTTTGGAGACGTTCTTTGAGAGAAGAGTATGGGTGCAGCCGTAGCCAATGCCCTCAGAGCCGCCGGTGACCAGGGCGACTTTGCCGTCTAGCTGTGGTACCTCTTCCAGGCTGAATTTGCCAGATTGAGGTGCGAAAGACCCAGCGATTCCGCCGAGATTCTCTGCGAGTGTAGTTTTGATCGCATTCATCGTGAACGTTCTTGTCGAAAATCGTATGGGTGATCTTTGAATCGAAAAGATAGTATGGCGGTACGTTCGAATGAAGAGAGACATTCAACAATTATGAAATTTAACACATGAACGTTACTGCGTTGGGCAGCCACGAACTTTGTATATACCGCATTTTTACAGAGTCGTGATGTCAGTACACTCGATCATTGTCGGGAAATCTAGCAGTCGTGACAGCATTGGCATCATTATCGGCGTCATTGTCATCATCATTTCTACGGGGTACGTAGATTCCGCCCAGGTAACACGACAGAGCTTACTCCGCGCCGTATATGTTTTGTCGTGCAAAGTATGGGTCTGCGATGTCCGATTCGATCTGACATGTACCATGCCTGAATGGAGGTGATAATATCTGTCCCTGTGACGTAGACTGAGCTTTGACCTTATCCATCCTGAAACTGGACCCGCAATTGAGCTTGACTTTGCGGTTCTATATCCGGATGCATTATTCGCGCCTTTCCACATGAAGGCATTTGTTATACCTACAGCTTCACGATACATAAGTCAGGATTTGAGCAAAAAGATGTGCCATGGGAAGATGAATAAATGTTTGCTGTCTACCTTAATGTATTGTGCCAAGAATTCTTCATGACGCAAACACAGCTCTCCCGCACCCTGATCTAGCCAATCTTCGTCATTCTCACCACACCTCGAAAACTTCGAATGGACCTCGACGCATGTTCTAAACAAAAAATTAGCGTCAATGGGAACGATGTCACTTCCTTCTGTCCCTCCTACGTCGGATCCACTCAGAGTCAGATTTGAGGACCAATTTGACCCCAGTATAGCTAGCTAACGTTGGCACAGAAGTTAATGAGTAAGGCAGCACTGGTACCCACGTCCTGGTAGATTCAGTCCCATGTTCTTTGTAGGGGTATCGTTGAACATATATACAGTTTCGCCATAAATGACCCACCCATAGACCCCACTGAAAGGGCTCGAGACACAATCCTCTCAGTCAAGAAGCATCAGGATCTCGTTCGGTACGAAGGCCACTCACAACACTTTCGCACAACGATTGACACCTCTCAGCGCTCAGTTGGCAGTTATAGTATCTCCGGAAAGGGATTCTCAGCCACCCTCCACTGCTGCAAGCAGAGAAGCGGCCGATGAGAGGTTCTCGTCCTCCATTAACACCCCATACCAGGGCTCCGGCATTCCTATAGCCCTCCCTCCAGAGCCTATAGAGAACTTTGCAAAAGACATCGATCTGACGCTGGAACTTCTTAAAAGATATAACGATATCGCCGTACCTCATCTTCATGCTGTCTCAGGTTTTTGCGGCATACCTCTTAGCTCTATCGTACCTGCAAAGAGACGTGCATCACAGCCAAAAATAAGTACGAAGCCCTCAGCCTCAGCACTGCCGCGTCGCTCGAGCACAACAAACACAGTCGCTACTACTATCACAGACCCAAGGCACCCAGAGCCGTCTCGCAGACCATCGCTACCTCTTCCATCGCCGTATGGCACCAACACTATCTCGTCCCCTGTCGACAGGTCGCGAGATCCGCGCCGGGATCATCTCCATAGGTTCCCTAAATCTAAATCTCCAGGAGAAATCCGCTCAACTTTGGGACTCACACATAGCCCTATATCGAGCACCGGAATGCCCTCCCCACTAATCTCAGATGGAAGACGCGAAAAAGATACTCCACGGGCAGTGGAACTAGACGTAAGGGAAGACGATCCTTCCCACCTTAGCGTCACTTCTCCGCGACCTATTCCGCCGCTCATTTCGAACACGGCACAATCATCTGTGGAAAAGACCCAGGATCCGCGCCGAAAGCGACAGGCACCGATATCCCCTCGAAATGTGGATTCTTCCATAGAAGGCGCACTGAACAGTGGCGGAGCACAATCAAGTATCATAAGGCCGAATTCCGAAGGGACTTCGCCCATGGGGAAACCACCTACCGAAATAACGCAAGATCCACGTCGCAGGCCTACCGTACAAACCGCACAGCAGCATCCGTATGAGTCCTCGTCCGCAAACACCCCAACACAGCCCATAGGGTCACCAGCTACATATGTAGCGCCAAGTCCAACATTAGATCGAGAAGCTCATACTGGCTCTGCAGTGCCCCCGCGTGGCTCAGATGCATCGGCGACTTCGGTGCCACCAAAACCAGTACAAGTTCTTGCGGGCTCTCGAGGGGGGCCAAGCAATGCTCCACAACAGACGACGCTGGATGCAGATGGAGATATTCAAATGGGTGGCACAGCGTACGACGTGGCTCGAGATCCTCGCCGTCGGCCCTCTGTACCAACTCCAATCTCAGAATCAAACATTGTATCGGGTTCTAATAGTCGCGATAGGCAGCCACCACAGAATCCAGCTCCCGCTCCCCCGGCGGTATCCAGCATCTCCCACTCTCTCACTCCTCGTGACGTGCACCCAGAGTTAATCCAGCCCGCAGCTCCTTCCAAGGCAGCACTTCCTCGGGTGTCGCCAAACTCACCTAATCCACATTTTGACGCTGCGACACTTTCCGCACTCAGGGCAGCCATCACAAACACTCCTCTTTACGAAGGCGACTATGTAAACCTGGCAAGAATAGGCGGTTATCTAAAGCAGAACTCGCCTGAGATTGACTTTCGGATCCTTGGGTACAACTCTTTATCAGACTTCATGGACGCTTCTGGAATCGTGGAGACGCGGGCTTTCTACAAGTCTGGCAAAACAGCGGTCAAAGGTGCACGTCTCCGAAAGACATAGAGCTTATTGGGTCATTACAGGTTGATGGTTATGGGAAGGGGAAGTGTAAATGTAATAGGGACGGTGGTCTGAAGTATAGGTCTATCGAACAATGACGTTCACGAGATTCGAGCGAATGTGGCATAGTTCAGCATGTGCAGAATCCAAATTTTACGGGGTATATCCTGTATAGAGCGATACAGGTCTTCAAAAGCAGTACATCGATCTATGCATATTCATTCACATGACTTCCCGTAGAGGTTCTTCAGCGAGTATGCATGCACGCCAGACACCAGACGCCCTGCATGCTCGTCTCGATATACCAGACCGAGAATGTTGACTCAAAAGCCCTCCCCCCAAACCCCATCACTGGCCGTACTCAACCTCGCACACAGACTTAAAAATACCACCGTTTCCGTAGCCGCAAGGTAATTCAGCGTATCAAGCATGATTTTAAGATGTCTACTAAAGTTTTCCTCGTACTTCTTCAGCACCTCAAACATCTTCTCCACTCTATTTGGGTCGTACGCAATTGGTGCAGTTTTACTCTTCGAGTCGATGGGTTTCTTGGATTCGGCGGCGAGAAGTTCTGGGTCGGCTTGGATGAGGTATTTCGAGAGCGAAGAGGTGAAGTGTGCGAAGAGATTGCAAGTTGCAAGGATCTTGGAGTTGACCTGGGCGTTGTTAGATCTTGTGGCTCAGCAGAATAGGGGTGTGAGAGGTAGGGGACGTACCTTGAGGAGTTTAGCATTGGTAAGCATACACTCCTTGAGACACGTAGCTAGAAAATCGACGTGGTCCTGCATTAACTCATCAACGGTTCTCTTCGGCTGGATAGGCCGATTGCCGGCCGTGTTGTGCTCTGCCACATCAGGTACCGCGAGGCGGTCCGTAAGTTTCTCCCAGTTCGGTTCGATGACCTCGGATGTACAGTAGTAGAGCAACTGCTGGATGAAGATCAACATGCGAGCGCGTAGTGTCCATGCGCGTCTTTTCCATGCCTCAATCCGCGGGTCCTTGCTACGGTGTTTCCAGGCGCGACCTTTACTATGCTCAGTCCAGCTATTTGCGAGGAGGGTTTCGAGATGGCGAAGAGACAGGAGGTAGCGAAACAAGAGTTGGTAGCGGGTGAGAGTGACACGGCTAACAACAAGAGAAAGGGGAAATGGCATGGCATAGTCGAAGACGAGGGCGTCGTAGCCAGTGAGGTCTTTGTCGTCGGTAATGGCAGGTTGCGTTGCCGGTGTGAGATAGTTTGAAATGCTGCCGTTGGGGCCATCTTGGTCTAAACCAGTGACATTCACGATCTTCATAAGCCAATTAGCAAGGCTGACTTCATTGATGGCGACTTTGACATCTTCTTTGAACGGGTCCTCGGCAGCGACACTACCGGGCTGACGAACAACAATGTCAAGTAAAGATTGTAGCTTTCCAATATTAACTAGCTTGGCTTGTTTCCGTAGCTCAGAGTTGCTAAGTTCAAGGAAATAGGAGAAGAAATCGGAACGATCGAGGAAGAAGTAATGTTTGAGTGAGCGTAATCGTGCCGGAAGAGCGTGAGTCGTCAAAAGAAGAGTCAGTAGTTCAGAATTAGCGTAGGTGTAGGCCGAATTGACATTCTCAAGGAATCGAGGATCGTCAAAGCTCGTTGGTACGTCCTCTACTACCTTGCTAACGTCGACGCCGCCACATTCGCGGACAACGTTGAGGTATTTTCCTGCCAGTAGCACCTTATCTTTGACAGTTTCTAACTGGGGAGGTATGAGGTTGTCCCTGAGGGTGTACCGTTTCTCCCAGTATTCATCAGTATAGTCTTGGTCTAAGCGTTCTCGCTTGATACTCTTCTGCTCCTTGACGAGGAACTCGGCATGTGGATCTTTGATACCTCCATGGTGTAGCCATTCGTTAAGCATCACCATGTAAGGACGACTGGCCTCCCGTAATAGGGTAGTCAATAGTGTTTTGGCTGCCGGATCACCAGACATTGCAGCAAGCCTTTTTGTTATCAAGCCAAGAGCATTGCCTCCTTTACAGACTTTCCTGCCAGGGAGTGTGTCTCCAATAGTTCCACCTTCTTTCAACGTTTCAAGGATATTTTGTAGGTCGTCGGTCTCATCGATTGAACCATCAGAGTCATCGTCTTCTAGAATGGAATTGGCTTTCAGCAACTCAATTCCTAGGGTATACAACTGGAAAAGCATGTGGCTCGTGGGCTTCGTGTGCAAATTCAGTAAATGAAGGGTGAAGGTAGCATTCGTCATCATTTGGTGCTCGAGTTGCGCCATCAAAACAAGGTAGTCTTTTAAAAGTTTGCGTACTGCAGCACACAAGGCGTGGCTCACAGCTCCATACTCCTCTCGACTTTGAACCTCAATGAATGCTTCTACTGCAACATAATGGGTTGCCATTTTCAGCATTGACATAGTGAGGTCTCGGAGGCTAGGGTCCAGCCCAGGTAGTATTGTAAATGAAGGGCCCCACAATCGTTCCGTCTCATTTGCTGGATCGTATGAGTCCGCAAATCGTACGTACTCTCCTTCAAATCCCATGAAAACAAACAGTAAGTCTCCAATGATCACAGATTCTTGCTTGTCCGAAGAGAGCTCGCTCAGTGGTTGAGGCGCTAGATTTGAGGGCGCCGTGGATGCTAAGGGAGGTATAGATATTCGAGCGCCGAGGGGAGCAGAATTATGCGGGATAATAGATACCTTGGGGTCCCACGGTAGAGCTTACATAGCATTAACATCTTGTATATGTAGCGGAGAGGATTCTATTATACCCATGGGTTCTTCTTCATGTGTCTGTGTAGACATCGAAATTGGATCCACAAGCTTAGATGGCTTCCCCATGTCCTTGCTCTTTCTCGCATTTGGGCGATTGTCGTTGGCCGGCTTGAGAGGACTTCGAGCGGTACGGACTGCGACTGTCTGCCTGGTTGTCGTAACTTGACTACGTTCTGTCCTACGTTCCGCAACTGATGCAGTTGCAGATTCTTTGGTAGTCCGTATGCTGTTCCGTGTTTCCAGGGTCGATTGCGCGCCCCGCTGTCGCGTCGAGCCAGTGGTGGCAGATGGCTTTCGATCATGGCCAGGAGGATTTCGAGAAAATGAGGACATTTTGAGCTAGACCATGGAGCTACAGAGTCGATTGGGACAGTTGCGCGCGCCGCGCGAAGCTGAACATATATCGTAAAGTCAAGTCATGCTACCGACGTTTATTATGCGCGCTGTGAGCTTGACGTGTTTTGGCAGCAGATCGTCTAAAGCGGTCTAGTGCGGGGACAGCTAAATACCTAAACGTAATTTATTGATACTCAATCGACCTCATTCAGATTCATGGATCTTTGAACGTCATAATTGACTGTATATACCTGCGTGAAGGGCAGTGAGATTGCAGCACGTAACGCATAGAAAGTTATGATGTTCGATAAAATACACTCTCTCATATAGCAGATGTGGTACCTCATATTGGGCATTCTCTGCGACCATTAGACGTAAGTGGTTTGCGAGCACGAAGTCTTTACATCGAAGTCACATCAAGGGGTTTCTTCTGACTGTAACATATGCAGAGCTGAATCTTGAAATATTTGCTTTGCTTAACTTGAACCTCGCTGACCCAAGGCCAGTCTAGCACCGTTGACTGCTAGATGATCCGCTGCGACATTGCCAGGATCACTAGAATGGCCTTTTACCCAAGTAAACTTGGTGCCTACTCTGCAATGCTGCTCTCTCATCTCAATCTTAGTTACGATGGCCTCGATGAGATCCTTGTTCTCAACAGGTTTTCTCGAAGAGTTGATCCAATTGTTCTCACGCCATTTCTGAAACCAAACGGTAACACAATTGATAGAATAGTTGCTGTCCGTTATAATCTCCACTGGTCGATCAATCGGAGCTATGTCAAGGGCGCGTTGTATCGCCGTCAGTTCCGCACGCTGGTTCGTCTGGCGTGGACCAGCGAGTGGCTCTGAAACGTTTCTACTAGGTCTGTTAGTTAGGAGGGTGTGGTGACGAGCGCCCAAACGTACCGAGAATCACTAGGTCCGAAGAACACACCAACTCCAGCACATGCATTCTTATTCTGGTTCCCGAGTGAACTGCCATCAGTATATATCTTCATGTATTTTTCTGGATCTTTGAGGTTTCCAGTCGGGTGGAGCTTCGTGGCGGTTCGCTGGGCCTCAGTCTTGTACACAACCTTGCCATTGTCTGGGTTGAGAATGATGCGATCGTCGAAACCATCTTCTGCATCCGAAGGCAAGGTACCAGCTCCGGCTTCATCTTCGGCACTATCGGTTTTCAGTAGCACTTGCGTGGACGTCTTCTTCTGCCTCTTAGTCGGGGGAGGAGTCGCTACTGCATCGGGGGCGGGGTTGTCGAGTTCTACAGATACATTGGACACTGGCCCACCCGCGTTTGGTCCCGCTGCTACGAATGCTTCCGCTTCAGCTCTTGTTGTAAAACCCTTATGTTTTGGTTTAGTCCAGCCAGTGATCTGCTGGGAGGCTTCCCCCCAATCTGTGTACACCCCAGGTACCCGTCCACTTTGGACTGCATAGAATTTCTGCGCTTGGGGTGTTTTCGGAGGGGACGTAGCTTTGACGAAGGCCTCCGCTTCTGTAAGGGTAGGGAATGATTTGACTGTAGTCCCACATTAGACCCTAAGAATTCATAAAGTCGGAGTAACCCACAGGCAGCACCTTTGAAGCCCTTGATCTGATCTTGGCAGTCGGACCAACTATGATAGACACCAGGTTTCAAGCCAGTGCGGACTGCATAGAACTTTATGGCGGGAATGCGTTTGCGCTTCGTACCCGAGGACGCGTTTGAAGACGTTGCTGCTGACTTAAGGTCGCTCTTTACGCCCGAGGATGCTTTACTGGACGGCATAATTGCAAAAGGAGATTTGTGATATGGCAATGGGAAGACGAATCGAGAGGTCGATCTACGACCTACAGCTTTGAAAAGCTTGCAGATCCCGTGTAATATACGCGCAATGATGCGTCCTCAAAGCAGCTCAGCACTTAGTATTTCTGAGTGATGTGTTAGCTACTAGCGAGACGTTTGCACACAGACTTGAGGCTGGTTTGCTGTCAGTGTGTATTGGCTAGCGTACCTGAATATGAGTCTGATCGTTTTGCCAGCGATCTTACGCTTGAGTATACGAACAATGTTTCAGGCCTGTACACGCTGAAAAGCTCGATGCCAGCTATTCTAACATGCGAGGTTTGATACCGAGATGGACGACTGAACTGTAAACGTACGGTGATGAATTAGCGATGGGCGAGAGATGTGGAAGTCGTTGGCTCCCTCCATCAGACCCCTCCCTACCTAGGGGTGTAGGGGGGGGGTCCTGCGTGCATTACAGGCCGGAACAGCGCCAGCAACATGCAGCCCCAACGAAGCATATTACAATCACGTTGTGCGCTATAGGACTGCTGAGCTCGTGGTGTTGTTGTCGCATTATTGTAGCCCATGAATATCTCAAGTATGAGTGAAGACTTCTCCACGGTTGAATATCACGCGTTCGTGGCCGTCGCTACGAGGTTGAACTACGAGCTTAGCTCTGCCCCACACGTACGTCGTCAGATGACCAACCCAGCTTCCTCCTTGTCGGCACGGAGGTAAGCCAAACAATGTAATGACGGGATGAACAACTGTATCAATGACGGCTCTGTAGTGAATCATCGTCTCACTCCCTCCGTCAGCTTCATCTGCGTCAGTTACCATCAGCAAACCATCCGAAGTTCCTTCGACACTGGCAATCTCCACGCAAACAAGATTGTCTCATCCCGCTCAAACTGGTGAATACAGTTGGCGTTTACTATTGCTTCATATCTGAATTGACCAAGCTTCAACAATCCCACTCCACTCTCGCTTGGCCTCTCCCCTGATCCTGATACAACATCGAATGAGCAGTTCTATGGGTTTGGTAGCACTTCGCCCGTAGACTGCGGCGCAATGTTTGAGGTGAGCTTGTTCGCGGGAGGACCCGAACTGAAGGCTTTATTGTGAAATGCTCATCCGATCTGCAGGGACGAAGGGCTCAGGATCGTTATCACTTGCGACTCCATCGAGCTCGCTCCGTCATTCTGACTCCTGAGGAGCTCGTTGAGATAAGAGCTGCTCAGCGTACTTTTGAAGGCGCCTACATTCGAACGGCTCTCGGCCAATTCTCGTTCGCGCTCATCGTGCTCAAGGTTTTTACAGCCGAGTTCTACTCTATAGGAGCGCTTTTTGCCGTGTATGGTGCTGGTATACTCTTCACCAGCCTGTTCCGTCGGCAGCACGGGAACAAGCAGTTCTTCTCGGAAGTTGGAGACGACGGTCTGCACCGGAAGAAGCTGAGAACAAGTGGCAATATCGTGTCCATCCTCACAGCAATCAGCGTGGGAGCCTACGTGTCACTCCTGGTATTGATCCTGAAGCTCAAGCAGTAAAGAAAGGCCGCGTTCCTGCGAAGCTGTTTTGCTGCCCGACAGTCGCACTGTGGTGTGTCTGGCTATGGCGAATGCAGAGGTGCATAGTTACAAGATCTTGGCCGCTTGGCTGCGTAATTTACGTTCGAGTGGATGCTCGCAATGTGTCGGAATCTTAGGCTCAAAGCATCTACTACGATTGTCACCACAAGAAAGCCAAGAACCCGTATGAAACAGCAGCAATAAGACTACCTATGATGGTGAGATACTATGTATACCACTGCGCCTTATACACGCGGCCCGAAAGGAATGAAGTCATGGACCGGCTAGCACTTCCATCTCCAGAACGCAGATCAAGCTTCGTGCTTTGTACAGGAATAGAAACATCAGCACACTAAGGCTCGAAACTTAAACCTCCTTCCTGGATTGAGTTGGAACGAGCGCAGCATCGTGCAGAAATGATTGGCGTTGATAGGAGACGTGGAAGCTCGTGCACCAGACGGGGTTATGATGGTCCGTGGGGGTGCAGTGTGGAGAAGGCAGCAGAACCTGGCTATACATCCCTAAAGTGAATGGTCACCATTGTGGTAGTAGACCCGGCGGTTTGACGGGGATTGTTGACAATGCGAAGTCCTAACATACAAAGAGGGCTCTTTGTCCCCAGCAGAAGTTGTAGAACATCTCGACTGCAGCCAGCGAGACCAAAGTCCCGCGTTTCAGTCCACGCAGCCCAGTCAGTTTGCCCAAGGCATTACTAGACATTATCTCCATACTTGGCAGTGCGACGCAGCGGAGCATTCACATCCGCTCTCTACCTGATATCTCTCCGCTGGCCAGGACCATTCACTTGAAAGGTGCCACCGATCAGCTTGGCGCAGTCACACCGAAGTCTTGCTTCCTGCCGTTTTGCCTCACCTCAGATTCAACAGTGACTCTCAGACACTGCCCGTATCGAGTCTTCCTTGCAGCATTCTAAGCTTGTTATTATAAACTGGTCCGACCTTGTCACTCCGCCGCTCGTATTTACCAAAGTCGTCGCAATTTCCCGTTGGGCGAACCGTATATATATAGCACGGTAACATCGTATCTATCAATCTACGCTCCGCTGAGCTCCGCTGCAACACCCACCAATCCAATCTGCTTGGCCATTCACTAGGTTCCAAGTCAACCGCCCCGCTGAAAGGAATAGGTACCAGGGTACCGATTACCAAGGTACCGCCCTACGTATCGCACCCGGGGAACAGTCTGCCAAAGACGCCTGCCCAAGGACCATCGCCTGTTTAGCTTCATTCATTCTTCCATTCACAGCGTCACACTTCGGTGCGCCGCGCCTCGACTCTCGAGAGTATATATCTATGGGCAGTGGTAGTCTGCAGAGATCGGCCTTGTTCCGACTCATCGTTGAACAAGCCCGCATACACGCACGATCTGCCGCCATCAGCTCCAGTGCAAGTCAGCAATCCTCGCCGCGGGACCTAGCCATCCGCACGCTGTTCTGGGCTGTGGCACCGGCCCAAGCCAAGCGACCCACAGCTGCAGCTGCTTTAGATCCGGCCAGTGCCACGCGCGCCCTAGCCCACAATGCCGTTCCTCAAACCGGAGCCTGTCGAGGTGACTCTTCTTCCACCTCGACTCAATAATAATCCTCAACAACATACATCACGGTCCTATACAACCTCCAAGCATTCTGCCGTTGCCAAATCGGTCTTAATGAGCAAGCTTCTTACGCCTACCTCTGCGCCTTTCATTACGGAATCCGAAGTACCCGCCCAGCCTCACGCTTCCTATGACTCCACTGTAGCACAACCTGTTCGACCTGTGTCGCATTCCTCACCGGCGCTTCTTCCAGACTCAAAGCCCTCGCGACCTCTTCCCTACAAGCCTGTACGACAACAGAGCTACAACATAGCTCCACTCGGGATCAAAGATGGCGTTGGTGCTGCGCTCACGGATACGCCTATGATATCGATTCCCCCAAGCCCCAAACTGTGAGCGAACCCTGAGATAAATTGTCAAGACATACGCCACGGTGCAATACTGACAAACAAAATAGGTCTGCGCTGAAGACTGGCTCTGGCGCGTCGACTCCGCGCATTCGACCTACGACTCTCGACATCCCTGGCTTGACTAAATCTAAAGTCTCACCAGATGGGAAGATATCGCAACGAGACATTGGATCCAAGCTTGTCATTGTTATGGTCGGACTGCCTGCTAGAGGAAAGAGCTATATCACGAAGAAGATCACCAGATATTTGAATTGGCAACAGCACAACACACGCATCTTTAATGTGGGAGAGCGTCGACGCATCGCCGCCAGTGGTGGTTCTTTCAGTCGATCAGCCTCGTCAGTCCCCATGTCAATACCTAATGTCAATGTTCCTATGGATGATGTCCATCGCGCTGCCACAATCCTGGTAAATGGTGTGGCTATGGCTGAACAAATGGAAACACTGTCACTTCCAAGTCCAGCACATGATCCAGACAATCCATTGGCTTACGTCACCTCTCAAGTCATTGCTGATGACTCTCAAAATGATTCTATGGATCAGTCCGCGAACTTCTTCGACCCTGGGAACAGCAAGGCCGCAGCTATTCGTGAGCAAGCCGCCAAAGATACTTTAGATGAACTACTAGAGTACATCTTCAACGAAGGGTCCGTTGGTATCTTTGATGCCACAAATAGTACTCTAGCCCGTAGGAAATGGGTTATGCAGTATATTCGTGATCGCGCTGGACCAGAACTAAATGTTCTGTTCCTTGAAAGTCTGTGCCTGGACGAAAATTTACTAGAATCGAACATGCGCTTGAAGCTTTCAGGGCCTGATTACCAAGGCAAAGATCCTGTTGCAGCGCTGGCAGATTTCAAACAGAGAGTCGCGATGTACGAGAAGACTTACGTGCCACTCGGCGAGTACGAGGAAAAGAACAATATGCCCTATGTTCAAATGATAGATGTTGGTCGCAAAGTCATCTCGCATCAGATCAATGGGTTCTTGTCTTCTCAGACTGTCTACTACCTACTTAACTTCAATCTCGCTCCCCGGATGATCTGGATCACTCGACATGGGCAGTCTATGGACAATGTCCGTGGTAAAATTGGAGGTGATGCGGAACTAAGCAAGAATGGTCATCGCTACTCTAAAGCCATGGCCAGATTTATCGAAGCCAAGCGAGCGGAATGGGAGATTCGACAAGAGGATAAGATTGCTCATACACATTTTCCGCCGCATCCAGGTGACCATACGCCGCCAAATCCTCATTATTGTCCTACCGAGCATCGTGATCAGCCCAAAAACTTTTGTGTCTGGACATCCATGCTCAAGCGCAGCATTGAATCAGGCCAATACTTCGAAGAGAACGACTTCTATGAAGTCAAGCAAATGCGCATGCTGAACGAACTATATGCTGGGGAGATGGAGGGCATGACTTATGAGCAGATCCGCGAGGACCATAAGGCAGAGTTTGAGCTTCGAGTTCAGGACAAGATGGCGTATCGATATCCAGGCCCAGGAGGTGAAGGATACCTAGATGTCATCAATCGCCTCCGACCCGTCATTGTCGAACTTGAACGCATGACTGACCATGCTCTTCTCATCACGCATCGATCGGTCGCGCGAGTTCTCCTCGCATACTTTAAGAATCTCCCACGAGACAATGTGGCAGATTTAGATTGCCCTCTTGGCATGTTGTACATGCTCGAACCTGTAAGCCTTGAACATGCTATTGAAACTGACTGACGCTAATTGTACTTTAGAAACCGTACGGTGTCGAGTTCCATGCTTTCCGCTACAATTCGGAGACAGACTGGTTCGACGACCTCCCGGAGTACGAATTGCATCGCACTACGACTATGCAACAATTCGCTCAGTAGAGTCATTGCATTCTGTACAACTTCTCCTCCTCTATCCTCTGCTTGAGATATCCGAATGAGTAGTCCCATCACGCTACCAAGAGTAACAATCAAAGCTCTTTCGCAACTTATTTCCCGTTTACATGACGCTACCTTACCCTTGGTGCCACATTCTTGTATTGTTTTACTCTTGTATTGTCCTGACCAAGTCCTTATCTCTGGCGTTGGGTTATCGGCGCAGGCATCCACCAAGAGCTGGTACGAGCAAACACTGCAGGGGATACTGGCGGCGTTACTTGGGTTTCCTTCATTTGACTTGTGCCTCCTTTCCGGAAACAAAGCGATGCAAGCTGTGTGATCGATTTGTTTGTGTCAGTCTATAGAAGTGCTTCCATAGACTTGATATCACGGCCTTGAGCGGCTCGCTCGACAGAAAAGGAGTCTGATTGCTTGTACGACTGGTTTCTCGGGACTGTGAAAAGTATTGGACTGCTCATCGCATGCTATGCATTGAAAATGTTGACGTCATTGCAGTTATAAAATACTGATTGAATAGAGAGTGAGCACTTCTTTGCTAAGAAGATTGAGGTATTCAAGTTCGAAATGCGTGAACCAATGCAAGGGACGATCTTTTCATGTTTGGCATGCGTCATGATCTCGACGAGCGCTACGCGATGACTATGGCTCAATTTAAACTTGCTAAGTCTCGCAATAGTATTGACGTTCTATGTATGAATTTACTTGTGTGTCTGCTTTGACTACTACCCGAAGCCATGCTCGTGAAGTCCGCGACACGAACTCAGGAGACATTATCGCTTAGCCGGGGAGCTCTGACCAATCGTATGGCGCTTTAGCTAAGCAGCTGTTGAGCCAAAGCCAACGACCGAAACTTTAGCTTAGCTTCGCTCGCTCCTCTTCGAAACCTGGCCCTCTATCCAACGACCTCATCACCACTTCTTCGCCCACAGCATCACCACCCGCCGCGCTCGACATACGCATCAATTGGCCGTCACTCGGCCCAATACAAGCTTCTTCTTTCCCATCGCCAATCCTCTCCTCTCTCCACTCCTTCATCGCCCAATCATGCTTTCCTCCAGCCTCATCCGGGCCTCCAGCTCGACAATTGCTGCGACCGGCCTGCGACGTGCAGCTATCTCCCGTGCGACCCCATCATTATGCGTGCAGGAACTTCGACAGACTCGCCAGGCCCATGCAATCTCGAACCCAACGCTCGCGAACATTGAGAAACGGTGGGAGGAGATGCCGCCGCAAGAGCAGGCGGATCTGTGGATGGCTCTGCGCGATCGAATGAAGGTGGACTGGAAAGAAATGACGCTGCAAGAAAAGAAAGCCGGTGCGTACAACTCATCCTCAGGCAATAGGAGTCTCAAAATGATGGTTTTGTGGATGGAAGTATCTTATATATAGATGAGCGAATTCGAGCACATTTCGGAGTTTGAGAGCTAACTGCCGATCCTTAACAGCGTACTGGATTGCATTTGGTCCCCATGGCCCACGCACTCCCCCACCCCCGGGTCAGGGTTGGAGAGTCTTTGTCGGTACTACTCAGGCCATTGTAGTCTCACTTCTGATCTTCGCTGCAACCCGCATGTTCGCCCGGGATCCCCCTCGCACAATGACCAAGGAATGGCAAGCCGCTTCAGAAGAATATATGAGGGTACGTGAACACATTATCCTCCTCTCAAACTATACATACACCCAAGCAGCCAGTCGCTATTCATCGAATTTACAATCAATCAATCAAAGATACTGGGGTGTACTAATGTATCGACAGGAGAATAACATGGAGCCTATCTCTGGTTTCCCAGGTATGCTCCAGCAGAGCAAGGCTAGCGGCAAGTCGCCTGAGGAGCATGCTGCCCCTGAAGAAGAGTAATCACTTCATATCTTTGTTTACAAAAGACCAATTCATCTTCTCCTTGCGTCAGCTTACTTGTCACAATATCGCGTTATGGAAAGCTAGAAAAGCGTTTTGGTACGAGAGGGAAAGCTTCTCGTCGGACGTACAGATGTGAGACGGGAAAAGGGACGGGACGAAGACGGGAAGTAGTGTCGTAAATTACCTAGGCCGCTGTACAGAAATCTAGAAAGGCTTGTTCAAACTGCATCTTTTCTTCAATATCAGTTGCTATTCATAACATATCAACAACTTGGCCACATGCCAGTGCTCATATATATATATATATGGACGCATGCAAGTCTGCATTTTCGATGACCGTACGTCTGATTATTGGTTGTGATCCTCAATATCAAATATTGGTACTGTGTCAATCAACACAGATTCACCAGTACTCCGGCCCAAGTATCTCAAGCCTTACCTTTCGGCTCCAATGAAGGTTCCAGATGTCACATGCGGAGGACATTGCGTCCTGATGGAGATGATAGCTCAAAGTTCGTTACATGTGAGCGAAGGACTCCATCGCCTCGACGGCTTACGTTGGTTTCTTGGTCATCATTAGAGACGTGGCCTGATATGTTTGATGCTCGTAGAGTAAGATGGGGGAGGGAGCTGAGAAGACGATGGGTGAGTCATATGATTAAGCGAGTGGACAGACGACGACGTGTGCATGGAAGTAGTGTTGGATTGGTGTATGTCATGTTATAACCGTATAGCTGTTGAGTTCTCAAGTATTTTTGTGCAATTTTGGATGACACGCGGTGTGTCTAGATGCTATGCTCGGATGTGGTTTGCACCTTTACTAGCACAGGCGCTATATTGGTCTATAGCCACGACAAGCTCGCGAGAGACTCATTTGCTTACAGAGAGTCCTTCATGAGTCCTTCCTGAGTCGTCGTGACGGGTACCTGACGATCGGCTGAACATGCTGGACATGCTACTAGTAGGTGGAGGACTGGATTTTATGCCCAGTTGTAAAAGCTTCGTATGGCACAATGCTCCCCGGAAACACGACAGCAGCCGTTCGTCGTATCTGGTCAAAGTAGCCTGTGAGGGAGGCTTGGAATTCGGCGTCAGGTGATCTAATTCATATTTCGGCGTCCCAAGAAGGCATGGCGCCAAGATTCGCGCCTTGGGTGGTTTCAGGCTGTTATATGTGCAGCATCTGTGGTCTACAGGGAGTTATCATTGCACATGGATATATTGTTGAGAGTTTTATCCATTCGGATTCTGCTTGGCTCGAGCACGGTGAAGGCTTGGCATGGTGGTGAGCGATCAGTTGGGTGGCACTGAATGCGGTAATATATCAGCACATAGACATATGGTAGGCACATGGCTCGAAAAGCCTGACTGAAACACATGACGAATCTGGGAAACACATGAAGCTGGCGGTTATTCAGCCCTACAAGAACATGCGAACCCGCGGTTCCATTCGCTAACGACATGTCGGATGGGTGATCCCGCCTCGTGAATCCTCACGCGAAGCCGAACATTCCCTTGCTCGAAGACGATTATCGGACTATTCGGCCGGGAGGTATAGCCGGCCGGCTAGAAAAGTGGATGAGAGGGATGCTCTCACGTAAGTGCTTTTCATAATCGCGCTGTGGGCGTTTGGTGGTTGTACCCCAGAACGATCTGTCACCCACCTGTGAGTGTCGTGCAGCGCTTGTCTCCTTTGTTGAGTCGAGGCTCCAAGTGCGTTACGCCGAGTAATAATGAGCACTTAGCAACAATCGCTTGAGACCTGTTGTGCGGGAGGACCGGATACGCAAGCCATCCGCCATCACAAGATCTGATTCAGCGTCGCTCTCAGGGCAGGGCAGGGCAGGGCAGGTCCGAGGTCCTCGATGGTCGATGTCGTTTCACCCGTACGAGAGGCTGCCGCGGGCGGCCGGAGAGTTGATACCTGGAGTCTTCCACCACTCCTGATGATATGAGTTGGATGAACATGATGGCACATAACGATACATCTTTCAATGGGGCGGGGCGAGAGTCATAGTCCATGAGTCCATGATACGACACGGTCACAAAAGAACAGTACGAAACGCAGCAAGGGCCTAGAGACAGACAGCCAAGAGCCCAAAAACAATGCATTGCAGTATGCGGTGGATAGTAAATGGCAGCGCTTAATAGCTTCTGGAGTGATAAGTGGATGGATGTTGTTAAGAGTGCTCGTGCGGTGAGTGCCCTTGTGCAGGTGGTGCTAACAATAATGACGGAGACCTGCCACCATGAATGGATCCATCTGCCCTCTGCCCCTCCAATCCACCCGTATATCTACCTCAACCCCACCTTGTCCTCAACACTTACTTCTATCCTCCTCTACGCAATTCTGCATTCTCGTCTTGCAAATTCTTTCCGCAATCTTCTCACTACTTTCTACATCCCCAAAGTCTCTACCACTTCTTGTACGTCCACTCTCACACTTTCATACCACGATTATAGCCTATAGAGAGTTTATCACTGACGCTACGCAGAATCTACTCGTCACCATGGTCGTCAATGTACTGTCGTGTCCAACCCTTTATCATTTCGAGTAGATTTCTGACAGCATCAAAGGTCGGTATCAACGGCTTCGGTCGTATCGGAAGAATTGTCTTCCGCAATGCGTAAGTTCATCCACGACTTTGTTTACTTGTCCGCTTTCTGACCAGTCTACAGCATTGAGCATGACGAAGTCAACATTGTCGCTGTCAATGACCCTTTCATTGAGCCTCACTACGCTGTACGTCCCCCAAAACACTTTCGTCTTCCCCGGTTTCCTCAACTGCGGCTCGTACCCCTCTCGCGCCTGTATTACTCGTCCCGGGGCAACTGCTGATATGGTTGTACTAGGCATACATGCTCAAGTACGACAGCACCCACGGACAATTTAAGGGTGAAATCAAGGTCGATGGCAACAATCTGATTGTCAATGGCAAGACAGTGCGCTTCTACACTGAGAGGGAGCCCGCCAGTATTCCGTGGGGCGAGACCGACACCCCAGCTCAGTACGTCGTCGAGTCTACCGGTGTCTTTACTACCAAAGAGAAGGCTGGCGCTCACTTAAAGGGTGGCGCCAAGAAGGTTATCATCTCAGCGCCTTCCGCCGATGCCCCTATGTTCGTCATGGGTGTCAACCACGAGACCTACGACCCCAAGGAAACAGTCATCTCGAATGCCTCTTGCACAACCAACTGCCTGGCTCCCCTTGCAAAGGTCATTCATGATAAATACACAATCATTGAGGGTCTCATGACCACAATTCACTCTTACACTGCGACCCAGAAGGTCGTTGACGGACCATCCGCCAAGGACTGGCGCGGAGGCCGTACCGCGGCACAGAACATCATTCCCAGCAGCACCGGTGCTGCCAAGGCTGTTGGAAAGGTCATTCCTGACCTCAATGGCAAGCTTACTGGCATGTCAATGCGTGTACCCACTGCCAACGTGTCTGTCGTCGATTTGACTGTTCGCATTGGAACTGGGGCCACTTATGACGAGATCAAGGAGACCGTCAAGGCTGCTGCTGATGGGCCTCTCAAAGGTGGGAACATTGTTTTCCAATGAAATGATCGTATTAACAGCTGGATAGGTTACCTGGGTTACACTGAGGACGAAATTGTCTCCACTGACCTCTGCGGCGACCCACGCTCATCCATCTTTGACGCTAAGGCCGGTATTTCACTCAACAAGAACTTTGTCAAGCTTGTCTCATGGTACGACAACGAGTGGGGATACTCTCGTCGTGTCTTGGATCTCCTCGGTACGTCCATAGATATCATTGCAATAAAATATACTAACAGCCTTTGCAGTCCACGTTGCTAAGGTCGATAACAAGGCTTAGGAATCAGGACAGATCCAAGACACTACCTTGTCTAGCAAGCTTTAAACCATCAGTATCGAGCGAGAGCTCGGCCACTGCGTGCCCATATGAATCATGATAGATGTCAACTCCTCTCGACTATAGTAAACCCAAAAATCGAGTTGTAATAACTACTGGAAAGTAAACAAAATGAAATAACATAGTAGAACCTGTCGAGACTGTCCTCTGATACTTCTGTTGTTCGAGTTTAATATTCCACTGTTCTCATGCACAAGCTCTTGACAAAATAATAAAATCCAGAATCCTGCATGACTTAGCAATACAGATCTGTCCTCGGTCATCCGACTGAATCTTTACCAACGTCTTCGATGCGCCAAGAAATTGGAGAGATGATAGGGCCATAGATCTCTGGTGCGAACCACAAGAAAAATGTTCCCAGTTATAATAAGTGCATACCGATGTAGTAAGCATTGAGTCGGAAGTAGTTAGCGTGTCTCAGCCACATTCTTCCAGGTTGCCCGCAAGCCATATCTGTAAATTATCCGGAGATCATCCACCTCACCAGATTCGATTGTGAGCTCACCTTGAAGCTGTTTATCATCAATCTAATATTACGTTCATACCGACGTGAAGCTTTCTCCCGATACTCACACGTCTAGAATTTCTGCATACCCTGGACCTTATCCGACGACCGAGTGGACGCACAGTTCTTCATCCATATCTTAGACACGTTCCGTAACTTCAATTACCAGTGAGCGGCTTGAATCAACAGACCGGGTTTGGATAGTGGATGTACTGAAGCTGCGCAAGCTATCATCGCATTTAACAGATTTCCGGATAACTTGATCGCATACGGCATACTAGGTTAGGACACTCATAGCGCAACCAAAGGTTAATGAAAGGTAAAGGTCAGTGTCACGTTCTTTCATTTCGCTGATCGGGCTCCTGTGTTGTAGAGCGCTCTTGTTCAAATGCTTCATTGCGGCTTCACTATATGTCTTATGTGGGATGTTCGAATTTTGTTCCTGCAAATGTGCCTGTCTATATCTGGCTGTTCCTTCTCTCGTCCACCATAAGAAATGTCACTAGGAGCACATGGTCGCTCCAGGTATATGCCACTACATATTATGGACACAAGTCCAGCTTTGTTCTTTCATGTTTCTGCCTCCATCGCTTCTGATCAATGTCATTTGGTCACTACATCGATGGTTTCTGCCTGCTATTCGACACAACCCAGCTGTTAACATATCTGCGTATAGTGTTTGCGGCAAGATGCCCCCAACGATACTAACTGAACCTAGAATGCTTTTCTGATAAAAATATCATCCACCTCAGGTGGCAGAAATCAACATGGAAGACGATTCCGAGATGACTGATTATGCTGGGACTATCATCAATACCACAGAGCTGGGCGATCCCCTAAACCCAGTTATTTTTGACGACAATAACGATCTGGTCCAAATGTCGATGCGACAGTCTCGAATACCAATCTTAGATTCCGAACACGTCCATTCTACCTCTCATCTTGGACAGTGGCCTACTGCGTCAAGTTCATTGCATGCAGGTTCTGGAGATGATGGATCTAGCTCGGATGAAGAGCGTGACGCTTCACCACATGTATTGATACAACCGAAACCCAGGGCTCCGAATCGGCCCAGATCGAGTCTACCGAGCGGTGTTGTTTACGATGCGAGGATGCGGCACCATGAAGAGTACATGTCCTCGATGGAGGATAATACACCTCACCCAGAGAACTCAACCCGCATCCTTGCTATATGGAAAACACTCGCCCAAAAGAAGCTAGTACAGCACGACGTTTACTATCCACATCCAGATCCGCAGGACCATCTGCTAGCTCGTGTCGACGCTAGATATGCTCTCAAGAGTGAGATATGCCTAGTCCATGAGAAGCAGTATTACCGAAGAGCCAAAAGCTGGCAGAGTGAGTTGGCACCATAAGTATGTGGGACTGATAGATTGACCTACGGCTCTAGACCTTACAGAATCCGAATTAGTAATGATCGGAAAACGCGATTTGGAGTCAATCTATCTACACCAAACCACGTTCAGCGTTGCTCGCCTTGCAGCGGGAGGTACTATTGAGATCTGTCGTCAAGTTGTGGCAGGAAACCTCAAAAATGGTATAGCAGTTGTGCGTCCCCCTGGCCACCACGCCGAACCGCAAGTAGCCAGTGGCTTCTGTATCTTCAACAATGTAGCAATCGCTGCGAGGGTCTGTCAACAACATTTTCCAGCGACGTGTCGAAAGATCTTGATTCTGGACTGGGATGTTCATCATGGAAACGGCATACAGAAAGCATTCGAGAACGATCCAAACGTGTTGTACATCTCACTACACGTTTATCAGAATGGCTTGTTCTATCCAGGTGGCACTTACGGAGATGAAAATCATTGTGGGGAAGGGCCAGGTCTAGGCTACAACGTTAACATCCCTTGGATGACCCATGGTATGGGAGACGGAGACTACCTCTTGGCTTTTCGAGAAATTGTAATTCCCATAGCCGAGGAGTTCAACCCTGATCTTGTCATCGTCGCTGCTGGCTTCGACGCTGCAGAAGGAGACACCTTAGGGAGATGCCATGTATCACCAGCAGGCTACGCTCAAATGACTCATTCGTTGACCAAGTTTGCGAACGGGAAACTTGTAGTTGTTCTTGAGGGAGGATATACCCTCCCTTCTATTGCTAAGTCAGCTCTTGCTGTAACACAGGTACTGATGGACGGCGAAGTAGATCGAGCAGCAAACCCAGATCCGCAACCTACTGCGTCTGGTCGAGCTGTGGTCGAGCTCGTGAAACGGAAACAAGCCAAATACTGGAAATGCATGTATCCGAAACCAATAGAGCCAGCTGGATCTCCTGGCGCTCGAAGTGATCGGATTCACGATGTAATTCGCGAATGGCAAGCGTACAGGTTTTTCAAGGATTATAGCATGACGCCATTGATGATTCTCCGTCAAGGTGTATCAAGGACATACAATTCTCAGGTTTTGGCTACGTTTGTACATCCCGATCCGTCTCGAGCAGGCAAGTGGCTAACGCGGCGGTATAGACCCGGTTACGACCAGAAAAAGCCGCTTCTGGTGATATTTCACGATCCGCCTGGTGCAGAAACTATTATCGACCCAAGGAACGGGCGCCTAGATTGGCATAACACATTCATGGTATTTCCTTTTTCTCGGGGCTAGGCGACATATCACTAACTATTACAAACTAGACTGATGAAACCAAGGCTTACATCGAGTGGGCTATCAACCAAGACTTTGAGGTAATAGACGTGAATGTTCCAAAGTACATCACCGGGTCCGACGTAAGTAGCTGAGCACATCCTATGCCCACGAATTGCAGGTCTTCGCTCGACTGAACGAACCCGTCGGACGACGCTGATGCTACCTCGAAGGACAACCCTGATTATCAGGATGCTGACGACGAGGATCTCAAAAAGCTGTGGCGGGCTGATCTTCGAGAACTCTCGATTTATCTCTGGGTGAACTATATTCAGTACGTCTATGTCTGATCCTGTCGTTGATCTGTACTGAGCGTGCTCCAGGTGCGCGGAGACAAACCATGTGTTCTTTCTAGGCATAGGTGAAGCTCACTTCGGAGTCATAGATCTCATTGCAAGTCAAGGTACAAATCACATAGATGCTTTTGTATCTTGTTGCTTGAAAGCTGACTTTCGACTCCAGAGGGTAGTGAAGACTACATCAAACATGTATTCACCTTCATCGAACATAATCATATGGTGGCGATGAGACGGCCCACAGATGACACCATAAATGGGTGGTTTCTTAGACACTCTTCTGTTTACATTGAGCACAACCACCTCGCCTGGGACAGACCACCTAAGAAGCTACGTAGATACGGGAACTGTATACGGTCAGACAAGACGACAATGAACGAAATGCTTGTACAGCACAGGTCTGATATTCAGGACGTACTCCTGGGGGAGACTGCAGACTGGCGGAAGGAGCAAGAACTCAACAAGTCGAAGGCCAGCCAGCTAGGTGTAAGAACCCCCTTAATTCGTCGCGGCTCTGCACAGAGAACTGGAACCCCAGTTCATTCAGAGCCCATGGACAGCAATAATCAGTCTCGAGCAAGCAACGGCAGCCCTGTCATGTCAGGTACGGACGCGTATGAGAGAGTAGTCCGAAGTCCAGCCAAACTACCACAAGTCGGGATGTTCTCAACAAGCCCTCGGAAGAAACTTTGAAGATGGGTGAAGGCGCAGCACGTCGTGGTGATCTCCTAGTCCTTCTAGCAGTTCGCGAACGTGTTACCGCATCCGTGTCTGTTGGTATTACATCACCTGATTGGCCGTGATATCAATCATGATATTCATAACTTCTGTTCCGTGGATAGCAGAACTCCTGATGTTCGTTGAATTTTGGATCCCTCATGGATCAGAGACGTATAGTCTTAGGTATGCATATAATTTTACGTTCTATATTTGGTGTCTCGCGCGAGGTTATTGCACTTGTGCTCTGTCGCTAGAGTTCACTCGCTCAATCTGACTGCATCGCGGAGTCTTTTTGCTCTCGGATCTCTCATAAGGCAATCTGTTAGTGACCTTGACATTTGTTGTCCTTCCGCCTTCCACACGCCCATGGCGCTCTTGGCCTAGATATTTTGGAAGGCACGCGAAAATGCTTTCATCACCCGCAGCTTCGCAGTGCGTCCGCGTTTTGGGTTCACACGAGATCGCTGCGAGATCGCCACGTATTCTATTGAGATTGTACGAGTAGTCATATTTACACCATGAGGTATGAAACCAGTGAAGATGGCAACTTCTATGTACTGACATAACTACTAAGAGAGTCAGAATGTGCCCCCCAGTCGAGCCCGGAATGTGAAGAGGTTTCCAGCACCATTGCTTCTGCTGGCTGCGGACATGGACTCGTGCTGTCTGCTCGCTCGAGCAGACTCCCAAACATTGGACTTTTAGCGACTATCGGTATTCGCTGTCGCGAGGATCCTTCAGATGAGATCAAAATTGTTCCCCTGCGACGGGTGAATACAATCGAAGTAAGCATACCATATGAACTCACGCAGAATTTCTAAGCATTGTAGGCGTTCCGCACAGCGGCCCGCAAGCTGTTCTTCCGAACAAGAAGCATGAACTACGTTAGGGTCTATATCGAAGGCCAGGTAGTCGCTGACGAGTACTGGCTCGATCTGCTTCGCGTTGGTCGCGTCTACGTAGTCTCATTCGTTCCTGCTATCAGGGTTCTCTTTTCACCAAGATTCAAACCAGGAGCGCCTCGAAGTTCAATGATCAAAGTACCTTACAAGATGTCGGTCTGGGAGCTCCGAGGTAGAATCCATTCATACATCAGCCAGCGAGATGAGGCACCACCTATCGAACAGCTGACCCTATTAAATACATTCGATAAGAATGCTGACGAGAGGAGCATTGTCATGGAGGATATGGAAATGCTTTCAGCACATGTTACGCTCGCAGAAGGAATTTGCTATATTGCAACTTTCTGGAAGGATATGCCTCAACAGAATCTTGACAAGGCCCAGTGGTTTTCTGGAAATCCGCACGGCGTTGAGGATGTCGATCAAGCTCAGACCAAACGTCCAGCATCTCCATGCCTCTAGACGTTTCAGGGGTTGGTTGCGAGTGCGTACCAGTGCGATAATGTCAGGGTATACTGCCCAATCTACTGTAATCATAATATCAAAGAGGTGTACTCAGGTCTTCTTGAGCCATGATTCCTCGATTCTCAGTACATAGATGGCATGTTGTTATGTGAAGATATGCAGCCGATAATGCTGTCTATGCAAAAAGAGTACTTACGAACATGTGGCCCGCTTCAGGCATCTTCATGAACTACTCATGTACACAAAGAGCTCTGAGTCGTCGATTATACTCCGGGTAATCTGGGTAATCTAGACATTTCGCGTCAGAGGTAACAGTCACTTGAGATCTTGCGATTCACTGCCATTCTTCTACTCACCTTGGTCACCACTCCTGCGATCTTCGCCAAGCGTCCCCCTGCTTCCTACCATATCTCTTACTACTACATATCTGTCCTCATCTTTATCTGGCCTCGTCATGGTCTCTACTCCAGGCAACGCGCGCGTCGCCAATTCTCAAATCAACGAAACTTCGTCGCACGGACAGTCTATCATCATCAAGGATGAAGAATCCGACCATGAACCTACCACTGTTGCCCCACAGATTATCTCCGTATATTGTTATGCAGACCCTCGGACCACATTCAAAACAATCCCACTGCACATGGCGCGTTCATGGGATGCAAGTCTTTCCCTCAATCGCGGGCCCCCGCATAGCTTTACGTTCACTGCTGATCCATGCCCAGGGTTTCGCTGCAACCGTCTCAAGTCTCTACTCGCTCACCACGCAGTCTATAACCGTGTCTCTTGATGGCGACGTCATCGATCCTTCTCTCTGGCACTTCTTCATCGTCCCTGGCGAGGCTTACTGTCTGCGCTTCGTGCCCACGGTTACGCTCAAAGTCGTTGTTACGGAGGAGCTTAGTCTGATGCGTAAGGGTGCCAACGGGAAGATGATGCGGGGCTGGACGGTCGACTCCTGGGCACTGGACAAGAATATCTGGGAGACCAAGTATGTGCTTGCCAAGAGACTGGCCGAGGGCGGATGTAATATCGGCGCGGAGGGGCTGGCGTTGGTGTGGTGGGTCGAGGGGGGCGGAAGAGCGGCTGTGTCATCGAAGACGATCGCTGAGAGGCAGAAGGTTGCGGATTGGAAGAGTGCCAATGGGCTTGGAGGTACAGTGGCACCAGTAGCAAAGGGAAAGGAAAAGGAGAAGGACGACGATGTTATGAAGATCAGGGGCTTGGAGGGAAAGACGACGATCGAAGAGGTCTTGGACACACTGGGATGTGGAGTTGGTGCGTGTGAGAAGCTCACTGTGGAACTTGGACGGAAGTGAGAGGGCCTGTGAAGGTCTACATGAACTTCCTCGATCATGTTTGCTTGGAGGGTCTATGATGAGCTGCATGCGAGAGAGAAGTGATTTGTAGCTTCAACGCTGGGATAGAGGTCATATCAAGACCGTAGCACACGATAATACGATCGAATAAGAGAAAGACTATCATGAAGCAGAATTCGCATGATTGCAAGCTATCCAGATCTAAATCGTGAGGCAAGCTTGATGGAGGGTGCGAAGATCAGCCATGAGTTGGAATATGAATGCCAAAAAAAAATTTAGGACTTGAACACCAGGACAAAGTACAATCATATGATCAATACCTTTCCTCTATAATAAAGAATGAGGCTAGGTTTACTCGAAATTTTATAGTTGCCAGTTCAGTGGGCTGGTAGTAGCCATTGCTCGATAGTCAATAGGGACACAAAGGTCTGACAAAACCAAGAAGGGCTCTACGATTATTTCGATGATATCTCATCCCCAATGACATAATACACCCGGCGTGTAAGAAGATTCTATATAAACAATGCCAAAGTAAGAAGTCGAAGCGCACTAGTCCATATCCAGCCAACATGGCACTTATCATCTTTAGTCAACAAGGGAACATGACATTATGTCGTCCCAATGTAAGAATCTACTCACGTTCGCTCGTACGGAAGTACTACTATTGTTTCTTAGAATACAAGTTATCAGCTTTGATGCCTTAAGAGAAAAAGAAATATGTAGCTGACAGAGTTGCTGCGCCTCCACCAATCTCGATCATGGGGCCACGTCGCCAAAAGTTACGGACCGCACATAGATAATATATTGTATTATCCACAATATCACGGGAGCGCATACCTGGGTGTCTAGTACCCGAATGTAATCATTCGCACGATGGGTCTATGTCAAGTTTGCAAAGCGCTTGACATTGCTCTTCTACTACGGGGGCATAGCAGGAACGCGAACGCCACTATACCATTCCATGCAGATCTCTTCTACGTCAGACGATCTGCAAGCAATGGCTGTGGCCTTTGTAAGGCGTTATGGACAGAATTCAGTCAGAAGCCGTCTTGCTGGCAGGATGGCCAGCTCGGTCCACAGTTGAAGGGATCGAATCTCATAATCACTTGCCTGAGGGCTGCAGTTCTGTATATTAGGGTGCCTGGTGTCTCGCCAGCGCCCTGGGCTGTGCTTCAGCTTCTTCGAGACGGACGTGAGTAGATCAGGTACTGCTTTGAAGTTGCTAACGTCCTATTCTAGGTCTGGAGTACGATTCTGAGCCAACATCATTGGTCCCATTTGCTGGGGTTGATAAGGATCCAACTTCTGGTCTCAAGTTTGCTAGTGCATGCCTAAAAGAATGTGGTCAACACCACTCAGAGTGCGAAAGTAACTTCTCGGCGCCAGATCGATTGCTCGCAGTGGGAAACATATCCCGCGACCCTCACCTTGTCTCGTTACAGTCTCGTCAAGATAACATAGGTGTAAAATGGGCAGCGCTGAGCTACTGCTGGGGTGATGCTGTTGAGCCTATGGTGAAGCTAGATTCTGACAACCTGTCTAAACTTGAGAAAGGTGTTCCGTTGGAAGACTTTGATGCTACCATCCGGGATGCTATCATTGTTACACGCAAGTTGGATATCCCATACCTTTGGGTGGACTCGCTGTGTATCATACAACAACACGGTTCGTCCGACTGGTTCGAACAATCTTCACGAATGAATCAAATTTACGGCGGGTCCTACGTAACGATAGCAGCTCTGGATTCTACCTCGGTGAAGGAAGGCTTCCTCAAAGAACGTAACATTGTAGACATTGGTCTAGAGTGGAAGCGTAAGCAAAGCGGTCATAAATATCGTAGTGTGACGCAAAGACAACCGCTGCTTGTCTCTACATCAGTTGCGCAATGTGATCCAGAAGGCCCGCTCCTGAGGAGAGGCTGGACAATGCAGGAATCACTGATGCCTAACCGTATTATCTTCTTCTCTGCACAAGGAGTAACATGGACCTGCCAGAAATGCGTCAAGACCGAGTCAGGCGATAGCGTTACACCATTGGATGACGTACTTGAGCAATGGAAACATACAGCATCGGATCCAGGCGACATCTGGGGTTATGACCTCTACACAAAGTTCAAACTATTCTCGTGGCAGCTTGGAATACGCGCCAACAATCCTGGGGAGAGGTTTCGTCTGTGGTGGCAGATCATTGAGCAGTACAGTCCTCGCTCATTCACGAAAATGTCCGATAGACTCATAGCGATCTCAGGCGTCGCTAGTCTGTATGCCGACATGGCAGAACTCGGTGATGGACACACTTCCTACTACGCTGGAATCTGGAAATGGGATATTCCTTGCGGGCTCTGCTGGCGATGTCCGGAACAGCTTCTCTCTCCAGAACGACCTGAACTAAGAGACATGGACACATATTTTCCATCCTGGAGCTGGGCAAGCGCACCGAAAAATGCCATAGTGTACAATGGTCTCGCAAACGAGTACTTCAGATCTATGTCTCGACTTGTTAATATCAAAGTCGAGCTTTCTGACCCTTCGAATCCATTTGGATCGGTCAAAAGTGGTCAAGTAGTCGTGGAAGGCCCCCTGATGTCTCTCACGGCACTCTTCAACTCACGATGGAAAGATGATTATGCACCAATGTCTAGCCTGGAACGATGCATAGCTTCCAAGATTGATCATGAAAAAAGGAGCCGCCAACTTCAATCATCACTCAAGGATGAACAGCCAGATCAGTTCGTAGCCATGATTTTGGGCCAAGCGTTCCATGAGCAGATGAATGCTATGGGCGTGATCACATCTGGTTTGGAGAGGGTACAACTGACTAACACTCCACTCATGAGCCCTGTACCTTTAGCACCGTCAATTTATACAAATCTCATTGTACTCATCTTACGCAAAGCAGGCACGGATTCAGACAACCAACAGCTCTATATGCGCCATGCTTTGATTAATATCAACACCGTCGCGTGGGACAAGCTATCAACTGGGATCCCCCTTGATGACTACTGGACGAATCTGGAAAATGAGTTTGCGTCGTTCGATCCCTCATTTAAGAATGCATTCAAGAATGCTGAACAACGTGATCGTCCATTCTTGCTCGCTGTAAGAGAAGCAGCACCGAAGCAGATGCCAAAAGAGTTCTTGCCGCATCGTCTGAATGGCAATGTCATTGAGGATTATCGGAGGAAGCCTTGGCCGCTAGGGACGGTGACGATTGTGTGAAGAGTACGATACGCGCACGCGAGGTCGAGATACATGTTATAGGCGTTCCTAGTCATTAGCAAGCAAAACAGTACACCTCTCTCTCTGGTCTGGTCTCTCTTTTTCCATTCCTTCAGGAGAAGATGCACTACAGACTGCTCTTTGAACTCCATCGAGTTTCTGAAAGTCTTAAAATGCTTTATGGTTCGTCTCCAGATTCATTCCTGGCTCTGGCATGATCCTGTGGATCTGAGGAGAAACCAGAGATCTAACATGATGCTGTTTGTCTCAATGACTGCAAACTCTGTCCAGTGATGTGTATGACGCCAGTAAAGCGGGAGACATATCCTCCAGAGTGCCTTGCCTTGCCAGTCAAGGCACTGAGTATAGTAGTGCCTAATTGGCGGTGCGACATGCTGGTGTAAAAAGAAACATCGTAAAGGCATAAGCCAACTGTTTCGTGACCAGAAGGAGCTCGAAGTGTACTTAAGAATACTTCAAGCGTCTGCATGTATCGCTTTCGGATAATTTAATCATGTCAGTGTTCATTAATTTCGCCTCAGGTCAGTCAAAGACCACACAATACCGGAAAGCCAAGGCGATTTTCGGCTCATGCATATTCTGAATCGTAAGAACTTCAGAGCTTAGGCGTAAGCTCTTCCATACGTCTTCTATTGACTTCGAATATCCTTCACACCCAGCCTTATTTTATAAGTCTGCCATTACAATTACTAAACACCTGAGAATGAGGGACACAAAGACATCATGATAGGTACCATTGACAGTGGAAGTGACCGACAGTAGGCCAATAGGAAAGCAGATACATACAGACAGCTTCTGTGCTCTACCCTCTCAGACAATCTCATTAACACTATCGAGCAGCCTCTATAAGCCTCACACTCTTATTCCCCTCCGGTGCCCACCATCTACACTCCCTGCTATGCCTATGGTTGCCATCCCTCCTTACCGCATTATAATCACACAAGCACAGCCAACAAAATTCCCACCGACACTTACGACATGTCATATGATCACACCCGTGATTCTTCTCGATCCAATACCCACATCCCTTTCCTGGACACTGCTTCGCAGTCTCTTTGATCGTACTCTCACTCTCTGCATCTTCTTTCGCACGCTGCTTCGCCTTCGCTTCGGAAGAGAGGCGCTTGTCATAGGCAGCGCATGTTTCGCCTACGTGCCATGACATTTTATGAGTTAGACACCATGAGACGGTGCAGGATACGCATGTCATGATGGGGTTTGAGGATGGGGAAGGGTGGATCTGGCCGGATGTGCAGGTGGGAGAGAGGCAAAAATGGAAATCAGGGTCGGAAGACAAGAATGAGCGGGTTGCGAGGGCATCGAATCTGTGTTTGATGTCAGAGTTTGCTATGTGAAAGGGCACGAAAGAAATGACAGACCGCTCAAACGTCGCGTTGGTCGCGAGGGAACGTATCTCTGCATGTTCGAGAAGAATGAGACATTCAGGACAGCGGATCTTGTCCCATCCTTTTGACTCGAGTTCGCTTGCGATCCATGCTTGTATGCAATCTGTACAACATGATGGTTCGTGTGCACATTTTGTGGAGATCTGACCAGGATAGTCGTACGGTGCACATGTGTCGCCACAAATTATGCAATCACGACCTTGGAGACCTGCTCTGATTGGAGTGAGTGTATCGATATCTGAAGGCGCCTTATCGAGACCGACGAGATCATTGCCATCGTGCAGGTCAAGAAAGGGAGGAGTGGGCACCGAAAGTAATTGAGACGGCGCATCGCTGAGATGCACAATGATTCTACGTTGGCCAGTGGACGAGGGGAAATGAACCTTTGCAGTATCTAATTCCAAAACTTGCGTGCCGTGGAACAGTCGTATGTTTTGAGTAATTGAAACGTTGAAAACTCGCCTCGCTTCTTCTCTGACGTCTCTTATAGTAAGAGTTCCTTTGCTGATAATGCCCTCGTCGAAGTAAATGTGCTCGGTCCAGTTACGTGCTGGTAAGTGCAAGGCGATTGAATCACGAAGGTGGACCTTGATAGTTGGCCATCGTCTCCGATCCGAGTCCGGGTCATCCGAAGAATACCATGATTGCATCGGCTTGAGGTCTATGAGTGGCCCATCAATGAACTTTAGTTCGATGCACTCTAAAGATTTGACATCGGCGAGTTGTCGCAGAACGTGGTGCTTTAGATGTTCAAGACGGATTTGTCCAGATACCCACAGTTCTCTTTCACATTCTGATTGCCAGACCTGTCCAGCTTGATCTCCACTCTCTATCCGGAAGGTCGTTATTACGTTGGTTCTGTGTCGCGAACTGCCTGCATCGCCAAGCCGATGCAAAATATCAGGAACAACAGCCGTTACCTGGGAAGGAGTAGCATTGGTTAGCATTAAGGAAGTGTGACTTGGTGGTACGCGTGGCGCGATCAACGATCTACGAAGTGATGGATTAGAGTTTCTTCTTGATAGCCTTTGGTTTTCAAGGTTGTTTCTTTTCTTTGCAAGGACGATAGAGCCATCGTCGTTCAGGTGCACTGCGAGCGGCAGGGACGTGATTCGAAGCTCCACTCTCTCAATACCATATGATTGTAATAGTTTATCGTCAAGACGTAGGAGGAACTGCGATGGTATGAAGCAGGTGAAAGGTCGATTGCCCCATTGGCGTTTGATTGCTCCTGCGCTCCGATCATTATTATTGAGAATGCGACCGTTGATGACAAGCTTGAGAGATTTCGAACAAGGCATGCTGAGCCTCATAGCGATACGTTCTTTCAAGTCCCCAATGGTCATATCATTGTGGTTTATACTGGAGCCGGTCAGATCTTGCTTCGTTGTCAGATTTTGTTTCCTGACGTCTTCGACTGCTACACTTTGTGGCATTTGGCTGGAGAGTGGTCTATGCACCATGGTAGAAGGATATGGACGTGTTGCTAGAGTCGATAAGGGGGTGGAAGACGCTCTCGTACGTTGTGAACGCCAAAATGGTTGTTCATGTCCTGGTCCTGATGTATTCCGATGTGGTGTCTTAGGCCGGCTTGATATATTCTCGTTCCCAGGGAGATGCATCTGAGCCGAATGTTGTACCGAACAAGTGTCTAAAGGGAACACTAGGACCTTCTGCATCCCCATGAGTGCCGACTGAGTTGACACATCGAGGGTGGTTCCATTCGCATTTGACGCTTTGTCGACGAACTTGCGGCCAAATATCTTTTTGATAACAGCTGTCCTCGACTTTGTTTGCTCACGTTCAACATTCTTCATAGCTTTGTGAATATCTGTCCGAGTATCAAAATGCTCCACGAAGGACGTGACTTCCATTTTTTAGATAGTCGTGCTCGTTCTTGATTTTTTTCCCGGTTGCTCCGATACTGATGCTGACACTCCTGTAGAATGAAGATGCCAGGAATGGTCGAGAAACAGCTATGCAAAGATGTGTTATAACCGGGCAGTCAGATACAGAGTAACACATCAACTTGGATATGGCTGTGCGAACCCTGGGTCGTGGCAGTGCTGGGACAGGCTGCGAACAGAACACTATTGTTCTAACATTTCGTGCTTCCTTGTAGAAGAAAACCTCGATACGCAAGGCTTGAATTTGGGTAGGAAGATGAAACAACCACACGATCTTTAACTTGTGAGTTCATGCATCATAAACGCGTCAAAGAACTGCGTTATTGATTCTAAGATACGAGAACTCTCGAAACAAACATGCTAGTGTCACGTTGTGTAAGACTGCACGATAGTACCCTGACAATAGTGAGAATATCAACGACCTCCTAGACACCGGACCTACCATGACCTGTGCCCACGCAAAGATTAACTCTTACGTAGCGCTAGGTCCAAGCACATATGACACTCAATGCTGGAGGTTGAGCAAGTCTGCCTGGCGAGGCTGTTTGGCTCTCGCAACTCACAAGGCTGACTGCGGCCGGTAGACTGTGGGGCTTCGGCTTGTGAGTATGACAGCTAAGCGTGCGCACGTGTTCGGTATGGTGAGATCTTACTCGATCACATATTCGGCTATGCGCCGATATTTCTCCAACGGTCTTGTACTATTGAGTCTAGTGAACGGCGTTGGTTGAAAAGAGGAGGCAGTGGTTTCCCCGACTCTGGGTGATTAGAACCTGACTCCACTCTTGGCGTTTTTCGAGTTCGGGACTAACCCGTTCTAGAGTTTTGATTTCAACCTCTCTACCTCTATACGTGTTGATATTTTAGCATACCTATGTAGACTTACAGAGTATGATAAGGTAGTCAATTCTGTATACTTCTTAAGCTCTAAACTCTCGAGCTCAGTCGGTCCTTAAGAACGAAGAAGAAGTGAGTTTTTCTGAAAATCAACTACGTTATTACCGTCCAATGCAGCCGTCGAAGGCGCTATATCGAATTCGTCGTTTTTCTAGAACCTACCGAGCTTAGCATTTTTCATTTAACGTGTATATTATTTTTAAGCTCTAAACTCTCTAACCTAGTCTATAATGAGAGGACTTCTTTTCTTAAAGAAGAGAAAGGAGATAGTTTTCCTATAACCTAACGCGGTTCTCGTATAGGCCCTCTCCAAGAACTTCTAGGGAATTATTAAAGATTCTTCTCCATCTCTCTAAAGAGGCTTTATCGTGATAAAATAAATCCATAAAGGGATAATAATATATCTAGTTATCTATCACATCTACTTTTAATACTCTTATATATTTAGACATAAGCGTAAAAGTAGAATAAGCTTAAGATAGGAAGAGGGGGACACGTGTAACGAGTGCGTAGCTCGTCAGGCTCTATGAAAAACGACGCATATGCTAAACCTAGCCACGTAACTCTGCTTCACTCGCCTTCTGTGGGCTGTTCTTGGGTCTTCATTTCAAGACTACTTTTCTTCTCTGGCCATCTTACGCACCCTCAAACCATTTATGTGCCAATGCTTCGCGTGCCGTGATTCTCTTCTCCGGATCAAAGTTCGTCATAGCACAAATAAGATCCTTGAGTTCTTCATCGACGTCTCCCCAGAGGGAGAATGGTCTGCGCGGGTTGTCTTTGTTGAAACCATCCCGAGTTACTTCAAAAACGGGAACCCAAGGATTGTCGCCAAGATGCTTTAGGAACCCACTCAGTCCGTCCGCATCTGCAAAGTACGAAATTTGGCGTTCGATTACCACGGCCAAACGCTCCACACCCTCGTCCAGCTCCTCTTCCCCAACGGCAAAGATAACGCGTTTATGCACCGCGTAAATGCACTACATAATAGAAGAAGTGAGCAGCAATCTCAAGATCCAAGATCCTGTAATGCAGAAACTTACAACAAGGGCGAAAGAGAAAATGTCAGACGGCTTATCCACCGGTCCTCGGGCGTGTGCTTCGGGACTCCTCCACATCCAGTTACCTGCCTGTTTTCCTACCATATGTGTACCGGGGGGGATTTGTGCGGCATCCTCAAGATCCCCAAGCTGGACTTGCTCGATAACTATTCCGCCCTGATGCTCTTTCCAATCGATAAGAATATTGTCCGGCTTAATATCTGTCTAAAATAAGTCACTGTTCACCACAGAAGAATAGAAGCTACCCGTATGGATAATATCATGGTCGTGCAGTTCGGCGAGTCCACGAAGTGCATCTTTTAGGATCCGTTTTGTCACTGTAAGGGGCAAGTCCTTTTGAACGAGGCGGAGAAGATGATCGGCGAAGTACTGGAAAATGAACATGGACTTCTCGGGGATAGTGTCCTTGACAAGGCGGACATAATTAGTGCTACCCCGTAGCTTATTGTTTATGTCTTGAAGGTCATCAAAATTGACCTCGTGAACATACTTCAGTATGAAATTTTGGTTGCTGGCACTGAGGAAACAGTAAGCTGGTAAACCAAAGCGAGGCGTGATTAGGTTCACTTGCGTAGCGAGATAAACCCGGCGTAATGGAAATGTTTCTTCCTGAAGCACCCGTTCGATGCTGTAATGACAACCCGACTGGCCAATATACACCTGAGAGTCTACCTGGGCAGATGATGTTGACCTTGTATTGCGATGAATCGGCCAGACAATGGCTGGGGTTCTTGGTAAAGCGAGCGTGCGGTTAATGAGTCGTAGTGTGGCGAGGTTAGAATATATCCAACTTCTGCAAGAGCGAATGGCCAGGGGAGAAAGAGAGCGTAGTGATAGCATTAGAGGCGATGACGTTAGAGAAGGCCGTAACATAGATACTATTGATGTCACATTTTCGTCTGAGACAAGTGCGCGTCACGTGGTCACGTGTAGCTTAAGTCGCGTATATAAGTAATGTGCTCCGCCTTCGCAGTGTTAGCTACATGATTCGACCCTCATTTTGTAGTAGTACAGTACGTAGAACCTGGACCTTACACATCACTTTGTAAATACACAATCGTTAACGATGGTTCGAGATAATTATGTGAACCTAATCAATCGGATGCCACGGGACATGGTCTCGTACGTGGAATGCATAAGAGATGGATCACAAAGAGAGATAAAATCTCCACTATAGGAGTCATCATATATCACATCTGTCCATAGTCGACAGAATTCCAACCACGCGCCTATATACAATAACGCACCTCCCCTCGTTTCAGCCATTATGATCTCCGCCGGGCGCGCCACGGCTCTACAAGCATAGAGGCGACGATTCACACTATGGTCTTCTAGTCTTAGCGGCATCAAAGTATACCAATAATGCGCCATTATCGATTGCATCTTTTTCTACAATTTAGTACTACTGTTAATTGGAGACTAATCTGCGGAAGGGTCTCGTTGCAACTTCTGTCAGTATTACTACTGGCTAGATCTAACCCACTACAGTTGCACAGCATACCAGGATTGCTATAGCGAGTCTGCAGCCTAAACGCTTATGCCCACCCTGGACTGGCAGATCTAAGCGATAGTGGTTGCTCAGCGACGGTAAGCAAGCGGTTCGAGTGAGGAACCAAAACATACTACGCAACCTGGAAATCGTATGTTTAGACTATTGTGAGCTGTAATCGAAGTAGCTTCGAAGTCCTTGTAGGGATTCTAATTGACACCAGTCTTCTCCGTATCTATGTAAGACTTTCGAGTAGGTCTTAAGCACTCGTGAACTGGCGGATATCAGTCATCTTGGAATTGGACAGCCTCTAACCTATACTAGCGATGTCGTCGCCGAGACAAAGACGAACAGAATTAGGGCCGTTTGGATTACTTTTCTCGAGTAGGAGCTTTTGTCGACATATGAGCAGCAATATTCACATGGGTGAACATTGGAAAAAGGCTAGACGGATTACAGATCATCCAGTCAACATTATTCTGCTCTGAGATCCGGACTTGTTCACTGGATTGGGAACCAGTGTCCAAACCGGTTCTGCGGATCAAACTGCTTCTTGAGCTCTCTAAGACGAGGCAAATTTGTACTATACACAATCTCATTCGATTCATCGCCATGCGCGAAGTTTGAATACCTATAAATTGATTAGGCGTATTCCATCTGACCACAGCAAGGAAGAACTTACACCTTTGGCATCTCATAGCCGTCGTTCTCTCTGAGAATCTGTCGAACCCTCTTGCCAAAAGCTTCGGCCTGCGCATCCAGTGCCTCATCTTCATACGTACCCATAACTATAGTACTAAACTCCATATCGCGATGCGCATATGCCGTACTATCGACTGGGAAACTTTGTGCTTTGCTTAAATGGTAACGCTCCAGGAGGACTGCTGATAGACTCGCTCCAGGAAGCTGTTGGAATTTGACAAACTCATTCCAGATAGCACGCCACGTACTTGGGATCATTCTATGGTGGCCAGCACTGTAGACAGGCTTTCGAGGCCCGCGAGCACAAAATGGGTCTCCTCCAGCGTTCCACTCATTGTACTCTTTCACAGAGTGCTGATCGAACAACGGTCCTATGTCGTACAGTGCCTTGAAGAAATCATGGCCCTGTTCTTCGTTGCCATGAAGATAGAAGGGCACGATAAGGACGATTGGGGTGTGCTGTTCGTCCTGCGAAGAGGCCAGGTACATAAACACATTGGTATCAGGTGTGAGTTGGAGCTTATCGATGGCTTCTACCACTTGCTCAAGTTTGTCTGGGTGGAACCCGACCAGGGCAGACCACGCTTTGTTTTCCTTGGGTGTGACTGCAAACGCTTTGACAGTAGCCGAAGTGACGATACCGAAGTTCGGGCCTGCACCACGCATTGCCCAGAAAAGATCCGGCTCACTTGTCATGGAAACAGTTTTGAGTATACTTTCGGCAGTAACCACACGCAGCGAGACAACGTTGTCCATGCCAAAACTGTGATGACCCATGAGGTATCCATACCCGCCTCCGAGGTAGGCCCCTATTGTACCAACACAATTACAATTGCCGGTTACGACTTGGACACCGTTGGCATACGCAGCTTCGATGGTATTCTTGACAGTTGAGCCGCCACCGATAGTAGCCAATGTTTTGTCTTCATTCACAGTGAAATGATCCAATCCAGCGAGATTTATGATGACTCCCTCATCATCAAGACCAAAAGAAGAGCTCCAGCCGTTTGCACCATTCTGCGCGAGAAAAGGAATGGCTTTGGAATTACAGAACCGTACCTACGCAGTGTCAACCGTATGCCTAGGGCGTTGAATGTGGAGTGCGCACTGTCGTCTCTACATCCTCTTCACAGCCAGCATTTACAACAATCTTCGCTCTCGGTTGCTTGTATGTGCTCCATCTTAGAGGAGCGTCGGAGCCGGGTGATGCAGTGCTTTGGTCAGTAAGCTGTCTTGAAAGCTCGACCATATGATGTTGGACGTCGGACTCTGACGCAGACATTCTTGACGATAAGGTCTTACGTATTGACAGCGTAGATAGAATTGGAAGAACGTAATAATGGTGGGAAGTAGCAGGGTTATATACCGTGTGCACCTCGCAAGCTTATGCAACATACCAACAATTCGAACAGGGTCTGTGCGAGGCCGTGTGTTGTATGCTGACTGAAAGACTTAAGCAGCGGAGGCTTTAGGCAACCCACGAAGATCTAAGGGCTCTGCAGGTGTATTTTGGTGACGCCCCGAGCCATGGCAAGGAACTTACGAATACCTAACGATTCTTGGTCCTGTCAATTCAATCAAGGCTTAGATGGCGTGCAACGAGATCACACACTGATCTCCACGTTCAATATCTCGGAAGCATGATGATAGTGACAGCTCCCATTGCCTCTGTGCTATCCCACAAGACTCGCTGGTCTTACAAAGCTTATAGAATCCGTTCCTGCTCGAAAGCATTAGACGTCAGACTCCTGTAGTGTCTTTAGTAACATCCAAGATGGTCTAATAATAGTGCTTGATATCCTGCAAACCAACACTGACATCAAAAGTAGGGCGACTGACAAGTGCTTATGGAATCTCGATGGGCGAAGTGCGTGAGACGGGTAATTAGATAGGAGACGATCATTACGTCGGGTCCACATTTAAGAAGGCTCCGAATCTATGGATGAATTTGCTGCTCCGAATAAACTCAAAAACTCAAAAGGGAGCTCACGGACCTGTCAGCACAAAACGCACAAGGTAATTAATTATCATGCGCTATCACTCAAAAACAGAGATGGCGTCCCTACGACGAGTTGTGGCATGTTTGACCACGGGGCAAGTCCATCCCCAAAAGTCACAGAGTAGCCGTGCTTCTTTTATCGGACAGAATGTGCTTATGCTTGGGGTACGGAGATGGGGCTTCGCAAATTCATGCATCGACTCAGAGCTCTCGTGTGTCCCTGAGTCAGACAATATTAGTTACGAGCGTCTAGATCACTCTCCACGCATCCCGCTGCAAAGTACCGAATCTCTGTGGCTGTACAGGAAAATTAGCACACATGTTGTAGGTCACCTGCGGATTCGCACGAGGCAGAATGACCTGTGTGTGAGTACAGTTTGTAGTATTCTGAAAGCATGAAGTTCTTGATCACCATGCCGCTCGTTTCTCCGTCCTGAAGCACGACAAGGACCAGGCACGAATACGGACACGATTTTACTCAGTCTAGTGGGTCTTGCGCTGTCGACCCATAGCCAGGAAATGAATTCACGCGGGGTAGAGTACCGAACCCGAACGACAAAGTATCCAGGAAACTTTCGGGAACAGACCCGAAGTCCATGTCTCAACAACAATTCAGTTGTACCGTGCCAAAATCGTCTCCGTCATGAATTTGGACAGACAGCGTCTAGCCCACATCACTTGCGAAGGTCGCTGTTATTCCTCAGTTTGCTATCTGAACACTTCCACTATTCCAATATCACTGAGCGTATGGGCACTGCATTGGGCTAAATTTAGAGATCATCAGCCTTGCTACCAGGGCTGCGTCGATCTGCTCATAACCGGGCCGTGATTTGGTCGTGATTTGTGACCTGGTAGCGCAGGGACATGCCCGGAGACAATAATGGGGCGCGGCGCGCGACTGCCAGTGAAAAACTTGTGGCTTAGTCACTGTGCCACGCTTCCCAACCATTTCATTTTCGCATTGAATCCTGCGTGTTCATCACAGTATTAAGGACTCTGCTCGTGTATTAAATGGAATCAATGGCATCTGGCGGGCTCATGCCATCGTACCGGAACAGAATCGTGCAGTGCACCAAAAATTGTGGAACGCATCCGCGCTTTATCTACCGCCCGGAAATGCGGACCAACGAGTCCTTATGTCATAGATGATCTCCCCAACAGCACTACTTAGATATTCAACAGATCGGACACCAGGTTCATATTGTGTTGGCAGGCATTCGACTTTTTTGCGCAACGCAAATGAATATATCTAGAGACTAGTGGGTCGCATATGATGGTAATTCACACTATGCGCATAAGCATCACCATACCCTTGCAAGCAAATGGATATACCACGTGTACACAAACCTTAACAACTGCCGACAATTGCAGCCCGTATAGACTAGGCACATCGTTTCTTCTCGAGTGCCCTCAAATATTCTGATTGGCCAATCTCGTCCAATAGCGGCAAGTCCATCCACACCACATCATTCTAAGAACGGTCGATCCCAAATCCCAGTCCCATATCCCCACTATTCCACTCTCTAGTATGATCTGCAACAGGGACGTTATACTAAATCCTGCAGAGCACAACGTGGGTAGCCAACCACGTCGCGCCGGCATGGGCACTCCGAAGACTCCAGCCGTTTGCAAACTCGTAGCTTTGTGTGCGATGATGTGAATCGTCTGGAAGCAAGGCCCCTGAAGGATACTAAGTGGGGGAGCAGAGTTTCATTGAAATATATACAAGGCTTGTACGAAGTTCGAAGTCCCTGCCACCGATTATCATCTTGTAAACAATCTGGCCGTTGCCCAGCATGATAGGCATCAAGAATCGCGGTGTTATGATGGTCGCCATCTTCTGGGTTGAAGTCGCCATCTGCTATGTCTTTGCAGCGTTGAGGTATTACACTCGAGCAAGAATTGTGCGGAAGGCGGGTGTTGACGACTGGCTTGTTATTGTATCGTGTGTATGTTGTTCCGTCCGTCCAAGTGCTCGAAGCCACTGACAAGGCGTAGCTTCTCTTTACTATCTACGCGACCCTGATCACTCTATGTTGCCAACATGGCATGGGTCAGCACCTTCTTCATGTGCCGCCTGAAAATTACCTGCCATTCGCTAAATATCATTTCTTTGCCCTGGACATAATTGCGATTACTGCAATCGCTACTAAAGCTGCCGTTGCGGCTTTCCTCCTTCGACTTGTTCCTTCGACTGTTGCGACATGGGAGAGGATCTTTTTATGGACGTGTATCGCGACTATGGCGATCGTGAGCACTATGTCAGTCCTAGCTGCTCTACTCAGATGTACTCCGATTGAACTGGCATGGGATCCATTACAAAGACACCCGTGTCGGTTCGATATTAGACATTTTGTCAAATTGGCAGGTGCATGGACGACGATCGAGGACTTCGTTCTGGCGATCTTTCCGTGGCTTGTGCTTTGGAATATGCAAATGCGCCGTAAAGAACGACTGCTTGTTGCTATAGGCCTCTCTTTAGGCGGATTGTGAGTACTTACCTCTACTCTTGAGCTTCTAGACTAAGACGCATATAGGGGTGGCATCTGCAATATCTTCCGGGCTGTTCACATAGACGATCTGTCCGACTCGCCAGATAAGACTTGTAAGTAGGCTCTTCGTCGTCATTGAGTCTCTTCTGACAAAATCTAGACGACATGCTCCAACTCGACCTCTGGTCGGCTACAGAGATCACCTTCTCCGTTGTCTGCTGCACGATTCCCGTCCTCAGACCTTTATACATGCGCGTCCTCGGCCAACTATCCGAGTCCAATCCCTCCGACGATTTCATTCCTTGCGCAGGCCAACGCGCAGATCACCAGCAAAAAGGCTTCTCGACTCTAAATGACGACCCTGCCACACGCTTGGATGAAGAAGCGAGCATCACTATCGCGCGCACACATGAGACGACTAATTCCATAAGCAAAGATGTTGAGCGTGACGTAGAGGCTAAAGGATGAAATATCAAATTCCAAGATCGGGATGAGAACTTCGGATAGGTTCCCAGGATCGGGGCGGCTTTCCGGGCCTAAGGGCCCCACCACCCCACATATGTTACACATCTAGACAGGTTATCCATGTCGCGACACATCGCTCAACAAAGCATATACCGGTGCTGTGGGACACTAGACAATAGTCGAAGCCAAATTCTACATCGTTCCGTCGACGACGATGATACCAAGTTCGCCATATTCGATCCTCCACTATTATACCGTCGTCTTCAATACTTCACGCGACGCTATACACTTAGTCGTTGTATACGAGGCATTGCCGCATTAGCACTACACGACTGAGTGACATGATGGATTGTCAGTCATGTTTCCAGGATGGCTATGCTATAATCCGGTACGGGAAATTTTCGCCTTGGCCTGGTGATATTTCAGAAGATCCTGTGGAGAGCACGCTTGGACTCGATGGCCAAGTTAGAGACATTAGGATCATCGCTCCTTTGGTCACGTCTTTGTCGTCCCTGTTGGCTTGGCATACAAAACGTTAGCCAGCACGCCTGCAGAATTTCAATGTTGATATTTGGATATACCAGATGGGTTGCGAGCTATACTCCAGCGGGAGCAATGCCGCAGCTTGAGCTGCTCGAATTTGTCATATCAGTCGTATATTCATCGGATCGTTTTTGGGATTTTACAAAACGAGATAACCAAAACTTGAGTGGAAGAAGACCTACGTGAAAAAGCCGGAGAATTATCTGGTGTCCAGCGTCAAGAACAAAGACTTAATGGTACAGTGGTAGGTGTAATTGCATGACAATTGTCGGAGGATAGAGCATGTACCGTCTAGAATACGGGGACATCGATGTACTCTAAAGTCTATATGAGACCTTTCTTATCTATCGCGCGATTATACGGACATACGAACTCCACTGCCATGTCGTTTTCTTGCTCATAGAAGGATTTTCTGGGTGGACAAAGACACCAATGAGGCGATATCATGATGACCATAGATATAAGCTGACTGTATATGTCTCATCCTGCGTATAGCACCATACCTGGCTGATGCGTGCTCTGCCTGAACAGCACAATGACGTCATCAGACCTTGGTACATTGCTTATATTCTCATCTTATTCTCCAAGGTATCAACCTTTGTGGTGCCCTTAAGCACTCTCTGCTCTACAAAGCTTAACCCAGAAGCCTCCCCGATCTTAATTATTATAGCCGTTTCTTTCGATTAATTGACTATATACGCAAACAAATCCAACTGAATCGTAGACTGCAAAGTAGACTGCACAGTAGCACAATAGACTAAACAACCAGTAAGGAAGAATGGCGGAAGACTTCCAAAGACTGAGAAACAAAACTTTTCAATCCTTAGAAGGCAAAAATGCCATCGTCACCGGTGCCTCGCGTGGCATTGGCAAGGGCATCGCATACGATCTCGCATCAAGGGGCGCCAAGGTGAACAACCACTGCAAAAGTCCCTCCACCATCGTCTGAACGATCCTTGATACTTGGCACAGGTCCTCGTAACATACAACTCCGAAAGCAGCGCCTCGAAAGTCGAGCGATTTGCCACGGAAATCGGACCTCAGATTGACTCTGTCCAAGCCAATCTCTCCGACCACAAAGGCCCCGAAAAGGTCGTTGAAGCAGCTACAAATTTCTTTGGGGAAAAGTCTATCGACATCCTCGTCAACAACGCCGCATTCCTCAACAATGGTGCACTTGGTGAAATTACCCGCGATGACTATGATGCCGTATTCAATGTCAATGTCGCAGGTACACTCTTTCTCACACAGGCTATCAGACCACATCTCCGTCCCGCGGCACGCATTATTAACATCTCGTCCGTTGGCGCACGTATGGCGAATGTGGGTATGTCGCTTTACACCGCGAGTAAAGCGGCGCTGAATGGACTGACGCGCGTATGGGCCTCAGAGCTGGGTCACGATGGGACGACGGTGAATGCAGTGTGTCCAGGGCCTGTGCAGTCTGATATGCTAGACCTGGTGCCTGCGGAGATCAAGGAGTTGCAACGGAAAGAGACGCCCGTGGAGCAGCGGTTTGGAGAGGATAGGGATATTGCTGGTGTTGTTAGTTGGTTGGCGGAGGAAAGAAGTCGGTGGGTGACGGGCCAGGTTATCAGTGCGAGTGGTGGGTATGCGAAGTACTAGACTAAGTGGTGTTGAAATTAGTTGTCAAATTCGTCATAGCCAGTCCATGAGTCACAGCTTCATAAGACTTATGGGTCATCAGTCTGTTAGAGAGAATCCATTTGTTAACCAATCATAGGATATATTAGTCGTCTACTTTGTTCGATCGCTAGCCCTGACCTGCCGGGGTCCTATCCCAACATATGCACTCGACCGGTCGGCGTATCAGGAGGCTAGGACTGCGTACATATCGTCTGAGACTGAAACGTTGTGACCTAACTCCTGCTGTAGATCCTTGTGATTCATGGACTAGCAGATCAATCACTGTGAGCTGATGAATAGTCCTCAGTGTCAGAATGTTCACTTTTATGTTGACATGTCAGCTTTATAGCGCAGCTTAATTGCTAGATAGCACTACTTGATAAAGCATTGTACCTTTCTAAGTTGGATACCTAACTGTTCGCCTGGTGTCATCTATAATATACCTGTGACCTTCTCTTAGAACATACGAAGTCACGAAGAACAGTCAGACCCATTATGTACACGACAGGTACACCCGTGTATTACGCAGATCAAACAGCCGCGTCGACATATACTACGGTTAATGCACTCCGCGAGTTATGTCTGTCTATATAACGAACTTAAATCAGACTGATATTTTGAAGAGGCGCCCCTATCTTTCGAGCCATATCCGCTGTCAGGCGATATTCGTTCTCGTACATATTCCATTCTGCCTCTGTAAATTTCGAACGGTGTGGAAGGATCCTTGGGTCTAGTCTCTGGATATCCCCAGTTGTTGTGTTATAATATGCCTGTGTATATTCCTCCAAGGGTCGACTGGGGCTATACATCATCGCCTCATATCCAGAAGGTAGAGGTCCCAGAACTGCTTCGTCGTGTGCATGACCATCTAGATAGCATTCACCAACCAACTGATACACAGTACCATCTGGTCTTCTCACTGGTCTGAGTACGAAAGGGTTTGACCATCCAAGTAAAAGAAAGACGACATCGCCGGGTTTTGAGTTTTTAGGCCCAACTCCAAGCTGGTTGTGCTCGCTTAAGAAGAGCGCTCGCTCATGACACGGACGGTGAGTCTCACAAAAAGGAGAGCTAGGGCCAGTAGGAACTTCGATAGATAGACTTGATTGCTTCTGGACCAGTTGTTGTAGCTCCAGGATGCTTCGTTCGAAGCTTGCATGGCTAGGCTTGGGACTGGGCGAGTAATATTCGTCGAAGACACGGGCAAAAATAACTCGACAAAGCATCTCAAGGGATACTATTGAAGCGTTTCCGCTATCACCGAAGTATTCACGGAAACGCTCGAGATTTAGATAGCGTGACTCACCATGGCCATGACGTTGGACTGGCCAAGTGGTGCGGACAGAGCTGATAGGCACCCCAGAAACCATCAGGACATTCATGTCTTTTGGGCTCATGCAAACTTCCGAAAAAAACGACCCGGGTATCCAACAGTTGAAGCGTTGTAGAGTGTTCGTGTTCTTCTTGATACGCCAGTCCCTGATCCAACTCGGCCATTCCTGCCGGCGTAAATGCGAGCCAGCGTAGGCGAGCATTTCCAGGTCATTATGCAGAAGGCGCAGAGTAGCGCTTCGGTAGACATCGAGCACAGATAGATTGTAATCTGTGACCATCGAACGAAGGCTCTCGTGAAACGATAATAGAGCGTATATGCGGTCTCGTGGGTCCGAGCATTGAGCGTTTACACAGTCATTGAAGATCTTTGGTAATCTGTATTTCCTACCAGACCATAGATAATAGACCAGGGATAGCTTTCTGAACAGTTCATTTGCGCGGAAATAGTGATCGTTGGGATCTTGCATCTTATCGACGATAGAACGAATCCCCATCCCGAAATACCACCAGCTGATCTGATTTGAACCGCACACGACGACACCCCTCTTGCATTTATCGTGCGTTCCAATCGAGAGGGCTTCCTGTCTTATCCAAAGGCGCGTGAACCATGTGCGGCTGAGCAATAACTCTAATGAATGACTATTCGATGAGCTGAGTAACATAGTAGACATAGGGTTATCAAGAGATCCTTGCCCTGGTAAAGACATTCCTTCGTTTTCTCCAATCGCGTTCAAGATTCTCAGTACATGCGCACTATCGTCTGCTTCCTCGCCTAGCCATATCACAATCTTTGATGCTGCTTTGTAAATTTCAGCCATATAAGCCACTTGTTTGTTTCGCTCGGGTACATCGTCCTGATTAACACATATAGCATCGATCCACAACGTCCGGGATTTGGTACCTAGCCTGAGATGATGCAGGGCCGACTTAAGATTCGGTGTCACAGATAGGTTGCAGAACCTCTTACATTCCGATACCTCTTGGACTTGTATGGTTCTTAGATCATCTTTCATGCCCCATGCATACGATAGAGCCTCATATGGAGGAATTCCGTCCGATTTCAGGAGGTAAGTGTGCAATATGACGCGAATGGGATCATTCTTCCTTCCCGGTAAAAGATCGAGTAGCCTAATCTCTTTGCGCGTCGCATCTAGGGGAATATAAGTGTAGGTTGACATTCCTGCGCCTTGCAGCAGTGAAAGTTCAAGAAGTCCTGAAGTCGCAGAGTAAGGGCATTAGAGTTCAGAAATCGCGATCAGACTTGGATTCGAAATTCTAGATAGCCTCGAATTATATTAATGATGTCTTGCCGTGCACCGCCCATGTATGCATGCACTGCGCCACCACATCCGCAGCTTCCCCACCTAGCAGTCTGAAAGCGGCTTTCTCTACTTCGGCTTCGACATTGCTCAGAGAAAGAGACACAACACTCATGATAACAATGCAAACATGAGATACGTCCTCTTCCAATACTCGGTCGCATTCCTAGCGATCTGGTCGAACATGGCCTTACTGATGCCTTGTTGATCCATGTCCGCAGCACCTAGCAAAGCCGTCGAATTGTGACTGGAGAGAGCCTGGCTCAAATAACAGCTATCGAAGATCAGCTGTAAAAGTTTGTTTGTCATGCGAGTCTTTTTATCCTCAAGACTCGCATGAGATGCTTCGTCGATACTAGGTTGCAGATCGTCCTCACTGGAATCTGCTTTCAATTTCTCCGATTCACTTTCGAAGATAACCTGTCGTGCACAACGTTTCAACGCCTCTACAGCACTCTGATTCGAAGCCTCTTTTAATACTTTGACTGCCTCTGGCGACCAAATATCAGGGCCAATGATGGTCATGCTCGATGATAATGCATGTAGGAACTTGTATGTGGCTGGGGAGGGGAACGATGGTAGCGCTGGGTTCCCTTCCCATAACTGACGGCCAGAAATAACTTTACGGCGAACAAATCTGTTAAGCAGCACCTTGTAGATATCTTGTGGTTTTACAATGACCGATGCCGCGACAGTCTGATGGAGAAGCTGTAAGGCCTTTTCTGGAACCAGATGCGACTCGTGATGCGTGCTTGCAGCAGATTTGGGCAGACGTTGACTAACCTCCCGCAGAGTCCGCAACACGAAGATAGTCTGCCCAACCCTACTTTCAGTGTCCTCATGAGCAACTATGCGCTCTGCAATGCTCTCGAGGTCTCTCCGTATTTGAGACAGAGCTTGTTCTGAGCTCTCGTACAACGCTTCTTCGATGCTCCGGGGATCATCCTGGCTGAGGAGTGTCTGTTTCGAATCTAGTTCCATTTCATCGTCATCATCGTCATCAAAGTCATCATCCCATCTCAAGTCTCTCATCTCCCTAATGACACGACGTACGTTGGCAACAGAGTCTGCCCATGCGTCGTATGTGGCAATTATCTGCTCTACTGGCTGGCTGCGGCCACGGCCTCTCTCGATCACAGATTTCTTGAAGCCTTCGGCTCCATCGCTTAGGTCGATGTAGTCAATTCCAAGACTCCAAAGCGGCGCGGTCTTGACAACATCCCCATTCCAATGTTCTAGATAGTCACCGATTGCATCAGTGACAGAGCTCAGCTTCAAGACGTCGCGCTGGGCGATCAACTTGGTGTGCTTGTTCAACACGTCTCGTAGATGATCAAGCACACGTTGTGGGTCGAGCCCAGGCGCACGTCTGCTCGCAGGGAACCACGTCTCAAGAATGTCTTGTCTGAGTTTGACGACTTTACGTAGGTCGGAAATCTTAGAAAGAACCTTGTCTAACCCAGTGACAAAAGCTTTCATGGCTTGGCGAGCCCACTCTTTCGTCAGTCGTTCTACGTCAATTCCATTCAACTCGTCATGTCGAGACCATGGTGTGTAGTTGCGGACTTCATCTGCTAACCATCTTTGATGTATGGGCAAATTCAGCTCTGTCACGGCCTGCACATCTGACGCCTGTATCAGCGGACGTGCTTTGAGCTTTAACAATGCCTGCGATATCTGCCGGGGAAATATTGCCCGTGTTTCATGAAGTGTTGTTACACAAATATTCAGAGCTTTGAGTATATGATCTTGGATATCTGTTTTGTGATCGAACTGCCCATTGAGCGATTCTAGACGTACCTGGTGAAATCTATTCAGGACATTTGTGGGCGTGGATGAAGTTGCGAGGGAGTAAGCACATAAGTTATCAATCAATGCTTCAGTTTCCAATGTTGGATCAGAACATTGCTTGCTGATACGACTAATGAGCCTGCCGCGCAAATAGCCTAGTCGTTCCTTGGCTCGTTCACTTAGCGGAGAAGTGCTCGACGACTGAGTAAGGGCTTTGTGTAGAAGTCGTGAGAGTACGAGGATCTTCGATGCGAGGAGGAGCGAACCTCCCTGCTTGAGTTGTCTAGCGATGACAGTAGGGCACGCTTGTAGCATAGCCAGCTGCGAGGCAAATGCATTCTGGTGTTCTCCTATAGACATATTAGACGCTGACACCAAGTATTACTTAGATGTGATGTACTTTGCGTTCTCCAATGTTGATCGATCATGGCGTAGTTACTGGTGACCTTTTCCAGCAAACCAGAACTGCAATGAGTACCTATCTGAGCAAGGGCGTTTTCTACCTGTCCCATGGTCTGATCCATGTCGACAATACGTTCTGCCGTACCTAGAAGATCCCGATAGCTCGCTCTGCCCCTGATCAGCAATAGGACGCAATGTACATTATGCGACAGACCCCACTAGAGACCGCAATCGTTCTCGATTGTCGTTTGCACTGGATCTCAGCTGAGCTTCCAGCTTACGAACGACTGGAACTGGGTATTCGAAAGCATCTTCCCAGCTCTTGAACGTGCGCGGATCAGGTGCTTCAGTAGCCATGGTAACCCTCAATACGCAGCAGATGTATAGGTAGAAGCTGGCCTGTGAGACTTCAAACTATGTTTCACCGTGAAAGAGTCATTCTTCCGCAGTCAGCGCAATGCCCAAGTGATATCTTCGCCTGACTTCCGAAGGAGCTTGGCGTCTCGAGCTATATGGTGAGCACGATAGAGTGGATGTTGAATTCTCGTGGCCAGTTTCTAGTGGCGCGACTGCGGGAAACATCAACCAATCAGAGCGAGTGCAGCCAACAGTCTGAAACCACGTCTTATGACTACGACTTCCTGATCAACATCCCAAACAACAACATCACTTCAGCAAGCCGTCATACTTTTCCTGGTCCTCGACCTAATAACTTCTCTTCTGCTCTGTGCATATTTTCGTTTCTTTTGAACAAATTCACCTTCCTCTTCAATGTCGCACACAATCTTGCAGTCTCCACTGCTCAGTTTACCACTCGAGCTCCGGCTAGCTATTTACGATTATGCCCTTTCGGCGCCTACTGCCATCAGTATTACAACCACGATCGTCGACGATACCGATGCACAAGTCGTTGCTGAACAGAAGGAGTCGATACCTGGTCTTCCAAGAAATCATGTACCACATCTCTGTTATTACACCGATGCAGCTTCAACCCGCACCGTCTCCACCCTCGAGCCCGACAATAGTAAAACACCTCCTGGTCTGTCCCAATCGAAGCATCATATAGACCACAGCAGCGACAGCGATGAAGGTCCTCGACCTAGAAAACGTGCGAGACGCGCCCCTCCAGGAACTGGGCAAGATGAGACACAAACTCCATACCTGCCGTACCTAGCATTTGGTCTATTTCAAGTCAATCGCCAGATCAATCAAGAATTGACGCGCCACTTAACAAAACGGCGCATACAGGATGTGGCCACATCATTCTCATTCTCTCACAGTGCTGATGCAGCGTCTCACTCTGCAGCCTCAGAGTCTCAACGATCAGCATCTACAGGCACCACAGACGAATCACCTACCTCGAGTCGTTGCTCCTCTCCAGACAGCAGATCATCATACTCCTACGAATCCCCAATCGTCTCCTCTGATACTGGTATCCGTCTTCATGTCACCTATCCATACGGTATACTCATTCTTAAGCACAAATATCCCGACCTTATAACACAAGCAAGGGAGATATCAATCACGGGCTACCACGTCACCCACGCAATCCAGGCGACTACAAGGCCTACATCGAGTTGCCCCCGATCCATCATACGGCCTCCGATGAGCAAAGAGACCTGGGACGCAGCGAAAACTGCATTAGCCGAGATCACGCGCAAGGTGCTCAGCCCAAAACCGTCGCCGTTACTAAAGACTTTGAACTTACGTTTCTTGATACCGGGCGAGAGCTCCTACCGAGAGATGTGGGAGGACGGATCTCCGGTCGGGATTGTGCTATATAACACATGTGGTGGGAATATTAATATGATGATCAGCAGGGGATCAATCGGGAGCGCGTTGATCATGAGTGTCCGTCCGCTTCCAAGAAGTCGAAGTTTATCAAGTAGGCATGGGTCGTTCAATCCAGATGATGATTGGACGAAACTTGATTCCCCGGCAAGATTTGAAGAGCAATCTTTGGCGTTTTCGATATGAGGATACCTTTCATAGTTGAAAGAGCGTCACACGGGACATGCGCCACTCAGTGCTGGACGGTAACCGGTACTTCCACGACACGTACGATGTTTTATTAATCATACATAGAGTGAACAATCAGGTCATGAATTTCCTTGGATCCAAACTCTCTATATGCGCACTCTTCGCCTTTCCTTCCCACACGATCTCACTAATTAGCATCCCTGTCGCCGGCGCATTCTGTATACCCCAACACGTATGTCCTGCCGCAATGAGTAAACCCTTCGTACCGGTCTCTCCAATCAATGGTCCTCCACCTCCTCTGACATTTGGTAAATAACAAGCCTGCTTTACCAGCGTCTCCCCGCACCTAAGCTCGTCACTTATACTCCCTACCTGCTTCACAATCTCCATGCACCGTTCGTCATTAATATGCACCAAGTCACTCGTTGTCGGCAACGCAACGTCCTCGTCTCCCTCGCCACACGCATACACCTCGTTATTCGGCCGCGCATATATCTCCGGCGTCGCCATCATACCGCCTCTGATTTGCGTGAACAGACAAAACGCACTTACAGGTCGACTAGGCCGTATCGTTACGCTGTGCGCTCGCATCGCAGATATCGGGACGCTGGGAAGTATCGTATGTGTCCAAGGACCTGCAGCAAGAATCGCTATACTTGCGGGTATTTTATATTCGTTCTTGTCGTCTTTGGAGGTATACGTCACGCTCTCCACGGCATCGGATGAGTCCTTATTTATATGTGTGGCCGCGCCATACACAATCTTTACCCCAGATTCCTGCGCGAGAGCCGCCATGCTCGTCGTGAATTGGTATGGATGGACTTGTGCTGTCGTATCCGGCGTGCCCATCTCATCATACGCGCGCAGGATATCAGCGTGTATCCAGTCCAATTCGCCAGGCACGCCTTTGCGCCTCAGTGTGCGGCGGGACTCGGTGTCGCGCTTCTGCAAACTGAGATCTTCCGACTCCTTTGTTTCTTTCCTTTTCGATGTGGACTTTGTGTCGAACTCGACCTGTCCGCAATGTACCCCGCGGTAGCCCCATCTATCCTTGCCGTTGTGCTTCTCGGCGAGCTCTTTGTGCAGGCGGTAGCTGAGTGGGACGATGCACGAGGGGTAGGCCCATAAAGCTAGCAATCCGCCGGCTTTCCCAGAGGCTCCACCTGCGATAGCGGTGGGTTCGAGGAGTGTTATCGAGTGCTTTGACGGATCGAAGGAAGGGTGCGACGAGAGGAAGTATGCAGAGGTACAGCCGATGATGCCGCCGCCGATTATGACAATATTCTGTTTTGATTCGGACATTGTTGTGGAGAGATATCTACCGCATGGAAGGAGAGTGCGTGGGAAGGCGTTTGTGAGGACAAAGGGTCTAAGAAGGGTCATGCCATTTGAGTGGCGATGGGAATTAGCATGGAGAATTGCCTATGTGACATATGTGTATGTTCGTGGGCTTATCGATAGCTAGCCATACCAAAGTCTTGGCGGTGTCATCATTGACTGGATACATTGCCGTGCTCGAATTGCAATTCCATTCTGAAATGTTGTCTTTTGATGTTCGAATCACACCTATGATTGAATTGCGAAGTTTCGGAGAGACTGTTGAGCCGATGCCAGTTCTACTTCTCATACACTGGGGCCAACAGCATTCGAGGCCAATTCGATGCAATACAAGAACTGTTTATTGCTACATGCACAGACGTGCCACGGCCGTCGTGGGAAGATCATACCCGGGCATTGCATGAATTCTACCGTATTCTAGGCCTGTCTTCTGCAGTGTATGTTTTATTCTTTCTGCAAGTTCAGTCAGTGCAGAGAGCTATGTGGCGCCACAAACATTCTAGGCCGCGAACAGACCCTGAGACAGACGAGGTATATGAGAGACATCGCGTAGACTGTTCGACAACGATCATTAACGAGACAATAGCGTCAAAGACAAAATTACGAGGCTTTATCATCGGACCTGGACTCCGAAGTCTTTTGACAAACTGGGTCAGTTGAGCCCGCTCTCTTCTATCTGATCCGGTTAGCGCCGGTAAAATAACTGGAGACTAGTAGAACTACCCGCCGCCCGGAGCGATTCTTCAGAGCATTTTTCCTGGCTTCCCATAATACGACCGTTTCTGGCGCCCCAGGTGATGCACCCATATCGAATGGTTAATGAGCTTTACTTCACTCGAAATGGAGAAGCTTAGCGGTTTGAGTGGGTTTGTAATGGTCTAGGCTAGGCTACTCCTTGCCTACCTGATACCGAAACACAAAATGGGTATGGATAGCTGCAGAGGAGATCGTATTACTCTACCTACAGACGGACATCTCTCATGGCTTCATTGTAGGATGTGATAGAGGTTGAATGAGGCACAGTATCACCTCGTCTACTATGAGCCACACAGGAACCACCGAAGAGCCACATGCGGATAACAGGAAGAGCTGAGAGATGCATCCAAAGTATAAAATGAGACATCTGGCCACGAGTGAACAGCATCAGAGCTCGAGTCTTCTACACTTCCATCCGACTTTCCAACAGCACACAAAGTCCATCAAACAAATTTCCATCTTTCTACAAGCATCTTCCATACATCATGGCCTCCGGTATCGTAGGTGAACTTGAGGGTCTCGGTGCAGAGGAGAGGGCCTTGGCACAGGCCGAGCGAGATGCACAACTGCTACGAGAAGAACAGGCGGCAGAGCGCGAAGCCGCTGCCGCACGACAACGAGCAGAACAAGAGGCAGCGGCAGCGGCAAGAGCACAACGCGCAGCTATGCTTCGCCGTGTCGCTGCGCGAGTCGCCGGTGTCGCGAAGAAAATCGGCACTCGTGTTGGTCAAGCTGCGAATGACTACATGCTCATCACTTCGCTCCAACAAATGATTGCTGGCAAAAGCGATACGCCAGGTTCAGGTTCAGGTTCAGGTTCAGGTTCAGGTTCAGGATCGTCGACACCCGTCGATCCCGCATTGACAAATCTGTTGAATGCGATTGCTGCTGGCACCAAAGCATATCAAACGGCGACCACGGACTGGAATAACTTCATCGGCGCACACGTCGCAAAGGACGAGAGTTTTGGCACCGTCGAAGGCCAGTTTGGCCCTCAATCGGCCTTCGACCAGTTTGAAGATGGTGTCGATAGTTTGACTGGCGACTGGTCGACGAACGTATCTCCGTTGATCCAGAGCAGCACTGCAGACCCTACCACGGCTACGGTAGCTTCATTACAACCACTCCAAGCGGCGATTCTCGTAGACTTGAACATGGCACTGGGCATTGCGCAGAATATTGATGGGCCTAGCGGGGCCAAGATGGTGGCTGCTGGTTTGATCAGTCACACCAGCGATCTACAGACAGCCATCAATGGATTTCCAACCTCGAGCTCAAGCCCTGGGAACTCTGTGCCAGGTTCTCCTGCTCTAGCCACAAGCGGCTCTCCCACTCTGGCTCCCACTTCTGCTCCGGGGATGCCGCTTCCAGGACCGGCTGCTTCGATCACTGCACCTGTTGTTGCCTAAGGGGTGATCAGTCAGCTATATTCGGGTTTACCCCAGCTTGGAAGAATTATCTTGGACATCTTTATGATTAGGTACAATCTATCCTAGATCTATACAATGAAGTCGTAAACCGCTCTATGAAGTTCGTTCGTTTGTTGTTGTACCAATAACCCTTGAGTCCTTTGAAAATTATGTTGGCTTAGGTGTTCAAGCTCTAAAGAAACGGCAAACGACTTTGTCTTATTGATCGGATACATGTTCATGGTCGGCGAAACGAAATGAGATATCTCTGTCAGCTTTGAGCATGAGGTAACCTAGGTATACAGATGTGTAACGTGTGCATTTCATTTCAGGGATGTCCGTATCTCCCCCTTACGCAAGTGTATGCCCGAGTAGACATATAACGAAATGATGTCCTCGAGGGTTTGGTATCTAGAAATCGCCTCCTCCAAAATCACCGCCGCCGCCTCCATCTCCACCCCCAAAGCCACCATCGTCGCCCCCTCCGAACCCACCACCATCTCCTCCTCCATATCCACCATCATCTCCCCCTCCAAATCCACCATCGTCGCCACCGTCATGACCGTCTATGGCTTCGCTCAGTAGCATACCTGTTTGGGAGTCAGCAGTGTGGACATGTGGAAAAGGTTACAAAGTTCAAGACGATTGAGACGCAGTGAGAGAGCAAGTGGCCCTGGGATCAGGTTGTTCACTCGACTACACCTCTCTGAGGTGTATGAACATGATCATTAGGGACACAAGCACAGCTCGGGGATGCAACTCACCGCCAGCCAAGCCTCCCGCAGCTCCGAGAGCTGAATACGACGTCAGTACATCTCACGAAGTCCGATAGATGTCGTGATGCTTACCCATGCCACCGCCGGCGCCTAGACCCCCCGGTCTCCTCCCACCACCCATCATAGGCATACCTCCGCCCATAGGTCGTCCATACGGCGCAGCACCATACCCCGGCTGCGTACCGTACGCCGACTGCCCATACGAATGCGGCCTCGATCCACCCGAGCTCCCCTTCAACTTGCCCAACAGCCCGGACAAGCCACCCTTCTTCTTCCCCTTATCGCCCTCATACTGCCCCGTATATGGATCCTGCTGTCCATACGGCTGCTGTGGTGGCGCATACTGCTGTCCTTGTGGATACCCTTGCTGATACCCGGCACCTTGAGGCGCATTGTAGTAGCCATCTGCAGCACCCCGGCTATTAGGACGGCCTCCGGCGCGCGCGTTCTCTTCATCTTGGAGTTGCCGGGCAAGACGCTCGTCTTCACTGATGTCGTGCGAAGCGGATGCGCCGCCAGGACCAGCGGGGCTTGCGTAAGGGTTGTTGCTGCTTAAACCTGTCTTCTCGCCGTGGAGAGGTTGAGTGGGACCGCCAGCATATGAAGGAGGTGGGCCCTCGGGCGCAAGGTCATTATTGCCGGGAGGGAAGATTGGTTCAGTAGGTTTGTCCCATTGTGATTTCTTGGTATAGATGTTGACGTAGAACCATTCGCTGTATTGATCTGAGAAAATGTTACTTCGTGCTGCAATTTATCTACGGTCGCATACAAACGCACTGTTCCACACAGCTTTCCAACCAGCTGGTACGGTTGGTGGGGGTGGACCCTAGTTAATCAGATACCGTACGGCTATTAGTTGCTCTGAGCTTCATACCGGTGGTGGTTCTGCGTCGGCCATTGAAGTCGTTCTGCTTGGATGCGAGGTGTTGCGATGCGAAGGTCAAGTTTGGTATTCATGCATATAAGCTTGGCAGAAATGCGACACGCGCCTGGTCAGCAGAGATCTGATCACTGAAGGTACCGCGTAATGATGTGCTTTATGGTACGTCAGCGTTCGCGCATCCTGTGACATGACGCCACGCCTTAGCCACTGCACGCTCCGGTCCCAATCAATGTGGAATGTGTGCCCACGCCATGATACCTGTTTGTACAAAAGGACAACGGCTATACAAGGTTAATGGCACTAGACAAGACTAGTGCTAGAAATGAATCAGTCATTCGAATGCTATATATTTAGCCAGTATAACTAGATAATTCAACCTGCATTTGTGAATAGATTCATAATAAAGGGCCAACGATTTTGAACGCTACAAGTTCGCTACTCACCAGGAAAAGACAAGTGAGGCAGAAATGCCCAGCAAATGCTCGCGTGAATGGTATACATTAAGGTGATCGCCTTGTAGTTCAGAACACGAGCGCTAGTCCTGTGCCTCCGCTATATTACAACTAAACTTCGATTTCAAGAACATTACTTCGCCTCCGAGGCAAGAAACTCGCCAGTCTATCACTTAGTTAGTAGGGTGTTTTCTAGATCTACGGTAGCTCATCTTACCTTCTGAGAGTCATAATCGAATTGTTCCAACGCTGGGACAACCTTAGAGCGCGGGAAGCCCATGCTGGTGAATTGCTTCACTAGCGGATCATCGTGTTCACTTGTGGCACTGAGAGCACGACTAAGTTGAGGAGGCTGGCTTAATTTAGTTCCTTCGTTAGGTGGAGGGGCATCAAAGGATGCGAATCCCGATCCACTCGACTCTCCGAGAGCTGATTGATCTTTTGAAGATTCGAGCCCAGAAAAGATAGCATCCCAATCGTGAGAGCTGTTCATGGCTTGAGAGGATTTGCCCAGACCAAAGCTTTGTGACATGGTGTCGAAGTCACTATCGTCACCAAATCCAGTCTTACCAGTAGGAGTTTGTTGCGATGCCATTGTGTTGGACTTGGAAGCCGCCGGTGAATCGAACACAGGGTTGAATTCATCATCGCGGTGATGAGAGCTCAGGACAAAATCATCTTCGGTCTTGTCATCAGCCTCCTTAGCCTCGCTCAGGTCATCAAATCCGTTGTCGAAATCATCGCCAAAGGAGGTCTTTCCGACTTGGGTCGGAGCTGGCTCGCTACCGCTGTTGGGATGAGATACCGCAGAATGATATGCATCTGATGGAACGGTCGATGTCGGCGTGTCGTTCGGTGGCGGCGATACAGAAAATGTCGTGTTTGGGGCCGATGGTTTACTGGACGAGGGCGCACCTCCAAACAGATTGTGTCCTTGACCTCCGCTTGTTCCAGATTGGCTGAAGGCCTTATCAGAGGATTGTCCTTCAGACGACGTCGGGTCTCCACGAGACGGAAGGAGGCCTGAGAACTCTGGTGGAAATTGGTTCGATCCAGATCTTTGAGGTACCGAAGATTCATACGTAGGTGGTGATTGCTGAGCGTTTGGGGTCGGAAGATCAGCCTCGCTCCTTGGAGGTGGAGGTCCTTCATATAAAAAGTCGTCATCATTGTTTGTAGCACTTGTAGTTGGTCTGGAACTGCTGGCTTGCGCTCCACGAGGCGATGCTGGGGTGAAATCATCCGCAAATCCCTGCTCACTATTGCTGTCGCTCTCCTCATCATGTCCAAACTCTTCAATGGGAGGAAATTCCTTATTGAACTTATTTTGAGCGCCATCTGCGGTAGACCCGTTGTGCGAAGAACCAGTGTGTTGACGTTCCTGAACTTGACGACCAGTCTTGAAGTCTGCAAAAGCAGAATCAAAATCCATCTTCGATGACCCAGGACCGCGAGCCTGTTCCTTGGTAGCGAATGGATCGTTGCGGTTCGTACTGCCCTTGCTTTGCGAGCTTTCGCCAGTAAGCTCAGGTTGAATCGGCGAATTTACATCGCGGGGGAAGGCGCCCGGAATATCACGAGTGGCGGAGGGTTGTCCAAAATTCTGAAAGTTGTCCTTGTCCCTGTTGTTGTCGCTTGCCGAGCTGACTGCCGGGGACGCCGTCTGGTTTCGATTGAAAAGCGCTGTACCATAGCTGGATGATTCTGCTCTAGAAGTCTCGGGTCTCCTGGCTGCAGCAGGCGTATTAGAAGCTGTAGGTGTATCTGCTCCAGCCGCGTCATCATACCTGCTTGCTGGCGCTGACACCTTGACCGAGGAGCTGAATGAATCAGATCGGGGAACACTTTCACGTAGGGGTAACAAATTTGCATTGAATTGCCTTGATTCTGGCGGTGGCGGCGGGTCAGTATTCCTTGGCGACTCATGATACGAAGAAAGTGGTGGAGAAGTAGAAGGAGTCGGCACATCAGGCTCGGACGATCGGACAGAAGATCCTGGCTGGGTTTCGGCCTTGAAAGATGTTTGTGGAGCAGCCGCATGAGAAGCGGATGAGGATGTACCGAAGATGTTGTCGAAGTCTCGAGTATTTGCTAGACTGTCCGATCGCGCGAATCCTGAAGGTGACATCGTATTCTCCGTAGGAGGAGCAGGCGATTTCCTGAAGAATGGATTCGTGCTTTGACTTACTGTGGAAGCAGCAGGACTGACCACATTCGATTCCGCTGGAGTGGCGTACGGGCTACGGGAGGTCGCTGTCATCTTTGTCAACTCAGAAGCCTCAGTTGTAAGCTTGTCCCGCTCCTGCTCGCTAGTAGAGAGTTGCTTCTTATTGATGGCAACCAATCCTTTCTGTTGTCTAGCATCATTCTTCAGCTTCTCCACCTGCGGACGAAGGCTAGCGACTTCGTTATTGATTTGGCGTATTCTTTCTTTGAGGCTAGCATTTTCTTGCTGATCGGCTTCGTATGCCGCCGACTTTTGGCGGAAGTCGTTTTGCAAGTCTTGGTAAGTTCCCTCTATTAGAGCAAGATCGGACTGTAATTTCCTTGTCTCGTTTCGAGACGCTGTGAGGCGTTCCTCAAGAGTCTTTACATTCTTGACTTCGATTTCGTACTGTGACCTGAATTGTGAAAGTCGCAATTCGAGATCTCGTTTCTGAGTGCCTGCACCTGCTAATTCTTTCTCCGTCGAGCCCTTCTTGTTCTGAACTTCCTGCATTTGAGTCCGCAGCGTACCAATCTGATTCGACATATTGGCAAGCTCAGCGGTTTCTGAAGTTAGTTTCTTGCTCACTTCTGGGTCATTATCGCCAAGCAAGTCCTCCATTGCTGAAGCTTGCTGAGGCAGCTCCCGAGACTGCGAAAGGGGAGAATTCGTCTGCTGTACAGTGGGTCTGGATTGTAGGCTTTGACCAAACGAAGACGTCGGCATGAAAGGCTTGAAGTCTCTCTGAGACCGGTTCTGAAAATTGGGCGAGGTCGGCGAAGACGTCTTGCTTCCGAACGGATCAGCTTCGAACGGCCGATTGAAGGTTCCCGAGCCGCCTGTTGATTGTTGTATCTGATGCGGAGCCGGTGCTGCCGACGAGAACGAATCAAGCCCGAAAAGATCTTCTGCTGCTGACTTTGTAGCCTGAGGACCTGAATATGCTGTTTCAAAAGCTGGTGCGGTGGGTCGTGCCGGTGGTCTCGTTTGATTGCGCATGCTTGGGGGAATTAAGTTTGCTGGTAGTGTTGTGGGAAGAGGTGTCCCTGGTTTACGTTGCTGGCGGATGAGATGCATAGCCACGGCAAACTCATCACGACTCAGCTGCCCAACAGAGTTGATGTCCGCTAGATCCCATATAGCTGCCAATGTATCCTCAGGTAAAGCAGAATCGGTGAAGTAATTGACGGCCTGTTCCCCTGTGATATATCCATTTCCTTCTCGGTCCAGCTTACTGAATTGACTGTCGTAGGGCGCTTTTTCTTGAGGGGTAATGATCCAGTCATTACCAGTTGCTTGATTAGACTGTGGCGGAGTGCCGTACGGCGCTCGTCCGAGTGGACTTTGCGTTCTCTGGGCGCTTTGCCCGCTGAACTGGCGAGGTATCGCAGACGGACCTAATGAGCCCGTGGGAAGGCGTGGAGGTACAGGCTGAATTGCTCTACGAGAAGCAGCTTCGTAAAGGCCTGCGGGGAGGTTGTTTGGAATCCCCTTCATTTGGCCAGACTTCATCGACGCCAACAGGTGCATGGCGATAATGAACTCCGTTACACTCAGGGCGCCTCTTTGCTCGGTATCTGCAAGGTTCCATATCCGGCTCAACACTTCATTCGATAACCCAGCCTTTTCAAATATCTGCTTCGCTGTATCGCCTACAGTGAAATCAGTTAAGCTCAATGTGATTGGGTGTTACAACGTCAATCGACTGACCAGCTAAGATCCCATTTGTTCCAAACTTCTCAAAGAGTGCTGCATACTCTGTAGCCTTCTCTGGGGCGAGTGGAGGAACCCGTATTGGGCCACTCATTTGCGGTTGTATGCTAGCAATAGGCATCGGGGGTGGTGGTGGAAGGACTGTGGCAGGTGGTGGTGCCATGCCATCGAACTTTGGTAGCGGCGCAGCTACGTTCTGTCCTTAGCAGCGTTCACTTGTAAGTCTACAATGTCCACATACACTTGAATGCCAGATCTTGTGTTGGTTCTCTACCAGCTTGATAGTGGCCAATCAATCTGAGGACTATACAGAAGCCTGCTGATGTAAGGAGACCTCTGTTGTCCGTGTCTGCGATCTGCCATATTATGCCAAGCACAGGGGACGGTACTTTGGTGCGCTCAAAGAATTTGACGGCTACTTCACCAGTTACCACGCCAATGTTTTCTGTGTCAGCATCATTGAAGAGCTGTTTGAAGTAGCGCTTCTCATCGGCGCTGAGGTTGAGGATGGAATGGTCTGAGCAGATGTTCATCAGCAGGCTGCAAGAGGCATTCGGATTGAAGCAACGCACTGATGTCTGTGCTGGGGGCGGATTCTGCCATAGTAACAATTATATCGGCGTAGCAATCCTGTGCGCAATGCAGTATGCAATCACGGTGCTACTGAAGACGATCTCCAGCCTGTGGTGTGGTCGAGGCTGACAGGTGCAAGAGTTCCTGTGTCAACCGAGCTGGCTGTGGGAGCTTGGAAGAGTTCAAGCTCCACACAGCAGAACTGAATGGATGGGAGGGTAGAATGAAGCTATAGGGAGCTCAGTCAGGATGCAGGACTTCGAGAATGATGGAAATAATAGTGATAGACAAATCCGATGGCGAAGAAGGTCAGGAATGGCGAGCAACAGGAGCAGTCCGGCGGTAATGGCGATGGGCGGATGATGGATCCGGCCGGGTTCTGGGGTTCTGGGGGCTTTCGGGGCTACGAAGCGAGCGCTGCGTCCACCTTCGTTGTTGACGTGGCTGGCGTTGGCATTTCCCCGCCTCCAGGTCAACCCACACATGTTGGCGTAAGCCTGCAGCCTGCAGCCTACCGTAGTAAGATTTCTTGACAGCTTGTTGGCTGTAATTGTAACCTACAATTCATTTCGCTCATCCTGACTTCCGGGCATTGGAATCGTGACCGGCAGCTAGCGTTGTTCTATCGCCGTTAGGTACCAGAAGATGGCTTACAGATGACGTCCGGGCACTGGATTCGGAGACAGACTGAACATCAACATTTGTAGGAGGTTGGAATGGTCTTCATCGCTGGCGGAGTACCGCGCACTGGTGCAATGGTGCCTATATACAGCATATGCCGCAAGTGTTGGAATTCAAAGGAAAAATCAAGCGTCCAGCTGATAGCGTACACAGGTATACAATTGAGTGGCAAGGAGGAAGTGTTGGAACAAGAAAGGAAATTTCGTCATGACTGGTCTCTCTCTACACGCTTGACGTTGTCTTTCCGACGCTCGGCTTCGCAGTAATTGAATGCAAGCCCAGGATTGCCTTCGCTTTCTCGCTGACCCCATGCTCGTCCAAGAAGCCAATCAGTTACGCTGATTACTTTCGCCGTTCTATCGTGACTTGCCCCCTCCTCGGCATGTTCGATGGTATGTGTAACAATTTTGCCCTGTTCGTCAAATTCGAAGATGAAGAGGCCGCTGAATTCTGAATCCGCGCCTCCACTGAGCATTTCCTTGAACCGGTCGACTTGCTCTCGTGTTGATATCCCTCGATATATACCTTGCCCGTTCTTACTCTTGCTTTTCTTGCCCGTCTTCCATTTCACAACTAGTTTCTCTTGCCGCGTGTCGGTTGCCGCTGTGTGGCCTCCGTTGCGGAACATCCGTTCGGAAAGGATGTCGAGCTTGACATTGCCGACCACTGGTACGCATCCCCAAGCGACAGGAGCCGTCCACAATGCTGCCGTGTATGCTATTCTTCCTGAAACTGTGGGAAGGTGTGGGTGAGTTGAGGGGAAAAGGTGCAAAGTGATCTGAGGGGACAGTATCTCCTGAGGTAGAGGAGACGCGAGCAGAGTAGGTAGATGATCTCGAAGAGTACGGATTGCTAAGTGGACAATTAGTACGGTTCATGTTCGCACACCAGTATACGCTCACTCTTTCCAAGCTTTAACGTCCGCTCATCTGGCGGTGCCCCATCCGAGCCCAGTTGGTGCTCCGGCATCCACACCGGGGGAGTACTACTGAACCATGATCCAGAGAGTTCGCGATCTCGTATGTTCGCTAGGTTGCGCTTAGGTTGGCGGATGTAGAGGATAGAGCTCGGTGTTGCGGTGCTTTTGATCAGCTTATCCGCGCGAAGTCGTTTTGAGGTCGAGAATCTCCGCATCAGACCGGCGGTCATCTGTGATGATTCCAAGTCATAAGCCTCAAGCGTGCTATATTGCTGAAGCTAGAGCTGTATTATCATTGAGATGTAGACAATGCGACCCGCAGGTCCGTGAAATACAACTGAGTTTCGAAAGAAGGGTACCTAAAAGAGTCTAGCGGCCAGGGTCAGGGTATGACGTTGTCATAACCAGTTCCAATTGCGTCTGGACTTTCTCCCATTCCCATCTAAAGCCCTTCATCCATGAAGTAGCAGGACTCCCTGAGCAACAACTCAATTAGTTCTACTGTCTGAGCGCCTAGAAAGATTGAAGTCATCTGCCGATTGGCACTAGCCGTAAATAGAAGTCATAGCATCAGTATATAATGTAGCAACCTTGCTCCATTCTTCAATGACATAGGAGCTCCTAATTCTGTACATCGTCCTTGTCTAGCACTTCTTGAGCTCTCGATCGACTATGTCCGGGAAGTTGATTGTATTTGCTGGTGGCTCAGGCAAGGCCGGGCTCATGTCATAGCCGAATTGCTTAAAGCTGGGTCAAGTCTTGAATTTGGACCTTGTGCCTCTAGACAATCCAAAAGTTTTTTCATTGGATACTGATCTCACAGAATCTGGACAAATCTCCAACGCCTTGACTACACATTTTAATTTCTCTGGCTACGAGGCGGAGGGCAATCCAAAAGGACCGGATGTAGTCATACACTTTGCAGCATATGCTCGCAATATGCTCGTGCCAGACAATGAATGCTACAAAGTGAGCACTATCCAATCAGGTTCAGATATGATATCTAAGCACTCACAGGGCAATGTCTTGTCGACTTACAACGTCATTGAGGCGACCTGGAAGCTCGGGATACCCAAAATCGTCATCGCCAGCGGCGAGACTATCTACGGAGGATGTTTTGCGCAGGGAGGTCATGATTATGAGTCCTTTCCTTCGAATGAAGATCTCGACGTCAATCCAATGGACACTTACACCATTAGTAAACTATGCCGTGAACGAGTGGCGCGTGGGTTTGCTCGGAGGTTTGGGGTCGACATATATGCCTTGCGGATTGGTAATGTTATCGAGCCGCATGAGTATGAGCGCGACTTTCCAAAGTATGTCAATCCATGAGCCGGCCTGTCGAAAGCAAAATGCCTGGTCGTACATAGACGCAAGAGACCTGGGTCAGATCTGCGACTTATACACGCACGCTGAAGGATGGACTCGGATTCCAGGTCTTCAATGCAACCAACGATACAATTACTACGACGATGCCGATCAAGGAGGTCTTGAAGTTGAGCTGCCCAGATACCGAATTGACCAGACATATCGGGGAATGGGAAGCGCCTTTGAGTAATAAGAAGATCAAAGATATTCTGGATTTCAAGGAACAGCATGACTGGAGGAAGTACTATAAGCCTTCATTGAGCATGAATTCGAATAATAATTACTTAGAGCTGAAATATGACCAACGTGTACAGCATGATGGGCTGGCGGCTGTACGCGTACACCTGGCCGTTTCAGCTGGAAGAATGATGATAATGGTGTTCACTAGGATGCACAGCCACTACACTCCAGCGCATCGAAGGATGAATTGGTTCCTAGAACAGAATCCGTTTGTCCATAGTTACATGAGAAAGCTTGGCAGACGGCGCACACATGTCGCGCGCGCACACGAACCATAGTATAAACGACATTTTTAACTATTACCGCTATATTATACCTCTATAATTATAAATACTACTATATACTAATCTTAAATAACCCTAAGAATATATCTATACTCTTTTTATTACTTTAAATTACCTATAATATCTCTAAAATTATAGAAAAAGAGTAAAGAGAGTAGATTATAGAGAGAGATTCTTAGGTCTAGCTACCTATATACTCCTAGATTTTAAGGCGCTCTAGAAGGATATAGAGAGAATATTAAAGATCTATAGTACTATATATTAGTTATACTAACTTTCTTCTATTATATATTATAGTTTTATATATTATAGAGGGATAATGCGGCGGTAATAGGTGAAAATATCGTTTATACTACGGTTCGTGTGCGCGCGCGACATGTGTGCACCCTCTGCCAAGCTTTCTCATGTAACTATGGACAAACGGATGACAGTGGCGTCTTTGCACCGCCCTCCTCCGCGCCCCTCCTTGGCCGGCCCTAACGCTGCTACCGCCTGTGAAGCATTCATTCATCCACTCCATTGATTCAACTGCTCTCCTGTTTCTTCTCTGCTACGCTCTCGCAGTCTGAAGACTCCTTTTAACCTCCAGTGCGACGCTTGCTTATATTCTCACTGCTGTCTTTTCTCTGTCTCTTTCCTTACTACTTCCATCCATTTCTTGTCCACCAAGTCGCAGAGCTCTGCCCCACCATGACCGATCATTCGACGCCTTCACATCCTCAACCTCCAAAGTCACCCGACTCAGGGCCTTCTGATCCTAATCTTCCTTCACTGCCCACTGGCTGGATTGCCCAATGGGATGCCAGGTATGCTTCAATCTGACCCTTTATCTCAATATGCCCCGTCTGAGAGCCTGCTAAACTGAGAACGGCATTGTAGCTCCCAGAAATACTACTACGTTCAGATCAGCACCGGTGCCTCGCAATGGGATATTCCAACTGATGCTGCACCATCGCAGAAGGGAACGCCAGCACAAGGCGTCAGTGCATACAATCCGCCAGGCGCAGAGGGTCCCGTTGCCGGAGATGGCGAGCGCGGTCTTCTAGACGGCAAGACAGGTGATCGTGGAAAGGGTGGCAACTCGCTGTTGGTAGGTGCTCATATAAACTGCTGTGGAGTCGCATAGTCTGATACAACCTTAAAGGATTCGGCGTTCAAAATGGGAACGAACTACGTCTTAGGCGGCAAGCAGTCGGGGCACGGCTCGTCAGGTCACAACTCTGGTCATGGCTCCGGCAATCTGCTCAGCATGGGCATCAGCGCACTAAGTAGCTCGGGTAAGCAGTCTGGCCATGGTGGGTCATCAGGTCACAGTGGCCAACAGTCGGGTCATGCAAGCTCAGGAGCCGGACTTGTTGGGGGCTTGCTCGGAAGTGTTCTGGGTGGGAGCGGCAACAAACCACATGGTGTATGTGCACACTAGACAAGATGTTGTCTGAGTCTCAGCTGACATTGTCCAGCAATCCGGCCAGCACGGAAATGGAAGTAACAGCGGCTACGGCTACTCCAATACAGGGAACTCTGGTTCATACAGCGGCGCTCCTCCACCTGGATCGTATCAGCCTCCAGGCGCTCAGCACGGCGGTCCAGCACCTGTACAGCCGCACAATCAAGGCTACGGGTCAAGTCCTGCTCCATACCAGGGCAGTGGGCCTAACAGCCCGTATCCACCACAGAACCAATACCAACCGCCAGGCCAAACGTATGGTTCGCCAGCACCCGGTTCATATAACCAATCGGGTCCAAACCAACAGTATCCGCCACCTGGACAGCATGGTAACAACTCATACGGTGGCCCTCATCAGAATCAGGGTAATTATGGACCTCCACCAAGTCAACACGGAGGGTACGGCGGCAATCAAAGTTATGGAAGTCCAGCCCAACAAGGGGGTTATGGTGCTCCTCCGCCAAATCAGCAAGGCGGATACAACGCTTCGGGTGGTTATGGGGGTCAACAAGGAGGTTTCAACCAACAGGGCGGATTCGGACAGCAGCAACAAGGGGGCTACCCCGGCCAACATGGTCCTGGTGGACAACAACACAGTGGCGGACCTCCAGCTCCCGGCTGGTAGAGAATGGTAAAGGCCTTGTACGAGTGGGACAGAGCATGAGCGGCATTGTGGTCTTAAAAATTTCTTCGCCTGTCTTTATCTGCAAATATGTCTCAGGATATACCACATGATACCAACATTCTCATATGACCAGTGTACCATTCCACGCTCACGTCTTGGCTAATCACTATCCTCCATCAATGCTGCGAGTTCCGCTTCCTCTTCTTCCGTCATTAAGCCATCCTTGACCTCAGCACTCTTTTCTTTCTCAGCACCTTCTTTTTCCTCCTGCTCCCTCCTCTCCTCCTCTTTAGCTCTGGCAATATCTCCTTTCCCGATTCCCCACCATCTCACCGTTCCATCAATGCCCACACTCACGACACCCACCACCCCATCTTTTCGTGCAAACGCCAGCCCAAGAACCTCTTCCCAGTGACCCGAATACGTATACACGAGTTCCCCTGAGCTCTTGTCCCAGATTCGAACCTCCTCATCCCGACACGCCGTAACCACCACGCCCGCATCCCCATCCACAAGCACGGCACGCACAAAGTCAGGATGTGCGAGCACCGTATCGGCTTTCCACGCTGGCGTCGCCGTGCGGCTCAGACACAGTGTAGACTTATCCGCCGACGCCGTGTACAGGTCCGGCGGATCGTCAGCGTCGGTGTATGCGGGGAAATAGAGCTGCGTGATGCTCGTCTCGTGCACGAGGATCGGCTCCGTGGTGAGTTGCCGCGACGAAGAAGGGGTGATGCACCATTTGCGTATTTCGCGCGTTGAGTCGGAAGAGAACAGCGTCACACCGTCTTCATCGTCGTCCTTGGCATCACCATTCCCGACCCCTGTGCTCTCATGCGCAGCAGCTGTCGTGCTCGGATCGACGACCAGGCTCAGGATTCCCCTGGTATGCCCCTTCAGCGCGCTCACTGCTCTGTTTGCTTCGATGTCCCACACACGTATCACGGCGTCTGCCGCGCCTGTGATGAGCAATTCGGTGCCGTGCACCACGACGCATGTGACTGCCTTGACAAAGTCGCCGTGGCCGGTGTAGCGTGCAGTCTGCTTGCCAGAGACACACAACCAACTCCAAACCGATTTGTCCCAGCAACCAGCGAAGAGAGTTCGAGGTGTGCGAGTGCTAAGGGCGAGGCAATTCAGGGGGGCGACTGGGCCTGTGTATGTGCGGTTGATCTTGCCGGTCTGTTTGCGTTGCGGTTAGCATTCGTTCGCGTGTTCAATGCCTACGCAATAGCCAGGATAGCAATTCGAAGAATAGAATCAGAGGCCCTACGCACTTCAATATTCACTCTTCTTACACAGCCCGCAGCCTCGGCGACGTAGACATAGCGGTCGTCGTCTGGGTCGGAGATGACGGCGAGGAGCTTAGACTGTAGCTTGATTGGGGAGCCATTTTTGTTGTTTCTCTTGTTGGCTTTGCGTGCTGCGTCTTCAATGGAGTCTGTGGTTTGGAAGAAGTTGTCTGGGTTGGATGTAAAGCTCGTCATGACGATAAATCTTGTCTCAGGATGTTGTGGTAAAGCTCGAAGTCTTGGTGGGGGTGGGGTTGAAATGCAGGGTCTAATTGCCTATGGCTATCAATCAATCCATCGTGTCGTCGAAATATCCACTTCGGACCAAGGACGGACGGACTGTACTCCTCAATACAAGCACCGATCTCACTCGCACAGGGATTTGTGGAACTTGGGAAATATTGTATGGTATGTCTGGCATTAACATGTTCCGCGCAAGAAAATGGACGTAATGAGAGCCAACTATAGCAAAAGACCAGACAGACTCGCTTTCCCCATAATCGCCAATAGAAAGCCCGTTGTGATAAGTAAGATGTACCTAGAGCATTTGTAGGACCAGTCGGTGGCCATCCTGTCTTCAAAGTTTTCGTCAATTTGCAAAGTATCTTATTAGAACTGCGCGAGGAAGTGTGTTAACCTGTCGAACTCCGCAAGCAATCCAATACACGAAAGGATGTCCCACCCGGTCTACCATGCAAGAGAACTGTAGAATGCTGGACCAAACGTGCGTATGAGGACATACCCATGGCTTATATACCCCGCGCCTTCCCAGAATTCGTCACGGTACTGTTCTGTTTCTAACAGCAACCTCCAGCGGAGCCAGATTGCACGCCCTGACCTTGTCCGATAGGAACGCTTGGCTTGTTGTTCACCTGAGTGGTTCCCATGCGCTCTTTGATCTGGCGGGCCATGGTCAGGAATGCTTGCTCAACGTTTGTGGCGCTCTTAGCGGAGGTCTCAAGGAAAGGAATGCCAAGGCTGTCCGCGAATTCCTGTATGGAGGTCAGCTCTGTCTCAAGGCGGAGTAGGAACATAGCGTCTTACCTTCGCGACTGTGTACTCGACAACCTTCTTGTCTGCCATATCGGACTTGTTGCCAACAAGAAGCTTGTTAACCCCCTCGGTAGCATATCTGTCAATCTCTTGCAGCCACTGCTTGACGTTGTTGAAGGAGTCCATGTCCGTGACGTCGTAGACGACGCAAATGCCGTGAGCACCGCGGTAGTATGAGGATGTGATGGTACGGAAGCGCTCTTGACCGGCGGTATCCCACTGTAGACTGATTAGCTATGCGATAGCAACACATCCGCCCCGACAGGTCGACTCACGATCTGTAACTTCACAGTCTTGCCATCGAGTTCGATCGTGCGAATTTTCTGAGTGATGTTAGTCCCTCTGTGTCAAGCCTAGGGCAAAAGCCTACAAAGTCCACGCCGATGGTAGAGATGTAACTCTCCGTGTACGTATCATCAGCAAAACGGAGGAGGAGACAAGACTTTCCGACACCAGAGTCACCGATCAGCAGAAGCTTGAAAAGGTAGTCGTATCTGTGGGTGAATGTGTCAGTGGATACGCCGATGAGCGTTTCGCGTGTATTGGCGTATTATAGAACTCTGCATGATATATAAGTTAGCCTGTGATCGATACATAGCACTGTCAGCTGGTGTTCTGGAAAAGGCGACCTACCACTCAGGATTCATGATGACGGTGGAAATGTGCAGTGAGGTAGAGGGGATAGCCTGCAGAAGGATGGATAGCAGGTATAAGAAGGTGTAGGCGGTGTGTTGTGTGAAGGCGTATAGAAAGCGAGGCTCCTCTTAGGACTTGGTGGTGGTGGTGGTGTTGCGGTGCGCCTGCCGGCCGTCCACTCCTGTGAGGTCCATGCTGACTCCTGTCCGCTGACGTAATCCGTTATGCTCGAAACCGGTGTCACTCTTGGCACTCATTTTGCGCAGCATTTCCTACATCTTATAACCCTGATGAGTTAATTTCTCTAGATGCGTATATCTTTGGTAGAGAAGATTTCAAAGATTATTCTATATAATTCCCCCTGGAGCCATTTATTCTAGCTTACATCAATCGCAAGAAAAGATATGTATTTTATGAAAATATATCGAGTATCGTTTATTAAACCTATTCTATAGCAACAAACCTATATAGCTGCATTCAGTTTGTGGGATCATACATATATTTATATCTGGTTTATATATATAAGAAGCTCTAATTAAGGTATAATCGGAAGACACGTTGGATGCCAAGAGTGCCAGCTGTTCCGAGCCCAACAAACCGAACCCAGTATCTACGGTTTATTCACATGGCACTATCAAGGGCTGTAGACAAAGTGAGGATCACTTGACACACGGAGTCCTAATTTACAGACGCATTGTCTGCCGAGTCTAGTATGTGAAGGCTATGACATCTGGCACGTGTGAGGATGAGGATGCCGGTACATGCTGGTGACCATCACTAGCGGCGCAGTCACGGCAATGTCTCACTGAGATGTCGCGATCACCAGGTTCATAGTATGAGTGGATTTTGCAACTATGTATAGTCCTCTATTATGACGCCTTGCTTGTGAAAAGCAAATATTCGTAAGGATGCCTACCAGGGTTTCGACCCGAAGTACATGTTAATATGAACAAGAAAGATATACTGGATAGATCTAGACCAGGCAGTAGTTTGGTGCATCTACATTACTTTTCCGAAAGCTGGAATCAGAGTCTGAGCAAGCCAGAAGGAGAAGACAAGCTTAGGTCCTGTCATTAGAAGCTTGGGGGTCAGGCCCTTGAAAAAGCTAGTGAAGCCTTCGTTCTTTGCCATGTTAGAAATGATCCGGAATCCGCTCTCAGGGTTTTCAAAGTTCCGGTTTTGGATTCGGGTCTTGACGACATCAAGAGGAGCGGACACAAGGAGAGAGGCGCTGGCACCCGCGATCGATGCGACAAAATTCTGTAGCCACGAGGCACTGTTGTAGTCTTCAAGTTTGTATAGGTATTGTTTTGCGGCAGCGGAGCCTCCAAAGAGCTAATATGGGTCAGTGGGTAGGCATCAAGAACGCCTTCAGCACAACATACCGCGAACGATCCAGGAGCGTTCCTTGCTGCTGTCCAGCCCCAACCCCGGTATAGGGCAAAACCTTCGTCTCCAATAATGCGAAGGAAGCCACGATTTCGGAACGCTTCAGGGTTAGTCTGTCGCTTGATTTTGAGTACATCTAATGGCAGAAGGACAATCTCTCCAATCCCAATGAGACTAGATACCTGTGTCAGTGTATGGGTGTTTCGAAGGATATGCTGCATCTAACCTTCCTGCCGTCGCGTGCATGATGGCTTTTCCGTTGCCCTTGCCAAATGCGTTGTCAAATTTGTCGCCATGGTTCTTAGCGAGATAATCTCGAGCAATCGGCTGTCCACCGTACTTGTATATTCTTTGAAGCACCTGCAAACATCAGCTCCGGACTTGTACAAACATCGCAGGGCACACCTTGTATGCAGCTGCATATCCCAAGCCGGGGAAGAGTGAGATGAAGCGTTGGGGAATCGATGCGGAGGCTTTGTCTTTGAAGATGACGGAGTTAAGTTGTGATGCAGATATGATCTATTGAATGAGGTCAGCAGACCCAGGAAGCCACTTGTACTGTGCTGGTTTACCTTTCCATGGTTACTCATCAACCTCTTCGCGGTGGTATCGACCTATCCCATAATGTCAGAACCCTTCTTGGCGGTAATTCGTAATGCGCACCGGGTGAAAGATCGCAAGCTCAGCGATACCGGCGGTACCTGTGATCCGTTAGCACCTGTCCTTGTACGAGGGCAGTATGGCTGACCGGCACCAACGAATCTCGCGGTATTAGATTCTCGCTTGAATTCCTTGACGGCAGAGCCAGCAATGGCTTCACTGGCCTTCTTGGCCGCTTCTTCTGCGGAAGGAGCCATAACAGCTATGAAGGGGTCGAGAGGCGGGTTAAATGGTGTAAATTGAGATCTTGATGGTGGTGGTCGCGAGCACTTAAGAGAGAAGTAGAGGTTGGGGGAGTAGCTGCTATTAAAGACGAAAAAGGGTTGTAGTGATCAATGGCATTGCCTTCGTGTCCGAATGTCAAGGATAACTTTTTTGTTCCGTTTCGCGGCGCGCATGGGCCGAGCGGAGCTGTGGTCAGAGCTCCTGCGCTAGTGTCCATGAACGTTCTGGTGTTTGGAAGCTACATGCATCGTATCACTTGCGCCAAGCCTTGTTTTCTCTTACACTGCGGAAGCATAGTTTCATCTATTGGGAAAAGTCGATATTTGCTTCATTCTACACGTCCAGAAAGCCCGCATAGTCCATGAAAGTATCGATGTATCTTTGCATTATCATATATATGATGAATAAGATGAAGTCTGTCTAGCACAAGGATTTACGTCCGTTGTGCAATAAGTCGTTTCTTCGTCGGTGGTCATGACTACCAAGCATAACCAGCGTCATTGAACTCATTAGGACTATTCTCATCCCAATCCTCGTCGCCACTGATCTCAGCATCCAGAAAATCCTCCTCATGGAATATCTCCTCACGGGGACGAATGTTGTCGATAACCACGTCAACAACAGTACAGAGACCTTGGATGAAGTCTTCCTCTCGTGGAGCTGATTCTTTCTCGTCTTCCGAATCATTTGATTGGACGAGGGGCTCTGCTGCTGCTGTTCGCGGTCGAAGTCGACGTTTGGTTGAATACTGTTCTCGGACTCGACGAAGAATCGGAACATCACTATCACTGTCCACAACAGATGAATGGTTCTGCCCGCCGGGTGTGACCTGCACATGACTGATTCGCTTTGTGTTGCTGGATTGGCGAGGAGTATTGGGGCCATCTCGAGCGACGCTGGCCTTTGTACCGATATGAACCTGTTTCCATTCGCGAAAGGCGCGAAGGGATATAAGGTGAGCAGATGGAGGATCTGGTCGTGCGAGGAATACTCGCTGCATCCGCGCGACCCACTCGTCTCGTAAGCGTGCTCGGTCTCGCCAGCTGATGTCCAGAATGCCAGTCGCTTTGAGGATCAATGTCCGTAGATTTGGCAATTGCGCCGCAGAATCTACTAATGACTCGAAAAATGTCTCCGCCGCTTCGGTTGTCCATTTTCGAAGATATATCATGTCAAGATACTGCAGAGTTGATGGCCAAGTAGGTCTATTCTTAGGACTGAGAAGCTCGTCATACTTTGGATCGGCATCGTTAGATGTCGTGAAGGTGCTATAGTAGTTCAAGTCCATAGTCAAACTTTCAAGAACTGGGCACGACGTCTTCAAGTTCGAGAGAAATGACAAATTCAGGGCTTGATTGTGGTTAAGCGTGAGCTCTTTCAAATTGCCGCCATGTGTGTCGAGGAAGATCTGTAGTGTCTCGGCCGTGAGCTCCAGGCAGTTCGTCAGATTTAGACTGGAGAGGACCTTTGGCAACACAGCCAAGAATGGGCCATCGATCAGAGTACAAGACTCGAATGCAAGGCCACGCAGTTTGGGTAGTACGGACAATGCCGATGCCATAGCCTCGCTGCGTGTAGGTGCTTGCTCACCTTCCTCCATCGACCCGCCCCGTTCCTCTATAGTAAAATTGGAGAAAGTAACATGACATACGGATTGGAAAGGTGTGGTTTGATGCAAATCTGCCATCCATGCAGGGGTTTGGTCGGTCCACAATAACAATGCGTTCCATCTCCAACTCTTCAGGTGAACCTCATTGCGCTGCATAGCGCTGAACATGGCATCTGGATAGTGCCATCGGACAGACTTCCGCCGCCGATATGGAGGCTTATCACCCGGATCGAAGATGTCCAGCGCATTGAGTTGTGGTAAGCTTGACACAAGCCCTGATAAGTCAAAAATTCCACCCTGCGGAGAATTGTAGTTCATCATGTTGGTAGAATCCAATTCCAGACGTTGAACTTTAACATTGTAATTATACAAACGGCCTTCTGTGGGTTCGAGAAGGGTACTCAGCAGCTTCATATGCTGAGATTTGGTGAGCGTAGTTACAGGGGGACATCGGTATAAAGCTGTGAGAGCAGGTTCTAGGAAATTTTGATGCAGTCTCGCCACATTCAGGAGCCATGTAGTGTTCTCACTTATCGGATATGATGCATATACAAAGACTTGTAAAAGAATATGATAGGGTAGTTCTGTCCACGCAGGTATTATACCATCACTAATTATTTTAGACGACGGATATTCTTTCTGCAAGTCTTTTGCAGATGATTTGGCGGAGCCTCTTATGTTATTTGTGTTCCGACTTGCACGTTTCGACCGCGAAGCAGTATTCTGCGACGAAGACTTTTGAGGAGAGGTTCTCAGTCGGGGTTTGTTGTGGACTCTAGATCCTTTTGCCCGTGGCTGGTCTATGGGGCTAACATGGACGGGTGCGAAGTCCAAGTCATCATCAAGATCGGAGCTTGGCTCACGGTATGATGGTCGACTGCTACCAGGTCTCCTGAGCGCATGAGTTCTGCGGGTTCGGGTCGATGAGACCTGGGAAGAAGGCTTAGAACCCTTCCGCGAGGACCGACGGGGAGACGGGTCGATGTCGCTGCTGTCGGATCTTTCAGATGTACGATTTGAACCGAAACTATGCTCATCTTCCGGACTGGATTCGCGATAGGAGACTTGTGGTCGTTTGCGCTTCAAGGTAGGTACCATTAGGACAGCTTCGAATTTACGGCAATCTGCCTGGCGATGACGATGGAGGTTGAGACGAATGAAGCCGAGTAGCCTGCTTGATAAGCAAAGAGGCTGATGAACACGCCGAACAGCAACGGATTTTAAGAAGACGATGAGAAGAGCAAAGCGAGAAGAACAAAGTGGTTGAATGAAGCGTATTCACTTCCAGTCAAGCGCAGGTTCAATATGTGAATGCCAATGCCGTCACTCCACCTTGGCTTCGGCTGGCGAATGTGGATCCTTACTTAGGGTAAAAACCCCCACGTCAAACCTACCCCCGCAAACCGTGAAAATGCCAAGCATATGAAACAATGCAGTAGTTTGGGCCCAGGTTATACTTCTTGTATACCGCTATATGTTAGGGCTTTGGTACTCTTTTCTTTCCGCTCTACATTCGAATTCCAATCTTACTTTATATCTACTGCTTTATAAGAAAAAGAGAAGACACTCTGTAGTGTACGAGAGCCACGAGTAGCAGGTCTTAGGATCTGGAATAATTACCCGACTTAGGTAATAATACAGTAAGTCAGGCACCCCTAAGGTTCAACTTCGCTCTCACTTGTTCTTCATAACATATGCATCCACCATTTAGATTTGATTATATGTTTCTTCTTTCTTTCTTCCAAAAGAGCCTCGTGGATATCCCCAACCCATGGAACGCTGTTCGGAGGTACAACTTCCATCATAACGAACTAGACTACCTCATTCTCGCATGAAGACAGTGAAGATGGGACAGGTTGAGATTGCCCCTGGTCCGCCTCGTCAAATGGCCGTACACCATCGACTTTTCTGGGGTGTAGTTATTGCAGCGATCTTCTTCTATGCAGCAGTGCCCCAGCCATGGCGAGACTTGATATCTCCGTTGAATCTCCAAAATCATAAGTCAAAGCAATCTCCATATGGGCGTTTTCCGCGATTCAACGATGCATTTCATTTCGTACCCTGTACCAACACATCTGTCCTACCCGACCTCGATGACGCCAACCCAGAAAAGTCATGGGCAAGTACATTCAATCCAAATCCGATCCACTGGAGCTGGGGTCCTATCGCTACAAGAGGCACTCCCGAAACCGGTATCAAAGGTTACAGGGATCCGTTCGCAGGTCGTGGCATCTATCTCTGCGGATATCTAGATCTGCCAATGGACTACACGAACGCGTCTGATCAACGAATCGTGCGTCTAGCAGTCACGAAGTACCAAGTCTCTGGACTCGCTCGCACCGGCTCACCACCCACCAAGTCAGGCCAGAAGAGTGCACGTACTCTTGTCATCGAACCTGGCGGACCAGGTGGTAGTGGGACAAGCTATGCATGGCATGCCGCTGAGAATCTGACGCAGCGCTTATCTTTCGGACAGTATGATGTTCTAGGATGGGACCCACGAGGTGTAAATGCCTCTCTTCCATCAGTCTCTTGTTTCCCCTATGACTCAGAACGCGATCGGTGGTCGCTCCTCGGAGGCACGTATCGCGAGACGGCGAGTTCGCCAGATTCACAATTGGCCATAGCAGATGCGATGAATGAAGCTGTTTTGAATGCCTGTCGTGAGAAATATGGCGACTTTGCGCGCTTTGTGAGCACAGCATTTGTTGCACGGGATATGGAAGAGATCAGAAAGGCGCTTCGCGAAGACGATTTGACGGCGTATCTGGTCAGTTACGGGACCGGAATTGGACAGACCTATGCGAACATGTTCCCTGAGAGTGTTGGGCGCATTGTCATGGACGGCATGGAGTATGTCCGAGACCATCGTTTGCTCGGTGGATTTGGATGGACAGCTCTCGACAATTCCACAAACGCTTGGCACGACGGCTTCCTAGGCGAGTGTTTGGATGCAGGTCCTGATCAGTGTGCACTGGCTCAGGCCAAGAGCAAAGAAGTTGTATCAGTAGACAGCTTGGAAAAACGGATGACAAGCCTAATTTCTTCTCTTCTCTCCCGGCCAGCAGTTGGCTACACTGCCCTTGCCGGTCCGTCGCTAATCACCTACTCGTCGCTCATCGACCTTATCTACATGTCTATGTACAACGCTTTTACGTGGCCAGAACTTGCGCAACTGCTTTCCGACCTTGAAGACGGCAATTCCACCCTCGTAGCCAAGGCTCTGGAATCCAAAAGATGGACATACAATCCCACACACCCCTTACCTCCACACCCGCTATCCGAAGAGTTAGGGATACTCGTCATATGCGCCGATTCCTACGATGCCCCGCAGCCAGAGAACCTCGACTGGTGGGGTGACTTGTGGCATAACATGACAACACAGAACTGGATAGCTGGAAACTCACGTTTCTTCGACGTTCTACCCTGTCGACAGTTCAAAAATCTCTGGGAGGCCCCAGCGGAGCTATATCGTGGCGACCTGAACCATACCCTGAAACACCCTGTTCTACTCATCTCGGAGACATACGATCCCGCTACGCCTCTGCGCAATGGACGCAGGCTGCTTGCTGAGATGGGTCGAAATGCGCGGATGGTTGTTCATCACGGGTATGGACATTCGTCTAGAGACTCGTCCAACTGCACGGATGATATTGCGAGGACGTATCTACTACACGGCAGACTTCCAGAAGAGCAAGAGACAAATTGCTACGCAAACGAAAAGCCGTATCGCTATAAGCTTAGTTCATCGATGTTGCAATCGATCAGCATGTATAGTAACGGTGCATTATTCTAGCAATACTTTCGGCATCTAATTTACTCTAAAGCATTGCGCTAGTAGTGTTGTAGTGTTTTCCATTCCATGCAGGGGTTATACATGTTCTACGTCTATGAAAATTTGAACGCTCGCTGGTATCACTTCAAAGTGCAAGTTTAGGATTGGGCGCCCTGAAGATCCTTCGTTATTTGACCAACGCCTACTCTGGGACTTGATTTCCAGTCATAAACACTGGACAACATACCGGCAGTCTGGCAGATTTGGTTCTGCCGAGACTCTTCACAGCGTGACTCTGACCACACATTCGGCGATAGTCTAGGTATAAAAGGATATAGTGGAATTAAAGTAAATCAGAACCAGAATGATTCAGGATTCAATATAATGCTACATGACCAATAGCTGAGTTTCATTGAACTAGAATGGACAATCAACACTGACAGTAACCACAAATTCTGTCTAGCTATCATGGCGTTATGATGGTTCAGCTGACCCGCTACAGAAATTCAAGATTACATATTTGCTCTCATGGCCTCTCTACAATTCGCACAGGTACATGTGTTCCCTCCATCTGCAAGGTTATACGTATCCCCATGTTATTCCGAAACTTCTGTCGCGCCGATTCGTTTGCTTGCTGCCAGGCCAGCTTGCGCTCGTCGGCAGACATCTGCTCAAGAGGAACTCCTGCTGCCCATTCGTCCACGGCCAACTCTATGGAGTACTGCGAGTAAATTGTGATCAACGCAGCGTAGATCTCTACGAGGGCAAATCTGCGGCCGATACATGAGCGGGGTCCTTCTGAAAACGGCAGATATGCACCACGTGGGGGATGGTACAAGTTGGGTGAAGAGAAGTCGTCGGCGCCAGACGTGCTCTCATGTTGACCAGGCTCGCTCTGTGATAAGTGTTGGAGCCAGCGTTCAGGTATAAATTTGTCCAAATCGTCTTCAGATTCAGATGGCGTATGTGAATTCGATGAAAGATCTTGAGGCCAGTGCTTGGGGTTGCGATGAACTGACGCTACGCAGACCCTGATCATAGTGTTTGCAGGTAAAGAAATTGATCTACCTTCAACATCGACTTGCTGCGGACTGTTACGCACCTGCTTTGGAATGCCGATGACCGGAGGGACCCAACGAAGAGCTTCATTGACGACTGCGCCCACGTAGCTATTCGCCACTCTTGAGATCTCTGCATCGTAATCCAGAGTATCGAGTAGGCGACCTTGCAGAATGACATCGATCGCGTCTTGAAGCTTTTTTTGCACTTCAGGATGCTGAGCCAACAGAATTATGGTATGAGTAAGGGTACCAGAAGAGGTCTCATGTCCAGCAAGGAGAAGGATGAAAGCGTTTCCAACGACTTCAGCATCAGTCAACCCGTCGTTGGATTGCTGTGGCTTCGAGCCTTTAGCAAGCTGGCCAAGGATGTCAACGTTCTTCTCGTTGAGACCGGCGTCAAAGTCTGCCCTCTTCGATAGGACGAGACCTTTCATGTGCTTTCCCCATTGCTGAAACGCCTCCGCTGATCTTTTGTAAGTGCCTAGACAGATGACGTTAGCTCCTCTATAGGCCAGTATTCACTCTTCGAACGCACTCAACGCTATCATCCATCTTGGAAGAACCATAACTGGCAGCAAGTTGTGTAGTAAGTGCTTCAATGAAGCTGCATAGGACATGCTATATCCAGGTGGTAAGTCTTTCGATTGAGACTTCTCGTGCTCATCAAGTGATATACACTGTCCGAACCCAGCCATACTAATGATGCTCAGAGTCAAACGTCTCATGTCAGCGGAGACTGAGTGCAAGATGTTCTCACAGCTTCCATTACACCAAGTCTTTAGTAAAGTTTCCGTATGTTTGATTGTTTCTGTCCATACTAGCTTGTTGTTCCTTTCTGAGAAGGCAGGACTGACGAACTTGCGATGGCGTCTCCACTTAGACTCCTCTGAAGTCAAGACGTTGTCGCCGTAAATATTGACATTTTTGTATAAAAACGTTGGCTTGGGGAAATCATGCCTCCTCGAAGTTACTTGATCAATGACAGCCGGATCCGCCGTCGACAAGATCATTCCTCTTGGAGAGACAGTGAAGAAATTGTCAGCTCCGACTTTTTCAAAAGGTTCGTAAAGAAGCTGCCACACCCAGCTCGAGCCCAACAGGCTGCGCCATGATGTGGGACTTCCAGGCGGTGGGAGGATGCTTCGCTCAAGATATTTGAGACAGCGTATGAATATTAGAGCAAGGATTCCATCGTATTGGTATACGGGAACCACGATGTACGGTAAGCCTGTCTTGCGGACAAGGAGGATGTTGCGGCGAAGGGACAGGAGGCTGAGCATGCAATAAAAGACGACACTCAACAATGTTATCATCAAGAGTTCCTGTTTCATGATGAATTTTCAGCCAGTCAGGAAGTGTTTAGATGTTTTAGGATCGACTTCGGTCAAGTTCAGCTTGTGGTTGTACTGATAAGTGAGCGGGGAAGCCTCAACCTTGTTTGGACCCCACATCTAACCTTTCATAGTAAACATAGTTTGCAAGTCTAGTCCACAGCGTATCGTGTGTGTGTAGTATTTCTATATTCTTGGTTCTATGATCAAGCTCTTTCTATATAATTGGAAGCTAATCACGACATTGGTATTGTCATGTTAATCTTTTACAGTACTTACAAGAACATGGAATACTATTAACTACTCTCAATTTTGATACTTTCAAGTCTAGAGGGGGCAGTATAAGCGATAATTAAGTTATTACCATAAGGTTACTTCAATAAAAATTTTGTTCTGGTAGACGGCTGGCTTGCTCAAATGGAATAGAGCCAAAATTGGGGAATCTCAAGTTCAATAGAGTTGTATACATACTTGTATATAATACCAGAGAGGGAATGGCATATATCACGACGAAGGAGATATAGGGTCGAACTGAAATAGAGAAAGTGAGAAATCTCATCATACGTTCTAACTTGAACTCTTATCCAACTGCCTAGCAACGTGGATAACTAGGTAGTCGGGTTAGATATATCTTCTTGTTGTAGAAACTATGCCAGACATATCGCCAAAGTACTCCTGATGAATCTAGGACCTTCGTATGAATCTGCTGTTGGCCTTTGGTTGAGCTGTGATTAGAGCGAGACTCGTATCACTTCATCTGTGTATGGTAGACTTCTACCTTCTGTCAGTTGTGATATCAGCCAGACAAAGCTTCCAACATTTGACAGTGCTCACTAAAGCTGGTATTGAAATGTCGATAGCAACGCCCGGAGGCGAAAATTCCCGTCAAGTAGAATCATCAAAGTCAGTTCGGCATGAAGCATATGGTAAACAATAAGCTCAATTGCTGATTATTCATTTGACACGCTCTATACTACCTCTCCAACAACACTCAGCTACAATCGAAAAACACGTCGCACCAGCTCCCGCCTCATGATGGCAACCGAACTGGCCATCCTCTGTGCCGCTCCATGATTCTCCACAGCACGACGGAGCAAAAACTGGACCGACTCGCCCACCGCGCCCCACTGCAAACACTTATAAACCTCCACTTTAGCCCTCTTTTGACTCCTAGTCTCCATTTGAGCATCCTCTCTCTCCGCCTCTTCACAACGCCTCAGCAATTCACAGCTCACCTCATCCGCCATGCCCTGCAGCTGGCCCCATCTCACGGGCGAGTACCTCGCACCCGACGCAACAGCACGCGTATACAATTCTACGCTCTTCTCGATCGACGCAGTATTATGACCGGCAAGAAAGACATGAACGTCTGGACTTCTGGCAGTCTTCGAAAAGCTCGAGAGCGAGCGCTCGATCAGTTGTGCTGCCAGCATATCATAGCACTGATCAGTCTCTGCCTTAGTATCATGGATGCGGCTGCGGTCCTCGCTGGAGAGGTACGCGCCTCGGACGAGTTTGACGCCGAGGACCCAGCCCTCAGTCTGAGCGAGACGCACGTGAGTCGTGAGAATGGAGGAACAATGCTTCAGGTATGCCTGATAGGTGTTGGAGATGAGAGGTATGGTGCGGTTGTAGGTGCGCATGAGGTCGAGGACCCATCGGTCTATAGTTGGCTGGATGGCTTGTTGCTCGGCGTCGAGCCATATACGAGTGCCTTGGGCTCTTGCCTGGGTGGCTATTTCGTCGATTGCGTCGAGGAGGGTATTGGGAGGGTCTTCGCCGGTTGCGAGACGAGCAAATATGGTGCGCCCCGCGCCTGTGAATCTGACATTCGTTAACTATGTTATTCTAGGAATGGGAACACATCTCCATCAACTGCTGGTCTTGCCATTCTGTTCATGGATATGGCTGAGAAGGGTAGGTGTGACCTACTTCATGCCCATGTAATCGCCGCTACCAATCATGCTGAGTGTCTTGAGATGGTCTTCCTTCCAGGATCGAATGCCCAATTGCTGCTCTGTATCTAAATCTATCTCCGAAACGGTGTTCAAGCCCGACGTCTCAGCCACTATCTCTCTCGTAGGGATCAGAATCACCCCTGAGTACCCCGCAGATCTCATGCTTGCTACAGTTTCAGCAACCTCTTTTGTCGTGGTTCCAGCACAGAAATGGTCATATAATGTTCTCCTCAGCATGATTCTCACCAGCCAATTGCTCTCGGGATACAGTAATCGCCGCTTTGGATTGCCCACTTCCGCTAGTGCTTTCATACCAAGTCGAAACACAGTGTTGTTCATAAAAACAGAGCCCAGAACGATGTTCCTGATGAGATGTATAGTAGGCAGTCGCGCCAGCGCTGGGTTGTCCGCTGTTACTCCAGCACTCGTGTCATTCACTCGCTGAGTATGAACGTCTCTTGAAGGTGCGTATCGTCTCGATATGTTCAAGGTCCTGCAATGAGATACACGTGATGCACATGGTCTGATGTTGAGGCAAGAGGTACCCCTGAATCGTATTGAGGTATTCATTGCCAGTGGAATTTGCAAACAAGATTTCACTTGGCTCGATATACTAGAACCCATGTGGATTTCTATATGTATAGTAGTAGGACCCTGGTCTGTATATATGTGAGCGTGGGGTCACGAGGTGGGGTTGGGTGAGTATCGCAGGCCTTATAGACGCCTCTTTGGGCCTAGCGGGCGAGTGTCGTGGAGTTCCTCACACAAAGCTGACATGGGTGGTCGCGGACTGCTGATTCGAAAGTCTGGGCATGTTCAGACTCCCAACCTAAGCTTCATTCTCGGACTCTGACGTCTCTTAGCCTGCCAAAACGCGTATCTGAGTAGTAGTGTCCAGAACACTCATGGGATATCATTAGATCATTACAAGCAACGAATGACCCATGACATTCATCACTCATCCGCGTCATCAAGACCGACCTCTCTCCGCTCCATCTCTTCACGAATCTTCTCACTCAGGACATCCCGACCGAACCTCGTCGCAATCTTCTCGGCCGCCGTTAACATCGTTCCATTGCTATTTCGCAGAAGCTTCACAATCTCCAGCGCCTTCATGCCATGCTCCTCACCTGCGCGACACTCGATATTAAGGAGCTGAAGCAAAGCTTTGTCGATTTCTAATTCTGCTTTAGCGAGCTCCGTTCGTTGCCTTGAAGTGCTGTGAACGTTGGAGAGTAGGTCTGACTGCAACGAGTGAAGGAGTGAGGAGCGAACAAAGCTCTCCTCGAAACTCTGCCTTTGGGTATCGGTATCACCTTCCGTTGCATCAAGTTCAGTCGATGGTTTTGTTGAGGTCAGGGGCACTTGAAAATCGAATTCAGACAGTAGAGGCACAGGAAGGTGTGGATGCTGTTCCGCGCCCTTCAATATGATGCAGTAGAATCGACCACTTGCTACCGCAACAGGCCAGTAGTTTTCCGTTTTGCGGCCGGATGCCACACGAGAAAGGTTTTTAGTGTCTAGTAGAGGTACCCATTTCGCTTGTGACGGTGTGCGCCAATGCAGCAATACGAGAAGCACACCAGTGCTATCGTAGATGCATGGATCCTAAACAGCATTAAATCGTGAAGGATCTTGGAAAGTGCTGAAAGAACTTACTCCGTGGTCTGAGAAGAAGACACTCCTCAAATCAGCGCCATCGCTCAGTGCCACTGTATCCTCGCTCTGGCACACCTCATCACGTTTGACGTTCTCAATCGTGTACTGTAATCTCGTTCGGCCATCTGCGCCAATAGCACCATTACCAATAGTCATAATGTAGTCTCGCCATGCGGCGCACGAAACTGTAGGAGAACTCTTTTGGCGATATACTCGATATGGCAGGCCAAAGAGGGTGTACACACGCACATAATTTGCAGAGGTAGTTGCGACGATGAATGAGTCACTGAGTGCGATGGCTTCGATGTTTTCACCTCCGGGAAGCGATGTCCGCCAGTCAGTCCGGCTCGTCCAAGTCTCATGCGGTCGGTAATAAAGAGTGGCTGGATCTTTCCCAGAAGGCTGGCATGAGAACAATGATCCATTATCATTGAGGCATGCTTTGTCGTATCGGAAAGGATCTGTGAAATGGAAGTTCCGACGGTCTTGGTCATAGAACTCTACGGTAATACTGTGATGCGTCTCCTGATCCACAGTCCATACTGCTCCAGTTAAATTGAGACAGAGGTATCTTCTACTGCCGCGCCATGGGGTACTACCAGGTTGAAATGAATTGTGATGTTGCGGTTTCCACGAGCCGGTACTTCGCTTCTTCAGATTGTCTGCGGTTAACGGCGCGAGATGGCCGTTTGTCCGCTTGCCATTACCATTCAGCTGTTCCGTGTAGCCCGCACCATCATCATCATCAATGAAGCCATCTCCGTTATCATAGCCGTCGTCAGACATTACTCCTTCCATGATGTCGTCAAGGGAAGCATCACTACCTTTTCGTCGCAGAGGTGTCCGTGGTTTGTCATTGGTAATGCGTCCCGGGGCGTTCCCATTGACCTCCACCCGCGGATCATGAATGAAAGGTGCTGGCTGCAGTAGATCTTTCAGCAGTGAGGCGTGGGCCTCGGGTACAACATCTGGCCGTATGAACAATTCTCCGTCAATATTTGTGTATGAGAGAGTGTTGTCTGTCGGATGCCATTGTAGGTCAAGAATAGTGGCTGCAATGTCGTTATAAGTGTGTAGAATTTTCTGTGTTTTGGTTTCCCATATGACCAATCTGCGGTCCATCCCAGCTGTAGCAAGTAGGGCGCCGTTCAATGACCATGCGAGCGCAGTGATATCTCCTGTATGACCGCTGCGAAATGTCCTTTGCTTTTCCCAATCATCTTTTGAGACGACCTGAACCTCTCGTCCGGCTGTTGGAGCAGCAAATGCGCGCGCATCAGGGTGCCATATCACTCGAGAGCTCTCTTCTGCGTTTGTGTCAAGGTTCTTTATCACATTCGATACGGTCGTGATAAGTTCTGGCTCGTCTGTCCCAAATGAGTATATATACACCTTGCCGTCCGAGCAAGAGACTGAGAGGAATGCGCCATTGGAGTCAAATGATACATGTTTGACCGCTCTAGGTTGTTCGTTGAAGATCAGGACCTTGGTCATGTCCTCGATGCTGACAACCTTGACAACTAGCTCACTGTTGCGCGTTAACTATACTCATGCCTCCTGGAAAGCTCAAACATACTCGCTGGCTACTGCTACCCACTTCCCGTCTGGTGAGATTGCTACATCGCGTACTGGAAGCGTTGAGCGAAATAGTAGACCTTCGAATGTGTTACTTTCGAGGGAGTACTTGGCAACTTGGCCATCTTCTGAACCCGTGATAAAGAATGTGTTCTGCGCTTGTGGATCAGCGTGTTTCGGAGGTCTGAGGAAACCTCCTCACCGTGGAGTCTACTGCAGTATTCGAGTCCGTACAGTCGTCAATGGTAACTGGTTCAGCGTCCGATCCCGACTGGAAGACACGAATCGCATTGTTCAATCCCACAGTAATCAACTTCTTCCCGTTCGGTGTATACGACAGGTATGTAGGGCCGGAGGGGTCTGCAGTTCAGAATCAGCTGGATTTTGGTTATCGATAGCAGCTCAGAATACTCACGAGCTGGTCGTGCTCGTAGACGCTGCTGCAGAGCCATGGTTGCCATGAGTGTTTCTGGTGTTGGCGGGGCCGTGTCCTATGAAGCGGGTGTTGAATTCGGTGACGTGAGGCGACGCGACGCGACTAAGATCTCGACGCGTCAGGGGGAGGAGCGGAATCTATTCCGAAAATTCGCCGTGTACACTGCTGATGCCCGAGAACTTCGTCTACCACTACTTCGCTGTCCAATTGAACAGCAACCAGGACAAACGGAATGGAGGAGAATGGTACTGCGGCTTTCGAAAGCATAGCTGAGTCTCTGGCGCAGGCCAAAGCGAAACAAGAGCGCGATGAAGCACAGGGCCCGAAAGGCGCAACAGACAATGCTATAGCAGCAATCAAACTCGGCGAGAGGCGATTCACTGTGTCCCATGTCTTGCTACTGGTCTTCTTCACCTGGATCTTGTATGCTTCAACGTACTACTCGCAATACTTAGGCTAATCGCGATGTCAGTGTAATACAGACCATTGGCATATATCTATTCACGAGCGGATTTCTCCTCACGAGGCTGGTCCTCGACCATAAATCAGAATGTGCTGTGCCTCCAATCCATCTCCTGAACAAAAATATAGGAACATATGAGCAAGGTTGTTGGCACCCTAGCTCGTTCTCGAAAGCCATTGTCATACTCGTCGATGCCCTTCGCTACGATTTCACGGTCCCTTTCACGCCGAAAGATGGCGAGACTGCTCACCACTACCATAATGCCCTGCCCTTCCTATATGCCACGGCCGTTAAGCAGCCGAATAATGCATTTCTCCTCCCTTTCATCGCAGATCCGCCCACTGTGACCCTTCAACGTTTGAAGGGATTGACAACTGGAACACTTCCTACATTCGTGGATGCTGGTTCCAACTTCGCAGGTACGGCCATCGATGAGGACAATCTGATAGCCCAGCTACGTACAGCTGGGAAGAATGTAGTTCATCTTGGAGATGACACTTGGCATGCATTGTTCCCAGATTACTTCGACCCAGATTTAACGAGGCCATTTGATTCCTTCAATGTCTGGGATCTACATACGGTAGATAATGGCGTAAATGAGCACTTATTCCCCTTATTACATCCTACGAACATATCAAAGTGGGATGTAGTGATCGGTCACTACCTTGGTGTTGATCATGCTGGCCACAGATATGGCCCTGACCATCCCGCGATGACAGCAAAGTTGCAGCAGATGAACGGTGTCTTTCACGACTTGGTTAACGCTGTAGACAATGAGACCTTGGTTGTCGTTATGGGTGATCATGGTATGGATTCCAAAGGCGATCATGGAGGTGAATCAGACGACGAGATCGAGGCTGCCATCTGGATGTACTCCAAGAAGGGCATATTTGGACGTACCTCGGTCTCATCTCTGACACCACCAGCGACCGCTAAGGAGAGACCGGTGGCTCAAATCGATCTCGTCCCAACATTGTCTTTGCTACTTGGTCTTCCCATCCCTTTCAATAATCTTGGACGTCCAATCGACGAAGCTTTCATTGGCGCGAAAGGAAGCGACATAGGGAATTTAGCATTGGCCAATAGAGTCACTTCTGCACAGATACATCGATATCAGTACGAATATGCTCAAGCTCGAGGCCTCAGTGACGAATCACGGTCTACTTCTCTCGACGCATGGACAAAGCTGACTGAAATCTGGGACCTGAATCAGAGAGTCATCCTTCCTGGTGGGCAAGACTGGAAAGGCATTTACACAGCCGCTGTGGAGTATCAAACCGCAACCCTCGAGATATGCCGTGCATTGTGGGCAAGGTTCGATGTCGTGAGTATGCTCCATGGTGTTGAAGTTTTAGCGCTAGGTCTAGTTGCTCTCGTCGTATACGCTCGAGGTATCAACGGTGACCGCACCGAGCTAACACCACTTCTTTTGATACGTGCGACTATCGGGACTGTTGCTGGGATCGTAGTTGGATTGACTTTGGGGCTCTCAATCCCACAATTCCAGCTCATCCATGCGACTGTCTATTGCACTGCAATCGGCGGCTTGCTCGGCCTCGCCACGGGCTTCTACCATATACGCAATCGCCTCCAGTCCCCTATTCCCTCATCAGCCTGGTCCTGGACATCATTGATGTTGCCTGTTGCGCTGTCCGCAGGCTTCGCCGCCAACTCCTTCACGATTTGGGAAGACGAGATCCTCCTTTTCTTCCTCAACACCTTTGGCGTACTGCTTTTCCTATCCTCCTTCCGCCAAAAGAGTCCTGTCGACCGCACCATTGGCTGCACACAATCAATTGCATTCACGGTACTCACGCGCTTGGCTTCTCTCTCCCGGCTCTGCCGCGAAGAACAAATGCCACACTGCAGGTCCACATACTACGCCTCCGCAAACTCTTCAACCTCCGCAACATGGCAACTCACCATTCCATTCATCCTCACACTCGCCCTTCCTGCCGTCATAAAGACATATTTCGCTCAGACCCTCTCATACCAACACTCCGCAACGTTCATGGTCGGCTTCATCCTGCGTCTAGGCCTGGCGCTCACAGCACTCTTCTGGACGCTCGACGCTGCCGATGACGGCGAATGGTTCGGTGGCTCTACCCAGGCGTACCTCAAGACCGTCAAAGTCTTCGTCGCGCAAGTCGTTCTTGCCATCGGCCTTGCCGCCGGATACGCGACGTTCGGGTGGGCGGCGCCCCTGCTCAACATTCGCGAAGAGCGCAACAGCAGCGCAACCGAGCTGCGCTCTGCATCACAGCCCATCGAGACCGGCGAGGGCGAAGCAAAATCCTCGATCATAATCCTGGGTTACGCAAACGTTCACGGCAGTCGCTATCTCCTTCTCTTCATCCCATGGCTGGTCGCCGTAATCCTACTCCAGAAACCAATGGGCGGCGGCGCGATCGGGATTCTCGCATGGCAGGTGCTCAGTCTACTCGAGATCATTGACGCAAACCAACTCGCCGACACGCCCGTCGGACCGGTAGTTCTCGGCTTGCTCGGCTCATTCCATTTCTTCAAGACCGGGCATCAAGCCACGTTGTCGAGCGTACAATGGGAGTCGGCGTTCATTCCACTGCACTACATCCGCTATCCATGGAGTCCGCTCTTCGTCATGCTCAACACATTTGGCGCGCAGATCCTTTGCGCCATAGCAGTTCCCGCGACCGTGCTGTGGAAAGCGCCACCGAAGAAGAAAGGTCTCCTGGGCGATGTCGCAAAGGCGATGGCGACGCACATTCTATTTTACGCTCTTATCAACCTTGCAACGACAATGTGGGCAGGCCATTTGAGGAGGCACTTGATGCTATACCGAATCTTCAGTCCGCGGTTCATGGTGGGTGCGATTGTACTGCTTATTGTAGATTTGGTGGGAATACTTGTCGCTGTGGGTGGGACAAGGTGGAGCTTCATGAGTGTTGCGGATGTGTTTGGATGGTCAAGTGTACAGTAGAAATGTTTCGATCAGTGTTCATCCAGTATATAATAGATATCAGAGCAGTGCATTGCAGTAGTCGTTCGATTAGTGAAATATCGGCGTTGACCATTGTGAGTCATGTAGATAGGAGAGAAAACTTCAGGTCCTATTTACTTAGCGCTGCTTCGTCCTTTGCCCGACAGCCATGATTGTCGTCTTTGAGGGCCTCAGACCTGGTTTTCGCGAAAACTCAGCTGCCTGGACTCTCACCAAACTCCGAATATCAATCTTCAACTTAACCAGGATCTTGAGTCCGATGACTTCGTGTATCAGGGTTCAGGGGTCAGCATGATAGTCGATCCGCGCATGAGATAGAAAATGCATAGTGTCGCAGTCACTGTTGAGCCCCAAGAGCACGAATGACTTTGAAAATTACCATTGTAACGCAATAACACCACCGCTTAGGCTCTAACCTGTGAATCAACAATAAGAGACCCTTATAAGCTAACAAGCTGTCACCAACGATGTTACCTGGACATCTTGTCCTGCGCTCTCACGGCTACAGTACGCACGTTGACTTGGTCGCTCGCAATTACCAACACATTTCCATAAACATACGCTTAGTACTCAGCTTCGGCATCACCGTCGCCCTCAATCGAGTCAGCGGCAACCTCCTCGTAGTCACGCTCCAGTGCAGCCAGATCCTCACGGGCTTCAGAGAATTCACCTTCCTCCATACCCTCGCCAACATACCAGTGGACGAACGCACGCTTGGAGTACATGAGGTCGAACTTGTGTGAGAGGGCGGACCAGGCTTCAGCGATGGCAGTGGTGTTGGACAGCATGCATCTAGAATCTTTGTTAGCATAAGATGAGTGGTCGATGATGATAGGACGTACACAGCGCGGTTGACCTTGGCAAGATCACCGTTGGGTACCATTTGCGGAGGCTGGTAGCAGATACCAATCTTGAAACCAGTGGGACACCAGTCGACGAATTGGATAGTGCGCTTGGTCTTGAGAGTAGCAACAGCAGAGTGGACGTCCTTGGGAACGACGTCACCGCGGTACAACAGGCAGGTAGCCATGTACTTGCCGTTGCGGGGATCACACTTAACCATCTGGTTGTTAGGCTCAAAGCAAGCCATCGAGATCTCTTGTACAGAGTTGGACTCGTGGGCAGCCTTGCTAGCAGAGACCACAGGCGCGTAGGCAACAAGGGGGAAATGGATACGGGGATAAGGCACCAAGTTGGTTTGGAATTCGTTCAAGTCGACGTTCAGGGAGCCATCGAAGCGGAGGGACGCGGTGATGGACGAGACAACTAAGTGATTGTTAGCATATCGTGTATCAAGTAGACATGTCACTGAACTTACCCTGTGCAATCAGACGGTTAAGGTTCTCAAAGCCGGGACGCTCAATGCCCAAATTTCGGCGGCAAATATCGTAGATAGCTTCGTTGTCAACCATAAAGCTGCAGTCGGAGTGTTCGAGAGTAGTGTGAGTGGTGAGAATCGAGTTGTATGGCTCGACGACGGACGTAGCGACTTGAGGGGCCGGGTAGACGCAGAACTCGAGCTTGCACTTTTTGCCATAATCCACTGAAAGACGTTCCATGAGGAGCGCTCCAAAACCGGATCCGGTGCCACCACCGAAGGAGTGGAACACCAAGAAACCTTGCAGACCAGAACAATTATCGGCAACGCGGCGAACCTTGTCCATGACCTGATCGATGAGCTCTTTGCCAACGGTGTAGTGCCCGCGAGCGTAGTTGTTGGACGCATCCTCTTTGCCAGTGATCATTTGCTCGGGGTGGAAAAGGCTGCGGTATGTGCCGGTACGGACTTCATCGACGACGTTCGGCTCCAAGTCACAGTAAATAGTCCTTGGAACGTATTTTCCCTGGCCTTCAGTGTACTGCTGTCAGCCCGAATTCTATCTGTTATAGAGATCTGACCATCTTACCCGTCTCGCTGAAGAAGGTACTGAAACCCTCATCAGAATCGGCAGCTTTTCGCTCTTCTGTTAGGTAACCATCCGGCTAATTATTCTCAGTTAGCTCTGTATATGTCGGAGATAGATCTATATATTGTGCGTACCTGAATACCATGCTCAAGGCAGTACAGCTGCAACAGTGTCAGTGTTTACCAAAAATTAGGCAGCGATATGGAATATTCGTTTGCTTCTCGGAGCGACTTCTAGAATGCAACGATACAGAGACTTCGTGCGACTGACCTCCCAACAAGAGTTGGCGATTTGACAGCCAGCTTGGCCAACTATACGCGTAGAAAAAAGGGTCAGCACGGTGATGGATCAAAAATTGGATGTAGTCGGGGGAGGCGGTCAAGGCGCGTAGTGGGGGGTTGTGTACCATTCAAACTGATGACTTCTCTCATGATTACGGTTGGGCGGATACAGAATAGTTGACGGTAATAGTACGAGGTGGTGCAATTGACCTGGCGGATTCGAGAAGCACAACGCTGGACGAGGAGGAATTGTGCTGGGAAAATGAAGTGTAGAGAGGTTGACGAAGCAAAAGAAGGAGAGAGCGAGGTGAAGTGCGGCCAACGACCGATTGTTTTGCTGGCGGCGACGCTAAGCGCCCACTTAGGCTAGACCGTAAGAGTAAGGACCCCTAGTACGGCAGACCGCAAAGATCTTGACGCGCACTATTGGCTCGTGCCTCGCGCGCCTTCCTCCACTCCTCCAACGTATGTTGTTTATCTTTTTGCGTTTGGCGGACGTCACTTTGGACAGTGCTGTATACCATGTCTGCAGCCTCACTCTGGATGCTCTAATACTTTGACGCGCCATCTCACTCCGACATCTGCATGACCATCTTTATCAGCACGCCGCCCTCCCTTGCCTCTTACCGCCAGTGTGTTCCCGGTGACGCATGCCCCGCTGCAGTTGAACTGAGTACTTGATGAACGTAGCTGCCTCAGCAAAACTGTAGATTCGAGATGCAGTATCCCTTCGCGCGGAACCTATGCCTCGTCTTCAGCTTCATCAGTGCAGTCTATGCTAATACCGAGAAAACCATCTTTATTGCTCCTCCAGCCATTGCTATACCCAGCTTCCAGTCAAGTCTCGAGAACCTTCGACTCGTCACTCTGTCACCAGGCCGGCAGGCATCGTTCAGAACAGAACTCTCCGTAGCATTTCCGTCTAAGCAGATTCCACGCGGCCACGAACACTGGTACATGCTGGATAAGCTGACGGAGGGCCAAAGACACGAGGTCCGGATTTGCTGGGCGGCCACGGTACGCTCAGGGTCCCTCCATCAGTGCTCTATCTAGGCTGACACGAATAGCAACCCACAGAATTTTGGCTTGACACTTACTCGGTTTCCGAACTCTTAGAGACGCCTTCACTTATTTCTTCACTCGCTGAATACTCTGGTACAAACAAAGGGACAGATAGGTTAGAGCGAGAATACCAATCTGGGGAGGAATCAGTGCGCGCCACGTCCAAACTCTTTCTCCGCGTCAGCGCTGCAGCAGACTTCTATACAACCAACGCTACGTTGATGCACAATCCGCCGGATGTAGTGGTGGACATCAGTACGTCATCTGCATGTGAGTACAGGCGAGTGTAGCTAACTCGGTCGTAAAGTTCTCGACCCATTTGCCTTAAATCTGATACCAGAATCACTCTTACCAGTTGGCCTATACATCGTTGTAGTTTTTATTGCTGCATGGTTTGTATCGGGTGTCATCTACCAGTGGCTATACGCAATTGCCAAGACTGAGCTTGAAAAGCCACACAAGGACTGAAATCGTCTTGTGTGTTCGCAAGCAAGAGTAGATCATCTTCCAATCGCGATGTTTAGCTGTTTCTGCGGGCGTACTGACAAGGAATCGGCTTCAAAGACCAAGAAACTCAAGTTCCGCTCTGCAAAAACCGTTAGCTTGCACTATCTCTCCGAGGGGTCTCCCGATTCGTCATTCAATAACGAAAGACGTCCACAGAACTTGACCATGGCGAACCTTGCCCCACTTCAGGTTCGGCTCGGTGCATATGTTGGCCAAAACAGTCTCCTGGGGCCAGTACCACCTGAAATCCTCACTCTCATTCTGGAAGACATGTACTTGCCTACATTTTGTCGATTCTTACTTGCAACATATCCAATGCTAAGACATCATGGGCTTGTCGAGCCATTGACCAGGCATGAGCTGGCACGCATGTTAAGCAGGCGAGAGCCACCCACCTTGCCCGTTCCATACGAAATATTTTGGTTTATTTTTGATCATATTGATAACTTTCGCGACAAGGCTCAGTATGTTATAGCACACTACACTACATTGCTCGCTATTCAAAGAGTTCCTGGAATCACTCGGAGCACGTTTCTCATGCTGCTGGCATCTTTGAAGCTCGACTCAGCCAATGCAGCTGCTATCGCTCCGACCTAGACTCCTACCGCACATAATTAGTCCTCAGCATGATTTAACAGGTTACTCTCTCGACTTGGTAAAGTCAGTACTTGAGCTTCTCTTGGTCAGGTAGACTCTGAGCCAGGTCTCCTTTTATATCATTGTAATGAGCATGGTGCGTGGTAGTTTAAGATGGCATCCTCTCCCGTAGGTCCAGGAAAGATTATATCTGGTAGCGGTTTCTAGCACATTCACGGCAGGCCTCTGCTCTGTATTGCATATAATTGCAACAAATCATTGAGTCGATCGCCTCATGCGTGCTTCCGTGTGATATCGGTGTCTTGAACTTCAAACAGCGCGGGCTGGTCTCGCTGGAGATCTTTCCCTCAACGTCTCGAAGTTGGAATGGTCACAAAAGAGCCACGAACATCATCTCCTTTCCGTTCTGCCCGTTTATCATGATGACTTTTCAGGTGTTTTGAAATCGAACATGGCTCGTCTTTTACTTTCTCCGGCCGTGTTGCATCGTGAGGAATATCGCACTCGGACTCCAGACTTGATATCCCATGTCATGATTCTGGCTTAAGATGATCGTTCCGTGGGCTTCCTCACGCATGTCACTCACTTGCGGAATAACTTTCCGAGTACGCTTGTTTCAGTAATGTTCATGGGTCCCTCAAGCACTGATCTTGAGTAAACAAGCAATCAAAAAACTCCGACATCTCAAAAGTCTTCAGATACTCACAGACGCGTGTACCACTATGTAGATATATTCCCATTTAGCCGTCTTGCTCACTGGAAGTAGACTACGGTAGATAGCTGGAAATGAATAGAAGTGAGAGACTCCAGACTTCTCATTAGGATTAATTATGTATGTATGTATGCAGACGATCCAGTTGGGATAAAGTGGTATATATAAGGCATTTCGGTTCTAGAGCGAAGAGAAGAATGGACAAAACTGCTGCGTATCATTTTGCTGAACCTATTATTATATACTCGGCATTACCAAGCCCCTGCTGTTTATGCCTACTTGCTTTTATGACACGCCGGTGATTCCCATTTCAATTGGAAAACCACTAGAGTGCAAAGGGAGGAAAAACCCCAAGGGTGAAAACTTTGAAGCTCCGTTTCTATTCGTATGCTGATGACTCGATGCGAGATATGAAAAAGAAAATGCTGACGAGTAAAAAAGTCCTAGGCTTCATGAACGAAGACGCCGAAACATACAGGCTATTATGCAGACCCTATTGAGTTCGAAAAATCAAGCTATGCGTGTCGAGGCAGGCTCAAGGAAAGCTTAACTGCGCCCATTGATGACATTGCTGAGCCACGAATCCTGAGTAACATTCTGGAGTCCTTTATTATTACCATCTCTCGATCGCGTCGACATACCGGGGTTTTCTACCGCTTCGTCGTCCCGTGGGTGATCAAGCACAGTGTGCTTGTTCCGTGTCTGTTTTTCCTTTCTCTGCGTGGATCGGAATGCCTCGTCAACGGGCATTGTTGCGCTCTGTGTTTTGGCCTTTTTGGGGAGCCTGGGCTCAAGGTCGCCAGCCGAGGGAATAGCAGCAGTGTCGTTCGACTTCTGCTTCCTTGGTTTCTTGGCGTTTAGGGGAATTGAAGCTATGCAGCTAAGGCCCAGAGTCGCAGAAGCAACCTCGTTTATTGTTCGTTTCCTGGTCGTATCCTTCGTTGAGGCGAGGCGCTTTCCACCACTAGTCTGATCGCGAGCTGTATTTTTTATTGCTTCTGTTCGCAACTCACGCAAATAATCAGAGTTCATCCTAGAACCCTGACTTGATGGCTTAGTGGCGTCACTTGTAAACTTCTTGCTTTTCGTCCGTACGCCTTGCTGCTGTGTGATTCTGGGAGAATTTTGTATTGGGAGTGTCACATGTAGTCTATGGTCGTCGACTCTTGAAGAGGTCGTTTGCTCTGGCTGTGGATGAAGTCTGGAACCATGACCGCCATCTCCTGATGATGATTTTGCTACACCATTCGTCTTTGAACGTCCTTCCGGAGGTGCACAACCGAAACTAAGTGTGGGAACGTTATCTGATCCGTTGAGTGTAGGTCCCTCATTCCGCGTAGATATAACATCTTTCGTTAGAGGAGCCACTCTGCGTACTATTGGAACACTTCCGGGTCCATTCGCAACATTAGCTGGTTTAGGAACAGACTTCTTCGATCGTTCTTGGACCTTCGTTGCTGGTAGTGACTTGACAGCTGACACAGCCTGCTGTTGGTCACCAGAACTAGTCTCAGTATTTGTGACGTTGACTTTAAGCTCCTCGAGAGTTCGGCTAGAATCCTTCTTTTGTCCTGCTCCATTTGCTGTGCATGTGGGTCGACTCTCATCATTAGTATCCAACTCTGCATTGGCATCATCAGAGTCCCATACTACAATCGGTCGACCTGTAGCACTTGCGAGCTGATTTTTCGGTGAGACCACGAGAGGAGTACTGTGTGAACCATCCGCCGACAATCTTTGACTTTCACGAAAGCCCTTGGCTGTAGTGCTTTGAGATACTCCCCAATTTCCGCGTGAACTGAAAGTACCATTTTGATTCACCTCCTGATCCTTGTGAGAATGCGTGGCTGGTCCTTTGGATGCCGCGCTCTGCTTCTTGTGAGAAGCTTCAGGTGTACTACTTGAGAGCGCCTCTTGGCTTTCGAGAGTCGTCAGAACATGGCCTCTGGCCTTGCAGATGTCACAATAGTCTGTGATCGAACCACCAGAGTAGCGGTCACTTACGCATGGAATGACTCTGCACTTGGCACAGAGACTACGACTCCCCTGAGCACAGCATAGGTTACAATAACGATCACTTTTCCGTTGCTTCGGATCGTGATCATTTTGTGGTCGCTTCTCTTTGCAAGCACCACAGGTCTCCCAATAACCGCTATTCGGAGCAGCTGGACCCATGTTGAGGGAAGCAGGATCAGAAATGATAATACTATCTGATGATCTGAACGTACGCGCGGCGTCTGAACCTACATGACCTGCATACACACGCTCAGTAACACCTTTTTGACAGACGCTAGAGTCGAGCAATCCATGTGGTGGATTGCTCGACGTGCGCATTGCGCGTGAACGAATCGAAGGAGCGCATCTCACTGTAGACGAATCTGTAGATTCAGTTGTGGCCGCGTCGACTTGGACCTGTGTCTCTTCATCACGTGCAGCATCTTGCATAGCCTTGATACGGGCCAGACAAAGCCGGAGTGTATCTGCAGAGATTACTCTACGGCGCCCGTAGTCACGAAGCGTCGAAATGAGTTCTGACATGAGACCCCTTCGTAGAAAACGTGGTCCTTCCTGTACAACGAGTCGATAGATTGCACCCTTAAAGTAGTAACCAGCACATAGACGTTCCAAGCGCATATGTTCTCGGTGGATATCCAGAAACTCTGCTTCTTTCGCTCCGATTTTGTCGTCGTGCTTATAGGAAGCGTCCTGCCAGTCAAGACAAGTCACTTCTGTATCGTCCTCGCTATCACTGATAGTTTCACCTGCGGATAGTGGTCTTTTGTTGTTGCCCATGTAGTAAACTCGACCTGGAGGGGGTGTCGGGACTCGAAATCCTGACTTCTTCGTGCGCCTGTTATCCCTCGAATCGGACTCGGTAGACACACTTGCACCCGAGCCAGCATTATTAACGGATCTTGAAGCCAATTGTTTCAGTGATATCGCGTCCTTGGAGTTTGATGTAGCAGCGCTGTTTGACACAGCAGTAATGTCTTCTCCGGTCTGGGGTCTCACGAAGGAATTTGGTCGTGGCGTCGTAGTCTTCTCTAAGCTGGATGTAATAGAGGTTTTCGACCTGGAGCGTATTGTCTGTTCTGGGGTGAGACTGACGACAACCTTCGATACTGCATCTACACTAAAGCCAGGGGCTGTTGGCGTGGATCTCACATCCTTTTTCGAGGCAGCAGTATTTGGCATGGAGTTCAAATTCTGCCTGAGTAAATCCATTCTTCGGCCTGAGATCGTGACTATAGTGGAATGAGCAACTTCAGGTGCTGGATGTACATTCGGAGCAGCGACTCTGTGAATGGGTGAAGCAATCCTTGGTACTATATGTGAATCCTCTTTTGAAGTGGCGGTTTTTGTTGAGATAGTATCTTTTTGGAGGATAGATGTCTGTGGCAGTGGAACTGCGTCACTTTGTGGGGATACGAATGTTCGTACTGTGTCTGTTCTTTCTCCAATAGCGGTGACTTCATGGACCATAGATCCCTGTGTCTCGGACTGCGCGCCACTCGCTTCAAGTGAATGGGATGCACGAATAGATTTAGATGCCGACGCAGTTGGACAAGTCAAAGGGGTCGGCTGCCTGGGCGGATTTGGGGTACGTTTAGGGTCCACTGACATCTCAAATTGAGCATTGACCCATGGTCCATTGCCGTCAAGAAGGTCTTGGAGCTTTAAGGGTCCTTCAGGTCGCAGAAATACCGATTGTGTGTTCTTTGTGAACATGACTCTTCCTTTTTTCAAATGTCTGAGTCGATTTCTGCGGAACGTCACGTATAGCTTATCCCCAGCCTCGCCTCCCGCGATATCAAAAAAGGCGACATCAGGATGGAACTGTAGCAGGTGCAACACGAGCCGATCGCTGTTGGCGAACATCCTGTGGCAGAAATAGCATATAGGGTTGTCCAGGCATACTTCAGACTCCGGAACTCCGCGTGTTATGTATGAGACCTCACATGCGAGTGATGAGTGTGCTGGTTTCAGACGACGGTTCTGCCACTTGACATTGAGGTCTAACTTCAAGGCTAGTGAATAGGTCTTACCTATGTGGTGATGACCATCGACATCAAGTGGTTTCGAGCAGTGATTCGCCAGCTTGTCAGGACGACAATACAGACTCCTTGATGTACATGCGAAGGTCCGATCATAGCCCGGCTTTGCCTGGCCGTCGTCGAAGAGACAAGTACTAGCGATGCGGTAAAACTTCTGTTCTTCCTGGGAATTAGACAATGTGACCTTAACCATGAAAGTAACAGCGTCGATTGGGCCAACGCCCCATCTGTCTTCACCACCCCATGAACTCTTCAAGATTTCAGAACATTGTGTAGTTCGAGTGAGAAAAGTCTGCCCAGGAATAACAAATGGTTCTGCGTCAAAAGCCAGATCTATCTGACTTTGGTTCCACTGCCTGACCGTAATTGTACTCGTGACACTTTGCGCATATATTGGCGTCTTTTCCTTTCTCGGACTTCTGGCATACATTCGGAGAGTTAGAGTACACCAGTGAAAGGTGTAAACGACTGGGAGCTGCCTCTGCGAGAGATGGTTGAGAGCAGGGTCGGAATTACGAAGACCAGTGACGTTCAATACTAGCCGATGATCAGGCATACGCAATGAAGAGAGAAGGGGCCCCAGAGCTGGCGACCCATGGTCCCAAGCACGCTGCAAATGACTTTTTGAGTACGTTTGAAAGTTTAGTAGACCTGCATTCTCTTCGGAGTCGAACACTTTGTCCAGATTACGCAGCAAAAGGGGAGGCCGGCTCGCAGCTGGATCGAACGTATGATTCCCGGTGGAATTCATTGAGGATACGTTCGAACAAAAAAAGCCAGCTTGCTGGAAAGTTGTTAGCAGGCTTGATGTATAGAAATCAGGAGTAAAATCATAATTTTGTAGTGATTTGAGACAAGGAGATGAAATCAAGTTTGGTAGTTGGCTTGGTGACAGAGAAAAGGAATGAGAGTTGAAGAAAGACTCGGAAGACCAATTTGATAGAAATATTTGCAGGTTAGATTATAGTGCTCGTAACCTACCTAGGCATTGACCAGTACTGAACGCGCTGAATATGTATGAAACAAACATGACAGTCGCGACTCGCGACGCGCACTAGACTGCAAAGAGGGAGGTAAATCACCTAGGCTGGCCGACTGTATTATGAGCCATTTGTTGCTCTAGTACTGTCTTCTATATCGCAAGGGACCGTGGTATCGACAATTACATTACACGTGGTGCTGAGCATACACTTATATTGCAAGCAGGAGAGAAGAGTAATGGGTGAAATTGATACCTTGACGACGACTAATTAGGTCTAGCTGAGCGGCTTCAGCCGGAGTTCCGAAGTCCGCCCGTACGGCCATTTCATCAAGTATCTTCGAAGACGAACTAGAAAAGTAGCGTCGAGTTCGCAGTCTTATTCTGATTCCTAATATATACTGCGGAATTACAACATGAAGCCAATATCTAGTCTTGTGATTGCTAATACATAAGATTTATCGGTGCTCGGTGGTGCTGGATGATGAAAAATCTTCTGAGAGTGTGCGGGTCATAGCTATAATCAAGGACGAAATTTATCCATAGCTCGGAGCGCTCGCATCTTACGGAAAGGGTTCGATGTGCGAAGGGAGACAAATGACAATGGTAGTGTTATATACATTTAGCTCGAGGCAGGCAAAGCGCAAGCTTCGGAATCAATGGTACTCTACATGCCTGATCTTTAGGTACACAGTACACTGTTATTAAACTATAGTGGTTCTGACCCCGAGCTGTCACAACCGCCGCCTTCCGGCTTGGTTCCTACACATAACTACCAAGTGTTAGCACACAGTCTAGCATACAAAGGTATGTTCGAACAATTTGTACCATGGTAATCATGTAACATTGCCATGCTTCTTCAGATCTCGAGATCTAACGACGTTACTAGCCACTTGCCTCTTCATCATTTAGCGAGCCAACCAGAGCACGACCCGATGCACGTCGGCGACATGGCCGCATCACTCGGCGAAAAACGACTCGCAAAGAGCGGTTGAAGCAACCTTGCTTTATGTATCGGTCTTCAATGACCCAGAGAAGACATTTTGCCCCTTCGAGTAGGGTCCTGACCAATCAAGAGACAGTGTCGAAACGAGGTCGACAGGGGGCGTGGTAAAATGACCATGGACACCTTACAGAAAACTACTTGACCTTACCAAACCCATACCACAGCAAGACTAAAGCCATCTGACAGAGTCTCCAACGTTGAAACTTTGTAGTAGAACCGCGTACATAGCCTCTTCCAACAATACCATGCAAATGCAGAGGTAGGTTGGTAAAATACCCATTGCGTATGGTGCTTACCGAGGTATGGGATCCAGGCCACTTTTACTCTTGCGTAGTTGGCTAGAATTTCGATCTGCAGTATTTGGCGACCGCCGCTTGATTCCGCATAGGGGGCATTCGTATGGCTGAAGGATGTCTATGCGTCGTCCACGTCGCAGCTCTACGGTAGGCTCCAACCGATATTGAAAGTATTTCACTTTTTGATTATGAAAAGACTGGGCTTCATATTGATCTTGCATAGTCTTGCAACACATCCTGACAACTGGAGGAATGTCTGCACGCCTTCGAGGATCCGCATGTGTGTGAAGCCGATCTCTTTGATAAACTCGAGTTTGGCGTGCTCCGAGAGAGATGGAATTGTCTTGGTAACTCTGAACATGGTGCTGATAATATCGTGGGTCGAGTATCCGAGGTCCCTGCGATGATTCAGATATTGTTAAAGTTGTCAATGATATGGAGAGGCTCACCATAGCTCCTTCAAGATATCCATTGCCTCGTCAATTTTGGTTTCATGGCAGCACTTGATCATGGCTTGGACCTTGATTGGATGCGGGCTATCGACAACTTTGAAGACATTGTCACCATTGACAAACCCAAAACCAGCGAATGTACTCTGCAAATTGTTGATGGCCTGTCGCATGTCTCCTTCAGCACTGAAAACTAGTGCTGCGATGCCATCGTCGGAGAACTCGACCTTCTCTGCTGTACATATTTGGTTGATTCTGCGGACTACCTGAGCGTCGGTGAGGCGTGCATAGCGGAGGATGGCGCAACGTGATTGAAGAGGCTCGATGATCTTGTTCGACTGGTTGCAGGCAAATGCGAAGCGAGTAGTCGAGGAGTAGATTTCCATGGTACGGCGCAGAGCTTGCTGCGCACCGGATGTCATACTAATCGTTTCGTTAGCTCTGTGGGATTGACAGGTACTGTGATTGTGAATACCTGTCTGCCTCGTCCAAAATGACGATCTTTTGTCTACCAGCCGGGAGTGTGACCTTCTTCTGGGCAAAACCTTTGATACGATTTCTTACTACATCAATACCACGCTCGTCACTGGCGTTCAACTCTAGGACCGCCTCTTTGTACGCATCGCCCAGTAATTGTCTTGCCAGGCACAAAATAGACGTGGTTTTGCCAATGCCAGGCATGCCAGAGATGATGACATGTGGCATATTTCCATCCTTCGCAATGATCTTCAGGCGTTCAATTGTCTCCGTGTTGCCCACAATGTCATCGAGGTAAACGGGACGGTATTTTTCGACCCTGTAAAAGTCAGCGGGAACGCATTTATGGGAGAAGCCGAATACATACCAAGGCAGCTCGTAGTTGCTTCCGCCGGCATTCGGGTTGGCTTTAATACCATGAACGGTCTTTGAGGATTCGCCTTGAGCCATTGTTGTGGTAGTTGAACGTCTTGTGTGATTTGCTGAAGGCTGAAAAGGAAAATGTTGACGCGATATCGCGAGCGCGCGATTGAGTGGCTGCCTGAGGCAGACACTCTACGCGTAGATTCAAATAGGAAAGGCGAGAGATTAGCGTACCTAATTAATTATCTTGGTAATTGCCCGGACCCCCGCCGGTCTCCGCGGCCATGACTACCTGCTATCAACCGCATGTCCACTATCTGGCGAACCCACAATCAAGTCGCATCCCTAACAGGTCATATTATATCAAGAAATACGTTTTCGTTAATATCATCAACATTCTACAAAATCTACCAGAAACTACTCCGAATAATACGATAATCTTAGGCGAATAGCAGCAAACTGGCACCAGTTACTCAGCGCATAATCCAAGGCATTATCTTGAAGACTGTTCGTACGTGCTCCATTAAGAGGAGAGCTACGGCGTAGCTCCAGACTCATTTCCGGCAGCCGACCCCCAAGACCTCAAGTTTCAAGCTTGGCACCTGAAGCGGGAGCACTGTGGCAGGTGAGTTTGAAGAAGCACTGTATACAGGGATGGCTATGTATCGTGTCATCGTCACTTGTAGGGTGTTGTAGGACGGAAACGATTACAGTCACGAGTAGGCAAACGACGCGTAAGCAAGACTGATGATGATGGGTAAGAGAAAAGTCCTACAATGGGGCGTTGTAGGACTGTTATTGAGCATCGGGTAATGGAATCATTCTTGCGTAACCATTACTGTAGTTGACTTGGACTAATGTTGGCGGCATGAAGAGACGAGGTTTGCTGATGCTAATCAAGGCTTCTGGAAAGTGAGTGTGAGATCTGGAGTGGCCTGTGTGGAGATCTTGTGAACCGGGGTTCATTACGGACCGACTCGGGACACAGGCTCCAGGGCCGTGTCAGTCAGTATCAAGCAAGCATCTTGGTACGCAGCATTCCGCGGGGCGAGGCGAACAGATTTGATATGAAACCGACGAAAGGGTAAACATAGACCTCATATAAAGGCAAACTAAATTATTATACATAGAACAAACGTATCACACGGTCACACCCATCCAGCTGAAATGTAAAAAACAAAGAGGCAAAGCAGAGTGAGTATACTAGGTAATTAGGCTGCGTCATGACTTGATTAATCTTGTGTGGAGATCTAGTGTGGAGGTCGGGGCGGCGTGACAAGTAATACGCATTACATGACCATGGATACCTACATAATCGTTCATCTCTAGGCGCTCGGTCACGGCTAGCGGCTCATCAAACTCCATCCCCCGGCGAGTGCTCAGGGCAGATGGCGCATCTGGCCGCGTCACCCCTGGGTCCTTTCCGGCGGCGCGCCAGCTCCCTTGTCCCTTTCCTTCCATGGGCGGCGGGAGGCTTCAATGCTTCTCGCCGCCACTCACTCTTCCACATTCACTTCTTACTCACTTATTTGATGTCAGACTTCTTCACTTCGACATATACTTGCCTGTCCTTGTCTTTCCTTTACTCTCTCTTTTCCTGCTCTTTGTTTCTCTCAATATCTTGTATAGCATCCTAGGTGCAATCCTGCTCGGCATCAACTCGGTCTCACGGTCCTCCTCTCCCCCCTGACTCCCTGCCGAATCCCTGACCTGGTTGAACTTTGTTCAATATGCGATACTACTACGCTGCGTCCCTCGCTGCGGCTCTTGCTCCTCTGTCCGATGCATTGCATCTCGTTCGACGCGATGTAAGCCTACTTCCCCCTCATTGATTCAGCACATCAGTCGGCTATACAGTCGGTGAGCACTACGTTCACGTTCACGTTTACGTTCCGCCACCCCTTGCTTCCCAAGCCGTAATAACTGAACTGACCATACCGAAAGGTGCCTGCTGTTCTACATCTAGAAACACAGCGTCGTACCGACATCGATTTTATAGCCCACGACCGTCTGCGGCGGGGACTCGGAAAGCGGGACGGCAAAACCCTACAGGCAGACCTCGATAACCTACAAACACTATACTTCGCGAACGCCACTTTGGGTACGCCTGAACAATCGTTCCGATTTCACATCGATACAGGTAGCAGTGACCTGTGGGTCAATGCCGCCAATTCATCCTTCTGTGAAGACTCCAACAACGGCTGCAGTGATTCTGGCACCTACAGTCCCGACGACTCCTCGTCCTATGAATTCGTAAACGATGACTTCAACATCTCATACGTAGATGGCTCCGGCGCTACCGGAGACTATGCTAAGGAAACTTTTAAATTCGGTGGCGCAACAGTCGATGGCCTTCAATTTGGTATTGGGTATACTTCTTCGTCTCCTGAAGGCATACTCGGTATCGGCTATACCACGAATGAGGTGCAGGTGCAACGTGTCCAAGGTGGACAGCCGTATCCCAATCTGCCACAAGCTCTGGTTGACAATGGAATGATCAATTCGAACGCTTACAGCCTGTGGCTCAACGATCTAGACGCCAGCATGGGCTCTATCCTGTTTGGAGGTGTCGACACAAGGAAGTACAACGGCGAGTTGCAGACTCTGCCTGTAATTGCTGAGAGCAATGGTAAGTACGCAGAGTTCATCATTGCCTTGACTGGAATGGGTCAAAACGGTCAAAACGGCTCCATCTTCTCCGATCAAACGGTACCCGTTCTACTGGACTCCGGCAGTACCTTAATGTACCTCCCCGATGAGGTTGCTGACGCTCTATTCACCTCGATGAATGCTCAATACAACTCTCGAGCAGGCGTTGCTTCAATCGACTGCAGCGCCGCCGATAGTACCGACACCCTAGATTTCACCTTTAGTGGCCCCACCATCAGTGTGCCCATGAATGAACTGGTCATTGTGGCAAGTGTCAGTCGCCGTGGTGTAGAGAGTTGCATCCTGGGCATTGCACCGTCTGGGGGCTCTACTGCAGTGCTAGGAGACACGTTCCTTCGCTCTGCCTACGTTGTATACGATCTTCAGGGCAACACCATTTCCCTTGCTCAGACCGCCTTCAACTCAACCGAATCCAATGTCCTCGAAATCAACAGTTCTGGTGACATTCCTAATGCAACTGGTGTACCTGGCGCTATCGCTACCGCCGATGTTACCGGCGGAGGTGCTCGCAACGGTGGTGCTGGTAGTACCAACAGTCAAGGTGCTGGACCTCGAGCTACTGCTATGCCATGGGCCGGTGCTGCAGCTGTAGGTGTCGGTCTTTTGGCCGTATTGTAAACAAGTGATGAAAATCGATTTTTTCAGCCAAACTTTATGGATGCATTTACAGGCGTTTGGTATCTCGCTAGACACTCGTTTCAAGCGTAGCATTTGTTTGGGTATATACATTCTCTGCATAGGAATTTTGGTTATTTCGCGGCACACCGCACCGCCAGTACATATTACATAGAACATGAGTCACAGCCTCAGTATTTTTCGTATATCACACATCAAATTCTTTTATTCATGATCTTCGCCGTCGAAAGGAGCGGCACATACAACTACATACCTGAGGCACGAAAATCACATTAACACTCCGTGATCTACTTACCTCCTCGAAAATCACAGTTTGGATCTACGGATTATATCCTCGTAATTTGTGCTACACCAGTCCAAGCCAGGAGAACTTTTGGAGATGAATGGAGTGAATCGGAGACATTCTTTACAGGAAAATTGATGCAGAGGTATATGAACTGAAATGAACGAAGAACCCAGGATCGAGAGATAGGCCGGTAATTTATGTTGACCCGTAGATGAATGAATGGATCCATGGATCACGCACGGGCCGACCTCTACTTGACCTTCATCCCACCTCTCTTCTGTGTCCGAATTTTCGATATCACCGCAACAGATTGAGCGATTGGCGCTTGCCACCAACTCAACGCACCCATCAATGCGCTCGCGCTGACCTCTGTACCCCTCAAGAGCATCAAGAGCATCAAGGAGTACTCAGCCTCGCGTACGTGCCTTCAACATGCCATCCCGCATCGCAGCCCTGCGAGGTATACAAACTACGGCTTCGAAGCAAGCACGGTGCCACACCCAGACACTCTCAAGCGCCTCGCACCTCTCTCTCAAGCAACAGATCTCTTCATACCGAACCTCGACCTTGCACAGCTCGCGATGGAGGCATCCTCATTCATACCAACCCTGCTCGCAGCACCGCAATGCCTCGACCGTTGCATATCCAGCGACCCGCGCAAAAAACACCATCTTAGGCACCACGCTCCTCCTCCTCGCTGCCGGCACTCTCATATATACGACCGACACCCGTGCCAGCATTCATAAGTACCTCGTCCCCCGCATCATGCGCCTGCTCTTCCCGGACGCCGAAGACGCCCATCACGCAGGCATATCCACCATGGCCGCACTCTATGCGGCAGGTCTACACCCACGCGAACGCTCCTCCTCGTCGCCTGACCTCCGCACAACCGTCTTCGGCACACAACTCGCAAACCCAATAGCCATCTCCGCAGGCCTCGACAAAGACGGCCTAGCAATTGACCCGCTCTTCGCGCTTGGGCCCAGCATTGTTGAAATCGGAGGCATAACACCACGACCACAAGAAGGCAATCCAAAACCACGCGTCTGGCGCGTCCAAAGTCAAGAAGGAATGCTGAACCGCTACGGTCTCAACTCTGCAGGCGCAGCTGCCGTCGCACTCACACTTCGCCGCCGCGTTCGCACATTCGCAGATAAACTCGGCTGGGCCGGCCCGGCCGGGGAACAGGCAGTCCTCAACGGCAACGCAGACGTCCCTCCAGGTTCCCTCCTGCCAGGCCGTCTCCTCGCCGTCCAGATCGCCAAGAACAAAGACACTCCCGAATCCGACCAAGCGGCCGTTGCAGCAGACTATGTCTCCTGTGTCCAGCACCTCGGCCCCTACGCAGACATCCTCGTCGTGAACGTCAGCTCGCCAAACACTCCCGGCCTCCGCAGCCTCCAGGCCGCCGAACCCCTCACACACCTCCTCTCCGCCGTCGTGTCCGCCGCACAAAACGTGTCGCGCAAGAGCAAGCCGAAAGTCATGGTCAAGGTCAGCCCCGACGAGGCGTCGGAGGACGACATCTCCGGCATCGTCGCCGCAGTACACGCGTCCGGCGTCTCCGGCGTGATTGTCGCAAACACAACCAAGACGCGGCCTGTGCACGCCCCCTCGCTGCTCACGGCGCAAGAAACCCACGTGTTGACGGAAACTGGCGGGTTTTCTGGGCCCGCGTTGCTGGAGAGGACGGTGGAGTTGGTTGGGCGGTATAGGAGGGCGCTGGACGAGGGCGCGGAGGGGAAGAGCAAAGTCATTTTTGCGAGTGGAGGCATATGTAGCGGTGCGGATGTGTTGCGGGTGTTGGAGGCGGGAGCGGCAGTTGGGATGGCGTATACGGCTTTGACGTACCAGGGGGCCGGGTGGGTAACGGAGTCGAAAAGACAACTGCAGGAGGCGTTGAATCAAAAGTCATGATCAAAGACTGTGTCATAGTGGCGTTAGATCTAAAATAAAAGCTGTGTAGAGTCTGTCCTTCAGGGACGTGGGTGGAAAGGTGATAGATCTATCTGCATACTGAAGGGCCGCGTTTGATCTATAAGCGTGTTGGAATAGAACATGCCAATTACAATGTATATATAGTTATGGACACTCGATCATCGAGTCTACACACGACACTTTATGCCATGTGTGCAACAACAAGTAGCGATAAGACAAGCTTCAAGGGCATCAGGCCTGTTCAAAAAAAAAAAAAACTGCTCCATACATCCAATGGGGGGGAGAAAATTGTTTAACCCGGCCTACACCCATCATCAATCAGTTTTGATTTTTTAATGAGGCCTATGAACTCCAATAGCGCCGTACCAGCAATACCATGGCGTCTCAATGATCACCAGAAAGAATCAAAATCCATAGATCCGCCCACCGCCTGATCAATGCAAAAGAGGACCGACCGTGTGTAGAATGAGCTTGATATGATATACAAGAAGTAATGATAATGGTAGTTATAGCGGATGGCTGGGGGAAATCAGACCACGACCTCACCAAGCACACGTCCTGGGATCTGTTGGTGAGTAGTAGACGCATTATCCAGTAGCGTGGTGAAATATTCGATAACAGTGCGGCGACAGAGGAATAGAACAAAAAGCGGAATCCAAATGCACCATAGATGCCAGTCCTTGTAGATCGGCTTTCTCTTTTGTTGGTGGACACTTCGCACACGCTGTTGCTCCTCTTTGGAGAGCGCCTTGCGGCCAATCTTGACTTCCAGGCGAGTCGGAACCGGTTCGACCACGATCGGCGTGGTTGCCGAAGATGAACTTTGAGCAACGGAAGTCGGGCTATCGAATATTGAGGCACACTTTCGATCAAGAATTGTTTCAGCTTGGGCCCGCATCGACGACTCTTCCTTCAAATCGTCGAGAGATGCTTTGGCTTGTTCGGGATATATCTCCTCATACGCTGGAGGCTGAGGCGAAGACGAGAACAGATCACGTAAATGGGATACGCTAAGCATAGCCGACGAGGTCACTGTTTTTTCGTCGTCGGATGGTGGTTCAGTTCGGGCCTGCGCACCATGAGGGACAAGTGAACTGATACGACGGACCATCGGATTTGCTTGATAGCCTTCTAGAGTGGGCATCGGAGGCAGTGCCGGTAGTTGGAAGTGTGGGAACCAATGGACATTTTGCTGTAGCTGCTGAAACGAGGCAGCGATCTGACCAAATGCTGCAGCTGCGGCTGCTGATGCTGCAAAGCCATGCTGGTCTGGGACCGGCTGTACGACTTGGGTCCGCTCTAGGACGTTGCTATTTCGGCGTGATCCAATCCAAGCCAATTCTCCAGATCTCGAATTGACCAGCGACAAATCAGCTTCGTCGTCGGCTTCCTCGTTGTCGGAGCTGTCAAAAGTATCCGCTTGTGAATTGAGACTGTTTTGGCTTGGTGACGCAGTTTCCCATACCGATTTCAGTGAAGTAATGCTGTTTGCTCGACTTCGCGGGACAGCTGCCCCAGCGCTGCGAGTGCGAGTATGATGCGGGAAGCGCCGAAGAGCAGCCTGAACCTCTGTAGAGCGTGTGAAATCAATAGCGAGGTAGCCTTTGAGGCTTCGTATCATTGGGTCTGCGCCACGCAGTATCAAGCGCCGTACAAGTTGCGGTTGGTTGTAGAGACTTGCCATCATTAGAGGTGTAAAGCCTCCGTTATCACGAACCTCCGGGTCGGCTCCACGCGCGAGAAGCGCAGCCACAAAGCGAGTGTAGCCCAAGGCACATCCAAGAGATATCATGGTGGCACCAGTCTTAGTTTGCATATTGTATTGAGGCGGTTCCGGGTTTTCGTCCAAGTCGAGAATGTCCAAGCAGCGAAGTAGCATATCCTCAGTGACCTTTCTTGACGCGAGCGAGGCCGCAGCACCCTGCATTTGGCGATAGCCGCCTTGCTGAGGCCCACCCATGAATGAAGGTCCCATTGAGGCATTGCTCTGATCAGCCATGTTGATAAGAAAGCTCTTAAAGTTATCCATATTGCCACATCGTTGTGACATAACATCCAGAGCAAGTTGGAAAAGTTGGTTTGATGAGTCGTCTTTGTATGTAAATATTATGTGGGAAGCAGTTGCTTGCGGAGGCTGATTCGGGGCAAGAATTCTGACAGGTACAGCCCCAGGCATGGCCGCAGGAGGTAACAAGCACACTAAAGTACTCTCTGACCACCATGTAGTGGTTGTAGCGGCATGGTCTCCAAACATGACCTCGAGATTGCGAGTGAAACCACTGCCCAGACAGGTCACCTCAATGCCTCCTGTCAAAGGGCCTTCCGCTGGTAATATCTTTCGAAGAGCGTGGGTATGTCTTGGTGCCTGCGAGATATCCATATTGTTCGGCAAACCTATGAGTGTGGTGTTCATGCTAGAGACAAAGTTGATGGGTTGCTGCTGTTGCTGCTGTTGCTGCTGTTGCTGCTGTTGCTGCTGCTGCTGCTGCTGTTGTTGTTGCTGATAAGTATTTAAGGGACCTCGTGTAGCCGAGACCGGACTTCCACTTCGGCTTTGACGTGCAGAATTCGGTACCGAGAAGAAGTGTTGAAGATTATCCCCACTTTGGTTTCGATGCCCTGGTGAGATGACTCCATGCATGCCGGGCGTAGCAGGACTATTGTCAATACCAGGTGCTATCGTCATTGGGTTCATGAAAGCAGACTCGGATTGTGGTATGAACGATGAGACTGGTGTGAAGCTAGCAGCTGTGGCGCTAGGAGGGCCACTTGTAACAAAATTCGATGAGCCCATACCCTGAATCTGTGTATTGATCTTAGGCGTCATCGTCAAACTGTTTGGTAGTCGATGATGGTGAGAGCCGCTTCCCTTCCGCCTCTTATTGGCACCTGATTGAGCGGTTGGCGAAGCTTGCCGCGACGCATTACGCGGTGTCATCGTAGCTGAGGTCGTACCAGATGGCATACCAGAACGAGAACCAATCCCAGGCCCAGGGGCGAAAAATGCAGGTTGCTGTTGTTGATGATGATGATGATGTTGTTGTTGGAAACCATTTCGCAGTGCTTGAAGATCGTTAGTAGAGTGATACTGTCGTTCATAAAAGCCTGGGTTGAGGTCCGTTGTTTGGAGCGGTTGAGGTGGCTGGTGAGTTTTGTGATCGTCGGTGATGAGAATTGGAGACGTGATAGACTGTGCAACCAACTGGTCATCGCTATCTGTCAAAGTGAAGATCACTTGGAAGCCCTGCTTTTCGCCCTGATGGCGACAATAACACGCAATTCTCATAGGTACCTCGATCATCAGAGCACCCTCTGGATACTGTAGATGTTCGTGCGAGCCTTCTTTCGGTTTCGGCGGCTGCCATTCCTTATACTCTTTCTCATTGAACACCACAATTCGTTCGCGTTCAAACTTATTCCATGTTTCCTCGTCATCTTGTTTCTTAACTCTCTTGCGTGCTGCACGTTTACGCTCTCGCGCGACACAATTCTCACATATCTGGACCTCGCCGCCATTTAGTGGTTTTGCTGGATCATTTGGATCGTCGTCAGGCACGTTCGCGGATGATGAACGCCTGCTTTGGCTTTCTTCTTTGACTGGAGAACATGCAGCACGCGCAGCCCTTCGCAAAACCATTTGTTCAACACCTGGCTTTATGAGAGCACTCGCGCACACTACACTTGTATGTAGTTCCAGTGTATCGGGTGCCTTGACCACCTCTTTGGCATAGTTCTTTGTCTTGGATATCGATTCACGAGGAAGATGGAGTTTTGTGATATGGGGAGGTAGAAGGCATGTTATCAGTCGGACAGAAATCTGTGTTTCCACCCGCGACTTGGTCTGTAGCGGGCGCGCTATGAATGTTACATTCCGTCGGAACGACGACCTGTCCGAGGAACTTGTCGGTGGAGATGCGATGGAATTGCTAGTCGAGGGAGAGACGTCCACAAAGTCGCTATGCCATGTGGGATTGATCGACGGAGGAGTATTCGAGGACATGCCCATAGCGAGTCCAGCTGGAGAGCCTTCGTTGCTCACAGTCATATTGGGAGAATGATCTCGGGAATCTGCTCCTATCAAGAACTGAGACTTCTTTGATGACTGCTGTATATATTAGCACGTATGGAAATGAAGTCTGCGTATACATACTGCGGCTTCATGCTGCTTGGGCTGGAAGCTCTTCTCAATCTTTGCTGGTGTGATTGTGTGATTTCCCACCATAGATCCGGAGTGCCCCGGGCTGTTGCGTGCACTGAAGATGTTTACGTGGTTCATATCGCGTCCAATCGTGTCGACGTCTGTCTCGGTAGACATGATTGGCGATTGATCGTTGAACAGGGTGTCGCTGGTCACGCCCCAACCGTTGGTCATGTCTACTGGAGAAAATATGGTTGAAGATTTGCGCTTCCGTTTGCCGGACGACTCGGAGGAGGAGTCTTGGTTTGAGCTGTCGGGTGAAGACGAAGAGACTGCGGATCGGGAATGGAATTGATTTACTTTGGACGAGTTCACCATCGGCCTCGTGTCGTGGGCCGAGTATCTGAGATCAGTGGGTGATGGTGCAGGAGGTGAAGCAAAACTGTCCAGCATTGCATTTGTGGTGAGAGTTGGATCTTCGTTTATCAAAGCGTCGTCAAACATAGAAAAGCTTGACTCGTCCCAGACAGGCATTTCCGTGTCAAAAGTTCTCGGACCGTCGAACAGGCTCTCGTTGTGATCCATGGTACGAGGGGTACGACTCTTATAAAGTACTTTGCTTCTTTACTGCCTGCAGATTAAGATGTTTAGCGAATTAAATTCGCCGCAGACACCAGCCACCGTGTACAAGAACGGTTATACAGGGTATATCGCGGATATATGATGCGGAGAAGTAGGCGGACGATCAACAAGGAAGCATGTCGACCGTTGACAATATAATTCCGGAGTTCACTTCTAGTATTCCAAGTGTATAGTGATATTGTCGTCGTGGAGGCGGGTAAGAGTTGACGTGCTCGTTAGCGATCAGGTGGGCGACGTGGTTCAAAGAGTGAAAGCGACGATCGGATGACCAGGAACGACGTAGGTCGCCCTTTGCGGCACAAAAGTCGAGAATTGATGAGGATTAGGCTTTAACGGATGTTGTCGCAGTCGTCTCTGGGGATGGGAGAGTGGTTGACGCGGGGAAGAGGACCCTGGGGATACGGTGAAGGACGACGTCTCACATACGGGAGGAGGGTTGGCGCAGGATAATGTCGATATCCAGGGCAGCGGCCAACCAGTGCCTTAGTGCCTGAGGCATACTGGTAGAACTATTACTACCAACTATCACTTTCACTGGCACTTTCATTTTCACATCCACTTTTACTTTTACTTTCACCATCACTCGAAGTCGTGGCCCTGACTGCAATACCCCTCCATCTCTTCCCTTTTCAGCCTTGACAGATAACGACCGAAGACTACTGTACCCTTAGCCTCCACGTCCGATCCTGGTCTTCAGTGTCAGGCTTCAACAGCACTAGTCCCCTTCCTCAAGCCATCTAGGTTTCGCCATATCAGTATCATGCACGGCTCCATTGCCTTATAGCGATAGACCCGACACTGGTTATTGCGCCTCCTTGCTACATCATTCCCGATATCTCCCGCCGGGTCCCTACGCGTCATGCAGGCTACCTTGATCCATCTCCATGCAATGTGCATGGCAGAATCGATTTATCAGAAGCATACCTTTGGACACGTTTTTCAATTCATTGCCATTGTATTGGCATATCGGGCATATCCTAGCTAGTGCCCAACGGTCGCGTTGCGGCGTCGACTGTATGTGCGCTTTCTGTAGAATATATAATAATCCCCGTCTAGCCACCTGCGGCTTCTGCCGAGCTTGTCCAAGATCTGTTAATTGGGCCTACATTATATGATGCCTACTCGGCAGTACGAACACCATTGCAATTACAGAGGTGTGACGCAGGCAGTAGACCTGGGTGAAATAAAAGTATCGTACTGTGGTCGAACGACGTCATATTAATCGTGGAGTCCCAACAGGTCGAGAGAGATTCCCAGCCTCATGGATAGAGTACTACACATCAAGGGTCTACTGATATCTAGCTTTTCGACACGAGTGTACCAGTATTTGTTCTCGACGATTGACTCGCAACCTCCTAGGACTCAACCTGATCCTTGGAGTCATTATCGTATGAAGTTCTACTGATCATGGATACAGACCAGAGGCATTTGATGTCTACAGAACCCAACGACCTATCAAAGAGTCCTACTCGATTGCACTTGCGCGAGTTTTATCACTGCGCTGTACGCTACTGCGAGCCTAATGCACACATCCAGATTGCGCAATGCGCAACCGCCACCCTTCCGAACATCGGGACGAGCCTCGTGCATCAACCTGACAAACCAGGAGTCGAGGACACGACTCTGGCTAGCCACGATGGATTGTGTCGCATTGTGGTCAGTCCGGAACTTGCTCTCACACAAGTTACCAGACTGAACGAGCCTATTCATCAGGACGTTGTACATCGAGCATAGAAAAGTTTCTACAGGTGACTAATGGCTGTATACGGTGACATAGAAAGGGCAAGCTAATCATATCAACACATGTTGTCCATTTCTAAAGAATCTCATTGGTCAGAGATTGCTGAGTAAATATGGAATACAACCAGGGTCCCGCTCTATTTCTGCGACTGCCGCATTTTGCTACCCTGCAACCACTTGCATCATCTATCCTCTGAACTTTCAAATGACCCGTCCAAGACCTCACAATGTAACGACTGCAGTAAACACGTAAATAAACGCAAACTTGAGAGCGACTTGAGTTTGCACACTCTGGAACTTCTTGAGCCAAGATCTACCGATCTTTCGCATCGGTAGTGGTCCTAGACATCGCTGCATAGTCGAACCACCATGCTGGGCGATCTCTACAGTGCCATAGATGCTGGGCATCTAACACACGTCAGGGAAGCTCTGCACGACCAGTCAACCTGGACACTTCTGAATACGACGCGAGACAAAGATGGCTATACTCCGCTGATATTAGCCTGCAAGAATGGAAACTCACGTATCGTTGACCTCGTCCTGGAGAGCGGTGCGAAGCAAGATGTTCTGGATCACGCCGGCTGGACGGCGCGCGAACATGCTGCCTTTCAAGGCCACCTTGAGGTTGCACGCCAGATGAAGAGTCTCGAAAAGGATAACTTCATGGCGGGACCAGCCAAGCCTACTGCTACCGAACAATACCGTAAATTCGCATTCGACCGAGACGATGCCCATATCGTATTAAACATTGGCATCACTCAGGTTAGCAAGGTCCAGCCAGTAATTGATCTAGCAGGTATCGACACAGAAAAAGATACAGCAGTTACGCTTGATATCTGTACCAATGAGAACCCCGAGGAGAAGTACCATGTCAAGCTCCCGTTGACTGGTGATCTTGTTGATAACACAATGATCTTTCCTGTCTCGAACTTGGCCAAGGCACGGCTCGTGTTTCGGATATTTCAAGATAGCCACAGTTTGGCGAAGGAAAGGCGATTGATTGGTTGTGGGACGGCACTGTTGTCTGACAAGGAGAATTGTTACGGTGTCAATAGGGAGAGCCTTGTTCGGGAACACATTGTGCCAATCATGAACACTTCAACATTTGAATGCATGGGCACCATCACTGTGACTTTCGTACTCGCGAAGCCGTACCCTCATCTGAAGTCACGACAATGGGATATCGTCCAGGCGCTCGAACCGCCACGACTTGTTGGCCATAGAGGTCTGTGATACACACAAATAACTTCAAAACTGGGCACTGATCACCCATAAGGCTTAGGGATGAATGATAACGGCATGGACCGTTTGCAGATTGGTGAGAATACTGTGCAGGTAATTGTAAGGAATGACAAATATGGAGTTGTGCTAATGACCTCCAGTCATTTATTTCTGCCGCGAAGCAAGGCGCTACGTTCGTTGAGGTGAGCATCCCGAAGCACGATCGCACCGGACAAACTAACACTTGTTGACCTACTCAGTTTGGTAATGCAACGCAATGGGAGTAATCGTCGGTTGCCTCGATACTGACACTGTCTGTAGATGTACAAGTGACGAGAGATCTGGTACCAATCCTGATGCACAATTATGCACTCAGTGAATCCGGCACAGATATTCCTGTTCATGAGCTCACCTTAGACCAAGTAGGTCAATTCGACGAAAGAGATTATGGGAATACTGAACGACACGTAGTTCATGCATATTAGCAAGCAGCAATCACTAGTAGGTGACTGCGTTCGGTCTGCACGCGATGTCGATAAGTTGCAGAACTATTCGCGCCGCGCTCGCTCAGAAAGCCGAACCCTGTCGGAAGACACCAGTGATGTCCAAAGGCGCATGGAATTCACTGTAGAATACATGCACAAAGGCTTTAAAGCGAATACTCGAGGCAGGTTTATTCAAGATACCTTTGCAACACTGGAACAGGCTATGCATGACGTACCTAAAGAAGTCGCATTCAACATCGAGATTAGTCTGTGTCCTCATAGATAGACAATACGACAAGCTTACTCAAGTTAGAATATCCGCGGCGTTTTGAGACCTTAGTACTGGATCTTGCCCCTGTCGTCCTCGAACTGAATACCTTCGTCGATGCAATCCTAGACGTGATAAACACATCTATAAAGAACAAGAACCGAAAGATCATCCTTTCATCTTTCACTCCAGACGTCTGCATCTTGCTCTCTCTAAAGCAGAAAGCATTTCCCATTTTCCTTATCAGTAATGTCAGACAGCCGATGGACGACAAAGAGTCTAGGTGCGCCAACATGCGCGTCGCTGTGAAGTTTGCTCAATGCTGGGGGTTGCAAGGAGTTGTATTTTTGGGAGAAATCTTCCTGCTGTGCCCGAGGCTCGTACACTGGATCAAGAATCGAGGGTTGATCGTTGGGAGCTATGGGTCGCAAAACAATGACCCCGCGAATGTTAAAGTAAGATCCAGGACCTCACGTAGAAGTTGGCTGACGGATATACTACAGGCGCAGTTGAAGGCGGGCGTGGATCTCATCTACACAGACCGTGTCGGGCTGAATGCAAAGGTATTGAGGGAAGAGTTTGGTATGGGCCAGCAGACCAAGATCTAATCTCTATCCTATTCGATCCCTGGTCGGCATCTAAGCAAGATGGCAATTGTCGAAACCTGCACCAATGAAGGAAACACCAACATAGAGATAGTCTCTTTTTGTCTCGCCAACTAATATAGTTGGGGTCTCACTGTTTAAAAGAACGAGGGGCCTAATGGCGTCAGGCAGCAGACACAGCCGGATATGAGTTCACCTCAGGCACCAAGGCTGTTTTGTCCTATCTATTAATTTGAATGCAAGTCTCGTCTCTTCCATTAAATATCATTACGTACCAATCCGGTCTTTATTCTTAGAGCACCGTTACATTTCGTGCAGGACAAATACGCATTTTCCTCAGGATCTCGCCAAGTCTAGAACCGTTCGAGGTCAAAGTGGCTGGCTTGCCCAGAGCAATCCGTATCCATGGATCGATTAGTCCGGCTAGCGACCAGGGCTACCAGGCTAGAACACCGATGGACCTCACGATCGGAGAAGACACCGAAGTTAGTGTGTGTGTCACGTATCAGTAATGAAGATATGCACAACTCCTACAGCCGGAATCGTTGAGACGGGTTGGCCTGTGGTCTGAATCTCCAAAGTCTTACGGACGGTGTGCGTGGACCGATTTCCAATATCCGCTCGCAATGCGAACGGCCAGATGCCAACGCGGACCACAGTTTCAGACGAGTATTCCTCGGCTGGATCGTATGCTTTTGGGCTTTGCGTCGCGCAATAAATCTGAGGGCTGCCTGTCAGCCAGTAAGAGCTCGGGAGAATTGGTGGCTTATGCAGGCTGAATGGAATCCGCAAATTTATGCAACTAGACTCAGCTGCGCACCGTATGATTCTCAAAATATACGAGGAAGGCTGGCACTCATTTCCAATTCTGAACGACCTATCGGCTATGCTTCGTGTCGTGGGTTACGATGCAAGGCTGAGCATGGTAGCCGCACTGATATATATGGACACTCGTAGACAAGCTCTTGATGCCTGCGTCGATTTTTCCCTTATCAGAAACCCGAGAAATAAGGTTTTCTAGAACCGCCCTCGCGCATCCGCAATGTCGAACAGTGTAGCGGATCTTCATTCTGGCTTCTGGACAAACTGGGGTTAAATACTTAAAATCCCTATATTGCGCCCACATACTAACATATTGAATAGAACAAGGCCCGATCTTCGGTCGCACTATCACTCTCGAGGCCAGCTATGCCAGCTTTCTTAGCAATTTTCTCGCTATCTTCATCACCTGGGCCGGGACCCACCTATGGACTATCATCTGTTATGTAGTAATGCAAAGCAGATCTAGCAAAGTGCCACGAGATGGCCTTCATCATCAAACACAAGTCCTCCTACGCAACTCGCCATCAGTCGGTGGAACAATCTGGGGCTTTATGAAGCAGGCACAAGCATGGAGAAGGAGCGAACATCATGCGGTTCGACGCACCATGCCGCTCGTCCTACTAGCTCTTGTTTATACAGGCGGCTTCACGGCGGCCGGTATCCTGTCCTCCAAAGTCTCTCAGCCTGGTTCCGAAGTCCTGCTTGAACCTGGGAAGTGCGGGTTTCCTTCCTACACTGGTGACGCAGTCGAAGAGTCGCTGCTCAGAGACAATTCCTTTGCACGAGAGGGCGCCATTTATGCCCGGAACTGTTTCCAAGATATTGGTCGTGATGGTCAAGAAGACAGACGATGTAATCAGTTCTCAGCTCCCAGGATCGGTGGCGACCCTGTTGTGGATAGCGATGCTTCTTGCCCATTTCCTGACAAGAGCGCTTGCAAAGTGCCTGCTATGAGTATCACAACCAACATACCGTCTGACGATCTGGGCATCAATGTCCCTCGTAGCGAACGAATGTGGTTCAAGAAAATTACGACTTGGAGTCCTCTTGACATGTCTAATTACGTTGGGGATGGTTGGGTCACTACGCCTGCAATCGGCGACCAGCTTGGCTTCTTGAAGAACGAGACTCGTCAGTACTACTACGTTGGCGATACATATATCAATAGCACCTTTACTTATGACTGGGTCTTCTATGCTCGAAGTCAGTACATGACAGACATAGTTGACCACTATAAAGTCTGGTGAGTTAACCTGGTGTTAGACCGAGTGCCTTCATATTAACGGAGACTCAGGACCGCCACTGCTTACGCAAATATTGCTCAGAACTTCACTCCTGTCGCAGGCCTTACTGCCCCAAACGCCGATATAACTTTCCTTGGAGTCCAAAGCGTTGTTACATATCTCGCACAAGTCAGCGATCCCCTATATCGGGCAAGCACCTACGACGAAGACCCGGTCCGTGGGAATGGCTATTATCCTGACGAAAAGCTCTCAATCCTGGGACTCACTGAGCAGTACCAACTGTGCACAGAAGATAAGCGTTGTGGAAACATCACTGGAGTCCTAGACGAAGGTATTTGGGACGGCCTCGGCCTGACCGACAATCAGTACGCCATTGCTCATCGCATGCGCAAAGCCGCTATGGACGGCAGCGCTACCTGGATCATCAGCGCACTCGGAAGTGATGCCCTTCTTGCGTCCGACTACCGTGCCTCCGATACCTCTTTCTACACGGTCGGCCTACCTGATGAACAGTGGAAGACAGACGTACATTATATGCACAACGTCTCGCTTGCAACAATGCAGCGGAGTGCAGTAGAATGGGCATCACATCCCCATCGCGAAGTCACGCCTGGCTCTAATATTTTCAGCGATTCACACATTGACGACCCTACGAAAACGACCGAACTACCATATGACAATAAAGCACTTGCCAGGTTATGTAGCCGTCAAAAGATTCGTAGCTACCGATATTCGTCCTTTTCTGTCTTCGGCGTGAGCATGATTCTTGGTATCGGCTCATTTATCATTCTGCTCAACTGTACACTCTCCGAGATAATACACTCTTGCCGCAAACACCGCCGGAGCCCTCGCGCACAGCAGAAACGCCAGGAGTGGATCGAGACAGAAGTGCTACAGCTTCACCGTATGGCCCTCGACGCCCGTGGGATCGGCCCGTGGAGGAGTCAAGAGAAGGCTGTACCGATGCCCTTAGATCCAAATCTCATGTGGGGCCCAGACGGGCGTGCGACGATTGTGAGGAGGAATTCGGACGCGACGCTAACACCGAGTGTGAACAGTCGCTGGTCACAGAACACTGCAGGGTATCAGAGGGTCGAGAAGGCGGATGTATATCAGTCTGGTGGATGGGTGCAACCGAGTCCACCAGCTCCAGTGGACACTATGTATCAGCCTTATGATTCGGGCTATAGGCCGTACCACGGGTGAATTCCTTATAGAACTATGTAATTCTGATGTAATTAATCACACATGACTTGGGCGAAAACTATGTCTCGCATATAGAAGAGACAAATGGCCCACTACTGTCTCTCATCGCAGTATTTCCCAAGTGATTCGGCTAAAGCGATATAATGTACCAACGGCAACGCTTTCCGTACCAGCTCATGAGCAGAGATGGGCATATACAATCCGAATCTGTGCAATCTCAATCTGGGCCAAAATTTTAATAGAGAATACAAGCTCAATCCACGCCTCAAAATGATTGCCAAGACGGTACAATCTCAATCCGATTTGTCAGATTGATTGTGTTAGATTGAATAAAGTGGGATATATACCTATATATAGCCGCGGGCCCTATCTTGGGCCATATTCAGGCATCATTTCTGCCTAAGGCTACTATATTAGAGCCTAAGGCTAAAGTACAGGCCTTAGGCAGATATGATGCCTGAATATGGCCTAAGATAGGGCCCCGGGCTATATATAGGTATATACCCTACTTTATTCAATCTAACACAATCAATCTCAATCCCTTGGTATAGATTCCAAGCTTAATCCGTACTTTTAGAGTGACTAATCATACAATCCTAATCTAGGACCTTGGATTGTATCCGATTGTATATGCTCACGTCTGCTCATGAGTGAGCGAAAGCACTACCAATTCAAGCTTCCACGGCATCGATTAGTGCTAACATTAATACATACCATGTCGTTCAACTACAGACAGATCAGTACATATTTCAAGATTCATTAGTTCCTTCCATTCATTTTTCATGTTGACCAGCAGAAGACCTTAGGCGCATTTATGAGGCGATTTCGTCGCATATCATCTACTTCGAACAAATGTTTGGCCGCTTTCCCGAGATGTCACGGAGACTGCATTCCTACACAGGTGCACTATAGATACTGATGTGTGTATACGTGATGATAAGGCGACATATTATTAGCTACAACCTTGGAATGACGGAATATGCTGAAGTCTCTCATACGATGGTACTTATAGTAGTAATGGATATCTTTTTTGAAGCAAAATTCTTAATTAGTTATTTCATGGGAGTTTATTTTACTTCAGCTGAGACTATCTAGAGCTTGCCAGGGTAGGAACAGGACTTGGACTCTCATAATCATAAACTATAGCTTAGCTAGACATACTTTATAGGACTAGTTCAAAGAGACTATTACACAAAGACACTGAGTCATAGTCTCCATAGTCTTTTGAAATCAACACAATTGAGTTTCGTGGAATTTCTACTATATACGTTTGACTAGCTAGATGATTAACTTATAAACACTACTATAAGCCAATAGTAATATGGTTCCAGAGTAATTCAAAGGGTATAAGACTAATTAGTCATCATATATGTGATCTCTACTTCTTACTTGATGAAAACGGGTTTGTGAGATGGAGAATTGCTCGACCTAGGCCGGCAGGGTTCCATGAAAGTTGAAGAGATTACAGTTGAACTTTCTGCGCTTGATTCCGACAGCATGTTCGTACCTGGCTAAGCGTAGGCGAATGTTCAGAAGTTGAAGTCTCCATCAAGGAGTGACGCGATACATGTCCTTGGCCATACCGTCCATTCAGTCCACTCTTCGTCTATACTATGCAATATATCGCACAGACTTTCAATCAGACGTATGCCCACATCTTTAGCCCACCAACGATTATGAAGCTTGAGAAGCATCACTCCATAATGAGCCCAAATAAGCTGGCTCATCGGATCTCCTTCGCGGAACAGGTCAACCAGCCTTTCATCGACCTGTATCGGCCATTCGAAGATGGGAGCATAGTGATTCCCAAGTGCATGCTGCATAAGATGTTCTAGATATGCGACACTACTTTCATAGACCTGTCGGCGCTTGACAGAGACCAGTTTAGCAATCTGTGATATGCGAGTGCGCAGGCGGTTCATTGCTTCTTTGGCCTGCTCGCTGTAGTGTGTGGCGTCACCTACGCTTGGCTTGAGAATATGTCCTATTAAACCACTAGACAGGGGCTCTGGAGCATTATGTATGATACTGGCCGAGCCACAAAGAAGCGTGCGTACAGACAAAGAGGCTTCTGGAGGTGGATCTCCTGAGTCTTTAGACAATGCTAATGCTATCACGGTGATGAAGCCCGAAAAGATCAGTGCGGCATTGGCATTATGCGAAGAGATTTGCTGTAGTGCTTCCCGAAAATTAGCTAAACCCCAATCTTGGTAGTTAAGGGCAAGCTCTCTATACGAGTCAGATGCCTCGTGAATGTGATCGGCATGGTGGAGACACGCAATAGCAAGTAAGCCGTCTAACAAAAAATCGTGTTTGACCGCTTCGCGCGGAATGAGCGTTCTCCACGTTTCCAAGTCGTCTGGCGACTCTGATAGACTTGTGTAGACCTCGGTTGAGAACCAGTGCATGAGATAGAGCTCCTGACCTCGCGGCGGCCTTTGGTGACTGGTGTTGTCAAGATTGTCTGTGGGAGTCGCAAGCGGAGGACTTTCGGTGGAGTCGAATGTACAGATCTCTCTTCGCTTCTTGCATCGTAGACACACGGGCTTTTCTTCGCCACACTTCCTTCAGTTAGTGCCGGTGTCATCTCACGCATACATGGCTGTTCATCCATTCGTATAGCGTTGGGGTTCGCCTGACCCCTCGGATGGATGAGTCAGGATCACAGCGTACCTTGACCCTTCGTCGTTTGCACTGAATGCAACCGGTGTGTGACTTCGTATGAAATTTGCGAGGTGGTGGCATGCCCTCGTCAAAGCCGAAGCAAGCGAGCGAGATAGAGTTTGTTGAGGATGAACAATTATGAAATGAGGGCCGGGTCGACTATTTTGAATCCTAGATTTAACGAGAAACGAGCTCATCCATGTGATCCGTGCACCTGAACGAGACTTAAACGAGGCAGCGCGAGCGATACCGAGACCGTTATGCGAGTCCTAAGTAAGTGGAACCGGTCATCACATGCACAAATATACCATGGTGAGGACTTAGTTCTCTCAATTAGCATATTGCATCAAACTATAGCGCTATGCGAGAATACAGCCTCCCGCAGAGCTTCAACGAGCTGTCATATAAACGAGGTTCTTACGAGACGAGATACAATTTACAAGGTGCATATCAGCGCAAAATCCTTACAGTATGAGTTTCGAATTCGAATGACATATAGTGCTATATATAAAGTAATAGCACTCAAGCTTTCCTCTGGTATCACATTTGCAGCTAATAGTCTGCTATTATGATTATGAGGCTAATGCCATGTATTAGACATGAAATCATGATTATATAGTGCTGACCACAGGGTTCTTGTTCCGCGACCGACAAGGAAGATTCAGATGCAAGGAAGTCTTGATGCTAATAGAACTCTGTCGCGAAGAGAGGTTGATTGGCTGGTTTTCAGTTTCGGATCACATATGGACATATGTGTATGATTAATCTTATCCAACCATCTCATATAGACCCCGATTCATTGGAAGGATCCAGATCCATGTTTCTAAACCACGAATGTCTAGAGGCTTAATTATCATGATTCTTGTGTATAGTAGATAGAGAGACACATTTCACTAAGATTATGGGTGAAAATTTTACAGAAGATACGACTTGAGCAGCGTGGATACGAGTGCCTATCGATTTCAGCGTTCATGTTGGCTGACAACACAGCTCGTCCTCACTTGGAGTGTGGATTCCCCGTCCCACTGCGGCCGACACTACTTGTAGAGGATTGATATATTCCAGAGTATCCTTCCACATATTCTCCCAATTCCTGGAACACGATCTGTGCTAGTTTCGCATCCTTGTAGAGCGTAATACCGTGAGTGTTTTTGACTTCTAACATGGCCCCCATTGCGCCTTGATAGCCCGCATCAACTACACCGGCATGGACCTTAGCACCAGACCTCCACAGAGATGACCTAGAGAAGATCGTAGCCATGTAGTTCCGTGGAATGGATACCGTCTCATTGAAGTCGACCAGGTAGGTGCCTGGCTTCAGAAAAATTGCTTCGCCATTATTGAAAGGGAGATTAGAAGTCTTAGCTGCTTCGCGTCTAGCATTACTGAAATCGATCGTAGCAGAAGATTCCCAGCTGTGGACCAAGCGTAGTGTGAGGTCAACGCCACATGGCTGCTGCTGAGTTGCGTGACGGATATTCTGAATCAGGTTTCGCAGTATGACCTGAGCTCCACCGAGGATCATTTTGAGCCACGAGAGATGTTGGTTGACGACGAGATTCTGGAGGGTGAAAGCGGAAGTTTGTATAGCGGAGGATAATTAGGATGAGTACACAGTACTACAGTATAATTCAAACAAGAAGCCACGCTAGATCTAATCAGGTTAGCTGATTGGATGTGATACGGGCCGATCATTGGCCATATTTTCGCCCATGGGATCTCCGCTGTAAGCCAAGGCTCCTGATTTTCGAGCCTAGCTGTGACTCGCGTCTGAAAAGCAGGCGATATTTTGAACGAAGGTCGAAAGTATACCATGATGCTTGTTTTTAGACTCTGCTCAATGGTGACGTTGCTGCTGACAGGCATTGAACGAACACAAACAGGACGAAAACTTTTGCAGAATTCCGGAGCTATGCCCGAAGAACTTGTTTGTTGTTGCAGGATATTCCCACATATAGCTGTATCAAGAGCCGAAGATTCTGCTCGCTTGCAAACAAGTGAGCTCTCCAGAAGGCTTCTCTTCGAAGTGCGTTCAGTTATGCAACATTCGAGTGTTGCCAGATTGTTAATTTCCCTTTCATTCTGGACGATAGATGATGACTCACAGGAGGACGCAAGACTAGAGACTGAAGACGAAGTAGCTTGCCAGAGAGGATCAAAGTCGAACCGGTTATCTTGGTCTTGAACTGATGACATGGCCGAGTAATTGAGATCTTGCATAGATTGGTATGACTGCACCCCTATAGGGAAGGAACTACATGTTCCTCCACGGGAGATTCCTCTAATGGTCGTGGCTGTACAATTCCATAGCGATCCCTCTCCAGTAGGTGGATTCGAAAGCGAACTGGGCGAACGCCTCTGAGAAGAAGTCCGCTGGCATAGGGATCAATCCATCCTGATTCAATGTCCACAGATTCTCTAGGTCATCGTCTCTCGGTACGGACCTAATTCTATCTTGCTCGAAATCTTTCATCGGCTGGATTCTTGCTTCGTTAAGGGTCTTTCCTCGACCACAAAGTATAGCAATTCAATGCCTGTTGATTAGGACACGGTTCAATCGTAGGAACGAATGTCGTCTCAAAATCGGGAAAGTCGACAGCGCAAGTGCGGATCAGGCGCGTTTGGGCTTGACCTACTTTATCCCAACGACAATACTGCACGACCTCCTTGGACCATAGCGCGACAATAACAGCTAGATTGCGATCTCGAGTCCTCGACAAATGTCGATAGAGAAGGCCCGTTCTTCGGTTGACCATCGTAAGACTCTGCAGGTCGACGAGAAAGGAGCCGATATATCCGTCGTTTTCCTAGAACCTAACACACTTGTGCACGTCCACTGTTCTCATCCCATATTCTCTTTCCATATTCCCTTCTAGAGGTCGAGAGATATAATGGACCTCTAACTAGGACGGGTAAGCACGGGTGTATGAGAATGGGAAACGCTAAGAAAGTCAAGTTCCAGAATGACTTCGGATGTGATCCGTGCGTAGGATTGAACGAGATATATCCGAGACGACCCGGGTAACAGCGAGATCACTTATAACGCGATAGGTACCTAGTGCAAGTCCGTTAGAGGACTAAAAGCCACCGGATGGACAGTAACCTACTTGTCCTAATCGAGCCACTGTCGTCACAGAATCAAGCACAGCCACAGCTCCCAACTGAGCGTAGGGCTAACCATTGCTAGGAACCTGAGAATCTGTCATTCTTAGCACTTGAGTATGCTCATACCTTTTCCCCATTAACTTTATTCAATTACATTACCTTCATATAGAGTCATAGACACATCATAGCCTCTCATCTAAATCAAGGAATTCTTAACGAACTCAAAGGGACGAAAGGACGAGTCAGGATAGATGTTAAGATCCTGATCATCAGGCTCAAGACAAGTGTTGAACAGGTTCTGGGGAAGTAATGACAGACTTTGGGCTACTGAGTGACGCATTCACGATGGCATGCACAGATATTTCACTAATTTTCAAGAGTCTGTCCGCAGCGACATGTAGTAAGTACCTTGACATCATGCGTTATGTCTGAAAGCGAGGTTTTTGCGAGATGGTTCGCATTATACGAGGGCGCATGTCAGCGGGACCTCCTCGCAACACGTTTCGGGCCCGAACAACACCAACATACAGCGTTCGATTACTGAGAAGATGCAAGGTTTGATCCTTTGCGAGTTTTTGTGGCTGAGGGATCAACGTCACCCTCGTCGAGCCAATGCTATATCTTAGACGTGAATTCTCAATTAACGACCTTGTAATCTCATCAGTGAATACCTTCAACTACAGCACAAACATCTCTAGGCGCCTTATTTATAAGACTTGTGACATCTTCTTATCCTTATTCTGCGTCGAAAGCTACAAGATCTCCCACGTCACGAAAGCACAGCAGCAGTCGATATGCCAGTCCTTCATATATTCTCCAGGCAAACAACCAATCCATCCGACCAGTCCTGTTCAGAAGATGCACGACCTCAAATCTACGGCTACGAGCCGAACGAGTTCGCTGCGTATCTTTTCCTCGTCCTATTCTCCATCAGCACTCTGATCCACTTACTGCAAGTGCTGAAAACACGCACGTGGTTTTGGATCGCATTCATTCTGGGTGGTGTCCTCGAGATTATCGGATTCGCCGGTCGCGTCATTGGGGTCACTCAGACACCCTGTTACACGATAACTGTCTACATCGTGATGACGCTCGGCACGCTGCTGGCTCCGACGCTATTCGCGGCGTCGATATATATGGAATTCAGCCGTATTGCCGTTCTAGCACGAGGGGAGCATCTTTCGATTGTACGGCCGAGCTGGGTCACGAAAATATTTGTCTTTGGCGACATCCTTTCGTTCATATTTCAGGCTGCAGGTAAGGCGCTTAACAACATTTCATTGCCCGAGCTGACGAGTACCCAGGTGGTGGTCTGCGCTCGAGTGAAAATGCAGACACAGCAGATATCGGCAACACAGTCATCATCATCGGCCTGTGGATCCAGATCGTCTTCTTCGGGCTTTTCATGATCAACAGTATCATCTGGTGGACCAGGATGAAAACCAGACCGTCATCTCTCGCGCGTGATGTGCCATGGCAGAAGCATCTGATCGTCCTCTTCGTCGCGTCCTTTTTGATCTTGGTCCGCTCTGTTTTCCGTGTCATCGAGTACATGGAAGGCAGGGGCGGATACCTCATTACGCACGAAGTGTTCTTCTACTGCTTCGACATCGCGCTGATGTTCCTGCTCATGGCTGGCTTCCATTACTGGCACCCTTCCGAGATCATTGCCTTGAATGCGGGTGGCAAGTATATAAGGCTGTGGAAGACGCATGATGTGAAGAAATATAGAGAAGGGCATTCGATGAGTTCAGCAGGTGAGTCATCCCAGGCTCCCTCACATGGATCATTTGTCTGATAAAAAGACTAGACCAGCCTCCGAGCTACGACACGGACTATGTCTCACGACAGTGTTAGTCCGCGCGATATGTAAGAAGGATGAACATGGCAAGAACCTCAATTTGAGACCGCGGGGAACGTATCTTATAGATGTAGATTGTATAGCAAGAATCTTGCACATGGTCTTGTGCCATGCGAGGAAAGACGTAGAGGTAGAAGGCGGCAATTCCTTCCATTTAGTAGATACGATTTAGGACGGTATTATAGTACGAAAGCGATGTTGTTATTCATTAATGGTGGTTATCAAATGCACACGATAGACATGATTGGTTACAACTGGCGGACATAGAGGTCTTGCTGAACTTACCCCTGAGCCGATGACATGAGTGCTATTCTTGAGCACAGCTGGCATTTAAATTGTGTTATCCTTGGGGGAAACCCAATTTAGTACGCTCAAGCCTATCATTGTCATACTTATTCCTGAAGCAAGCCAGCGATATGATCACTGGTTGCTTTGGGGGTGGTGTGAGCTTCAAGGGTGGTGTGAGGCATCATTTTGACCATCTCATCATGTTCCAGACAAACATCTTCGCGTAAATAAGAAGAAGGATGCTAGGAGCTGGGACAAACTGTCGCATATGCCAGAGAGATACAAGAAGACAATCATCACCCATGTTGTTTTGGTCTTGTATATATTATGATAGAAACAATACTAACACTATTGGAATAACTTGTTCACTCTCGAGTCAACCAGTCTTCTCGATCCTCAAACATCTTGTACTACTATATATTCAAGCAGTCCTCAAAACAGCTCATTTCGGCTCTATTCTATAAAGCTCCATCATTCACCTACACTACAGTCTGATTGTCATAGATGATATACGAATAGTGACATTCTTCTCAGACAGACCAAGGTCTACCTATCTTGCATAAAAAGTAGAGGGCACACTTTTTGTAAAGAAATATCTGAATTTGAAAGCAAATTCAAAAGCGTAGGGGTATCGAGAAGAAACGCTAAACGAATGAATGAGACTACTACGTAAACTAACAACAAAGACATGCTGGGGGAAATCCTAGTCGAGGTGGTCACATGGCAAATCGTCAAATTCGACATATGTTCATTTCATGGTTCGAGTAATAGTCTGAGTTGCAGAATGATATAGTTCAGCGAAAGTGGAAACAGCCCTAGCAATGATGGCATGTTGATTTGTTGTAAGTCTATGGATTCACGCGTGAGTTACCAGTCATTGGGTGTCGATGAACAGAGTTTGAGTATGGATGTTCGATGTTGAGCAGTCACTTGTAGCCTTCCCTATGCGATCTTGGTCGATCAAGAGTAATTATCCCTTCAGATTATTTACCCTCCACCAGGTGGCTATATTGGGCTCTCGTATGTCAGGTATGATAAACAAAAGGAAAACCGATTCGTCCAAGATTCCCTCACAAATACTCCAATATACAACTTCCATTATATCAGACAGCCATCCCACCATACCAACCAATTCATCGTCTAACATCGCTCACGCGTCACCTCCTTTTGGTAACACCAGTGACAACTAATGTTCCACTCCCAATCTCCACCTTCCATCCTTCTCTCACAAGCATGGCACCTACAGCAGGCCCCAACTTGCCCCTCCCTCCCTGACTGTGACTACCCTTCCCCGTGATCACGCGAAAACCACTTCCAACCCCGGGCCTCTCCCCTCGGCCATATTTTGTATCTCCAAGCTCGTGCCACCAGCTCGTAACCTTCTCGCGAGTGATCCGAGTCGCATCTTTAACACTCACGCCATGCAGGTCCAGCGATGTAGGCGTTGACTGAGTCGCCACCAACGAATCTGCATCTGCGGAACGGGCTGCTTTGAAGGCAGAGTCGTAATCGCGGCCGACTTGTCCGTAGTATCCAGCAGCGGCGCGCATTAGGGGATCGGAGCGGCCCTTGCGCCATGCTGAGCTGGCAGATTGGAAGGCCGCTGAGCGTGCGGAGCCGAGCGAGGATGTGCTTTGATTTGTTGTGCGCGAGGAGCCGGACGATGGTGAGAGAGGTGTGGTGGCTTCTGAGAGGTCGATGGGCGCGTAGTGCTGGACGATTTGGATACCGCCTGTGGGAGGGGTTGAAGGGCGAGTTAGAGCTTTTGCGAGTTCGTGGGCGGCGGCGGTGGAAGGATGGGTAAGCCTGATCAGCGCTATGGCATGATATATAGTGATGGTTTGGAATTCGTCGACCAGCTCGAGAGCAGATTCCAGGCCAGGAGCGGTGTTGATGTTATCTTCAGCATGGACTTTGGTGTTGGCCTCAAGGAGGGCCTGTATAGTTGCTGGCACTGACGCGCCGGCTTGATGATATGCTGATGAGACAGTAGTTCGTGATAGATTCGTGCGTGTCGAGATAAATCCTATAGCATCCAAGCCGGTCTCCCACTTGTTTGAGCGTGTTGCCTCCGAGGCTGTAGGTGATGCATCTGCGCTTGGACCTAAGTATTGATTTCCTCGGCGAGCCTTCTTTCCCTTCTTCTTCCTTCTCCGCACTTGCATATCGTCATCATCGAAGAATGCATCAACGCTTTTGGTTGCGACCTGTTCATCGCCAGTAGTACCCTCAAAGTAAACTTGGTTCAACAGCTCATCCGTAGCTCTCTCAAAGTTGTTTCCACACTTCTTTAACGTGTAAGAGATTTTTGATATATTTAGAGTAGGGAAAGTTTCACTTAGACGGGCCTCCTTCGTAGACGTATCGAATTGTTCGAATTCGCCAAAGAAGTTAGCCCTCTCGTGTTCTGGTGTTCCATCAGATGACGAGACTCCGCTGGAAATTGTCGTGATTCCACTCTCTGTGGATGCACCGCCTGGGTCCGACAGTGTGTACTCTGTTGTATGCCTTAGCGTTGCACTTCCGGACGCGTCGAAGTCTAGATATTGCTCCGCTAGTGCATTAGCCTTGATAGGTTCTAGCACTTCGCGTGCCTGCTTCAATATTTGCTCTTCGCTTCCTTCGAAGTCATGGTATATGGCGTACACTAATGCAGGCTCGAGTGGAGGGCAAAATTCGGTCTCGAGTACCGATAACGGATCGGCCATTTGGGGGTTGCTGTTGAGATGTTCGCACGTTAGGTGGAAGGTGGTACATGCTCGGGGTGCGTGTTGTGCTGTTATGAGAGACCGTGAGTACTGTACCACGTCCGTTAGAGCGACGTTCGGAATGCACAGGATGTAGAAGAAAAGTTGGGTTTAAGTGTCTTAAAGTTCGGAAGTCGAGGGCTGTAGTTGTATGGTTATATGACGCACTTGTTTGTGACTGTGGGGCTTCTAGGTACTATTAATAGTTAAAATCTTGGCACATATGAGTTGCGCTAGTCACTGAAAGTGCCGGCCCTAAAGGCAGACGCTTCAAGCGCAAGACTGCGAACTACAGTGTATAGATTGTACACAATGCGCGAGCTAGATTTCTCTCAAGTTCCTCATGTACCATCCGACAAGCTCCCACCCAGTCCAACAGTGCCTTGAGACCTCTCGTGGCTAAATCAAATAGTATAGAACAGACAGAGAATGGAAGTGAATCACAACCTAACAAAATGCTCCATAGCCAATCGATAGCTTTTCCGTAACCGTCTGTGTAAAGCCGATAGTACACTGTTGTTAGACATCAGACGCCATTAGATTCGTCATCTGCGCTCGTTCCAACCCTGAAAACGCTATAGGTGTGTCAGCCAATGCTTAAGGGTATGATCGCTTAAGAAACATACAGGTGGCTCTCGTAGTATTGAATCATCTTTTGTGGACACTTGGTGTTGAGTACCCGGAGCGCATGCTGCGACCGCTTGCCATCATTCCAGAAGACATATGCGATACGCTCGACTTGTCCGGTCTTCGGGTTTACAGTCTCTTCGATTGTATCGACTGAATTAATATGCCCGTCCCATGAGCCCTTGGGTAGATCGAAGTTGTTACTATTCTTAGCCGCCGTGGGTTCGGGCGAAACGTCCTCAGAGACCTTTCCTCTCTTCTTTCCCGTTCCAGCCTTGACAGCCGGGCTGTCGACAGCAGTTGCGCTGCGCTTTCGTCCCTTGCTCTGTTTACCTTGCTGGCGTGGCTCGGGACGTCCACCAATTTCTTTGAAATATGCCGCAAGAATCTCTGGTGCTGTGTCTCTAGTGATTGATATTAGAGAGTGTCATTGTGTCACCGTAAAGATACTTACAAGTTGTCCTCGGGTTCCCAAGTCAGATCTTCGGGTTGGTCGTACCCCACCCATTTGACTTGATATTCTACAGTACCCTGGAAAAGTTATATGAGCTACGTTGCCCACGATGGACTCAGGAACAAACCACTTACCTTCTTGTTGTATGTGTGCTTCAGGATCTTCTCGACCACGTACCTGGATCAAGCGTCAGAGTGTGTATCTAGGCTCTCCAAGCGTTCAGGTTTGCGCCTACTCGTCTCCATCGAGCTCTTCATCATCATCGTCGTCTTCTTCCTTCGCTGCTGGTACGTCTGCCGCTGTAACACCTCTTGGTGCGATCTCGTCCTCAGATGCGGAATCTTCAGAGTGGTCGGAAATTTGAGCTATTTTGCATGCCATTAGCATACAGCTACTAATTGCTCGAGCTGCGGTAGAGACGTACGAGGCATGATGCGCGAAGTGTTACGCGATGCGAGGCGCGGCGCGTTGATTTTTGGGCAATGTGCAATTTGCGTGGACTGTCAGGCTGCGCGGTGTAATTCGAAAGGTTTGACGCGTCTAAAACCAATTGCGACGATGGTTTACATGTACGAACGCTGAGCGTCGCTGAGAAATAAAGTATGGAGGAAGATGGTTGGGTGGCTGGCAAAGAAAGAGCGGAGACAGAGGGCGGACGCTAGCGGTGGATCGTGAGAGCTGGTTCACGTTAGGTTTTCGCGATGCTTCACCTCACAATTTTTGCCGGGCAGTCAACTCCACTTCGGCCTTATATCCTGTGCGCTTGATACCCCTCCATAGTTCTCGCCGTATATTCAATTCCGTACACAGGTCTCCGCCACAGACGTATCTTGGAATTCGTTTTCAAAACCCCTTGAGGGCTGTCAAATCATCATGGCTATGCGTACGTGTTCCAGGCTCCAAATACGTACAAAGCTCACGAAGAGAGCTTTGTACTTGTACTATCCCTATAATATGAACCTAGCTAACTGCTGTACTCGCAGAACTTGATATGTCTAACGGTAAACGACGTCCCTGAGGTTCTTCTAGTCCCCACTATCCAGTATTGACAGAGTGTAGCCCAGGTGGTAAAGGACGAGTCCGGGCGGCCTTTCATCGTTGTCAGAGAGTATGGACTCCCACTATTACTTATCCCCGAAACCTGCGACTGATATGCGTACAGCCAGGGCAAGAAGAAGCGCCAGCATGGGAACGAAGCTGTAAAGTCTCACATTCTAGCGGCAAGGACTGTCGCGAACATTGTCAAAACATCGCTTGTAAGTCATACTGAAAACATGGGGCGGTCTTGTACTGACACTGTGCAGGGTCCTCGTGGCCTGGACAAGATCCTCATCTCGCCCGACGGCGACATCACGGTGACGAACGATGGTGCAACTATTCTCTCACAGATGGAAATTTCGAACCATGTTGCAAAACTCCTGGTGGAATTGTCAAAATCACAAGACGACGAGATTGGTGATGGCACGACAGGTGTAGTTGTGCTCGCAGGGGCTTTACTCGAACAAGCAGCAGATCTTATTGACAAGGGCATCCATCCCATACGGATAGCAGATGGCTACGACCAGGCTTGCGAGGTTGCTGTTGCAGAGTTGGACAGGATTAGCGATACCATCCCTTTCTCAAAAGAACAGACATCAAATCTTTTCAAGGTCGCCAAGACCAGCTTAGGAAGCAAGATTGTGTCAAAGGCACACGACCAGTTTGCTCAGATTGCTGTTGACGCCGTCCTTTCTGTAGCAGACTTGGAGCGCAAGGATGTGGATTTCGAGCTCATCAAGGTAGATGGCAAGGTCGGTGGACGGCTCGAAGACACACTTCTTGTCAAGGGCGTAGTCGTCGACAAGGACTTCTCGCACCCACAGATGCCGTCAGAGGTCAGGGATGCCAAGCTAGCGATCCTGACGTGCGCTTTTGAACCGCCAAAGCCAAAGACCAAGCACAAGCTTGACATCACGTCGGTTGAGGAGTTCAAAAAGCTGCAGAAATACGAATCTGGCAAATTTACAGAGATGATCCAACAGATCAAGGACACTGGCGCGAACGTAGTCATATGTCAATGGGGATTCGACGACGAGGCAAACCATCTGCTACTCACAAACGAGCTTCCGGCGGTGAGGTGGGTTGGTGGCCCAGAGATCGAGCTGATTGCGATTGCAACGAACGGTCGCATCGTGCCACGGTTCGAGGACCTGAGCGCTGAGAAGCTTGGAAAAGCAGGAATCGTGCGAGAGATGTCGTTTGGAACGACCAGGGACAAGATGCTTGTGATTGAAGAGTGCGCAAATACCAGAGCAGTCACAGTGTTTGTCAGGGGCAGCAACAAGATGGTACGTCTCACAGGCCCCGGTAGACGGCAATATGGCAGTTACTAACGATAGGGCTCAAGATTATCGATGAGGCAAAACGATCCCTCCACGACGCCCTTTGTGTGGTGCGTAATCTTGTCAAAGACAACCGCATTGTCTATGGAGGAGGGGCGGCCGAGATTGCATGCTCACTTGCGGTCGAGGACGCTGCTGTGAAGGTGAGAGACCCGTTCTGTACTCGGATGTAAGTAGCTAACATGATGCCAGAGTCCTGGTCTTGAGCAGTACGCAATGCGCGCCTTCGCCGAGGCCCTGGATGCGGTGCCCATGGCACTTGCAGAAAATTCTGGTCTAAGCCCTATCGAAACGCTCGCGTCTATCAAGTCAAGACAGGTCAAGGAGAAGAACACGAGACTGGGTGTGGATTGTATGCAGACAGGCAGCAACGACATGCGTGAGCACTTTGTCATCGACCCCCTGATCTCAAAACGCCAGCAGCTTCTGTTAGCAACGCAGTTGTGTCGGATGGTACTGAAGGTCAACAATGTGATCATAGCGGGTAGCGACGAGAACGACTTCTAGGCATGCATTCTTTGTGTGGACTGGACAGTGCAGCAGTTATGTTGGCATGAGTCAATCGGTCAGAGCTTGGAATGTAGAGTGCTTTATAGATAGAGAAAAGTACATGATCAAGCTACGAGATTTGTGGTTGACGGGGAAATTCCGCAACTGTGTTTCCGTTGACGTAATATGCTGCTATAGCAGCGATTACGCGCTAGTCGCGTCTAAACTGTGCTGACTACCTAGCTGCGCGTCTTCCACCTCGCGCGCACGCTTCAAACACAAACAATACAATTCCGACACCATCGCCATTGCCATGTCCGGGCTACTATCTCAGCGCCATTCTGTCATTGGCTCGCAAATTGCGAAACTCGAGCTTCCCCCATACGAGTCGCCAAAGTATGCATTGACCGTCGACGCGCAACGCAAGCTGGACGCACTACACAAAGGGAGGTTCGATAGTGTGAAGAAGTACTACGAGGATGCTCTGGAAAACCTTGCGGTCGCAGCCAACGGGCTAGGCGACGCGCTCGTGAGAAGGGAACGCGAGGCGGCAGACAACAAGCGCAAGAGGGACAACGACGAGGGCGAGACTGGCGATGAGGACGGGTTTGAACGCTTCAGGAGCGAGGTCGATGGCAGGACGAGAAAGATGGAGATGATGACACGGAAGCTGATCGATCGGAGGGAGACGCTCGAGTACATGGAGGAAGGCATCAAAGGGCTGAAGACACAGGCGTCGCAGTCGTCGCAGTCGTCGCAGTCGTCGCAGGCCGCAAGTCAGAGACGGCAGGCCGCAAGCCAAGCCAGGAGCCGACGAGGAGGAAGACGACGCGGTGGGAATGAGAGTGAGGATGACGACAGCGACCCAGACCCGACACTGCCAGGCACCGTCCCGCCCACTGCCGCAGACGAAGCCGCCGCCGACGACGACGACGAAGAAGAAGTGCCCATCCCATCCCTCCACAAAACATACCACGCCCAACTCGAGTCCAAAACAGCAACCTACAAAGCCTACCCCGCCGCCACAAGATACGCCGAGCAAAACAGCTACATCCAGTTCCGCAAAGCCGTGCACGACGGCCTCCGCAAGGACGCAGACATGCCCCACGCACGAACCTGGTTCACGCCCGACGGCAAGCCGGCCAACCTGACCTCGACCGACCTGCTCGCGCAGGCGGCCGCGGCCGGCGACGAGGACTCGGAGCTCATCCTCTCGCGCGCCAAGATGTCGCTCAAGTGCCCGATTACGCTGCTGCCGTTTGAGCGGCCCGTGACGTCGACGGTGTGCCGGCATAGCTTCGAGAGCGAGGCGGTGCTGGATATGATTAGGCGGAGTGTGGGGCCGCCGAGGGGGGAGGCGGCGCATCCGGGCGGTGCGCCGGCGAGGTGGCTGAAGGGCCAGGTGAGGTGGATTTTGTGTCCGGTGTCGGGGTGTCATGAGCAGTTGCGTGAGGGTGATTTGAGGGAGGATAGGTTCCTGCGGGAGAAGGTGAAGAGGATGCTGAGGGAGGATGGGGAGGAGGGGAGTGAGAGTCGGGACGAGGGGGAGCAGGATGGTAGTGAGGGCGGGCATGGGGACGGGTTTGAGTCGATTGATGAGGAGGGCGAGGACGAGTGAAGAGGTGATGTGGCTGGGCAATTGACTGTCTGAGGCTGAACAAAGTGTGTAGTGCTCATGAGTGACGAGAAGGCATCATGATGCCTTTCCTGTGAATGGCACACGCCAGCACTCTTGAATGCCATGGAATGACGGCAGGCAGACCTGATGACTTGCTGGCCATGAGTGTATACATGCCAAAACCTCACAGTTCCTAGAACGACAAAACTAATTCTCCTAGACCAACATCAAACTCACAATCATAATCACGATCACGCTCAGGCAGCAGCAAAGAAACCAGCAATCTCACGCTTCCAACGCGGCAACAATGCCAAACTTCAAAGGTGCCCTCCCCCTTTTCTTCTACAGCCTCACATACAGCCTCACATACATATATATATATATACACAAAAAAGCACACCCGCAAACTAACAGAAAAAACCCTCAAACAGCGCTCCTCACCGGCCGCACGCCACTCTACATACTCGCGATCCCGGTGCTCGTGCTCTACGGTGCGTTGCCTCTTTCTTGGAGTGTGATGTTTTCAAGAGAAAATGCTTACTAACACTTGACGTCCCCTTGGGTATCCAGCGCTCCTCCTGGCGGCATGCACATCTCCAGCTAGCGTGCTGGCAAACATGTACCTCGTCAAACTAACCGCTGGTGCGGACGAGGCGCGGATTGGGTTTTTCGGTTTGGCTGTCCTCTCTACATACGTGCACAGCTAACAAACCACAAAGGCATCTGCACCAGCACCTCCTCCTCGCAAACCCTCCTCTGCACCACATCCCCCCCTTCCCCCTCATCCACACCCACAAACCCCCTCACCACCCCCGCACACACCCTCCAAAAAAGCACCTTCTACCCCCTCCTCGCCGGCAGCGCAGCACTCTACATCCTCTCCCTCCTCCTCTTCCTCTCCCTATCTTTCCTCTCCGGGCTGAATTCCAAACCCACCGCCAAAGCAGGCCTATCGACAGCGTGTACGGTACTACTATATATCAGTCTCGCATGCGTGGTTGCGCAGGCGGTGGGGCTGGATATGGTTGGGAAGGGGCTGGTTGGGGTTCTTGGTGATGGTGAAGGGGATGGGGTGGAGGGTGTGGAGGGGGGGGATATGAGTGGGAGTGGAGGGAGTGGGAGTGGGAAGGGGGGAAATGTTGTGAGGGTTGAGAGGGGGGTTGTG